GACCTGCTAGGTACAATTGCTGCTAGGCTGAAACAAGATGCTGTCCTCTGCAGCGGAGACCGATTCTGGATGTTACTAGAATCAGATAGTGAAACTAGAGTTGACCAAGTTGGCACAAAAGATTGTGCTCTTTGTTTAGGTAAAAGAGCTGGGAACTTATTGGTCTGTCAAATTTGTCAAAGGCGGTTCCATGCTGACTGTTTGGGTTTAAAGGAACTAGACGTTCCAAGTCGAAATTGGCACTGTCCGTTTTGCGTATGCAAGAGGCAACTTCTTGTACTGCAGTCTTACTGCAAGACGGACACCAAGAGTACTGGTAAGTTGGAGTCAGAAGAAGAACCAAATATGATTACACAGACAGAAGTCGGTCAACAGATGCTCTTGAATTACCTTCAGGATGCAGGATCTGCTGATGATGTGCATACTTTCATTTGCTGGTTTGTTCCCGACTCCCTTCACACGGATTTTGCAATATAGGTGGGTCTTATATGGAAGGTACTTTGTGCAGGTTTTATCTGTGCCTTTGGTATAAAGATGTCCCAAAATCTCAGAAGAAATTCAAATATTACATTGCCAGACTGAAAGCAAAGTCAATAATCCGTAACTCTGGAGCAACTGCGTCGTTCTTGACAAGAGATGCTATTAAGAAGATTACTTTAGCTCTTGGACTAAATAGTTCTTTTTCCAGAGGATTTGATAAGATTCTACACATGCTCCTGGTTAGTGGAAGGTTTTGTATGCATCTTTTCTTTTTTTGAGTTTCCATCTTTATAGTTTATTCTAACTGTATATTTTTCAGGCTAGTTTAAGAGAAAATTCTCCCATTATTAGGGCGAAAGCCATGCGAGCAGTAAGTGAGCAAAGTGTTAAAACACATAAATATTTCTGATTGTGGGTAGTACCACAATACAGTTATGCTATTCTAGCTGATACTACATTTTGATATTGACCGTAACAGGTTAGTGTAATTGTTGAAGCTGATCCAGAGGTACTATGTGATAAGCGTGTTCAGGTGGCTGTTGAAGGAAGGTTTTGTGATTCTGCAATATCTGTTAGAGAAGCAGCACTGGAACTTGTTGGTAGGCATATTGCATCACATCCTGATGTTGGTTTAAAGGTATATTGACTTTTACTCGTATCATTATTGTCATGTCACATTTCTATGATTGTTGTTTCTTTGCTGATCCAATGACTTTGTCTTTACAGTACTTTGAGAAGGTCGCTGAGAGGATTAAGGATACTGGAGTGAGTGTTCGAAAACGAGCCATCAAGATAATACGTGACATGTGTACTTCTAATCCCAACTTCTCTGAATTTACAAGTGCATGTACCGAGATATTATCTCGTATCAGTGATGATGAGTCTAGCATCCAGGTAATGTTTATATTTCAGTATGCATTGCTCTTTGATATATCCTGTCCTCATTCTTTAGTGTGATATTATGCTTAATTACAAGATCAATATTAGCTATTTGTTCATCCGCAGGATCTTGTGTGCAAAACTTTCTATGAATTTTGGTTTGAGGAACCTCCAGGGCATCATACTCAGTTTGCTAGTGATGCTAGCTCCATTCCACTCGAAGTGGAAAAGAAAACCAAGCAAATGGTTGGGTTGTTAAGGAAGACCCCAAATCACCAGCTTCTTGTAACAATTATTAAGCGTGCCCTGGCCCTTGATTTTTTCCCTCAAGCAACTAAAGCTGCTGGTATCAACCCAGTTGCTCTTGCATCAGTACGCAGGCGCTGCGAGCTGATGTGCAAGTGCTTACTGGAAAAAATATTACAGGTCAACTTTAATGCTTCATGTCTGTGCATTGATGATGGGTTGGTTGGAATACCAATACTTAACATCTTTTATCCCGTCAGGTAGAGGAAATGAGCCGTGAAGAAGGAGAGGGGCAAGTGCTTCCTTATGTACTTGTTTTGCATGCTTTCTGCCTGGTGGATCCTGGGCTGTGTACACCGGCTTCAGACCCTACTAAATTTGTTATCACCCTACAGCCATATCTGAAGAGTCAGGTTTTATATCGCCAATCTGGTCAAGATTCTCTTAAGTTTTGTAAATGAATGATTCTGTTGGGAGTTATCTATACTGTCTTTGAAATATAGTGGTGTTAATCCTGAGAAGAAATCATCTGTATGAAGGTGTGTCCGCATTAGTATCTCAAACTTTTAACTGTTGCTAATCTGCCTTTCGTCCTGTATTTGTTGCAGGTTGATAGTAGAATAGGAGCACAGTTACTAGAGAGTATTATTTTTATCATCGATTCTGCCCTACCCTTTATCCGCAAGCTGCCTCTTAGTGTGACAGAAGATCTGGAGCAAGATCTAAAGCATATGATTGTTCGGCACTCGTTTCTAACCGTTGTTCATGCTTGCGTTAGGTACTCTATTACTCAACTACCATCATTCCTCACTCTATACATCGTCTACCCGTTCATTTTTTATTTGGATCATTGGATGATCACATGTCTTCATGGAAGATACAGTCGAGAAACATTACTCATCTTTTTTAGGAGACTACCTTCTATATGATTAGTGCAATCCTTCAAATTCTCAGGTGTCTCTGTTCTGTGAGTAAATTGGCGGGAAATGGTGCTAGCGTAGTTGAGCATCTTCTTCAGTTCTTTTTTAAGCGGCTGGAGGCCCAACCAAGTGGGTCCGATAGTAACCAGGTGGGTTTTCTTTGAATTGAAAATAATATTTTCGTGGTTAAACACAATCAAGGTCTTTTTTACTCTTGTTTCAAAGTCGATTTTCTGTGTCGTATAGTATACTATCGTGGCTTGCATTTGTGAGCGTAGATTTGGTTGCTGACCTAAATTTGGGTTTTTTCCTATTCTCGTTGAACTGGTATTTTGTTTAACGTTGAGTAGAGACACACGTGACTATCATTATCCGCTTACTTATAAGATCATTATTCTCTACTAACTCTACTTTTTCATTGTGGTTTGTCTGCCTACTGGTAGTATATTCAGTGTTCATATGTATCTCTCTTGACAGTGAGTGTTGTCTGAGTTGAGATAACTGTTATTCTTCACAAGATGACTGAGGCTAAATGATGAAAAATTTCTTGCCTATTTCAGATTGCTGGGCGGTCCCTTTTTTGTCTTGGCTTGCTCATTCGCCATGGAAACTCTCTTATTAGCACCTCAAGTGGCAGGAATTTTAATGTGTCCGAGTGTCTCAATTTATTTAGACGACATCTCCGCATGGAAGATTTTTCTTTGAAAGTCAGGTCCCTGCAGGTATAGTGCATAGGGTGCTAGTCTGTTGCACATTCTCAAATTTTTATAATGCTAGAATAATGATGACCCCAAAATTTCCTGTAGGCTTTAGGTTTCATTCTAATAGCACGGCCTGAATACATGTTGGAAGAAGACATTGGAAAGATAATCGAGACTACATTAGCAGATGAAGCAAACGGGCGTATGAAGGTAAATATCGCCAATCTATGTGCTTTTCAATTACTATGGTGTACGTGTTTCGTTTTACGCTTGCATATGCTTACATCCTTTTTTAATGCTCATGATCCAGATGCAAGCATTACAAAACATGTATGATTACCTTCTTGATGCGGAAAAACAATTGGGATCCGATAAAGCTAGTGATAACACGGTAAACCCAGTTGAGCAAGGTGGCCATACTGTACCTGTGGCCGCTGGTGCAGGCGACACCAACATTTGCGGAGGCATTGTGCAGTTGTATTGGGATAAGATATTAGGCAGATGCTTGGACTTTGATGATCAAATTCGCCAGAGTGCTCTCAAGGTTTTCTTTTTTTTCTCCATTATAATATTTGCTTCTGTCTCTTTGCTCGTGTGAATTAATGAGAGATGTATCTGTTCCGCAGATAGTTGAAGTTGTGCTACGTCAAGGTCTCGTTCATCCTATTACATGTGTTCCGTATTTGATTGCCCTTGAGACAGATCCTCTAGAGGCCAACCAAAAGCTGGCCCATCATTTACTGATGAATATGCATGAGAAGTAATCCTCTCATTAGATTTTACAAAAATTTACCATAATTCGCTCATCAAGAATCAGCGCACTAACACGACATTTTCATCAGGTATCCGGCTTTTTTTGAAAGCCGTCTTGGTGACGGACTTCAGATGTCGTTCAATTTCATGCAATCCATCAGCCAGGTCACTTCAGAATCAAAACAAAAGGGTTCGACAAACATGGCGTCGGGGAAAATTGATCATACTAGTAGCAGTCTCACACAAGCTAGACTTGGAGTCTCTAGGATCTACAAGCTTATCCGTGGAAACCGAATTTCTCGGAACAAATTTATGACTTCTATTGTTCGCAAGTTTGATAATCCAACCTGGAGTGGCTCAGTGATATCGTTTCTGATGTGAGTATTTGCTCTTACGAAAAATTTCAGTCTCTGTGGTAAAATAAGCACTAACTTCTCTGTATCTCCTCACAGGTATTGCACTGAAACACTTGCTTTACTTCCATTCACAACACCTGATGAGCCGCTATATCTTGTATACTCCATAAATCGAGTTGTACAAATCCGGGCTGGTGCAATCGAGTCAAATTTGAAGGCTTTGTTACATAAAGATTCGGCAAAGACTCAGCATGGAAATGGAACGTACCAACAAGATCCGATCCCTGGACATATGCACATGATGGATTTGAACACAAGAATCCAAGAAGAAGCGACGCATTGGAATCCCTACGGCCGTCCAACGCCAATTGATCTCAACGGAGTAGTATACCAAGATCCGAGGGATCAATTTACTTCATATCAGACCCATAATGGGGAAGCAAATGTGCACAAGATGACTTCCTCTGATTCGCCTGAATTATCCACCGATGATCTGCAGAAAATCCAGGTAGTCTTCATACCTTTTTCTCCTGTGATGCCTAGGGTGTTAAAATCGGGTTCTTTTTATCTGAAGTTTTCACTTTTTCGGTAGGAAGATCGATAACTATTGTAAACCGAATCTTGCATAGATCAGGTTGGTACATTTTGGTTTCGATTCGGTTGGTGTCGGTTTGATTTTAATCAGGCATATACAATTGTTTCAGTTCGGTTTTTCCTTTCTCAAGGATTTTGTTTTGGTTTTCTAGATATCCAAAATCTAAAAACTTGCATCTTTTGATTGGTTGGGACAGATGGACATGTCATGGTTTATCCAAATTGAGCACTCTTTAGATCATCGTTGTTATGACATATGGGGTTTTCTAATCATGCCATTCTTTCTTTTGGTGCTCTTTCAGGTTGATTGCTTATCAGCTATAGCTTTACAACTTCTTTTGAAGCTCAAAAGATATTTAAAAGTCACCTACAGCTTAAATGATGACCGGTGCCAAGTACGATTCTGTGTTTCCACTACTCTTTTTCAGATTTAAGTGACTTTTTTCCTTTAAACTGCTCACGAAAACGTGATTGTGTTTGGATATTTTTTTTATCTCAGGCCTATTCTCCGACGGAACCATTGAAGCCAGGAGATCCTCTGTCCAGACAAAATGTTGCCTTTGACCTCGGCGAAACTCGAACTGACTTACCTTCAACATATCAAGAGTTAGTTCAGAGATATCAGGTCAAAACCCGAACAAGTTTTTGTTCACTTGTCTAAAATCTAAATCCATCATCATTTCACTAAAAAAAAAAAAACTGTTGCAGGAGTTTAAGAACGCGATGAGAGAAGATACACTTGATTTCACCATTTATTCAACAAACGTAAAGAGGAAACGGCCAACGCCAAGAAAAAGCTCAAGATCTGCTAAAAAAGCAGTGGCCTACAATGAAGAGGAGGATGATGACGAGATTGATGACAGGGGTTGGAATGGAGGAAGAGGAGGAGGAGGAGGTGGTATGACTGCTCGGAGACTAAGTTACAGCACCAGAAGTAGCAACAGAAGGTAAGGTGAGAGATCCCACTTGCATCCTTTTATAGATTACTGTACATAAAGCGGCGCAAAAAGAAAAAGAAAAAGAAAAATCAAAAACGCTGTTATTGTAGGCTCTTAACCAGTGTACAGTATGATTTCTTACAAAATTAGGAAGACACACGGTTGAACCCTTTTGTTTAGGACGAAAAACATACAAGACCGGAATTGGGAAGGGAATAGGGTATTTTGGTCAATTTCTTCAATTTCTTGGTGTCACTTACTTTTCATTTCATTTTGCTATTTATATATGGTTTCTCTTTAGGTAACGACGTCACTGTTTATTGCTTCATTTCTGCTTACCGAATTGTACTTACGTGAGAATGCCTCTTTGTTGCACTATCTGCGTTTGGTCTACCGATTTCACTGATTTCAAGTTTCTTTCATATAAAGTAATCAGACTCTGAATTTTTCATCACTGAATCACTGAATGAATTTTTCATTTAGTATTATCCGAACAACACATTTTCCTGATCAAACCATGGTTGAAACATATCCATCACTAAGTAACTTGTATCTTTGTCAAATTTATTCTAAAAGACATGCATACACGTTACGTAATTCCCGAAAGAAAGTGACACTTCAAAAGAAAATAGAAAATCGAAACCAAACCGAAGTAATTACTTAATGATTTTCAGCACGTCCGTATAGCAACAAAGCCAAGAGTTTGAAGATGTTCTGAACGAGCTAAAACGATGCTTCTTGGTATCAAGGTGCGATGATAAACAGAGGCTGCATAGTATATAGTTTGTCGTAGTGTTAACAACAAGTTAATGATCTGAAAACCAAATTAAAAAAAAAAAGAAAACCGGGGTAAACCATAGGGGAGAGAGAGTCGGTACCGTGTCAACGCTGACCGGTTTTCCATCTTCAGCTAGTAATTCAGTGATGGTTCCTGATTTCTCAGCCTGTTTTCAACACACAAATACTGTATATAAAAACTCTAAACGTTCATAAAATTGATCACGCAAACATAATATAGTAGTCAGAACGATATTGAAAGGATCATCAAATCCACAAATTTCAACAGTAATCGTAACATGATAAAGGATATCAGACCTCAATCTCGTTCATCAGTTTCATTGCTTCGATAATGCAAACAACTTGACCCTTCTGCACCTTATCTCCAACCTGCAAATTGTAAAACAGAGAGGACTCACTTCAGCTTACAAAAAATAAATGTGATGACTTCAACTTAATTCGATTTCATCCAAGAAACAAAGATTTGTTGAGTTGTTTTTTGTTGTTGCATCCTCTTGTACCTTGACAAAAGGCGGTTCACCGGGTCCAGGAGATCTGTAGAAAGTACCAGCCATAGGGCTCTTGAGTGGAGGATGAGACGAGGATGGCGCAGGTGTTGGTTTCGCTGTTTCAGGGGCTGAGGAGGGAGTAGGAGAAGCAGGAGGAGCCACTGGTTGAGATGGAGGCATTGGAAGGCCTGCCATGGGAGGAGGCATCGAGTGATAAACTGGAGCTGGTGGTGCAGCTTGCTGCAAAGCTTCCTTCTTTCGAATTACGATTTCACAGTCGAGCTGCTTTAGTTCAAGTTCCACTATGTCTCTTGAATCCACAAGCCTTAAGTAAGAGAACAAAAACAAATGTTTGATTAGTTCGTCGAGAGAAACTAAACTAAAGGATCTACTTGGGGATTGGACTTACTTAAGAAGACCAGAGACTTTAGCCATAAAGTCAGAGAGCTCGGCGGGTTCAGGAACATTGGTCTTCACTTTACCGTTCAAATAACCACCATTAGCCATTGGGGTAGAGTTAGAGACAACCTTAGGGACAAAAGTCGAAATTTGAGTAAGAAGGTTACTACAACGTCTGTATGGAACCTTGTTCGTAGAGAAGAAGCAAGCTTTTACCTCATTGGTTGTCGCACGTAACCTCCAGATCGTAGATTGATTCTGTAGAAGACGAAGGAAACAAACGGTTCTGAATCAATGTATACAAAGAGAAAACTTGATCATCATTGTACGCACACACACATGTATGAATATAACACTTTTGAATCTGCAAACGATTTATCATCTTTATAGGCGGTTGAAGGGAACAAGTAAACATGAGTGTCAGATTATAAATTCAAGACCGAAGATGAAAAGTAAGCTCCAAAGTTATACACGAGTGTCACAAGTCCACTAGTCAAAACTTAGAAACACTAAACAGATCATAATAACCCAATCAGAAAACACACAATAAAGCCTCACATTTTATTACAGGAGAGAGAAGAGGAGCAGAAGAAACCTGAGATACATCGGAAAGAAAGGATATCCCATTGGGTTGCGGCTGCCACTGGTATCTAGGAATAGATCCGACCAGCCGGTTTGAGGCACAGATCTTGGCGTAAGGTACCGACAATGACGCCATTGTTGAGACAGATGAAATGCAGTGGACGATGAAACCGAGGAAGGAGGAAGAAGAGATATGAGAGAAGAGAGAGAGAGAGAGATATGTCTTACACAATCGATCTCTTTTTTTCTTATTTTTTTGGGTAAAGGAATCTGATTTCGATGCTTACGAAGAAACACAAGTCATTTATTAACTAACTTCACCGAACCTGTCAAATGTTGTTAGACAACGCTCAATTTGTCCTCTTCTCAGTTCCATCGTGTGTTTCATTGTGCCTCACCTATACAGTATACACAAATATACAAACATCTATACCCTCATTGATGTGGTACTGATCTAATCTGCATTCATTTCATAAAATCCAACAGTCTTTGATCCAATCAAACAGTGTTCAGGTAAACATAAACATAACTCTAGTGCATGCAGAGAGGAGGGGTCCAGCTTAAAAGAGAGTATCTGTGGATTTTGGGTGAAATCTCATTTTATTAAATACCCAAAAATGTTAATAAACCACCTACAAAATAAGTTAGGAGTAAACAACAACACTTGTTTATTTCAAAATCAATCAAAATTGAGAAGAGAGAAATGAAACCCCAGGGTGATAGTCGAAGATTGACCGGAGATTAGAGTTGAGTACGAACCAGTATAAGCGATTGATTTAGCTAAAGTAAGCAAATGATTCATCGCCATGGCTAATGGCTTCTCTAGCTCTGGTGTGACTGTGGTCTACTGTGAACTAAGCAAGTAAGAAGCATCCATTGTAACGACGACGTATAGCCTTTTTCACTGAAACGATGCCGTACGCTCACTTAAAACTGATATATTGGGCCCATGATGGACCCAATATTATTAAGCCCATCATGGAGCCAATATTATAAAGCCCATCATGGCCCTGTTAGTATTCTTCGAGCTCTCCAATGTCAGTTATCTCCAAGTTCAAACTTGATGGATGGTAAAGTTTATATCTTTCTGAACCAGAACTCAGCCACGGTAAACCGGATTTTGCAAACAAATATGAAATCTTTCTCATTTTTTCTTGAGGGGGTGTATAACCAGATTTATTACAAAGGTTGAACAGGAATGATTGGAAAATCAATAAAACTGCAACTAATTGGTTGCTTCATTTGAATCTCTTACAGAAGATAATGTAGTTTGAAAAATGACAATATAGACAGGAAAATACTACTGCAAACCCAAAAGAAGCTTTCTTTTAGAGATACTGGTAATGGAGATCGCTCATGCAGGAGCCAGTTTCACTCCATGAAGATGAACTGCAGCATCTGATCTTCTTGTGCTGCGGTATGTGAAACTTGGGATCTCGTGGTGCAGTTGGATGTTTGCTCGACCTTTACAAGTGTTAAAGGAAAACAAGAAGAAGCAATTGTATCAGCTTTTGCAAATCATTCATTGCCATAAGAAGCATCTCTCTATTAGTTGCCTGTAAAAACTATGTGGCTGCAAACTCTCTCTATATTAGAGAAATCTACACAGATAATACAGCCTATGATTGTCATGTGATGTATATATACGAAAGGAGATTTCAAGAGCAAAGTATTTCTCTACCAGTCTTTATTTTACCTTCTTGGAATGAATGGTCGATCAAAGTATGGCATTGGCTGCGCTTTTGGGACCAATTCTTTCCTCAGCCTTCTTATCTCTTCTTCCTCTGCCAACTGAAAAGGACCAAAAAATGAAGCAGAAATATACTATAAAATTTTGGATTTATCAAAAATCAACTAGTATTTTTAGACATGGCCACAGCATCTCATATAAAACTCTACCTTCTGTTGTCTTTCTCTTTCCATTTTATATTGCTCAATGAAGCTCATCTTCTCGGCAACCTAGAAGAATAGATTCACACTTTATGATCCGGACTTCAAACCCCTAACAAAATGAATAATTAATCAATGGCATTAGCAAGGTTTACCTGATTATCAAATTCTGCGCGTTCTACTGCTCGGACATCTGAGTGGAGTGTCAAGTCGACTGGTATTGTAATATCTTTCACATGAGGCTTAACCAGACACTGAAACAGAGAACACAGCATTAGAATGCCATAACTTGACCATATGCAGTAGTACCAGTCGGTTGTTTAATAGGAGAGAGCAGCATTCTCACCTCAGGTTCATCGGTTGTCCAAGGTAGACCTTGAGCAATGGGGATTCTCATCTTCTCTTCCTCCATCGTCATTTCTTGCAGCTTCTTTGCAAACTCTTCCTCTTTCATTCTACCTCTTTGCTGCACAGAAACACAAAAGACCAACCAACAACAGTCAGGACTCGATTTCTACCATGAGTCCTAAAAGTTCCAACATTTTGATCCAAGAACCTCATACCTCAGTTCTAAGTTTGAATGGCTTCAATGAAGTGACCTTAACCTGCTTCTTCTTTGATCTTCTGCTTCCCATTGTAGTCGATGAGTCCAAGCTCTGCCACATACACAAGTTTCAAACTGATTATATCAAAAACATAAGCTTTATGCAAGATAACAAAAAAAAACATAATGAGGCATTCAAGACACATACATTTCTTCTGCTTTTCCTGCCAGCATTTGAACTTCCACTCAAAACACTGAAACATCACATGATCAAACAATTCAAGAACAGATCAAAACAATGAACAGTTCAGAAATTAAGACACCAACAAAAAAACTAACCTTCCGTGGCTGCTGTCCCAGGACGAAGAAATCGAGGCATTGAGGTCTAACCCGAGATTCTTAGCTGTTAAGACCAATTCAGATGGAGAAAACGAAGAGCTCCATGAATGTTGCTCTTTCTCTCCCTCCAAGAACTTTGATTGCTCTCTCATTCCAGGCTTCTTTATATCCTCTACGGTTGGGTCCTCTTCTTCTTTCTTGTTGGCTGACTTTGAAAGAGTGAAGCAAGTGAGTTTCTCAAATGCTTCTACAAGGTTCATCACTTTACCGGATTCAGGCACACTTCTCCGTGATTCTTCCACCGTCTTGGCCCTTGGCCTCTTCGTTGTGGAAGCGCCGCCCTTTTGCTCCGGTTCCCCAGATTCTTCTCCTTCTACCTCATCTCCATGTCCGAGATCACAGCACTCCTCTAAGCCCGCCTTTTCCTCCTCCGATTCATTTCGTTTTTTGAAGAACTCCTCTTGCGACGCACGCAGCGTTTCATACGCAACGCAAACGCACTTCATGTTCCCCTTCTTCCTCTCTCCGCATTTGCAGTCTATCTCAGCAGCAACAGTCGACTCCGCATCCTTCTTCCCCTTCCTCGAATTCTTTTTCGCCACCACAACAAACCTCCTCTCTCTGATCCGATTCCGGGGAGAGAAAACCGCCTGGCTGGGTTTAGGGTTCGGACTCGGGTTCTTCTGCGCCGATTTCTTCGAATTAGCAGATTTCGTGAGCGGAGACTTGGCTGGGCTCGCTAGCGAAATGTTAGGGTTTGCGTTCTCCGTCGATCTGAATGTCTCTTGAACCTTGGGCTGAAACTTGCTCCGATCCTTCACCGGAGTCGCTGGTTTGCCATTCTTCAAAATTGACGACTCCATAGAAGAATAATCTGGAATCAAAAGAACAAGGAGAAGGCGAAAAATAATCGATCTTGATTAGAGAATCCACCCAAAATTAGAATTAGAGAATCTACCCAAAAATTAGGTTTTTCCTCCTGTGTGTATGTAAGTTGAAGAAGATGCTGGATCGGGGAAGATAAATGTGACCGTTGCGGCGCTCTTTGGACGCTCTTGATAACGGCTAGTCTTTTTGGTGATTTTTTAATTCAAAAAAAAAAACAAGATTAGTAGAAATATTTACTACTATAATCTTGTCCGTTGGATTAAAGTACTAATAATGCTGTTTTTAATCCACCTTTAATGCCACGTCACATCAGTTTTTTTCCAGCCAAACCTCTAATAAGCCGTTGGATCAAACTTTTCTTCTGTATAATAGCAGATCCTTTGGTATAATATTAGCCGTTGGATCAAATAAATACATCAGATTTTCTGACAGCAATTATTTTTTGTCTAATATCAACCGTTGGATTAAAGTGATGACATGCTGACTTAGTCAATGTATGCTGCTACGATTATTTTCCACAATTTTTGTATGCTTGTTCGAATTTCCGTCTTTCACAAGCTAGTTATCATCTTGTAGCCAATAAAGTTTCGTCACGTACGACATGTCAGATATCTATAAACGACCAAAAACATTCATCATCGTCATCATTTCAGTGTTGTCTGTTAATCAGTGTTAATTAATGGATCAAAGCTCACTAGAAGCTGCTGCTAAATCTGGAAACATCGATCTACTATACGAACTAATCCATAAAGATCCATACGTTCTCGTTAAAATCGACAACGTGCCCTTCGTTGATACTCCTCTTCATGTCGCAGCCGTCGCCGGGAAAACAGAGTTCGCCATGGAAATGATGAACTTGAAACCCTCTTTTGCTCGGAAGCTTAACGCTGACGGACTTACGCCGTTACACCTCGCCGTCGATCACGGTAACTTCTGGCTAGTACTTGAAGTAGTTAAGATTGATCCAAGCCTTGTTCGTCTTAAAGGGAGACAAGGTATGTACCAATTTTTTTGACAAATCACAATTTTAATTTGAGAGATTTAAGCTATATAAAAGGTTTGTGGGTCTATTTCCTTTTCCGGTTCGACTGTTCATCTTTGGTTCAATTTTCGATTTTTAAATAAATTTTTACCGAACAATTTCATTCGGATTGGTACTTGGTATGGTAGCCTAGCCTAAACTCGGTTTACTGGATTGGTACTTGGTATGGTAGCCTAGCCTAAACTCGGTTTACTGGATTGGTAACTGTATAGTTAATCATTTTTATTTTCGAAATACAAATTTAATCGGAAATATTTTATTCAAGCTGATTGGTAACTGTCGGTGTAAACGGACTCGGTTTAACCATGTTGGTTTAATTTCATTTATTTGTCACAAAAAGGTATGACGCCATTGCTATTTGCAGTAAGTAGAAAGAAGATCGATCTGATATCAGAATTCTTCTTGGTTTGCCCGGAAAGCATCGTGGACGCAAACGTGGACGGAGAGAACGCTCTTCACATCGCTGTGAAGAACAACGACCAAAGAGAAGGATTAATAGTCCTTAAAGTTCTCATGGGATGGATCCTAAGATTGTGTCAAAAAGATGCAGAGTGGATAGAGACAAGAGTCATAAACCGAAGAGACAAAGATGGTAACACGCCTTTACATCTCGCAGCGTTCGAAAATAATCGCCAAGCTACGAAATTGTTGTTAAAGAGTTCGAAGATTAACGTCAACATCGAGAACAAGAACGGTTTAACGGTTCTCGACGTTGCCGTGTTACAAAGACAAGACAATAACAGAGGAGATATAGAGAGAATGGTTAAGAGTCATGGCGGAGAACGTTCGCTTTCTCTTGTAAAGATCAAGACAACATCAGATCTACTCGGCTCGCGGCTTACATGGGCAGAATCGAGGCGGACGAAGATGATTCGGTCTTATTCTTGGATCTCTGAAGAAAGAAGAAACGCCCTTTTAGTGGTCGCCACTCTTATAATCACAGCTACTTATCAGACCGTTCTCCAGCCTCCCGGGGGAGTTTCTGACAGCGGTGAAAGCGGTGGTGCAATCAGCGGTGAAAGCCAGGGGAAAGTGGGCTCGGCGGTTATGGCAGAGGCATACTTTATCTTGTTATGGCTATGGAACAGTGTGGGTTTCTACTTAGCCATGGGACTGACGCTGCGTTTGTTGAGTTTAGGGCAAGAGAGTATGTTTTGGTATTATCCTCTGTTCGTTCCTTTGTTCGCGGCTTACTATGTGGCAGGGGAAGTGATATCGCCAAACTCGAGAGCACTTACGATAGGACAGGTCGGTTCGGTCGTGGTTCTGGCGATTTGGTGGTTGGTAGTCAGGTTTTGGGAATGGATACAATCTAAGCGAACCAAGATGCGTGGACCAAAGAGTGGACTTGTGTGGGAAGGTTTCACTACGTTAGATCAAGCTAGAGGTGTTGCGCCTAAACAATATGTGATAAGGTGATCTTTATTTGATTTAGAAAATAGTTTTATTGTAAGTTTTGAATATTTTTAATGTGAAAATTAAATATCCAATGGATTATATCAGAAATAACATTCGTGGATGCAACATATTAATAAACCCGTCATTTGCAACATTAACAAAATCTAATCAAAATAAATTAATTTATCAAAACTAGATGGTCATTTCAAATAATGTGAACTGAAATATATGCATGTGTGTTCATACGCTTTAACATTGTTGAAACTTTACGAAACAATTCTTGTAAGATATCATTTTGTAAGATATGCGAATAAGATTATTACTCGTAACTAGATATTTTACTCGTGCTATGCTGTGAGATATTTTTTTAAATTTTGTATATATTTTTAATATAATAAAATTATTTTTATAATGTAAATGAGTATTATATTTATTTGTTTATTAGCTTAAGTTATATATTTATATGTTTTAAATCTGAATAAATATTATATATTTTTTATTTTTCAAAATTATAATTTGCTATTAAATTTAGTTAGGAATAAAATATATAAGAATAAAGCAATACATTTTTAGTACCATCATGCTAATGGCAAATGTAATCTATTTTCTCCAATAAATTGCCATTTGATCCTCCTTTGTAATTATATAAAGCAAAATGTCATTTAATTTTTTTTTATTAATTAATATGATTACTTTAGATTATAAAATTTATTTATTTATCAAATATTTTATTATAAATATGAGTTTCTAAAACTACCAAATTGTAATCAATAACATTCATATCAAAACCATTGCTATTGCTTTAGAACTAAATAGAAAATTATATATGAACTCTTAAAATATTATTTTAGTTAAAGTTAAATAATTAAATTTTGGTTACTGTAAACATACTTTAACTTGGAAATTTAGCACAATGAAATTTCATCTTCTTATAAAAATCGAGAAATCGCTTTTTCCGTCAAAACAAAAAAACTTTATTTTCCCATTAAACTAAGAAATCGCATATTCCCGCCAAAACCAAATTCATTTTCTCGTCAAACATAAAACCTAAAATTTTATTTTTCCGCGAGAACTTGTGTTTTTCCTCCAAAGCCGAGAAATTATGTTTTTCACAAAAACCAAAAAATTTCATCTTCCTGCAAAAACAAAAAAAATTGTACTTTCCCGCCAAAAACGAAAAAAAAAAAATTCTGCGAAAACTGAGAAATCGTCTATTCCTGTAAAAAAAAAAATCATTTTCTAGTCAAGGTCAGAATCACGTTTTCCTATAAAAACAAATAAACTACAATTTTCCGTAAAAACCAAAAATTGCATTATTTCCCGTGAAATTGTGTTTTTCCGCGATAACTAAGAAATTGTTATGTTTTTATCGGTTCAAATTTTTGCTGATGTTTGAGATTCTTATAACATAAGACTTTTTTGTTGTTGTCATGGAAGTATAGTTGATGCTGAGTCTATACTTTTTTCAATCATATACGTTTATGTCAAACAAACAGATAGCTAGAATTTTTTATTATATATTTTTTGTTATTTATTATTTGAATTTGGTTTTAGAAAAAAAAGAAAACAATGATTTAAGTTTTTAATTTATTTTTATTTATTATTTAGGTTTGGATTTGACAAAAAATAAAATAATGATTTTTTATTTGCTGTTATTAATTATTTGGGCTTGAGTTTGGTAAAAAAATAAAACAAAAATTAATAAAAAAAATATTTGAGTTTTTAATGAGTTTAAGTTTAAAAATTAAAGTAAGTAGATGAGATGTATTAATAAAAAGTTTTGATTGGTGATTATTTTTGCTGAGGTGTCATGTTTATAAAGCTTCAAAAAGCTGAGCTGTCAAGCCATGAAAAGACTTTAGTGTTATTATTTACCCGCGTTATGCTGCAGGACATTTTTCTAAATTTTGTATATATTTTTAATATAATAAAATTATTTTTATAATATAAATGAGTATTATATTTTTATTTTATTAGCTTAAGTTATATATTTATATGTTTTAAATCTGAATAAACATTATATATATATTTTTTTTCAAAATTATAATTTGCTATTAAATTTAGTTAACTAACTAAGTATAAATGTATATATAGGAATAAAATATATAAGAATAAAGCAATATATTTTTTGTACATTCATGCTAATGGCAAATGTAATCTATTTTCTCCAATAAATTACCATATGATCCTCTTTTGTAATTATATAAAGCAAATGCCATTTAAAAAAAGATTTATTAATTAATATGATTATTTTAAATTATAAAATTTATTTATTTATCAAATATTTTATTATAAACATATGTTTCTAAAACTACCAAACTATAATCAATAACATTCATATCAAAATCATTGTTATTGCATTAGAACTAAATAGAAAATTATGTTTGTACTATTAAAATATCGTTTTAGTTAAAGTTAAATAATTAATTTTTGGTTACTGTAAACATACTTTAACTTGGAAATTTAGCACAGAAAAATTTCATCTTTTTACAAAAATCGAGAAAACGCATTTCCTGTCAAAACAAAAAAAAAACTTCATTTTTCCATAATATTGAGAAATCGGCTATTCCCACCAAAACTAAAAAAGTTCATTTTCTCGTCAAACCTAAAACCTAAAATTTCATTTTCCCGCGAGAACCTGTGTTTTTCCAACAAAGCCGAGAAATTACGTTTTTTCACAAAAACCAAAAAATTTCATCGTCCTGCAAAAACAAAAATAAAAATTTTATTTTCTCGCCAAAATCGAGAAATCTATTTTTCCTGAGAAATCGTCTATTCCTGCCAAAAAAAGCCAAGACTCACACTTTTCTACAAAAACTAATAAACTACAATTTCCGGCAAAAACCAAAAATTGCATTGTCTTCCGTGAAATTGTGTTTTCCCGCGAAAACTAAGAAATTGTTATGTTTTTATCGATTCAAATTTTTGCTGATGTGTGAGCTTCTTATAACATAAGGCTTTTTGCGTTGTTGTCATGGAAGTATAGTTGATGCTGAGCCTACACTTTTTCAATCATATACGTCTATGTCAAACAAACAGATAGCTATAATTTTTTATTATTTATTTGTTGTTATTTGTTATTTTGATTTGGTTTTTGCAAAAAAGAAAATAATGATTTAATTTTTTTTTATTTATTTATTATTTGAGTTTGGATTTGGCAAAAAATAAAATAATAATTATTTTATTTGCTTTTATTAATTATTTGGGCTTGTGTTTGGTAAAATTAAAACAAAAATTAACAGAAAAAATATTTAAGTTTTTAATAGGTTTAAGTTTAAAAATTAAAATAAGTAGATGAGATGTATTAATAAAATGTTTTGATTGATGATTATTTTTGCTGAAGTGTCATGTTTATAAAACTTAAAAAAACTAAGATGTCAAGCCATGAAGAAACTTTAATATTATTGTTGTGTTGATTTATTAAAATTAATATATTCAACAATTTATCTTTTACGACAGATTGACTGGAGTCTATGTTGCTAAAAGTGAAAGGTGTCCAGGACACCGTGTCCTGTACTGTATCCGCATTCGTATATAGTAGAGATAAACTACTCAAAGTGTAAAACAATTGCTGTAAGTGAAAGGTGTCATATAATGAATTACGAATATAGAAATCATGATTTTGGAGTTTTATAGTCATCGAGTTAAAAAGTAACATGGCAAACCAAATCGAGTTGTATAAGAATAAGCTTTTTGGGTGGTCAACGTATACAAACCATGTTATAATCGCATTTTTTTTCCAAAATAGATTTGGTTTCGTTTTTGATTTTGATTCATTTAAGATAAAATATTTCTTTTTTCAACCACACTCCTCTTGGTATATTTTATTTATAAAACTATTCATATATAGCTTGAGAAGCACTTCAAAAAGTGTGACTGAGTTTTCAAGCAAAGTGCGATTAGTCTTTGGACTCAAGTTTGTCCTGCAGACTCCACCACACAATCACTTAATTACTGATACAAAGTGGTTTTAATAATAATAGATTAACATGCACATTATTGAAACTAAACACCAACCTTTGGGACGTATGCTACAGACTATAGAATGGACAGTGACGCACACAAAATTATTAAAACCAATATGAAATTTTTAATCCCTCAAAATACGTTTTCATAATACTTGTTTAACCACCTTTTTTGGTTTTACATCATATTAAAGTTACAAACAAACTTCTTCACGTATGTTTTATCTTCATCTTCATGTTTCCCACAGATATTCTATCATTTGATTGTAGTTGTATTTAGAGCCCATTCTATCTATATAAATAATTTTTTTTCGGCAGGTAGAGAATATATACAGTATGTATGTAGTACTTATAATTTTTTTTTGGCTTGAAGCGTCGATTACTTTGAGAGAAACATATTGGTTGGCAAAGAAAAAAAAAGGAAGTCGACAAAATAGAAACAGAAGGGAGTTATTTATTTTTATTTTTTAAAAAACGTTCGTCATCACAGAGGGGAATCTTTAAACTACACGTGTAAACTGCGAAGAAAATATAAATGTTTTATTTGATTTGAATAAATCCTTACACTATTGATGTTTTTTTTTTTTTTTTGAAAATACACTATTGATGTTTTGATGTATATATTTTGCTAAAAGCCTATTAAACAGTTTTATATAAACTATAAAAAGGGAAACTATTAAGCAGTTTTATATACTGTGGAGATTAAGAAAGTATTCATATATTTTCAAATTGCTTCCAAAATTTCTGAATAAAAAATGTAATTTTAAGTCAAGTATTGCACTTATGTTGTTGAGACACTAAACTTAAATGAAAAAGTTACATAGAAATGAAATTTATTTTGTTTCCTATATATATTTTGTTTATAACTAAAATAGGAAAAAAAATCCAGCAAAAGTAAAATAGATACATATTTAAATTAATTGAATACATACACGATACAGTGCAGTCTATTTATGTTGGTCGAAATGCAATCCTTGGATGTATGTCAAATGTTTAACGTGTCTTTAACACTTTAAAACCTGCCAAATATTGTGCGGCCCATCGTTTTTCCTACCTTGACATTTAATTTTTAACTGAAAGTGTCTTAGTTTAATTTAATTTTTATTTAACAATAAATAAGTAACCAAAACTTTTAAACCGCGTTATTATTCTTTGACGGTTTCAAGGGCATTTTAGGAATCTCATTACCTATATAAACTCCCTACTCACCCGCTCTTCTTCTCCATCGTCAGATTTAGCGATTAATTCTGCACACCAATTTCAGCTCCATTTTCTTCGACAGTGTACACCAGAAGCTACATAGCTTGCACAAGGTACGATCAATTGTAGCTTTGCTCTATTCATCTGTAATTTCTCGATCCAATTTTTGTGATTGTCACGATCCGATCTCGTTTCGATTTCGATTTGTTCCGGTTTTTAATTTTTTTTTTCACACAGATTTGGTTTTGAATGTTTGTGTCTTCTTCCAAAAATAAAAAAAATCTGCTGAGTTTCTATTGAGAGTTAAGATTTCTCTGCATTCAGGTTCGATCTGTGTCGGTGATCCGCAGAAATTTCACGTAATTTCATTTCTCAATTACGTTTTCCCCGCTCCTTGAACCGGGTTCTTTTGCATGTACCAGATCTGAGATTTTGATTTAAATTTCTCGCTGTATGTGTATTTTGTCCGTTGAATTTCGGTTTAAAACGGCTCATTGTTAAGCATGATCATGAAAATATTTGATCTTTTGGTTGATATGAATTGGTAGCTTCCCCTAATATTCGGTTCATGTTTACGTTAATGTACTCTGTACCGGATCTGGGTTTTTGAAAACCGAACCTATCAAAGTTTAGTTCTTGTATATTGTGGATTCTCCTTTTTGAATGCTTATACCTTTATTTGCATTTTTCATACAAATGCTTGAATTGCTGGATCTGACATGTTGAGCCACAATTCTCGTTCTCTTCGAATTGTTTAGGATTTTCATGCAGTCATTAAGACTTGCGTAATGTATTGAAGTCAGACTAACTTTGGTGTTTATTTACTGAGATATCTGAAGTTTGACATTAAACTTTTTTTTTTCCTGGAGGTAATTCAGTTTACAAGCAAAATGGTGAAGATTTGCTGTATAGGAGCTGGATATGTCGGTGGTCCAACCATGGCGGTCATTGCTCTAAAGTGCCCATCTGTTGAAGTAGCCGTTGTTGATATCTCTGTGCCAAGGATCAACGCCTGGAACAGCGACCAGCTCCCGATCTATGAGCCTGGTCTCGATGATGTGGTTAAGCAGTGCCGTGGAAAGAACCTTTTCTTCAGCACCGATGTTGAGAAACACGTGAGAGAGGCCGACATTGTCTTCGTCTCCGTCAACACCCCGACCAAGACCCGTGGTCTTGGAGCAGGCAAAGCTGCGGATTTGACTTACTGGGAGAGCGCGGCACGTATGATCGCGGACGTCTCGGTTTCCGACAAGATTGTCGTTGAGAAATCAACTGTCCCTGTGAAAACCGCAGAGGCGATTGAGAAGATTCTCACGCACAACAGCAAAGGAATCAAATTCCAGATTCTCTCCAACCCCGAGTTCCTTGCTGAAGGAACCGCCATTGAAGACCTTTTCCAACCTGACCGTGTCCTCATAGGTGGTCGTGAAACCACTGAAGGATTTGCAGCGGTTAAAGCCTTGAAAGACATTTATTCCCAATGGGTCCCTGAAGAGAGAATCCTCACCACCAATCTCTGGTCCGCCGAGCTCTCCAAGCTCGCGGCTAATGCCTTCTTAGCCCAGAGGATCTCATCAGTCAATGCAATGTCTGCTCTCTGTGAAGCAACCGGCGCCAATGTCTCAGAGGTCTCTTACGCCGTCGGTAAAGACTCTCGGATCGGCCCCAAGTTCCTGAACTCGAGTGTTGGATTCGGCGGTTCCTGTTTCCAGAAAGATATCCTCAACTTGGTCTACATCTGTGAATGCAACGGCTTACCTGAAGTCGCTGAGTACTGGAAACAAGTCATCAAGATCAACGACTACCAGAAAACCCGGTTCGTTAACCGGATTGTCTCTTCTATGTTCAACACAGTCTCTAACAAAAAGATTGCGGTTCTCGGTTTCGCCTTCAAGAAAGACACAGGAGACACTAGAGAGACTCCAGCCATTGATGTCTGCAAAGGTCTGTTAGGTGACAAAGCTCGTATCAGCATCTACGACCCACAAGTCACTGAAGACCAGATCCAGAGAGACTTAACCATGAACAAATTCGACTGGGACCATCCGCTTCATCTCCAGCCCATGAGTCCCACCACTGTGAAGCAAGTCTCGGTCGCCTGGGACGCATACGCTGCAACCAAAGACGCTCACGGTATCTGCATTTTGACCGAGTGGGACGAGTTCAAGAAACTCGATTACGAGCGGATCTTTGAGAACATGCAGAAACCGGCGTTTGTTTTCGACGGAAGAAACGTCGTGGATGCTGAGAAACTCAGGACGATTGGGTTTATTGTTTACTCCATTGGTAAGCCATTGGACCAGTGGCTCAAGGACATGCCTGCTCTTGCCTAAGCCAAAACAAACCTCTATTCTTAGCTTTTTATCTCAATTTTCCTCCTGGAGTTATCTTGAGTTTGTCATATTATTTCCCCCATTTTATTATGTTTTGATAATAATTGTCGCTTTTGTTCTTCCTATGATCCAACAGAGATTTTTAGGTTTGGTTTTTGTTGGTAATTATGTACCTTGGGTTATCAAATATTGTAAGCTTTTCAAGAATTATTTCCTAATATAGAAGTTTTCTCCATTCGAAATTTAATTTCATTTCTAGTTGAGTTATACCTTGATAAAAATATATAAATTGTAAAGACAGAGAAAATTCTATTCGTTATTTTTTAATTGGTTGCGGCTCATGCTGCTTGCCACGTGGAGCAATGGATGGAGTCGAAACGAAAGTGTCGCTCCCTCTTTTAATGGCGATTTACTAAAATGCCCCTTTCGTCTCGTTCCTTGGCTCATTCCTTATATCTTCTCTGTTTCTCTCTGTTTCCATTCCTCTCGCTCACTCGTTCTCCAGAAAGAAAGTTTACAGTAACTCCAAAGATTTCTCTTCTCATACGCATTGTTTCTATTTCATTTTCTCGACAGCCTCAAGCTTCTCCCTTATTCTCTCTTCTTTCGTTCCCAGAAAACTTACTTCCTCTGTCTCCGACGCTTTCTTTCTCATCTTTTCTCGGGAAAGTGACAGAAAACTGATCACAACCCTCGTCATTTTTTCTTTGATAGAAATTTGGAATGTCTCTGTCTTGCGTTTGTTGCCTCCTTCTCTGCCTCTACATCATCTACCTCGTCATTACATTCATCGACTTCTTCTTTATTCGAGTTCCCCACGTATTTCGCGCCTAATGGACGAAGAACATCGACATCTAGATAAACCCATCAATGGAGCTCTGCGAAATCTCAAGAACACTCAGTCACGTGAAGAAGAAGAATCGATGCACCAAAAGCGAGATCTCTCTTGCAACTACGGTCTAAGGGAGAACCCAAAGAAGAAAACCCAGAAATCTTTTGGGTTAGAATCGCCAGAATTGATGAAGAAGATTCTGTTCCGATGCGGAGAATGTGGGAAAGGGTTTCGGTACGAGAAATGTCTTTCGAATCATCAAGCGGGGATGCATCTATCGACGAACCAGAGGGTTTATGAAGAATCGATTAAGAGTCTGTGCAGTAGCTTCAGTCTTGTGAGGAAGAAGAAGAGGTCGAGAGTTATCAGGTACAAGAACACTTCATTGTCTTGTTCGTTTGCTACATTTCTTGAATCGCCTTCTGTTTCGGCTGCTGCGAATGATGAAGAATTAGAAGTGGCAGAGTGTTTGATTCTATTGTCTAAGAGAAGTCCCAAGTTTGTAGTAGACGGACTGAAACTTGTTGGCGAAGCAATGGATGCTAAGAACCCTGAGATGCCTAGAGATTGTGTGCTCGAGAAACCACCAAAAGCTGGTGAATTTGAATCTGGGGTTTTGAGTGATGAGCGGAAACTGCTGAAAGAAGAAACTAGTAGTGATGAAACATCAAAAGAACCAGCGAGTTTCTTGGGAATCAAGTGTGAATTGGATCAGCGGAAGCTCCGAACAAGCGGTGGATTTGGTACATGGAAACAACCAGCGAGTTTCTTGGGAGAAAAGAGTGAGATGGATCAGTGGAAACTGCAGAAATCCTGTGACTTTGAATGTGGCTTTTACAGAACTGAGCTTGGAGTAGGAGCTACGAAGTGTTCTGATTCAGATACTGAGATTGTAACCGAATCTGGTAAGAGGAACGTTGAGCATCAATGCAGGTTGTGCAACAAGACATTCTCGTCTTATCAAGCTCTAGGTGGTCATCAGACGTTTCATCGGATGAGCGAAAGTAGGAACAAGAAGAATTGCAGAGAAGTTTCAGTAGAGGAGCCTGAGGATGAGTCTGTTACGGTGAAGAAAGAGAAGAAGAGGCACAATTGTAGCATCCGTTCAAGGAGGTTCAGGTCGGTTCATGCTTTAGGTGGTCACAAGACGTGTCACGGCAAGAGACAACACGCGAAAACAGAGCATGGTGAGGATTTGGGGATACTCAGTGCTGTTGCTCCTGTTACCGTTGGAATCGAGTTGTACTGAAACTCTGTTACTCGATGAGGATTTGGAGTTGTGAAGAACTTGGTAGTCAAAATCGATACTTTTGTTTGCTCTGTTATTTTAGATGAGAAAAACAGATTGTGAACTTTTCTACTTTTTTTGTTTCTTTCTGGAAATATCTTCAGTTTCTGAATCGAAGTTGTACATAGTTTGATAGTGAAGTTTGAGACTTTTTGCTCTGTTTTTTTCCTGCAGAGTTCCTTTTAGGAATTTCTCCGGGAAAGCGAGAAAACTGTCATCTTTTTGTTTCCTTGTGAGTATTTCTTAGCTCGGGTTTGATTCCGGTTCGAGTCAATTTTTGTTGGTTTGAAAAGTCATAATGGAATGTGTCGGTCGGCCTATGGTATTCAACAAAACTTTTGAGCATATAAATAAAATTAATACCAATTAAATAACTACTTTTTGTGATATGTTAAACGAAAACGACAAAGAGAATTGTACGGCATTTTGTAATTAATTTTGAGAAAATCCCTGTTGTGAAAATGGACCTACCAGCTAATACTATGTTTTATTTTACTTTATCTATGGGGATTTCATTTACCAATATCGAATTGCTTATATTTCTCTTCATCACGTCAAAACTTAACTAGCGTACAACATCAAATCAAATGTTATTGTCGACAAAACAAAATGAAAAACAGATGTAATTGACGCAGTTTTTATGTGGAGGACACCAAATTACTGTGCTGAATCTTTTATGCTTTAGTGTAATGATTAGTACAAAATAAAATCAAGACTAGCTTCTGATATTGATGCTAATATTTTTTGTCCTAAATATATGATTTTATAAGATTATGGGTGAACAATTTATATTAAATCAAGATCATTGTTAAGAAATAATTTGAAAATGATTTTTCTATTTATAAAACAATTCATATGCATATTCATTCATTACCAAAAAAAAAGAAAGAAAAAAAAAGAAATGACGCGTTGCTTAAGACAATTATTGTTAAGTTAATGAAAACAATTAAGACTTTAGGAAGATGGAGTAAATGAGAAATATAATTTATGTTTATCAATTTAATTGTCAATCAATACGAGGAAAGATGAAAAAGCAAAACTCTTGCTTAGCCATAAAAATAGGTGGAGACAATGTATAATTAGCTCTCTATAAAACAAGCCCTAAACTCAAGGTAAAGACACCAATTAACTAATACTCATTATAATTTTAGATCTTGAATAAATTATAATTTCTTGTGCTAATTTGTTTTTGGTATTTTTTTTTTTTAATGTTTAGGAATAAATATGTTTAGATCCACCGGCAAAATCACTGAGAACAAAAGCTCTATATTCCTCTCTCTCTCATTTGTTTCTATTTTTTTTTGTTTCCTCTTATTTTTCATTTTTTCCTCTTCTTCCTCAGCTCGCTGATTTTGAATCTTGATCTCTACCAAGTCTCTTTAACGTCGTCTTAAGACGCGAATTTGTGGGAAACCCGTCTGGATTCGGATTCTCGCATTCAATTTGATCGAAGCAATCTCCAGAGGAGAAGGCGGGAATCTCAAATTTGGATCTTCCACTGGTGGTCGGAAATCCAATGCGGTCTGCGAGAAGACCACAAGGAAGAAGAATATCGATAAGCAACCAAACGGAGACGGAGTTGGTGGATACGCAGGAGCCTAGATCGAGAATCGGGAAGAAATCGGGATCGGAGAAGCGCAATCTGATCGGATCTGATGTTGGATTTGGGATTGCGTCCGGCGTCAGGAATTAGGGTTTTCGATTCGGTCTCGGTTGTCACTGTGGTGGGGCTGCACCAAGGATGCAGCTTCACATATCGCCGAGCATGAGAAGCATCACGATTTCGAGCAGCAATGAGTTTATTGACTTGATGAAGATCAAGGTCGCAGCTCGTCACATCTCTTACCGGACTCTCTTCCACACCATCTTAATTCTCGCCTTCTTGTTGCCTTTTGTCTTCATCCTAACCGCTGTTGTTACCCTCGAAGGTGTCAACAAGTGCTCCTCCATTGGTATCCTCTTTTATTTCCCTTAGAATCGTTTTACCCTTTTTTTTCGATCTCTCATCTTCACTAATTTGTATGTTTCCGTGTATACACGTTTTGCTCTGCTTCTGATTTGGTTGAATTCTGATTCTTTACTAGTTCGGATCTCGACTTTTCTGATTCAGATTAGCAACTTTTAGTATTATAATGATTAGGATCTTCCTGAGCAGCTGGATTTTGGCAGGCTAACGAAAAAATTTCATCTTTTAGTGTCCATTGTCACAATCATCTCGTTAGGTTTGTTTGATCCGGGATCGTACTAGGATGGGGATGAAGTCAACTAAGTTTTGGGGATTTTGGATTTTTCTTGTTAGGTCCCCACTAATAAATTTTGTAGGATCTTGGTTCTCTGTACGACCTTAATTGTTAGCAGTACATATAAAATTCACAATCTGTTTCTCACATTTCCCCATCAATGCATTTTTGTTGGATTGTGGAGCTGAGTGACAATTTTTGCAAAAAAATCCCTTCTTTTGTTTGTGGGGAGTAAAAAGACTACAGATTTCTCTGCACTACTAGATTTGAACCAGAACGTATGACTCATTTTTATCTGTGCTTTTCAGATTGTTTAGGGAGGCGGTTAGGACCACGTCTTCTTGGTAGAATAGATGATTCAGAGGTGAGTGGTTGCTTCTTTAGTCTGCTTCTTCTTTTCAGTATCTTGTCATGTTCTTCTTCAGTGATGTCTTTGTTTTTTCTTATTATCATGTTTCGTTTGCTGCAGAGACTAGCTAGAGACTTCTATAAAATTCTAAACGAAGTAAGCACTCAAGAAATTCCAGATGGTTTGAAGCTTCCAGATTCTTTTAGTCAACTTGTTTCGGATATGAAGAATAATCACTATGATGCAAAAACATTTGCTCTTGTGCTGCGAGCAATGGTACGATTCCTCTAATCTGACGAGATCTACTATTGTTAAGTCATGGTTTTCTCTAAATTAAGTGACGTGTTTCTGTCTGGCTTGAACAGATGGAGAAGTTTGAACGGGATATCAGGGAATCGAAATTTGCAGAGCTTATGAACAAGCACTTTGCAGCAAGTTCCATTCCCAAAGGCATTCATTGTCTCTCTCTAAGACTGACGGATGAATATTCCTCCAATGCTCATGCTCGTAGACAGCTTCCTTCACCAGAGCTTCTCCCTGTTCTTTCAGATAATGCGTACCACCATTTTATTCTGTCCACGGACAATGTATTGGCTGCATCAGTTGTTGTCTCGTCCGCTGTTCAGTCATCTTCAAAACCCGAGAAAATTGTCTTCCACATCATCACAGACAAGAAAACGTACGCGGGTATGCATTCCTGGTTTGCGCTTAATTCTGTTGCACCTGCTATTGTGGAAGTGAAAGGTGTTCATCAGTTTGACTGGTTGACGAGAGAGAATGTTCCCGTTTTGGAAGCTGTGGAAAGCCACAATGGTGTCAGGAACTATTACCATGGGAATCATGTCGCTGGGGCAAACCTCACCGAAATAACTCCTCGGACATTTGCTTCAAAGTTGCAGTCTAGAAGTCCAAAATACATATCTTTGCTCAACCATCTTAGAATATATATACCGGAGGTAAATCTTTTATGCTCTTGTTTAAACTTGCAACGGAGCTTTATACCACCTTTTTCTTCAAGATCATATGCTAATTCCCTATCTTTATTTTCTTTTGGAACAGCTTTTTCCGAACTTAGACAAGGTGGTCTTCCTAGACGATGATATAGTTGTCCAGAGAGACTTGACTCCGCTTTGGGATGTTGACCTTGGTGGTAAGGTCAATGGAGCAGTAGAAACTTGCCGGGGTGAAGATGTATGGGTGATGTCAAAGCGTTTGAGGAACTACTTCAATTTCTCTCACCCGCTCATTGCAAAGCATTTAGATCCTGAAGAATGCGCTTGGGCATATGGTATGAATGTCTTCGATCTACAGGCTTGGAGGAAGACAAATATCAGAGAAACGTATCACTCTTGGCTTAGAGAGGTAACTATCAAAGAAGCCTACACACTCTTTTTGTATTTTTTAGCAGAATCTCAAGTTACCTCACTCTCCAACTCTATTTGCTTTTGGTTTTGAGCAGAATCTAAGGTCGAATCTGACAATGTGGAAGCTTGGAACCTTGCCTCCTGCCCTTATCGCGTTTAAGGGACACGTCCACATAATAGACTCGTCATGGCATATGCTTGGATTAGGCTACCAGAACAAGACCAACTTAGAAAATGTCAGGAAAGCTGCAGTGATCCACTACAATGGGCAATCAAAGCCATGGCTTGAGATTGGTTTCGAGCATCTCCGGCCATTCTGGACAAAATACGTCAACTACTCGAATGATTTCATCAAGAACTGTCACATCTTGGAGTAGCAAAACCAAAACTTTTAGATGATATTGAAGATGCTACGGGTGTGAAGGAAGATATTAGGAAGTAAAAGGGCAGAGATAAAACACAAGGCACTGCAGATTTTTGCTCATTCTAAAGATTCTGAAGTTTAGTTTGCCACATACATAAGAGACTTGTTGCAGCAAAGGGGAAGCTGCATAAGAGAAAGAGAGAGAGAGATACAGATTCATTCTTTCTGTAAAATAGAAGGTACCCTTTTTGAAATTCTTTCGGTTACGATTGGAGAATCCAATTCTTGAACCTTTTATGAGAATGAGGAAAGATTGGATTTTTTTTTTTTTGGTTATTAAGGGGTCATGACCAAAAAGGCCAGTTGTTGATAATTGAAGAACACTTATACACTTGTTGCATTTGCTCCACATTTCTTATTAATATCATTTGAGTTCGTAATTTTCTACAAATTTCCTTATTCCGGAGTCTGTTATAGTCTATCAGAAGATCTTCTTCTTTAGAAATGTATCTTCTTTCTTAGCAACATAGAAATTTGAAGCTGTGATTTGTAATGTATCTGTTGAGCTGTAATATATAATTTGAGCTAAAGTTGATGGTTAACAAAATAAACAAAAATCCAATAGCTTTCGAACGTAAAATATAATATATTTTTTTGACGAGCATTTCGTATCTTGAAAATAATTTGTACAGAGCATTTCGTATCTTGAAAATAATTAAAAAATTAAATGGAATGTTAAGGTTGAGCATTTTCATTGGCGTGTATAGATGGGAAGAACGACATAAAGGAATGGAACATTTGGCTGCAATTGATTCTCAGATCTTCGAGATCTCATCATTATTTCATAACTCTCTCTCTCTTTCTGTCTCTGTCTCTCTCTGCGCTCGACTCTGTTATGTGAGGTTTCAAGGATCCTTCTGATTCATCAAACTCAGATCAGTCGCGGACCCAAGTAAGAACACCAATTAGGGGTTTTTCTTCTTTCGTGTGTGTGTTCGATCGGTTAACCAAATCGCGAGTTTTGGCGGTTTTATATAAGAATACCCAAATTGAGTTCTTCTATCGGTACGTCACTTTTTTCATGGATTTCATGATTTTACAAAAAATTCCTTTTGGAGAAAAATACAATACATGATCATATCTCTTATGGAAGATCTTTACGATTATTCTGTTAAAAAACATATACAGCATTCATATTGTTTAACAGGAAATCTGTTATCTTACATACATTACTTTTACTTCTTAGGTGCTCTGGAAATTTCTTCTTGTGTGAAGCAATTGTTTCTTTTTCTGATTCGTTGCAGAAAAGGGAAGCAACAACATAGAGAATTTGTTGGTTCTGTGGAATTCGATACATAGTCTGGTTTGGAGCTCTTGTTAAGGAGAGAGTGGTTTTATAGGAGATATATATATATATTTATATATATATATATATACATATGGCAGAGGTGAATGATCATTTAGAGATTAAGTTCCGGTTAAGTGATGGTTCAGATATCGGTCCTAAATCGTTTCCTGATGCTACAACCGTTGCAACATTGAAAGAAACTGTTGTTGCTCAATGGCCTAGAGGTTAGTGTGTATGCTCTACTCTGCTTCACATTTATGAGATTTCGTGAGACCATAAAGGTTAAGACTTTATCAATTGCATTGTAAAGATTTCACATTGTTTCGGTGTTAAGACATCGGTCGGTAGAGAGAGATACAAGTTTTGCTTTTTTACATTGTTTTTTTTCGTCCGCGATTATACTGAGAACCTGCTATAAACTGATTGTGAATCCATTGGTCTTATGATTTTACTCGGTTGTATGATTTGAGCAGAAAAGGAGAATGGGCCAAAGACAGTTAAAGATGTGAAATTGATAAGCGCGGGTAGAATATTGGAGAACAACAAAACGGTTGGAGATTGCAGGAGTCCTCTCTCAGGTGCTGTCACCACAATGCATGTTCTCATCCAACCTCAGGTTACTGAAAAAGGTAATAAAAATATCCGATAAAAGCTTTAGCCTTTATAATCGATTTTCATTTTGGAGTGTTTTAAGCATCGTTCTTACGTCTTACTGTCTTTGTATGAGAGCCTGAGATCTTTGTTCTGCTAATGTCTTTAAGCAGAAAAGAAGAAGAAGCCTAAAGGTGATTTGAAGAAACAGAACAAATGTGTGTGTTTATGTTTTGGACGTCGGTTTTAAAAGACGTGTAGAGTTAGAAAGAAAAGTGCTTGGGAGATTCAGATTCTGTTCTTGAGCCGTCTTCAACGTTTCTTTCTTTTTCTTTTCCTGTAACTTTTTTGGTGACAACATTGGCTTTTCGATCGCTTGAGGTTTGGTTTCTAATGTAATTCTGATTCGTAACACCGTCGAATCATAGCAAAACATTTCGAATTTGCAGATTAGAGTCAATCATTGAGAAATATACTGCAGAATGATGGTTTTGTAAGTTTATAATACGAATTACATAATCATCATGTTGGCTTCTTTCTTCAATATAGAACAAAATCACTTTTCTTCTCCTTCACGAGTACTGAAATATTTATCTTTTATTTATAAAAAAGAAAAGAAAACACATTTCTCACGCGCTCCATAAGAATTTTTGTGTGCAAATGAAAAGCGAACGTATTTCTTCAACTGGAGCGTACAAACCACGCTCCATATCTGCGGGTGGTTAACACTGTTTGATTTCCGTTATAGTCGTACTGGGCCGACCTTTTTAGCCCAAATTTCGGTAAATATAATTTTCAGCTTTTTTTGGACGGCTTATATTAATTCTACTTCGGAGAAATCATATATTTTCGCGAGGGGACACGTGTCAGAAGAAGGTCTAACTTCGTAGTAGTTCCGCACCTCATCCCGAGGATTCACGAAGCCTCCGGCGTCGTTTAGCATCTTCTCCTTCTTTATTATTTCCTCTTCCACCTGCGCCTGGTTTCTCGCTAAACTACGCGAAACCAGTTAAAGAACAAATAAAGCAAAAGCGTTATCTTTGCTGAATTCTTAAGTAAACACCTCGCCGTTTCGGCGAATTTGTGCTGAACTCCTTATTGTATTTCATCATCCTTTGTGAATCGCTTGCCGTTTCTAAGTCTCCGAACAAATGGCGACGTCTACGACGGCTGCCACGGCGGCGTTTAGAGGTGTTGTCGGCGTAGGAACGGAGACTCGAAGAGTGTCTTCGTTTTCTCATCTTCAACCCTCTGTGGCTTTTCCGGCGAATCCTAATTCCTTCAAATCTCTGAAATTTAAACAGAGCGCGAGGCTCACGCGGAGGCTTGAGCATCGGCCGTTCGTTGTCCGATGCGATGCTTCTTCTAATGGAAGGGTAAAGTCTGAGACTTTAGTATTGTTTTTGCACTGTATTACTCGCTGGCTTCACGAATCTGGAACTGATACGAACACTCGGAAGAGTTTTGATCTGTAGTGGATTACTAACTGTGTTCGATGTTTGTTTGCTTGTATAGCTTACACAGCAAGAATTCACAGAAATGGCGTGGCAATCGATAGTTTCTTCACCAGATGTGGCGAAGGAGAATAAGCAACAGATTGTGGAGACAGAGCATCTAATGAAGGCTCTTTTGGAGCAGAAGAATGGTTTGGCGCGCAGGATTTTCTCTAAGATCGGTGTGGACAACACCAAGGTTCTAGAAGCAACAGATAAGTTCATTCAACGCCAACCAAAGGTCTATGGAGAAGCTGCTGGTTCGATGCTGGGGCGTGATTTGGAAGGTCTGTTTCAGAGAGCAAGACAGTTTAAGAAAGACTTGGGAGACTCTTATGTCTCAGTGGAGCATTTGGTTCTCGCTTTCGCTGATGATAAGCGGTTTGGGAAACAGTTGTTCAAGGACTTTCAGATATCTGAGAAGAGTTTGAAAACTGCCATTGAATCCATCAGAGGGAAACAATCAGTCATTGACCAAGGTTTGTAACCACGTTTGAGGTTGATATTTCAGAGTTCGATTGTGTATTTAGTTTGTAAGAGAGCTAATAATGATCACGTTTTGACAGATCCGGAAGGCAAGTACGAGGCATTGGAGAAGTATGGAAAAGATTTAACAGCAATGGCGAGAGAAGGAAAACTCGATCCTGTGATTGGTAGAGATGACGAGATCCGAAGATGCATTCAGATTCTCTCGAGGAGAACGAAGAACAACCCTGTGTTGATCGGTGAACCTGGTGTTGGTAAAACCGCAATTTCAGAAGGGTAAATTATCTTTCAAGACGCTGAATTTCCGAAACTTAACAGTCTGTGTGTGTAATGGTGAGTTAATACATTTCCACTTGTGAGACAGACTTGCTCAGAGGATTGTGCAAGGAGATGTACCTCAAGCATTGATGAACAGAAAGGTATTCAACTATTTCAAACTGCTCTCGTTTCTTTTTCTTACGATTTGGACAACAACTGATTCAATCGTCCTTTGGTTTTCCTTTCAGTTGATTTCTCTCGACATGGGCGCACTCATTGCTGGAGCAAAGTATCGAGGAGAATTCGAAGATAGACTAAAGGCTGTTCTTAAGGAAGTGACAGACTCAGAAGGCCAAACCATTTTGTTCATCGATGAGATCCACACAGTTGTTGGAGCAGGTACGCTACATCGTTTGATTGTTGGAGCAAATTATAAGTTTTTCAGTTTTCCTTGCAATAATATTGAAGTAAAAGATTGCTTCTTTTTCTTTTAGGTGCGACTAATGGGGCGATGGATGCTGGTAATTTGCTGAAACCGATGCTGGGTCGAGGCGAACTACGTTGTATCGGTGCAACAACGCTCGATGAATATAGAAAGTACATAGAAAAAGATCCAGCCTTGGAACGTAGGTTTCAACAGGTTTATGTCGATCAACCCACCGTTGAAGACACGATTTCGATCCTCCGTGGTTTGCGGGAAAGGTATGAACTTCATCACGGAGTTCGCATCTCGGATAGTGCTCTAGTCGAAGCTGCTATACTCTCTGACCGTTACATCAGTGGCCGGTTTCTTCCTGATAAAGGTTGATACTTTGTTATTTACCATTTTGTCATATGATCTTCATTAATTGGCAGTGTTGCTAACTGATTTTGTTTTTTGTTTTTTTTTTAGCAATTGACTTGGTTGATGAAGCGGCGGCAAAACTGAAAATGGAGATCACTTCGAAACCGACAGCTCTTGACGAGCTTGACCGTGCGGTCATAAAGCTTGAAATGGAGAGGCTTTCACTCACTAATGATACAGACAAAGCTTCTAGAGAGAGACTGAACCGGATCGAGACCGAGTTATTGTTGCTCAAGGAGAAGCAAGCTGAGTTAACCGAACAGTGGGAGCACGAGAGGTCAGTCATGTCCCGTCTTCAATCAATCAAAGAGGAGATTGATCGAGTAAATCTCGAAATCCAGCAAGCGGAACGTGAATACGATCTTAACCGTGCAGCAGAGCTCAAATACGGAAGCTTAAACTCTTTGCAGCGACAGCTAAACGAAGCAGAGAAAGAGCTTAACGAATACTTAAGCTCCGGGAAATCCATGTTTAGAGAAGAGGTTTTAGGCAGCGACATAGCTGAGATTGTGAGTAAGTGGACAGGGATCCCGGTCTCGAAGCTTCAACAATCCGAAAGAGATAAACTTCTACATTTGGAAGAAGAGTTGCATAAACGTGTAGTCGGTCAACATCCAGCAGTGACTGCAGTAGCTGAAGCGATCCAACGGTCAAGAGCTGGCCTTTCGGATCCAGGCCGTCCGATTGCTAGTTTCATGTTTATGGGACCAACCGGTGTTGGTAAAACCGAGCTAGCCAAGGCACTTGCTTCTTATCTGTTCAACACAGAGGAAGCTTTAGTGAGGATCGACATGAGTGAGTACATGGAGAAACATGCTGTGTCGAGACTCATTGGAGCTCCACCTGGGTACGTAGGTTACGAGGAAGGAGGACAGTTAACAGAAACGGTTAGAAGAAGGCCTTACTCTGTGATCCTCTTTGACGAGATTGAGAAAGCTCACGGAGATGTCTTCAACGTGTTTCTCCAAATCTTGGATGATGGGCGAGTCACGGATTCTCAAGGACGTACAGTGAGTTTCACCAATACTGTTATCATTATGACCTCGAACGTTGGTTCGCAGTTTATCCTGAACAACACAGATGATGATGCAAAGGAGCTCGCTTATGAAACGATTAAGGAGAGGGTGATGAATGCTGCAAGATCCATCTTTCGTCCTGAGTTCATGAATAGGGTTGATGAGTATATCGTTTTCCAACCTCTTGACCGCGAGCAGATCAACAGCATTGTCCGGTTACAGGTACGCTTTTCTTGTCTCGGAATTAAAAAAGTCACTATATTACCACTCAATTTGTTTTGTTAGCAAAATCACTATATTAAAGTCGAATCTCCAAAGGAGTTTAGCTTTACTTCAACTAAAATTAGATCGATTAAATTGTTAGACGTTGGTGAATTTCTGATGCTTGTTCCACGTGACCGTGTGATTTACTTGATTCTAGTTCCATTTGGGAGATTACTACTTTGCCAAAATTAAAAAATATTTAGACTTAAATTGATTTGATCAAAGTTGAAGTTTCTTTCTAAGGCAATACAGAGTTATGTTGTGAAAACCCTCACTGAATCACTCTCTTTTTATGTATACTACAGCTGGCTCGTGTGCAGAAGCGAATTGCAGACAGGAAGATGAAGATAGAGATCACAGATGCAGCAGTGGATCTTCTCGGAAGCCTCGGGTATGATCCTAACTATGGAGCTAGACCTGTCAAGCGTGTGATACAGCAAAACATTGAGAACGAGCTCGCCAAAGGTATCTTGAGAGGAGATTTCAAGGAAGAAGACGGCATTTTGATCGATACGGAGCTCACAGCATTCGCCAATGGCCAGTTACCTCAGCAAAAGCTCACGTTCAAAAAGATTGAGTCAGAAACAGCAGATGCTGAAAAGGGAGAAGAAGCTTTCTCGAAACAGAGCAATTGAAATATGAAACCTTTTGAAGCGCCATAAGTTTCAGACTATGTTAGTACAGAAGTTCTAGTGAGTTACTTGTGACAGAGAATACAATGATTACATTTATCTCAATGTGAGTTATATAAATCATAAGTCACTTGTACTGATATCCCAAAATCCAGAGATTGCTGATCATAATTAGACTGTATATGAATGTTGAACCTCTGAAGATGCAGTAGATTTAACAAATTGACAAATATACAGATGTTTCACACATCAATGTCACAGTGACTCGAATTGGTCAGTCGTTTTTGAGGCGGAGGTCCATTTTCACTTCCACCCAACAAAGAATTTCTCCTTTTCAATATGTTTTCTTTGGCAAAGCCATTGTCTGTGAAGAAAAAAAGAGAAACAAACAATTTTTCTGTCAAGACAGGTGAAAAAAAGCTTGTCTTGTAATGTACCAGTGAGGGTGAGTTTTGTAGAATACCTTGTTTCTTCTCTATGTGGTTGCTATCTTCGCTTGGATTTGCATCCTCTGAATCAGACAAAGGCGCGAGAGTGCAGATACCGATCAAATGTCCGTTAAGGCAAACGAAATACTCAATGCAGTCTTCATAAGCCTCCAAGCGAATGCAGGCACTCTGAGGTATTATCTTAGCTTGTAGCATGCTCCATAGCCTAGCTTTACAATACGGGCAAACCTCGGATGGATGAAACGGAACCGCCTTGTTAATGATAACTTTCCTGACTTTAGATGTCGGGAACGACTTGAAAATCCCGCGGAACAAACCCACATCGCCTTCTTCTCCTTGGTCAAGATGCTCACACGGATCACAAACGTAGAGCACGTCGGTTCTACATTGAGGAGGAAGGAGGCTTCTTCCCAATGTTCTCGAGAACCTGGTTCTGTAAACAAAGTGGCCAGGGATTTGAACGGAGCTGTTGAAAAGGCCGCCTTGTGTACACCCTGAGCAGTAGATGAGAAGCTTCCCAAGGGCTCGCCAGTTACCGTCGATGCAGTGACTACCACTAGACTGCAGATCAAGCATCATCCTTGGGGCACGAGTCTTGCAGAACTCTTTCCACAGCACCCGTTTGGCGAAATCATCGAACCATTTGCATACACAGGAAAGCGTTGCGACCAATTTCGGATTCCAATTCAAATGCTGGAACACTAATAACAACGCGTCTTCGCTAAGATGGCCTCTCGTGCACTGGCAGCTCGGGGAGTGTGTGCAACGATACTGCTTTGGTAAAATCATTCTCTCTGCGTCTCAGATCACACAAGGAAACACAAAGAGCTTGACCCTGCATAATTACAAATAAGAGATCTATCAGACTACACAAGAAATGATACAACCCACTAAACAAGATTCAAGACAAGGCCTCATAACAACCAAAACAGCTAGAGAAAATGAACCGCACAGAGTCTAAAGGGAACTGCTTTCTCACTCCTTACATCCGAAAATGATTCAAAGAGAAGAAAGAGAAATTTCATATTCATTAGTTCTTCATTCGATGATCTCTAGCCATTACTTCTTATCAAATAAAACTCCCAGAGACCAAGAGTTCTCCATTTTCAAGGCAAAATCATATACAACCAATAACAATGGAGTCGAACAAGCTCAAAACCTTCAAAAGGTAACACTCACAATGTAACTCGGATCTATAGGAACACATCAGAAACAACAATCGGATTAAAAACCTAGTGAATCTATACCCTAAACCTTATTCTGATAACCATATGACCATTGAAAGAGCCACAAAGTAGAACACACACAAAATGAAGATCTTAGAAAGAGTAAAGGGAAGAACTTTACCAGAATAAAACTGTATGTACTTCAGCAAATTGCAACTAACATGAAGTTTAGTAGAAAGGGCTTCTGCTCAATCCCAGAAACCGTAACTAGAACCTGAAATTAGGGCATTTAAAGGTTCAAAGCAAAACAAAATAAGTAAACAAAAAAAGAAGAAAGAGAGAATTTCGACGGAAGAATCGAATGAGGAACCTCGAAAACTCCGCAACAAAACCCAGATTCCAGAAGAAAGAAGAGAAAACAAGATGAATATCAGTATTCAGATGAAAACAACGAACAATTCGCGGAAAGAAATCGAAAAGGAAAGAAATCTCAAAGCTTTAATTTTGTTTACTCCATATAGCTGAAGAAGGAAAATTAAACTAAGTCAAGGAATGGTAGAGCGACAGCCTGTGATAGGAGTAGAGGACAATAACCAGTTAACAGATGACACGACGGCTAAAGAATCTGGATAGTCAATGGCTTTTAAAGGACGGCGTGGCGTGGGGTCGGGTTTTATGTTTTCTTCTTCAGCCCCTATTTTTTTATGTAACTCAGAGATTTGTAACCATAGTTACAAAAGCTTAATACATACTCCTCTTTCTTAATCTTCTACGAATCCGATCACAAGATTAGTGAAACAATCTGATTAATTTGAGGGTAAGATGAGAAAGAAGCAGTTAGAAATTGATTAGACGAAATATCCCTCACAAATTGTTTAGAAATTCGATTACACTCTTATACATCTACACATGTTTTACATACATACATAAACACAAGTGGAAAAGAAAAAAAGATTATTTAGTTCGAGATTGTTTTGACTTTCTGAGAATGATGATGTCTGTATTACGTTGCTGTAAAAGATTTTCGTTTTTGGAGAGAGATGACAGACTCAAAAGCACCCACTAAAGCCTTGACTTTGCTCTTGCGAGTCTCCACAAGCTTATTAGCTGTTTCCTCGATTACATTGTTGAACAACAACACTCTCGATTCTCTCTTCTTCTGTGCGTCTTGGTGTTTTAGAACAACTTTCAAAGATCTGCTTTTTTTGTGCTCCTGTTCCTTGTCGTTGTTGGTCTTTAAACTTCTCCGATTACCGGATTTTGAGGTTGTGTCAGCTCCGGTAACGATTTTTCCTCTCTTAAACTTGATCTTTCTTGGACTGTTGTTGTCTTGAGATCCAACATCCACAAACTTTCCTCTTTTGAATCTCAGTCTCATCGAGTTGCCATTTACAGCGGATTCTGTTGAGAGAGCTTCGCTTTTTCCTTGCCTTGTTGTGTTCTCATCTTCCTCTTCTTGCGAAGATTTATCATCAGCTTCAGTCACAACACACTCAAATTCTTCCTTTGGATCATCAGTAGGCGGATCCACGACACAGCTTTGGTTCTGATCAGATGCAATAGTCTCATTCCCTGTTTTCATCTTAATAACATAGAGCGTTTTCTCTTCAACCAAGTCTTTACACTTGTCATCCACCAGCTTCCGGGTTTGAAAAACACTACTCAAGCTATTGCTCTCCTTCTTTGTCTTCAAGCTTCGGGAACACTGCTTAGAAGACACCGTGGCTCTTAAAGGCACAACAGCAGCTTTCTTTGGTTCTGCAGCTTTAGATCCGACATTGATCTTCTTCCTACTCACAGTACTGCGTCGAAGAGCCATCGCTGCTGTTTGTGCAACAGATTCCAGCTTCAAAGCAGTGACACGCTTGTTATGTTCAACCATCTCTAACGCTCTTCTCCGTGACACACCAATCGTTTTGAGAGAGCGTGAAGCCGACTTCTTTCGCTTAGTCGAATCACCTAACTGAGAATCTGAGTTTGTCGCCGCCTTTTTCCTTGTTCTCTCTGCATTCTGCTTCACAACATCACAAACTCTGCTAGAAAAGTTTCTAACTTGGCTCATCGCATGTTCACATCGAACCTTAGAGTTCAACACCAATTTGGTCAATGCCTTCTTCCTCAATGGTGAATCGAAGCTTAGAGTTCCAGAAAAGCTCCTGTTAACCCTTTTGAGAGGTGGAACTCTAGGCTTGTCTTCAGATTCATGTTTTCTTCCGTATTTGCAGGCATCGTGACAGGAACCAGTCGGAGATCTGAGGTAATTAGGAAGAACTTTCTCCTCCGTGTATAAAAAACTCAGCTTTCCAGTAGAAATCCTTCTCCATGATCGCTTTACATCCGGTGAATCTGGCAAAGGTACGGTCTCCTCAGCCATTATTCAGCTAGAGATTCAAGATAGATTCTTTAACGACAAATGTTAACGAAAAAAAGAGGAGAACGTTAGATTCAGGGTATCGAAGGACTCTAACCTTTTGATGTTCTTAGTTACACATTCATTTAGGCTAGAGAAGATCCTCGACCTGACAGGACAAAACATACAATCTTAAGCGCGAATATGTTGGACATTAATCAAACTATTGAAACCCATTTTCAGACTCAAGCAAATCTATACAAGAACCTAATATCCACCATCATCATAAAAAGACATTCAATTTGTCTATTCATCTCAAGCTGACCCCAAATCATATCTGTTAAATTGGCAAAAAAATAACTCTTAAAGCATTCGGCGTGAAGGCAACAAAAAATAGAGATCACCTTATTGTTTTTGCAGAGAGCTTTCAGGATGTAAAAGACGCCATTCATTATTTCTCTGAGGTTTCAGTTTCATACCAAGGAGAGAAGAAATCTGTTTCTTTCGATTTTGCGTTTCGGTTTGGAGATTTTTTCCTACTCTCCGCATTTTTCGCAGATTTTTAGGAAAGGTTATTCTGTTTTCTTTTTCTTGAAAGAGATAGATAATATCAAAAATAGTAATAAATATATAATGGGCTTCAAATTTATTTATTAGGCTTGCGTGGCCCTTCAGATATGCCACCAAAATATTTCACAAAACTGTTTTTTTGGGAGAATCTTCGATTTTGTTTGGAATTCAGTTTTTTAAATACAAACATGTATCGAATACTAAACAAAATCGAAGATTCTCCAAAATAATATTACTTACTAAACCGTTTTCGGTGAAATATTTTGGTTCCAGATAATTAGGAAGAATTGTCTCTTTTATTGTATAAAAATTAAATACTTTCAGTACAAAATTTTTCATTATGATCTTTTTACATCCGGTTAATCAGGTAAACCATACAGTTCTTTTAGCCATTATTCACCTAGAACTAAAAGATAGATTCTTTAACTACAAATGTTAGGAATAAAGATGAAAAGGAAATGTGTGATTTAGGAAACCAAAAGGTTAGAGAAATCAAGCTTGTAAACCTTTTTTCAAAAAAAAAAACTTTAACATTTTGATGTTCTTAGTTACATAATTAGATCAGTTAAGAGGTGAGCGAAATTACAAAGAAAATAATTATATGATCTTACTCTTGGTAATTACAAATATGTTTAACATAAAAAAAAGGTTGACTCATATAGTTCAAATTCAAAACGACAAAACTAGTCAAACGTAACCAGAGCCTAAGCAAAGGCGTGATAGCTACTAGTACTAGTATTAGTATAATAATAAAAAACCTCAAATTTGGATTACACACATTCTAGTTGGAAGTTAATGTGAATTGAGTTATAGAGAAAAAACAAAAGAATGTTCGTAAAGATGGATATAATATAGTAGATAATATATGATCAAAATGAAAAAAATGGGTGTAGTAAATTAATTCATGTGACATATACCTTGTCACATTATCAAGCCTTGTTCGGATTTGATAACAACTTATCAATATTAGCCATCCCACTCATAACTAGCTTGAGCTCTTCAAGACTAAACATTGACATCCATCGTCTTGGTATTAAATCTCCAAGACCTCCAAGGAATGCATCCAACTTCTCCTTGATAACCGTTGTCATTTTGCAGCGAGCCTCCTTTTCAATGTAGGCAAGCCTGTTTACTTCTGAAAAAAAGAACAAAAACAATGTTCTGAGAGCATAGGAAATAGATCACATACATCATCATCCATCGATAAGCCAAATGACTATCACTTTTGGTATCTTTCTCACAAAAGAAATATAACACAAATGTTAGTATACCAACTAATCGGAGTTAATGTTTAGACAGATACTTGTGCTCAAACCTTGTAACAACGACATCTAAGCTTTGAACAATTCAGGATACATGTCATGTCAGCATATGTTATATTACTCTCAAAGCCAAGAATGTGTTTGTAAAAAGATGGTGTGAAGATAACAACCAAAATGTTCTCGGTTAACAATGCCTTCTCCATCTGGAGGGATGTTCTTAGTTACATAGTTAGATTAGTTAAGAGGTGAGCGAAAGTACAAAGAAAATAAATATATAATCTTACTTTTGGATAATTACGAATATGTTTAACATAAAAAAATTTGACTCATATATTTCAAATTTAAAACGACAAAACTAGTCCAAATGATAATGTATCAATGCATCAAGATAACTCTTACTTCTAGCTTCTAAGTGACTTTGCATGTTTAACCATTTGGCTCTTTTACTTCTCTTTGATATTCATGTACAAAAGAAGTTCAAATGTGTAGTAGTAATCAAAGAAGGAACTTGATCAGAAGTTGTTAAATGCTATTAACGAATGTAACACATTTTGGTTTCTATAGTTGCAAAATGATTGAAGATATTTGATGATGTTTAATAAAAAAATTACTAATAATCAATGATGTAACACATAACGAATGTTTACTCTTTCTTTATAGATTTTTTTTAAAAAAATATAAGTTTCATATTCTATACTAATCAAACCAAACATCAAAAAGCTTAGTTATATTTTTGATGACAAAATATTTGCCAAGTTTTTCTTGCTTCATATTTTCGGATGATGGTGAAAACTGAAAAGCCATTGTAATCCTTAATTAATTGTTTATTTGGATGCTTTCGGTTGATTTTGAGTAATAGAAGGTTAACCTGTTTCTCTGTCTCCATGTTTTTCATGTTTCATTATGATAGTAAAATTATTTAGGTATTAAGTAGGTTCGAAGATTGTAATTACAGTATTAGAATTTCCGATATTGACTTGACACACAATCCATCGCCTGTGAGACTTAGATTGGCAATCAAGGTGACCAGTCAAAGCCACATTAAAAAGTAAAGCAGGAGAGTCATCAAAGTAAGCATGAAGTTGTGAAGCAAGACAAAACATGAAGTTGCACATCAGATTAGTTGTCATCAAGGTGGAGGTGGTTGGCATTTTGGTGATGAAGATCAATCTAATTGGAGCTTAAACCGGACCGGTTATGTCAATTGGGAGCTGGTCTAATCAAGGGTTGGTTTAGTCTATTGGTTAGATAGTGATCTCGTCGTTGAGGGTTTGTTAAATCGGACCTGATCGTTGTAACGGCTCTGTTACACAAGCAGAACTCATGTAAGGCGTGAGAGATTGAGGGAGCATACGAGATGATTTGAATGTACAGGTTTCTGATGGTACAAAGTCAGAAGGGTATGTGAATGAGTAAAGGCTATAACGGGTCACTAAGGCAATCAATGTATGTTGAATCTTCGATAGAAAGTAATTGTTCTTGGTGGTATAAAATGTCACAAGGCTTGCGTGGACCTTCAAAACAAGTGTGAGTTTGTTTGCACCTTCCGTCTGCTATTTTATAATCCAAGAATCTAAGAACCAAATCCTAAAGAAGATTCTCCGAATAATAGTATATTTAACAGTTTTTGGGGAAATATTTGGTTCGAGAAAAGGCGAGATCTCCTTGGCGTGTCGAACTCAAAACCAAAAGAAATGTCGTGTTCAAGTCTCCAAGGTGAAAATCGGTATTTCATCCTTTCTATGTGTTGGAATGGAGTCTATCGAAGGAATGTCGACCAACCAGATACAATCGAATCAAATAATGTCACGTTTTCTTTGCCGTTTTATGTCACTTTGGTCCCTAACGTTTTTCTTCTTCGCCTGGAAAAAGACAACACTATTGCACATGGTTTTTTTTTGTCTTTTCGCAAAATACTCGAAAAGTACATTAAACATTTTCGCTATTACTTTTGCAAATATATTCGGCTTATTAATCTTTTTACTATATCATCAACTACATCCAATAAAAATGAGTCCAATCAAAAACTGCAATTATTCTTCTACTAGCTTCAGGCATGTTTATTCCCCCAAATTCTCTTTTGCCTACTTAACATTTAGACCTAAGCTCTTTGATGTTTAGACTTAAGACCCAGTTTATTTTATTCACCAAAAACAAACAATTCAATTGTGTTCGATACAAATGTGTGTGGTCCGCTGATATGGGCCGTGACTCAGAATTATAAATGTATGATTTTCGATTTGTATAACAGACACAGATTGTGGAAATTTCGCTCTCAGTTACGTGACTCAGATATGCATTTTATATGGATAATTCTGTGATGCCTAAACATTAGTATCTGTAACCAATAAGTGCATAACTGCGGAATCAGGTTTCGTGGTATGTCTCTGTCTTTCATCACAATAATTTATGGTTTCACCACGTAAAGAGTGGATTTACACTATATAGCACTTTCCAAACTTAAACTTACATCATAGACACTTTGGCAACAGTTTGTTTTTTCTTAAATTCCATTTTGTTCTCTAACTTACTCTGTAAAGTTGTTGTGGGTAAACGAGATAAACAGAAGAAATCATTGTTTATATGGTTTACGTTACGTTAGTGTCGTTATATGGTTTACGTTACGCTCATGTATATATATATATCCAATATGGAATAAAGTACATATAACAACTACACTATCAATTGACCACACACACACAAAATATCAATTAGTGATAAAGACAATATTATCAAGATATAATCATGAAAGCATATTCATATATAGTAGTAGAATTGATGAGTCATATAAAATCTGAAAACAATAATATAGCATGGAAGTACTACTGAACTAGAACAGATATAGAAGTCTTTTTTTTTTTGTATGTACAAATGTGACATAATTTCTATCATAGCAAGTAAATATATAAAAGCTTATCTGAAAATTTCAATGATTTAACAATAAGAATTAACTTTTATAATAATTGAAATGGGTCCACTTCGGGGCCCCTAACGTTGTAATCCTCATGATCTGTACGGATTCCAATTTGTCCAGTGTCTATTGTGGGCCTTTGCTAGAGGGGTCTTCTCTCTTTACTGACCACATCCCTCACACTTGACAGCTCACCTCTCCTCGTCAAATCCCGGTTCGGTTCCCGAATTAGGTATAATTTCGGTTTTACATTTTGTACCGGAGTCTCTCAAAGAACAAACCGAATCCTATTAGGGACATACGTATCACTCTCGACCTTTGCCTATACAATCTCCCTCTCCCACACTCTCTCTCTCTCTAATCTCTCCCTGCAAACCTTCTTTCTGTCCCATGGTGGTTCCTCTATTGCAATCATGCCCTCTCACCCCAATTTCCTCTTCAGGTATATATTCAATTTCATTTTTTTGTTTGTATCTATCCGTATTTCAGTAATGGCGGTATTTCGCCAAATTCAGTCGCGAATTTTGAAATTTTTTCTCTTGTTTACTCAACGGTGACAAGGTTTCTCTGAGAAGAATTATTTTACACGATCAACAAGTTTCCAGTAGAGTTGCTTCGTTTTCAGAACTGTTCTAGAGCTTTGAAGTCACCATGCAATTCGTTATACTAGCTTGCTAAACAAAATCTTTGTACAGGCTAAAACGTTTATTCTTCTGTCAAATGTGAGATGATTTCGAATGATTTTTGCAACAGATCGATTTTCTTGCTAATCGTTTTAGAGTTTACAATTCGAATTTTCAGGTGGATTGGACTGTTTTCCGAGAAACTCCGTCGAAAAACGACTGGAATCGAGGAACAGAACAACGGTGGAGAATCAACCAGCGGCGCCTACGATACGCCGGCGCTGAGCTCCGGCGAGTGTTACGCGTGCACACAGGTAGGCGTCCCGGCCTTCCACTCGACCAGCTGCGATCAAGCTCACGCGCCGGAGTGGCGTGCTTCCGCCGGATCTTCCCTAGTTCCTATTCAAGAAGGATCCGTCCCGAAACCCGCCCGAACGCGATTCAGACGTCTCAAGGGTCCTTTCGGCGAAGTTCTCGACCCGAGGAGCAAGCGCGTGCAGAGATGGAACCGCGCGTTGCTTCTAGCTCGCGGGATGGCCTTAGCGGTGGATCCGCTCTTCTTCTACGCGCTCTCCATCGGCCGAACCACCGGACCAGCGTGTCTCTACATGGACGGCGCGTTCGCGGCGGTGGTCACGGTGGTCCGCACGTGTCTCGACGCTCTTCACCTATGGCACGTGTGGCTTCAATTCAGACTGGCTTACGTGTCGAAAGAGTCCCTCGTCGTTGGTTGCGGAAAGCTCGTTTGGGATCCACGCGCCATCGCGGCTCACTACGCACGCTCCCTCACTGGCTTCTGGTTCGACGTTATAGTCATCCTCCCGGTCCCTCAGGTTTCACCCTTAGCAACTTTTCAAAACAACCTTTAAACTATTCTAATATTGTGAATATATCCTTTAAACTCTTATTAGTATCAATAAAGCCCTCCATAGATCATTTAAAAGTGTCACCTTGGGTTTACAATTGTTGATGAATCCTGATTTGAGACGCATATTCACTCTTTGTTTGCAGGCTGTGTTTTGGTTAGTCGTGCCAAAACTGATAAGAGAAGAGAAGGTTAAGCTGATAATGACGATCCTTCTGCTAATCTTCTTGTTCCAATTCCTCCCCAAGATTTATCACTGCATCTGCTTGATGAGAAGGATGCAGAAGGTCACTGGTTACATTTTTGGGACTATTTGGTGGGGTTTTGCTCTTAATCTCATCGCATATTTCATTGCTTCTCATGTAAGTCCCCTCAAGCCGAATATAATGTGCTGCAACGATACACAAAAGCAACGTCTATAACTCTGTGCAAGATATTCAATTTCCATATGTGCATATTCTACTAAGCTCCATGCCAAGACAAGAAATGATGAGAAAGTCGAGTTTTTAATGGAATGTTTTTTTGGCTACAGGTCGCTGGGGGATGCTGGTATGTTCTTGCAATACAGCGTGTTGCATCTTGCATAAGACATCAATGCATGAGGACCGGGAACTGCAATCTGAGTCTGTCTTGCAAAGAGGAGGTCTGTTACCAATTTGTGTCACCAACGAGCACAGTTGGATATCCATGCTTATCTGGAAACATTACCAGTGTGGTCGACAAGCCTATTTGCTTAGATTCTGACGGACCATTCCGATATGGTATCTACGGTTGGGCACTTCCAGTCATATCCAGCAACTCTCTTGCGGTCAAGATCCTTTATCCTATCTTCTGGGGTCTAATGACTCTCAGGTATATTCTTATTTTCAGAATTTTCAGGTTTTCATCTTTGATACTCAATAACCTCTAATTGCCATATACTGATCCTGTTTTGCGTGTCGTGTTTTACAGTACATTCGGGAACGACCTTGAGCCCACAAGCAACTGGCTTGAGGTTATTTTCAGCATAGTTATGGTCCTTAGCGGGTTATTACTCTTCACGCTGTTGATCGGAAACATTCAGGTAAAATGTGCCAGGATAAGTCTTTCCGAATATGATACTGTGTTTTGATAAAACTCATAAGATTTTAACAAGCTGATTACTTTCTTTTAAAGGTGTTTCTGCACGCGGTAATGGCAAAGAAGAGAAAAATGCAGATACGGTGTAGGGATATGGAATGGTGGATGAGACGTAGGCAGTTGCCTTCACGGTTAAGACAGAGAGTTAGGAGATTTGAGCGGCAGAGATGGACTGCATTGGGTGGAGAAGACGAGCTGGAACTTATACAAGACTTGCCTCCGGGTCTTCGAAGAGATATTAAACGATATCTTTGCTTTGACCTCATTAACAAGGTACTAAGGAAACAGACGTTAGACGGATCTTGCCAAGACTCGTTGAAACAATAACTGCTAGGTCTCTGATATGTTTGAACTTTTTCTTAGGTACCATTGTTCAGGGGCATGGACGATTTGATCCTCGACAACATTTGCGATCGGGCTAAGCCTCGCGTCTTCTCTAAAGACGAGAAGGTACTCGAAACCCATGATTTTCACTCCTCAATCTAATAAGCTATTCGCACACAAGAGCTTAAGTTTTGGTTATTTTGGTGTCACAGATCATCCGCGAAGGAGATCCTGTACAGAGAATGATATTCATCATGCGTGGGAGAGTCAAACGTAACCAGAGCCTAAGCAAAGGCGTGGTAGCCACTAGTACGCTAGAATCGGGCGGTTACTTAGGCGACGAGCTACTCTCATGGTGCCTACGCCGTCCATTCATCGACCGTCTCCCTCCTTCCTCCGCGACATTTGTCTGCCTGGACAACATCGAGGCCTTCTCCCTCGGATCCGAAGATCTTAGGTACATCACCGATCACTTCCGTTATAAATTCGCCAACGAGCGGCTTAAGCGGACCGCAAGATACTATTCCTCAAACTGGAGGACTTGGGCTGCCGTGAACATTCAGATGGCATGGCGCCGGTACAGGAAGAGAACCCGTGGTGGTGAGAACAAAGGCGGTTCGATGAGCCCTGTGTCGGAGAATAGCGTTGAAGGCAACAGTGAACGCCGGTTGCTTCAGTATGCCGCGATGTTCATGTCCCTCCGACCGCATGATCATCTCGAGTAAACCAATAAAACTTACAAAACTTATCGGTCTGGATTATTTTGTTTTGTTTCCATCGCTGTCCCCTCAGTTGGTTTTTTCTTTCGTTTTGTCTCGCTTTGAATTTGAAGTTTTTTGAGTTTGGGAGCCTAGGACAAAAAGAAGGAAGAAGAATAAAAATCATCTTCTTTTTGTGCATTTGGGAGGCTAGGACAAAATGACGTGTGTGGGTGGTTTATTTGCAACTTCGGTCGGGTTTTATATAATCCGAGGAACTAAAAACCGAATCCGACTAAATAGAACGAAGATAAACAATGTTGTTAAAGATTCAATTATATTAACTACTCTATAATATAAGGATTCAATTAAACAAATAAAAACCGAAGAATTTGGTCTCCTCTCATGTCTCTGTTTTTGTTTAAATTATACTCATTGTTGGGAAAGGAAAATCACAATCTTTGAAAATATGAAACAAGGAGGTACGGCAACAATACACACACTTAATTAGAGTTGATAAAAAGACCATAAATATGGCAAAGAAACAGAACCAACGAAGTCTTTTCTGTCTTAATGCAGAGGTCTAACAAGTGGTGCGCACCACACTGGAGAGAAAAGCTGCCGTCTTACCTAATGAGCGGTCAATCACTTGTCCATTCAATTGGTACTTCGATCTTCTCTCTTTTACCCCACACGTCGTAGTACCTGCCTGCACGCTTCTGGACCGTGTCCTGGACCGACCCTAATTTGTTGACCCTTGGTGTGGAACTGAAGGTTCTCGGATTCAGTCGGAATGTGATATCCAGCTTCTGCAGCAGGAGCCAACAAAACATGTTTATTTGCCTCCGCGAGGAGTATAAAATAAATATAAGTGACTTACCTTCGAAAAAAGGTTCAGTCCTCTGTGACGTGGGCATGGAGGAGTAGCAGCAAGGAGATGACGTTGCTTCAACCACGATCACATGGTCTGCTAAATAGGACGCCATCAAAAAGTCATGCTCCACAATAACCGCGGCTCTATGTTCGCGCAAAATGTGATGCCTTATGGCCATTGCAACTCTGATTCGCGCATCTGCGTCCAGATACGCACATGGCTCATCGATCAGGAACAATTCCGCGTCTTCCGCGAGGCAGAGAGTTATGGCAACCATCTGCCTTTCTCCAGGAGAGAGTGAGCCCACTTTTTGATCCAGCAACGGCTCAATCTGAAGCGGCTTCATCACATCTGATACAAAGTCACGATGCATATACGAACGAGTATCTTCCCTCTCTAGCAATTCTCTGACTGTGCACTCCCTCTCCAACTCAATTTCCTGCGGTTTGTATGACGCCACATAGTCTATGCTCCACGGCTCTACACCTTCTACCTTGTCAGGTTGCAGCCTACCGGCCTAGAGTTGTGGAGAGAAATCATCTTTGGTCAAGAGGTTCAGTGCATAAACGATGAAAAGGCATTGGATCATATAACTCTTACCAGCATTTGGAGGAAGGTGCTCTTCCCTGTACCGCTCTCTCCCAGCACTACAAGAATCTGAGCGTCAAAGAATTCCCCTCCAATCAATTCCAGCTTGAAATGACTTGCGCTGTGACTTACAGTCATGTTTGGATAAGTGTAACTTCTAAAGAAGGAATAGTTCTTGTTGTGGTAATGGTCATAGTGAACAGTCCTAGCAACCTCCAAAAGGAAAGACAAAACTATCAATCACAAAAAAAAAAAAAAAAAAAAAAAAAACAGTTGTCCACGAATAGACTCTGGGAGACCACTGGAGAAGCTTTACCTCGAACCTCATCGATTCACCCCTGATACGCCTGTCTTCTTTGGGATTAAACCCAAACAGGAAACCGTCGATTCCTGAGCTGACATTGCAGGGCTTGTGAGCAACGACACCACATGCTTTAGGTTTCCCATACAGATGGTAAATGTAATCCGACATATAGTCAAGGACACTAAGGTCGTTCTCCACGACAATCACGAAGCTACAACAACAAAAGTGCAAGCAAGATTTACCTTATGCATTCAGAAGATGATACTCGATAATGAACAACAAGATGAAACTCGATAAATCAAACCTGTCAGGACTTTTGAGAGAACGTATAAGTTGGGCAGCCTTGAATCTCTGACTCACATCGAGGAAATTCGACATCTCGTCAAATATGTACACATCCGCTTTCTGTAAGGCAACGGTGGCGATAACAACCCTGTGAAGCGCTCCAGGAGACAGAGTGTGGAGCCTCAGGTCCCGGAATTTGTTCAACTCTAGAGCATCACATATCTCCTCCATCTTATCTCTCTCGTTGAAGCTTTTAAGCAACTCCTCGACTTTGATCATTTCGCCTCTTAGGCCTTGAAAATGTTGTGGCTTAAAAGCGACCTATCAGAAAAGAAGCCGTGAGGAGCAGACTAGCTAGTTATTAAGGGGAAGAAAGAAAAAAATCAAATGTCCCATTCTACCTTTAGTTTCTTGTCTACAATCTTGGTGAAGTAGGTTTTAAGATATTGATCATGGCAGTGAGTCAGAATTTCTGGCCAATCCGGAGGATCCTGCCCCAAGAGGAAGGAGAGCAATCAGTAAAGAAATCCATGCATGCAAAGAAGAGAAGAAACTTGAGAGAGAGAGGGGAGATTTACATTGAAGCGGCCAAGATTGGGTTTGAGTAGCCCAGCCAAAGCTTTGAGAGCGGTTGTTTTCCCAATACCGTGAGGTCCAAGCAAACCTAGGACCAATCCAGGAACTGGAGCTGGAAGCCTGCACGTCAGAGGCTTTAGAAAAAATGGATGCATGCATGTGCCAAAAAGACAAGGTGAAATATGAATGGTGAAGAACAAACTAACTCTCTGTGCAATTTAAAGGAATCTGGCCCATAGCTGTGGGTTGTATCTTTCTCCAGGTCCTCAGGAAGTTTTTGGACAGACTTGATTTCTGGCTTTCCTGCAATGCAATGGTGCACCAACATGATTTCTGGACATATGAATATATTATTCACCACAAGAAACTAGCACAACATACCTCACGGTCACGGGCACACCGTACACACAGCCACATCCCCCTACCCCTGCCTGATTTTACAAGCGTTAGTGCAAAAGTTTCATACGAGTGTGTGTGACAAGGCCTTAGCCAGAGAATTAAATGAGAACCAAAAAAATAAAAAGTACCTATGCAAGATCGACACATTCGGCACCACAATCTGTCTTTAAAATATGACACTGCGTCTTTATAAGATGACATCCCTGCAAGGAAACAGTTTCACAACAATTCTTAGTAACAGGCCCAATCATTCCAACCACAGTTAAAAAGAAAACAGGAAAAGACTTCAAGTTTCAACTCAACATTAATCTATCAAGACCTAACCACACAGCCTAGTTACTGTACGAGGAATCCACAATCTCTACACTTGCAACTCGGACGAACCTTTGACCTAGACTTAAGAGAACCCGTACTATTATCACCTTAGCTTCAAACACTTAAACAGACCTTCTGATTTTCGAAAGAGAGAGATTAGGTTTTGCTTGCTCTTTTTTCCCCTCTTTTCTCCGTTTTCTTTTCTTTTTGATGATTTTCTTATTTCGAATTCCGGTTAAAATCAAAATTCCTTTTAGATCTCAAACCGCTATTATTGCGATGATCGGGCCAAAGGCCCAAGCCCATAAATGTATATCATGTCTGATATGTGTTTTTAGTTATTTCTTCTTCATCAAGTACAAACGACTGAAACGAGGTCGTCGAATCAAGTCCGACTTCGCATATCGTAATTAGAATTTCGTGTCCTTTTGGGTTTTGTAATCAGGACTCTCTCAGCTTCTTCCCAGACTCTTTAGAGTTCATCACACACAAAAAATCCTACTCTAGAAGTTTCTTCCTAATTTCGCCATGGCTTCTATCTTCTTCCGTGAATTTTGATTTTTCTTTTCTTTCAATATTTAAATTATATTTATTCGATAAGTTTCATCTGATATATTCCCAAACTGTTTTTGCTTGATTCATCGGTGATAAAAGTTCTATTTATCAGCCGAATCGAGTTCCGGTGGTTTGATTTGGTCATATAGTCAATGGCTACCAGCAAGCCTCAGAGATCGCCGGCTGAAATTGAGGATATAATCCTCCGGAAGATATTCTATGTAACCCTAGCGGAATCCACCACTGATGCGGATCCCCGAGTTGTTTACTTGGAGATGACGGCCGCCGAGATTCTCAGCGAAGGCAAAGAACTCTTGCTCTCCCGTGATTTGATGGAGAGAGTGCTCATAGATCGTCTCAACGGCAACTTCTCCGGCCCCGAACCGCCTTTCCTGTACCTCGTCGGTTGCTACCGTCGCGCCTACGACGAATCGAAGAAAATCCAGTCCATGAAGGACAAGAATCTGAGGTCGGAGATGGAGATTGTCACTAGAGAGGCGAGGACCCTCGCGGTTTCTTACTCTAGGATTCACTTGGCGAACCCGGGCCTGTTTGGGAACTCGGATAAACCTAGCGGCGGGCTGGATAACAAGCTGAAGAAGAGGAACGTCTCACCTGTACTGCCGTTGATCTTCGCGGAGGTTGGGTCGGGTTCATTGGATATGTTCGGAGGTAGCAGCAGTGGGGTTCAGTCTCCTCCAGGGTTTCTGGATGAGTTCTTCAAAGACTCAGACTTTGATGGCTTGGACCCGATTCTGAAGGAGCTGTACGAGGACTTGAGGTCTACGGTTATAAACGTATCAGTGCTTGGAGATTTCCAGCCACCACTGAGGGCACTCAAGTATCTTGTTAGCTTACCCGTAGGAGCTAAGTCACTGGTTAGTCACGAGTGGTGGGTTCCAAGGGGCGCTTATATGAACGGCCGAGCAATGGAGTTGACGAGTATTCTCGGCCCTTTCTTCCATATCAGTGCACTGCCAGATAACACTCTCTTCAAGAGCCAACCTGATGTTGGGTGAGTTCGACCTCATTTTTGGGTTTTTTCTATTGCTCAGAATGGACAGTGAGAAATGTTGTTTAGCTTTACTCAAATATATTTCTGTATTGTCTTTATGAATGTCAGGCAGCAGTGTTTCTCTGAAGCATCAGAACGTCGTCCTGCAGATCTGTTATCATCCTTCTCTACGATCAAAAACTTTATGAATATTTTGTACAGTGGGCTGCATGATGTACTGATGATTTTACTTAAAAGTGGCGATACACGTGACTGTGTTCTACAATTTCTTGCTGAGGTGATCAACGCTAACGCTTCGAGAGCCCATATACAGGTGATCATCCGTCAATAATATGGATATTTGCTTCGTATCTTTCTTCATGCCTTGTTTTGTTGTCTCCTCTTGGTTTCATCAAGTTGGTATTTGTGTTGTCTGCTCAATGGGGCATTCTGTAATATGTATATCTTGTATGACAGGTTGATCCAGTCTCTTGTGCTAGCTCAGGCATGTTTGTTAACCTCAGTGCTGTCATGCTCCGGCTCTGTGAACCATTTTTAGACCCGCATTTAACTAAAAGGGATAAGATTGATCCAACATATGCATTCTGTGGTCATCGCTTAAAATTAAGGTATGGGCTTCAACGTAATTCTACGTCTATCTCCTCACTGGAATTTATATTTTCGTGATAAGTAAATTATTATTTATGATCTACACCAGCGACTTGACTGCTCTCCATGCGTCGTCCGAAGAAGTTTCTGAATGGATTGACAAGGATAATACGGCAAAAGCAGATGGCGCTGGAAACGGGAATGAAAGTCGATTGTTACAGTCCAAAGAAGCTACAAGTTCAAGTAGTAATGCTTCTGGGCAAAATGCAAAGTCAACAACAAAATACACTTTCATTTGTGAATGCTTCTTTATGACTGCAAGGGTCCTCAATTTGGGTCTCCTAAAAGCACTCTCTGACTTTAAACATCTTGCTCAGGTAATCATCATTCTTGCAAGTAGCTTTTATTTAAATTGGTTGCTAACATATTGTCCAGACAAAACATTTTCAGTTGTGCCGAGAAGGAACTGCAGCGAAAATATAAACTTAAACCACTTTTGGATTGTGAAAGACTCCTTGATACCTGGATTTGCAGAAGATATTTAGTGTATCGTTCTTTACTTTCTGTTTTTCGCATGATGTAGGACATCTCGAGAGGTGAAGACAATCTTGCAACATTAAAAGCCATGAGAGATCAAGCACCTACTCCACAGTTAGAACTTGACATTTCCAGAATGGAAAAAGAATTAGAGCTGTATTCCCAGGAAAAGCTCTGTCACGAGGCACAAATATTAAGGGTTTGTAATCATATTCTCTGCTCTGAGAACATCTGTTCGCTTTTTTTATGGACCTAGGGCATGAAAGTGATAGCTGTTTAATCTCTATACTGTTTTATAGGACGGAGATTTTATTCAGCGAGCTCTCTCTTTCTATCGACTAGTGGTTGTTTGGTTAGTTGGACTTGTTGGTGGCTTTAAGATGCCTTTACAGCCAACTTGCCCAATGGAATTCTCCTGTATGCCTGAGCATTTTGTTGAAGATGCAATGGAGTTGCTGATATTTGCTTCAAGAATCCCCAAAGCTTTGGATGGGGTGGTGCTGGTATGTTTAGTATAATCTCATCCGTCTATAGAAATTTGCTTTTTGTACATGCTTTAATGATGGTTGTTCCTCTTTCCTTAAGGACGACTTTATGAACTTCATAATTATGTTCATGGCAAGCCCAGAATATGTTAGAAACCCATATCTCAGAGCAAAGATGGTTGAAGTTCTGAACTGCTGGATGCCCCGCTCAAGGTTTTTTTTTTCTTCTCATGAAAGACAGCTGTATATGTGTTGCTAATGCAACAAGTTTTGCATTATCTCGGTCCTCTAATCTCAATTCAATTTTGTTTGTAGTGGTTCTTCTGCTACATCTACTCTCTTCGAAGGGCATCAGTTATCGCTCGAGTACCTTGTCAGGAATTTACTGAAACTATATGTTGACATTGAGTTCACGGGTTCTCACACTCAGGTGATTGCTAGAGATTTTGTTTAGTGGCTATAGTATTCGTGGAGTAGAGAGCTTCTCTCTATTGCATAGTACTTCAGAATATGTTAACCTTGGAAGCTTCTGAAATAAAGTAATCCAAATGCAGTTCTATGACAAGTTCAACATCCGCCACAACATTGCCGAGCTTCTGGAGTATCTCTGGCAGGTGCCTAGTCACCGAAATGCGTGGAGACGGGTAAAATCTTAGTGACCTTACCATGGCTTTGAACTTCAACCATCACGTGCCAATGTCATAATGTTACCAAATTTGACGGGTTACAGATTGCAAAAGAGGAAGAAAAGGGCGTGTACTTGAACTTCTTAAACTTCTTAGTCAATGATAGCATCTACCTTCTGGATGAAAGTCTTAACAAAATTCTCGAGATTAAACAAATCGAGGCAGATATGTCGAATACTGTGGAGTGGGAGCAGAGACCAGCCCAAGAGAGACAGGAGAGAACGAGACTCTTCCATTCTCAGGAGAATGTTAGTTGGATTACACTATTTATATCTTCTGTCCGACTTGGTTCACAATGCCTCAAAAGAATTTGATGTTGCTCTGCAGATTGTTAGAATAGACATGAAGCTGGCTAATGAAGATGTGACTATGCTTGCATTTACATCAGAGGAGATCACTGCCCCCTTTCTACTCCCTGAGATGGTAAATCCGACTCTGTACCTGAAACGATAGCCTGCTTGACTTAATTGCCCAAATTCCTACTGAGTAGTTTGTTTGTTGTTTATCAGGTTGAGAGGGTTGCGAATATGCTTAATTACTTCTTGCTACAACTCGTGGGTCCACAACGTAAGTCTTTAAGCTTGAAAGATCCCGAGAAGTACGAATTCCGTCCACGACAGTTGCTTAAACAGGTTAGTGATTGCTATTCTTACTTGGCCTTTTCACCAAAATGTGTTAAAAAAAAAAAGAAACTGACTTGTAATTCCTTTGGTGGACTTTGAAGATTGTTCGTATATATGTCAATCTCGCAAGAGGAGACTCAGAAAACATATTCCCGGGTGCCATATCCAGTGATGGACGATCATATAACGAACAGGTCAAATCCTCCTCCTAAACCGAATCCTCTTTCATCATTATGTACCTCTCTCTCTCTCTCTCTCTCTCTCTGCTGAACAAAACAAGTACTGGTTTCTGCAGCTATTCAACGCAGGAGCAGATGTGCTTCGGAGAATAGGCGAAGATGGAAGAATCATTCAAGAGTTTATGGAGTTGGGCACAAAAGCCAAAGCGGCTGCTTCCGAAGCGATGGATGCTGAAGCTGCGCTAGGTGAAATACCAGACGAGTTCCTCGACCCAATTCAGGTATTTTCTGTCTAATTTGACAGAATTTTATATCTTTGTTTCATCGACTCCAGACTCTAATTGGTGTTGTTGGTGGTTTATAATTTTGCAGTACACGCTAATGAGAGATCCAGTGATACTTCCAAGCTCAAAAACCACAGTTGATCGAGCCATCATTCAGCGTCATCTTCTTAGTGACAATGTACGCAAATCTAAACACATTGATGATTCAATTATGTATATACCTCTCTCTGTTTTCTTTTAAGACTTTTGGCTGTGATCTGATATCCTCTTCCTTCTGCTGCAGCACGATCCGTTTAACCGGGCACATTTGACATCCGATATGTTGATACCAGACATCGAGTTGAAGGCGAGAATCGATGAGTTTGTGAGGACGCATCAGTCTAAGAAACGGTCAAGTGGGGAAGATAGCAGCAACAAGGAGAGGATACAAACTACAAGCAGTGATATGTTAATTGATTAAATTAATTATGTTTTTCTGGAAAAAACAAACCAAAATAATGACAGAATCAATCTTTTGTACTTTGTTAGGCTTTCCTTTCTATTAAAATTGTGCGACTTCTTAAGTGTGTTTATTTAGGGATTGAAATCCATGCCACCGATTTGATGTTAAGAAGAACATTTTTTCACATCAATCAAGTAACACTTCCAAATTCATTGATAAGGCAAATGATCCAATATCAAAAAAAATATTAACTTCTGATATTGAATAAAGTCTTAATTTTTGACACAAAATATTATATCAATGGATCCCAATGACAAATGTCTTTCATTGAGTTTGTAATTCAACCAACAGAACCAATGTTGCATTTGGAACAAAAAGGCAGATTTTAATGCCCAATTACGGCCCTTATCTCTGCAAGTAACATCATTGCATGCAAAGATACAAAGCACAGAAGAAGTCGGCGGAAACTAGGAGGAGGCAGAGTGTTGCTGTCTACGTTTAGCATACTCGGAAGCAATACAAAGTGAGCTTCTACTGTGACGAAGTGAAAACTCAGCCATCAATATCTCTTTCTCTTCTGCCGACAGATCTCCATGACTTCCCTGCTCAAAACCATAAATAAATGTTAATAAAGACATAACTGCACTCAATATATTTGCTGTGGCTGTCTCTCGATCGTTGTATACCAGACGAGTGGTTCTGTCACAGACAGCGTGGTGCATCAGAATCCCTGCAGCCACTGAGACATTGAACGAATCAACCATTCCGTTCATTGGAATACTGCAATGCAGATCTGATAACTCCAACGCTTCTTCACTTATTCCACTGCAACATTCCCAACAGAGTCCATCAAGAAGAGAACCCCGCGAGAGCTTTGAAAACTGAGAGGTTTTAGATCATCACCTGCCCTCGTTTCCAACAACTATTGCTGTTGGACATGACCAGTCCATGTCGTAAATGGAAACCTTATGAGATATTACCATCAAAAAGGTGTCGTGAGTAAGTACACACACACACACACTCATTGTCATGAGAGAAACGACCAAAAACAAAAATGTTTAGGAGTTTACCGTGTCCATTCCCAAATGAGTTGTGGCGATCCTGTAACCGCGAGACTTGAGAACTTGGAAACATTCTTTAGCTGTGTCCCAAAGCTCAATGTCCAGCCATTTCTCAGCTCCCATACTCACATGCCGATTGTTCCTATACCTACACATACATCAATATACACATTCACACACACACACACATACCAGACCGGCAAATGAGTGATGATCCATCTTTTAAGATCTAGCCTACATGACTCACGTGTCACTACTCACTAAACAGTTCAAGAAAATGTAAGAATCCCCAATCAATCATATGAACTAAGAAAAAAAATTGCCAACTTATGATCATTCTAGGACTCAAGGAGAGGACTATGTATGTAAACGCTAATTCATGGCTTAATCTTTAGACTCTATTGCACCTTGTGGATTCACAATCATAAAGCTTTCAAGAGAATGCAAGAATCCCTCATAAAAATCCCAACCTCAAAGGCACCTTTTGGAGCTGTCACGTGAAACAACGTGCACTGACTGAATCCCCAAGGCATCCGCTGAGCGGAACGCAGCAGAGATGTTCCCGATATCAGAGAGACCTTCGACCACAAGGCACACCGAGAAGCTTCGGTTCTCCACCACACGCCTGAACCTCTCTGACCTCTCCTCCATCATGTGAGGCCTCACCGCCTCCAACACCTCACGGCTGCTCAGGTGCACGTCACCGCACCTGAACCTGTCCTCGTAAGGGAACCACGATCCTCTACCTTCGCTTAAGGAGCTCCTCCGCTCCATCTTCATCATGCTCGACGCGTCATCACGACTTGTTGTTAGCAACTCCTTCACACTCACGGTGAGATCCTCGGGAGAATTCTCCGTGAAGCTCTCCAGCGAAAGAGCCGCAGCTCCATGAACACTGCACCGAGCTGTTCCGATGCCTGTTGTGTGGGGAAAATCGCATCAAACAACAATCTTTTTAACTGAATTCGATGAAAAATCGAATGAATGAACCAAGCAAGCGAAGAGTTGAGTCAAATTCAAAGTCGAAATGTTCTCCGATTCTAGCGAAGAGTTAAGAATGTTCAAAACCTATAGAGACGAAAACCCATTAAGAAAAAGAGTCGGGATTAGAGAGAGAGAGAGAGTGAGTGTGTACATACATGGATTTGGATGGAGAACGGAGAGAGAAGAAAGAGCGCGAACGGAGACAAACGGAACAGAGGAAGTAAGGTTTGGAAGAGGAACAAGTGGATGAAATGAAGAGAAGGAGGAGCGGAATAGGGTTTTGCACGAGTTCATGGTTTGTTTTGTTGCCAGAGTTCGTCGGAGCTTGAGATTCTGTGGATCGCTAGATTCAACCTTCAAGAATCAAAAAAAGGGATAAGAAGAGAAGAATCACAGAGCAAAGAGACAGTCGAGAGGAGGGCTTTCGTCCGATTTCGTGACCACTGATTGTTTGTCTCTCTTGCCTTCCTGAATCCAAGATAATGTTCCGTTTGTTCTTCACCGAATCGCGGCGTGTTTGTTCTTTCCCCATGCGCGGATTTTTCAATTGGGCCCAGAATTGCGTAGGCTTTCTCTATTATTTCGGGCTTCAGTTAACATCTGTAATTCACTAATTCGTTTAGCCTGAATGTGATCAATATACCACATTTGTTAATTAGCGCATTTCAGCGGTTGAATTTTTATAATTCTTGTGTTTTTTTTAATAAATTTGTTTATTTTTTCACCTCTAATGATCAAATTAAGCAACTTTTAGAAAGAGAGAGAGTGTGTTTAGATAGAGAAAAGAAATGGCGAGATTCACGGTGAAGATTGCGGCGGTGTTGCTGGCTTTTATTGTGGCGGCGCCTGGGCCGGAAGTGACGGCGAAGAAGTATGTAGTCGGCGACAACAAGTCTTGGAAACCCAACATCAACTACACCATTTGGGCTCAGGGAAAGCATTTCTACCTCGGAGACTGGCTCTGTATGCTCTCTCTCTTCTCTCTCTCCCTTTAATCTTCTCTACATTTCTAGACTTTCGGATCTGTTTTAAGTAGATCTGATTTGAAATGGGTTTCGCTTTGAATTAGGTAATGGGTTCAAAAATTTCAACTTTTATTTGAAAGTTCTTCGCTTTCCGGATTTTGCAATGTTGAAAGGGTCATCAATGTTGTGTTTTATCGAAATCGATTTAATCCACATTTTTGTTGGGGTTTTCATAAAATGTTTCCTTATTAGTCAAGATTTGGTTAGAACACTCGTTAACTCTTTGAGGTTGTCTGAGTGAGACACACAGTAAATCCATGTCTCTCTCTCACACACACTGGTTGAAGTTGAAATCTTTTGAATCAGACATTTCCATTACAGCTCAAATTCAAATCATGGGTCAATTCTTATTTAGTGACTCCATATTAAAATAACCTTCTTGCTTTACTGTTATAGATTTTCCAAGAGAAAGATTCTGGTTCTCTAATCAAGGATATGTTGTTATGGTCTCTTGTCAGATTTCGTGTACGACCGAAACCAGCACAACCTTTTGGAGGTGAACAAGAGAGACTACGAAAGGTGCATCTCCGACCATCCTATCCGAAACTGGACACGTGGAGCTGGGAGAGACGTCGTCACTCTCAATGTGACCAAGCATTACTATCTACTCGACGGAAGGGGTGGCTGTTATGGCGGCATGAAGCTTACTGTTAAAGTAGAGAAGAATCCCCATTCAATCTTATGAACCAAGAAAAAGAACACTTATCATCAATCATGGACGACTCAATAGGACTATGTAATCGAAACTTCTTAGATCTCATCAATCACTAATTTATGACTATTGCACATTGTAAATTCCAAACTCATAAGAGAATGCAAGAATTCCAACTAAAAAAAAAAACAAAACCAAAATGTTCTACGATTCGTCTACATAAAGAAGAAAGTTCAAAGCCTCTAGAGATTGAAAACCCATAAAAACACACATAACATAGAGTCGGAATTACAGAGTGAGTGAGTGTGTGCACATGGAGTATATATATATATATTGTTTCTTTATACTCTGTCGTCTGTATCATGGTGTGGTGTGCCATTAATATGTTGTTCTTGCTACTCCTTAGGCTTCTCCGTAAATTGTTGTTGTTCAGTTACAATGATAAACGTATTCTCGTGTTGATCTTCAGACTTTTGCATATTTATCTCTGTAGGAAAATCAAATGCATAAATTTGAATTGGAAAATCAGTGAACCAATGAGAGGCCGAGAACAAAAAGAGAGGAACGTTCATGAAAACCATATCATCACATGCAAAAAGCGTATAATCTGTCTGATAATTTGAAATAAAGTCCTACACTGATAACTAAAAACGAATATTAAAATAGAGACATACAGCGTGATGTCTCTAGGATATGTCTGGATTTAAAACTAAGCATGCTTTTGTCAGCTCAGCCTGTACTGAATTTTTTTCTCTTTTAAAAAAAAAACAAAAATCGCCATAATCTGGAAATTTGAATGATTATTTATTAAGTTATCCAAAATTTATTTAACATAAAATTTTGTTGAACAAAGACTGGGATCACTGAACGGCGACGCATTTGTTCCGCTCGTCCCGCACCAAAAGGTCCAAAAGTAGTTATCGCAGCAAGTCTTCCGCAGAGAAAAAGTATTCGCGGTTCAATTTTTTTATTATTATTTAATTTTCTATGGTTCTTGTATTTTTTTAAATAATTTTGTTTATATTTCCATTATACAGCAACAGCAATTGAAAAAGAAAAAAAGAAAAGAAAAAAACCAGCTATGAAAACCCCACTAGTCCACCTCTAAATCACAAATTGAGCAACTTCTAGAGAGAGAGAGAGAGAGAGTAAAGAGTGAAAAATGGCGAGATTCACGGTGTTGATTGCGGTGGTGGTACTGGCTTTTATTGTGGCGGCGCCGGTGCCGGAAGTAACGGCGAAGAAGTATACAGTCGGCGACAACAAGTTTTGGAATCCCAACATCAACTACACCATTTGGGCTCAGGGAAAGCATTTCTACCTCGGAGACTGGCTCTGTATGCTCTCTCTCTTCTCTCTCTCCCCTCTTATCTTCTCTACTACACTTCTCTACTCTCGGATCTGTTTTTAGTAGATCTCGCTTTAAATTTGGTAAAAGATTTTTCAAACATTTATTTCAAAGGTCTTTGCTTTCCGGATTTCGCATTGCCAATGATGTTGTGTTTTCTCGAAACAGATTTAATCCACATTTTTCTTGTTCTTTTTTCATAAATGTTTCCTCATTTGTCCAGATCTGGTTAGAACACACTCTTAAAGGTTGTCTGAGGACACAGTAAAGTTGAAACCTTTGAATCTGTCATTTCCATTATAGCTCAAATTCAAATGATGGGTCAATGCTAAATTAGTGACTCCCTACCAAAGTCTTCTTCTGTAATACATCTTCCAAAAGAAAGATCTTGGTTCTAATCAAGATTATGTTTTTATGGGTCTATTTTTCAGATTTCGTGTTCGACCGAAACCAGCACAACATTCTTGAAGTAAACAAGACAGACTATGAAAGCTGTATCGCCGACCATCCTATCCGAAACTGGACACGAGGAGCTGGGAGAGACGTCGTCACTCTCAATGTGACCAAGCACTACTATCTACTCGACGGAAAGGGTGGCTGTTATGGCGGCATGAAGCTCGCTGTTAAAGTAGAGAAGCTTCCTCCTCCACCGAAATCTGCGCCTGCCAAGAGCATTGGATCAGTTTCCATGGTCACGGGTCTCGCTCAGTTCATGATTCCGGCTGCTCTTTTCTCCGTTTCGACAATGTGGGATGCGATCTTAAGGATGTGGTAGAGAGACCAATCTCAGAGTTCTTTAGTTGGATACAATCTCCATTTGAAAAACCTCAAATTCTTTTCAGGGAAAGGCTTTTAAATTAGGAAGTGAATCAGTTGAGTTGTGTTTATCTTTGTAATGTTGGATCGTTGGTTTTAATCTTTTGTTTTGTTTGTGTCTTTGAACCAATTTGTTGAAAAAAGGTTGTATTTGATTTATTGAAGAAATGAATTACTGAAATTTTCTTTACGATTAGGAAAATTCTCTACTTTTTTTGTTTTGTTTTGTTGCAAGTGAAATTTAAAAAACACGCATTTTTTATTCAAATTATTTTATTTTGGCTTATCTGTTCCATGTGATTGTTCGTATTGTTGTTAGTATCAAATCCAACTACCATGTGTCCTTCTCATAAAGCTGTCAAATCTATTACCAACTGGATTGAATTATAATTTGGAAATGTGAAACGAATGGATTTATGTAGTGTGTGTTTCAAAATTTTGTTTGAATGGATTTTAAGAATATTGGTAAATTTCATATGGACCCCCAGAAAGAATATAGAATGATGATGTTGATTGGTGGGGGCATGGAAAATTGTAGACTGATATTATAATGAAGATTCTGGACAATCTATTCTACCTTTTTTTTTCAAATTCATTCAGTTTTTTCATTGCATGTCTTTGTCAGTGACAGTTTTTTGTAGACTTTTTATCTATTGCCCAAATGTGGACATAAATAGTAATATCAGGTTCCAGAACCGAAAACGTCTAGTTCTCAAGGAAAATATATAGTTGTAAGTTTGTAACTACACTCTATTCTCTATTTGTATGCCAATGATCAAAGCAGAATCTTTTTATCATGCCTATAATCTCCAGGCTCTCTCTCTTTTGGGCCCAAAGTTAGTGAGTTACGTAGAGCCCATTAATAAACGGTTGAGAGATAACTCGAGAATGTGGCATGAGGCGCGTGAGGTAGAAATTTCATTTTTTCCCGGGAAGATTTAACACAAGACGAGAAGTTTCGTCCACCTCAACGATCAAACGCCATAGCTCGAAATTTCTATCAGTTATAGAAATTGAGAGGGAACAAAAAAAGGGAGGAGCTTTTGATCATAATCTTATGAAATGCTTATCCTACCAAAAAGTTCGTCTCCTTCTCCAACAGTGCGCGCACCGCTCGTTTCTCCGTCACGGAAAGGAGCTACACGCCGCTTTAACCACTTCTGGATTGAAGAAAGCTCCGAGGTCGTACTTTAGCAACAAGCTGTTTCAGTTCTATGCTGCATCAGGTGACATGGCTACGGCACAGAAACTGTTCGACGAAATTCCTCTGTCAGAGAAAGACAATGTGGATTGGACCACTTTGTTATCCTCTTACTCCCGGTACGGATCATTGGTTGATTCGATGAAGCTATTCGTGGAAATGAGAAGGCAAAGGGTAGATATTGATGACGTTTCTTTAGTATGCTTGTTTGGCGTTTGTTCCAAGTTGGAAGATGTTGTGTTCGGTGAACAAGGGCATGGGGTTGCCGTAAAGATGGGACTTTTGACTAGTGTAAAGGTTTGCAATGCCTTAATGGATATGTATGGGAAATGTGGGTTTGTTGGTGAAGTCAAACGCATATTCGAGGTGTTAGAGGAGAAGAGCGTTGTTTCATGGACGGTGGCTTTGGACACGGCTTTGAAATGGGAGGGGTTAGAGAGAGGAAGAGAGGTGTTCGACGAAATGCCTGAGAGAAACGCTGTTGCTTGGACGGTTATGGTTGCTGGGTATGTGGGAGCTGGGTTTACAGGTGAAGCATTGGAGCTTCTGGCTGGAATGGTGTTTAAATGTGGGCATGATTTGAATTTCGTCACCCTTTGCTCGATGCTATCAGCTTGCGCACAATCGGGAAACCTGGTAATTGGACGATGGGTTCATGTGTATGCGGTGAAGAAGGCAATGATGATGGAAGAGGAAGAGAGTTGTGATGCTGTCATGGTGGGAACGGCATTGGTTGATATGTATGCCAAATGCGGAAACATAGATTCTTCCGTGAAAGTCTTCAGATTGATGCGTAAGAGGAATGTGGTAACGTGGAACGCCTTGTTTAGCGGATTAGCAATGCACGGGAAAGGTAGTATGGTGGTTGACATGTTCCTAGAGATGGTAAGAGAGGTGAAGCCAGATGACTTAACCTTCACTGCCGTCTTAATTGCTTGCAGCCACTCGGGGATGGTGGAAGAAGGGTGGCGATGTTTCCACAGCCTCCGAGGCCATGGGTTGAAACCTAAGGTTGACCATTATGCATGTATGGTAGATCTTTTGGGCAGAGCTGGTCGTATCGAAGAAGCAGAGATCTTGATGAGGGAGATGCCAGTGCCACCGAATGAAGTTGTCCTTGGTTCGCTTCTAGGCTCGTGTAGCGTCCATGGAAAGCTGGAGATAGCCGAACGGATTCAAAGAGAGCTTGTTCAGATGAGTCCAGGCAACATGGAATACCAAATACTTGTATCCAACATGTATGCAGCAGAAGGAAGGAGTGACGTTGTAGATGGTTTAAGAGGAAGTATGAGAAACAGAGGAATCAGGAAAACACCAGGTATGAGTTCCATTTACTTGAACGGCTCTGTTTATCGGTTCAGCTCAGGAGATAGATCACACCCGAGAATGAAAGAGATCTACTTGAAGTTGAATGAAGTGATTGAACGGATTAGATCAGCTGGTTATGTGCCTGATGTCTCTGGCCTGGTTTCTCCATCGGAGGGTGATTTGGAAGATAAAGAGCAAGCTTTGTTCTGTCACAGCGAGAAATTGGCTGTCTGTTTTGGGCTTTTGGAAACGAAACCGAGAACACCTCTTCATGTCTTTAAGAATCTGAGGATATGTCGGGATTGTCATTCGGCTATGAAGATTGTTTCAAAGATCTACGACAGAGAAATCATCATCAGAGATAGAAATAGATTTCATCAGTTCAAGGGAGGCTCTTGTTCTTGTTCGGATTACTGGTGAACAGATCAAGTGGATGGATGATAGCAGTTCCTGAGACTATTTTTCAAACCAATTTGCAAAATGGGAGAAAGGTTGAGACAATTGAGAAAAATATTATTGATCTATAAAGTAGTGTTCTTACAGTTCAAATGCACACAAAAGCTCTGTGATCTGCAAAATGTGAAGAGTTGCGGACAAGTGTAAAAAAACGCAAAATGTGTTAATTTATGATAAGTTAGGGTGTGATATTAAGAAAGCAAAATCTTCATCGCAAGGAGCATCAGTCTCTTGTCATCAGAGGGAAGGTCCAGTATCTTCCTTCTCTGATTCATCTTTGCTCTCCAAATCTGCAGAGTTTGGAGAGTTTTCAGCAGTTACCGTCTCATCATCCTCGTTCTTAAGAAGCGATGAGAATGATAAAGGATTGTAGGTGGAGCTGGCCTTCTGTAACCCTCGTATGGCTCTCATTGCAGCGAGCGTACTCCTGTATATATCAAGATTCTCATCGCCGAGTGTTGAGGAAGTCTGGGCTGAGATTCTTGGTGAGCTGTTTTGTTGTGAGGTTGACACTGTTGTGTTACAAGACTCTACAACTTCTGCTTCTGATGGGAAGAGAAGCTCAAGATTCGCCTCACATTCACGGACTAACCTTGTAAGTGGCTCTGTTGTAAAGAAAGGTTGATGGAGAACAACCTGTGTGAAAGGCAAACGCAGAAGCCCACCTGTTCTTTTATCATACTTCTTCAAAATTTTGACAAGTCCTGGAATACAACATGGTTTTAGCATACATACATTACTGTGTAATAAGATTTGTGTTTTTTTTATAAAAAAAGTAATTTTCATCATCATACCTGCAAAATTTAGGGAGCTGTAGTTTTTTAGGAGCACCATCTCGCCATGAATGGTGACAAGGTCTCTGCGAATATCCATCATTTCTTCACTGAACTCGCTTTCTGATGCAAATTCCCCATCCTTACCGTTCTTCTCCTTAATTTTCTCGATTCTTTCCTTCAGCTCCTGTTTGCAAAACAGATAATACAATGATGACAAACCAAACCGAAATTCAATTACAGCTTAAGACGAACAGAGTGCGTAAAAAGTAACTAGGGTGTTCAAACAAGCAAGCAAGTAAGAAGGATCATGAAACATAACTTGTAAGCAATCAGATCTCAATTGTGATAAACCACGGAACAATAATTTATTTTCATCTGTAAGAGTTAAGAGCAATAATTTATATCATAAGACAATCGAACCATAAGAAGCCTTCACAGGTGAATATAGAAATCCCATCTTCAAGAACTTCAAATGAGAGACATAGTTGATTACATTTCAATGATGTTAAAGTCTCGAATGTCATGGCTTTTACACGGAGAAGATACTGAATCTACTTGAGCCACAACAACAACAACAACAACAACAAAACTCGATCCGATGATGAGGAAGAAAGAGTTCTTAGTTCTTAGATTAGAGATTAATCATCCTATCGAAGAAAACTAAAATAAACCTATCCAATTCTACAGAATGCTTTAGCTCTGAATCAGTAATCTGCAGTTCAGTCACATGAGCCAAATTCTACAGAATTCTGAACTCGACTTCATATCCTGAAGCTTAAAAATCGAGAGAGAGAGAACAAAAAATCCGATAAGAGGAGCAAAACCTGTAATCTGATAACGAAATCTTCTTCCTTATCGACGTAAAAATCGTTAAACTTCTCGAGCTCCTCATTGAGTATCCTCACAAACGAACCCTGAAGATCTTCCGAAGGCCTGACGCCGGGGAACGCCGCAACGTCGGCGGAAGAGATGTTAGTAGTGTCGGCAAACACCGGACGCAGGTCGATCTGATCGGAATTAGCGGTTTCTAAATCGGCGGAGGAGTAAGGGTAGTATTTGAGAAGCTTTTTCAAGGGCTTATAGCAAAGGAACTTGTCTCTCCACTCTGGTAAGGTTTCTTCGAGGTGTGTACGAAACTCTTTGCCGAATTTCATGTAGAGCTCGTGGGATCTGACTTCTGGGAGCTAATGGAGACGGAGATTGCGATGGCTCTGCGGTGGATAAGAACGGCGATTTGCAAAGTATTTCTAGAGAGAGAGAGAGAGAGAGGAATCTTCCTCAGAGGGAATCTGATGAGGTGGACGTGGATGGCTCCGATTTAATACATTGACGGGTCTCTTTATTTGATTTCTATTTCGGATCTTTTAAATTAATAATGAAAAAGGGAAAATGATTTACGTAAGTTTAGTAAACAGTTTGTTGGATATAATTATTAGACTTGTAATGTTTTTCAATATATATAAACATTAAATACTGTATAATCCAATAACAAAAAGGTGAGATTAAATTGGCTGGACAACAAAAATTAGCATTAACGAATCTTCAAATTATATCATTAGATTTTGTCGTCACAAAGTGATTCTGTTCGAATTTTCTTTTAGTGCGTCATTTGATTACATTAATTTTAAAACCACCTAGTTTTTTGATTATTATGTATATATGTCCATGATATAAGTCTATAAAACATACTATTTTGGTATTACAGAGTTCATTATTAGACATTTCTCTGAAGTGGCTCTTAATTAACCAGATTGTCCACCCGAGATGAACCTTTGAGGGGTTTGAACGGGCATGCACACACCTTATAATATTATTTTCAAAACTAATATATGCGTTATATATATTCCAATATATAAGATTCGTCTTACATTTAACGAGATTCCTTTATATTTAACGTATAACTAGCACCCGATCCACAGAATTAATTTATCTTATATTTTATTATATCACTTTCCACACTCTTTTTAATTAAAAACTGTACAAGTATATATGTTGATGTTTTTAGTCACGACTCCAGATTATTATTGGGTTAAAGTGTGTGACCAAGAATAAACATCTTCTTACTTTTATCATACTTGTTAAAAATGTTGACTAGTCCTAAAAATCCAAGATGATTTAGCATGTGATAAGATTTGTTTTTGTTCAATTTCGTAAATATAATAGATCATCGTGCAACATTTAGGGAGCTGTAGTATTATAATTATAATTTAAAGGAAGGCAAAAAAGAAAGACAGAAACGGGTGCGTTGGAGGAACGACTGCAACGGCTAGTTGTAAGTCGAAACCGCACCGTTCTCGTGGGGAAACGATGACGTTTTGGCGGGTATGGTTTCAAGAGCCTGAAGAATGTCAGCCTTCAAGTCCTCAAAGTCCTCAACACCAAAACTGAAGCGTATTAAGTTGTCTTTGAGTCCATATTTGAGCCTCTCTTCTTGTGGCATATCCCTCAAATTAAAACCCAAAAACATTTGTGTAAACCACACACACACACACACAAAAAACAAAAGTATCAATGCTTTAGAGGGAAATCATATTATACCAGTTCCTTGCGGCTGGTTGGTCCACGAAGCTCTCGCATCCACCAAAAGATGTTGCAATGTAAGGGATCTTAAGAGAATCGACGAACTTGAACGTAGTCTCGAGATCTCCATTAATCTATTTGCAAATAAAGGAGAAAAAAACACAATTTGAGATTAATATATATATATATATATATTTACGTGATGGAATTTGATTATTTACTATACCTCGAAAGTGACCAGACCACCAAAACCAGTCATTTGTCGCTTAGCTATGTGATGCTCGGGATGGCTCGGAAGGCCCGGATAGTAAACACGACTCACCTAACACATAGAATCGGTTTAACACATAAATACCAATTTCAAAAAAAAAATGTGTAAACCGGGAAGAAAGAATGGGTTACTTGGTGAAAAAAAAAAAAAAAACCTTGGGATGTGATTTTAAGACATGGGCCATTCTCAAAGCGGTTGAGTTTTGTTGTTTCACACGAAGATGCATCGTCTTCATGCTTCTGATGAGTAAGTACGCAGCGTTCTTGCAAGACCCAATGATCCAAAGGTTAGAAAGAGAAGTCTTGATGAATAGCATTAGTGGAGAGGATCAAGCATTTTTACCGGATTAAGCGTGCCTCCCAAAAGATTATGCAAAATACGAATCTCGGAAACCAACTTCACTGAACCAGATATGCATCCAGCAAGAACCTGGGAAGACGACACACGAAACACATAATCATATATTTTTGATACACTTTTTGTCTTAAAGCCCTAATAAGGTTCAAGAATTAATCTGATTTACGCACGTCGTTGTGTCCTCCAATGTATTTAGTAGCAGAGTGGAGAACGAGATCAGCACCGAGAGCAAGTGCCTTTTGATTCAATGGTGTTGCAATGGTACCATCTATGCAAACAAGCGTTCCTCTTTTGTGACATATTTCTGAGACTAACTCAATGTCCACACATCGAAGAAACGGGTTTGTTGGAGACTCGGTGAAGAACATAGAAACCTGTAGACAGAACAGACCACAATTCACGTATTGTTTTTTCCAACTTTAGAGTATGCTTATCAAGTTATATATACCGCATGATTGTTCACTACAGCTTCGAGTCCCGCGATATCAGCAGAGTCAATCAGAGTCACCTGGAACATTCACACACACACACACGTAACAAAAGTGGTTAATCGATTGAGCTGGAAATGAAACAAAATAGGGTAGTAACGAAATTGGGGTTATACTTACAGTGATTCCCAATTTGGGAAGAAAAGTCTCCATGAACATCCTTGTCTCCTTGTAACAATCTGTAGTTGTCACAATATGTCCACCAGCAGGAACCAATGCCAAAAGCACAACACTACTTGCACACATCCCAGATGCCATAACCAAAGTTGATTCAGCTCCTTCAAGCGCACTGATCAAGGTATAGCATACATAAAAGGAAACATTTCATAACACAACACTCAATAAAGAGGCATCAAGAGAGAGAGAGAGAGAGAGACCTAATTTTCTCTTCGAGTACCATAGTTGTTGGGCTTCCATAACGAGTATATTCGTGACATACAATCCGTTTCTCCTACAAAATCGAAAGTCAAGCACATCTTTGTAAACGAAGACTACCCTTTTTCTATATATATTAAGCATAAACACAGTGTATTTACTTTTATAAGAGTTGCAAAGATTAATATATATATAAGCGGACCTTGGAGTCGATAAGCTCGGAAGTTTTCTTGTAGAAGTAAGTAGTTGTGTTGACTACAGGGGTCGTGATCGAACTCGTGGCTATATCACGCCCTAATCTTTCTCCTGATTGTAAACCATATATACAATCTTTTCAAATGAATGCACAGAACAAAATCAAGACACTTGGAATCATTCAAACCTATATGATGGAAAGCAGATAACTGAATCCGTAATGATCCATAATATTACAGTATTGATTTATATATATTTATTATAACATATTACAAGTAATTACGAAGTGGCAGAGAAAAACAGATTACTAGGTATATTAATTAAGAAACCATAAAAAGGACATTTAATGGATGTACGTACCAGCATGAACAGCCAGACTCCCGTCAGAGCTCAAGAATGAGGGTTTCAAATCCTTCACGTCCTCCATCTTAAGAGTTGGTTTTCTGATAAAAATAACCGTTCACCGCTTAATTAGCAACGAAAAAGAAACTTGGAGGTATTTATTTTCACGTGATTGTAGAAATACTTCTATCACTAAATCTCAAATATCTCTATTTTTTACGCTCAAATACAGAAAACTCAAAATTGAATTATAAAAAAAAAAAACGGAAATGAAATAAAGGAAACTTTTGGTTCCCTCTTGCTTATCTTTCCCTCTCTATTTCTCTTCTTGTTCTCTAATAGATCTGATATTTGATTATATTTTTAAAGTCTTTATAATGCACCTATTTATATAGCTGGTAGATGCAATAAATAGATGTAACATGTAAGTAATATTTTTAAATTTGACCAAACCGATTGATTCTATCGTCTGCTGAACGACTCCGAACCAGTTGCGTCTTAGTCTTATAAATTTATAATTTACTAAAAAAAACTATAAAATGTATATAGTATATAAACTGTTTGTGTGCATCAATTTTTTCTCTCGACAGTACGTCCTCAATTATTCACTTTTTCCGGTTTTACTCAATTTGTTGTTTCTGATATACCGTGTTTTCACTATACTTTTAGTCAATACTCAATAGTATTCTTTGTAACATGATGTGGTATAAAACTAAGGAATTAGGGTTTCTTTAGTTTTATACTGCACGTGAATTTAATGTTTGTTTTTGTTTGGCCAAACGTTGGTTTTGGTATACAACGCAATTAAGGTTATTACTAACGTTGTTAAAGACTACAAAAATCATACTAGTTGTTGACATAGCTAGAATGAAACCGACTAAATACAATGAAGATAAAAAATGTTGTTAAAGATTCAATTATTTCTATTTTCTACTCAATTGGTCAAATAAAAATGAAGGGTATTGATGGGTCATCATAAACAAAAGTATATATATAGTATATTACATATCAGTGGCAAATTAGAAGTCTAGTTAACAAAAAACTATTCAGTTTAAATTATAATTTTTTGGTGGATATATTTATATGGCCAATTTTCCAAGATTTAGATTATAAAATTATGCTAATTTAGAAAACAAAAAACATATGTGTTCCCTTTGAGGTGGCTTAAAGGCCAAACTATGAAACATATTTTTTTTCTTTCTAAGATTTAACTTAGGAATCTTCTACCGCGTGATATTGTTGACGAATACAAGACCAATATTAAAAGTTTACGTTAAATTATAAGTTCATAATTGCAATATACACGCTGCGCTCTCACATTACTCATTACTCGTTACTCATTAGAGAGGAAAACATTTGTTATTCGTTAATCTTTTAATATCTCTGTAACTAATCAACGATTTCATATCTAATATCCTATGGATAAGTTTTGGAAAACAGAATATCACGAAATATGAAAAAAAGATGTCCGATTCGAATATATTTCTTTCCGGTCCGCAAAAGAACTTAAGATGTTGACACAATTGCAAACATCGATCAAAGAAGAAACCAATTAACTAGGATGCAAAGGAAAGCCTATATGAAGAGTGATGATGAAGATAAGAAGCCTATATGTTTAGTTTGCCTCCCAAAACATGATGCAAAATTGCGGATTTCGGAAACCAATTCCATCGAACCGCAGACGCATCCACCAAGAACCCGTGGCACGTTAAACACATCGTTTATTTAACTATCCTCTTCTCTAGTCACTGAGGTTCTCGTGTTTTTTAACGAGATCCGCACCAAGAGCAAGTGCCATTTGATTCAATGGTGTTGCAATGAATACCTAACAATACAGGAGCTGAGTTTGGATCCCAATAGACAAATTGTGAATGACAAGTGTGTTTTTGTTATAAATGACACTAGCAAAACGACGTATATGGGAAAAAATCACGACATTGAGAACCTTAACTGTTATATTATAGTGAATATGTCAAAGAGGTGAGCAGTGAATGTGAATAATCTTGGATGACAACAAAATGAAAGATGTTCTTGACTCGGGTTTCAAACGAATGGCAATTTTGGCTCCGAAAATGTCACAAAACCGTATAAGATACTTTCCAAACACAAATTTTGTTACTTTTTATCGTAAAAATGAATCATGAGAAAAAAAAATTGCTAACCGGGGAGACATCACCCCCCAAGCTTTTGGCTTCTTATTGTAAAGAGACAAGAATGTTTAATGATGAGCATTGGCTTCAACCATCTTTGGTGACTTGGCTCTTATCTGCAGATGAAAAGTAATTTGTTAGTAACTTAGTTAGCATATAATAAGATTCAGGGACATTTCAGATGTACATGTATCCAAGTTTTAAATCATTTCCGGTTCTGCTAAATAGAGAATTGGTTGAAGACATTACAACAGGGATGAGCAAGAAACACAATACAACAAGTAAAACCTTTCTAGGGTTTGCAGCATGACGTTGAATAGCCAGAAATTTTTCTTAAGGTATACACACACAAAATATCTTCTTTAGGTTTAGAGAGGAGACTCGCAATCACAAACTTTAAAAAGCTAGTAACTTTCACAAGCAACATCCAGAGAAAGCTACCACAAAGTGATAATTTAACAAAGACAGACAAAACCAATGACGAAACTTGTAGAAGTACTTGAAACACAGTGAGGTATGCTAAAAAGGTAAAAATCAACTCTATAAACAGAATTTTGCTCTCTCTCTCGCTCGAACAAGATCAACGAATTCGTGTTGCCAACAATTTTTGAGATATCATGTCGTTATCAATTCAAATGTCACAAACATCGGAGGGTGAAAAAAGAAGATCAGAAACAATACACTTTCCGAGATCAAGCAGATATAGTGAATTGCAGATTCATAGCAGATAAGAGCACTATAATCAGAAACTGATGACAAAGTCTTGCAAGAATTTCGATAAAACAAGAGAAGGTGGGATAAAATTTTAACCTTCAAGACCTTGAGCTTCATGTTGCCATAGACGAGGCCGATACCAAAAGCCGAAGCGCGAGCCACCTGATCATCAAAGCGAAAGACTCGATGAATCGCAGAAACTCAGAAAAAGAAGAGAAAAAAAAAACGAATCGGCAAGAGGAGATATAACATACGAGAGCAAGAGAGCTGGTGCCGGAGTAAAGTCCTGGAGGCAGCGTCATTGGCGAATCACTGTTTGTCCTTTGGAGTCGTCTTCGGAGAAAGAAAACCCTAAATTCCCAAATCAGACGAAGCTTCCGAAATCTCAAATTATTCGTGATGGTGGAACTACGCGTCTGCTTTTCTTCACCAAAATCTGATTTGTGGGCTTTAAATGGGCCTAAACGTAGAGCTACGTGTTATTGAGAGATTCGAAACTATTATATTTTCAATGTACTTTCAGTAAAATATTGAGAGAAAATTAAATATCAAATTTTCATGAAGTGTCAAACAAACAATGCTTTGGTCTTTGACTCTTTCTCATCAGAAATTTAAATACCAAATCATTTTGATAAGTGACAAATTAGAACTCTGTTAACTTGACAATTAACATGAAGGAAAAAAGTCTTCAAACTAAATAATAAGTCCCTATAAATTAAAATGAAACTCAAAGAAACCATAAGACTAGTTTTTATCACAAGTTTGTTCAATTTAGCTTTTGGTGTTTTTCATCTTTTGATGTCTTCTTTAGATAATATATTTTCTTTCATCACATGTTTTATATTAGTATATGTCTATATTCCGACCATGAATATATATATATATATATATATATATCTTGCCTAACTAAATCAATAATTTGAAAGAGACGTATTGATTGGAGCTTTAATAAAAAGCTAAGTTTTGTAAAATTTATTAAATTTCAATTTTGCAAACATGTTAATTCTCAGTTAAAAGTAATATACACAAAACTTATATTGTACACAAATAAAAAAAAGTTAATGAATAATATGCTTGATATAATGAATTCTTGAGAAGCATAAACAAATTATATAACGTGTTATTATTTATTGCTAGCTTAAAACTCTCAAAATAGCTTATTCTCCACACACAAATCAGTCTCAAAATATCCAGATTTCTTTTTATTGTAATAATAATTTGTTTTTTTCTCTTTGATAATACAAAATCTTTCTCTGAAACTTTGGGTCTTTGCCTCCTTGGGATATCTTTTCTTTTGGGTCCACTGTCATGGGGTCATATCCAAATAAATAGTATCCAATTATCAATACGATTTGGTTTGGTCTTCTTTTTTTTCGGCTTTGGTGTTTCTTTGAATACATTTATAAGCCGAAGGCAGAAAAGGACATGAAACAACCAACATTTAATATTTATCTTTTAGTAATCGACATGTCAACGTGTTGTTTTTATCACAGCCACATTAATCAATCCATTATCATTATGACATTATGTAAATCAATCTTTCACATCTCTTGCATAGTAATAAACAAAACAAATGACCACTTTGTGAAAAAAGAAGAAAAAAAATGACCGCGACATATATACAGTTTGTCCAGTGACATTGGTTTATGTAGAGACACGAATGTGGACATGAAACAGAGTTGTCAAGTTTTGGATCTAAACCAAACGGTAATCATCGGTCCAAACTTCATTTTTAGAGAGTTTAAGAGAGTGATTAGAAGTTGTTAAAGGTTTTTAAAGTTTTCTTTAATTAGAAAGTCTAATCAAAATTCCTCCTACAGCTAATTTAGAAAGCTTAGAAAGACCTCTTAAATTTACCAAGGTTATTTTAAAAAAGGTTTCATGGAATATTCATCCAAATACCATAAAATGATAATAGCGAAACAGAAATTTAAGAAGAAAAAAAAAAGATAGCAAAAATCTGATTAGTCTAAAATTATCTAATCTGATGTGTTTACACCCACACACAAAAAAACTAGAAACTAAAAGAATCAAAGGCATTCCCAAGAAATATGGACCCTTGATTTAGAACATCGGTGGTGAATCGGACGGCGAAGGATCCACAAAGCTGAAAATGCTGTCCAAATAATTCTTGTTGTCCTCGTAGTAGTCGTTGCAGTCACCACCACTACTCTCGCCGGCCGTCTCGTTTTTATCGCCGGAGAAACTCTGACCTAGTGAATCGCCGCCGAGCAAGAGATCCGTGAACCCTTCATCGATTCCTTCCCCCATCTGCGTGGCTGCGAACTCGTGGATCGTTGAGTTAATCCAATCGTTTTCGGGTTCTTTGATCAGAGTCAGACCCGTTGATGATCCCACGAACTCTATCTTCGCCGGAACTCCTCCGGTTGACGATTCCTTCATCTCCGAGAACGACACTGTAGATGTCGGAGATTCGAGCTGTTGTTGATGATCTGCAAAGATGAAAAAATTGAACAAAATTTCGAAAGTCATATACACAACTGCAGAGATCATTTCGTGTTCTGTTTTGTTTACCTTCGTTTGATTTTGTCGTCCAGTTGGTTAACAATGCCTTGTGAGTGAATCCATGAAGATGTTGAGACGATGCTTTGCTTTGGTAATGAAGAAGCTTTGATTCTCTAGCAAGCCTTGCTTCAGCTTCAAGCCGAGCACTTTCCCATTGAGCCATGTGGCTAAGTGTGGCTGCGTTCTTGGATAGACCAAGAGAGGATAAAGGAGTCTCGTTTTTGGGTTTATGAGTCACTGGATCAATCCCCATTTTAACCAACCGTTTCTTCAAATGCGTGTTCCAGTAGTTCTTGATCTCGTTGTCTGTTCTCTTTGGCAAATGAGTCGCAATCGCCGACCACCTATATGTTAACAACAACAACAACGTTCAGAAAGCAGAAAACTTTAGGGAAGACTCGAGGATTGAGATTCTTGCATTTTATAGTATATTAGTTACCTGTTTCCTAAGAGAGCATGGAGTTGAATAATGGTTTGTTCTTCTTGCAAGTTGAATTTGCCTCTTTTGATGTCAGGTCTTAGGTAGTTAGTCCATCGGAGTCTGCAACTTTTCCCGCATCGATGGAGACCTTGAGATGGAGAAGATGTAAGAGAGAGTTTCGATAAATGCGAAGAGATGATTGAAAAGTAGTAGTATTTCATTAACTAACCAGCTTTCTCAGGCAAAGAACGCCAACTTCCATGGCCATGTTCTTCAATATAAGCCAAGAGTTTCTGATCTTCTTCTGGTGTCCAAGGTCCTTTCTTTAAACCCAACTTGTCGCAGCACGGTGATCTACCCATTTTATTCCCAAAAAACACCAAAAACCCTCTAAACCTTATTACAGAACAAAGAAGAAGAAGGTAATAAGAGATATCTCATTCATCAAATGATCATGATCATGATCATGATCATAAGACCACAAAGGAATGTCTTTTTGAGCTACAGTTGTAGAAATGTTACAAGTGAAGCATATCTGAGTGATGAAGGATGATATATAGAAGAGAGAGAAAGACACACACACACACACAAGAAATGAATTCCCTTTTTCCCGGCTCTCTCACATGGATGAACATTTATTAACAATGGGGTCTCGAGAACTTATTAACCTTGTAGCTCAAAGACCTGGAAAACAAGTCCCCTCTCTAAATATCTCTGAGAGAAAGAGAGAGAGGGAGAGAGAGAGAGGACACACACAAGCCAAAAAAGCGGTGATCTTTTATTACCTGCCACTGTGACTTTTCCATATCACAGGATCAAAGCGGTTATTTTCCTGTGCTAGAAGTAAATTCAGGTCATGGTCTATGTTATAGACCTCACTTGCTTTATCTTGCAAGTTAGTGTATGGATCACAAGTCCACAACTCAATCAATTCTCTCAAATTTATTGGATTTTACATTTTTTTTCTCGTTCAGCTATCCTATTCTAGTACTCTAATCCTGTCATCCAAATTGTCACCATCGTTCTTACTCATTGAACTTGCGCATATGTAAACGGTTGATTAAAAAAGACTAAAGTTTCAACAACCTATTTTTACACTATGGTTGAAGAAAAATGCCTTTGGTTTCTTGTAGCTACCCTCAGGTTACTTTTACAGGTAGTCTAATAAGGCTATCTTAAAAGTCCACAACGTTGTTCATTGTTTTTTCTCTCTATGTATAATAGTACTATAACTAGTAATCCTTATTAAGTCACACTACATTATGTACAAATTGGTTTCTTTTTCACATTATCTTCTTCTCTCATTAGCCTTTACTAAAAAAGAGTAGATAGTAAATGCTGTTAAAAAGGCGGTGACTAAGAGGAAACTGACACTACAATAGCAAATCAATGAGAGAGAGATAGAGCACAGAGTAGGAGCTATCTTTAGTAGTGAATGCATGTAAATTAATTATGCAAAGACTTTCTTCTTTACTCAATTGTTTCTTTTCTCTGAAAATGGTAAAATTTTAATCTGTGTAAGCAAACGATTAGCAACATTAATTATGATTGCAGTAAAACTCACACGCAACACTATATTAGGAATGCACTAAGATAATCATTTCTAGCCTATACAATGATAGTCTTAGTTTAAAATTTTAAATACAGTCGAGGTTTGAGATATATATATATATATATATATATATATATGTATCTTCCACAACACATGGGACTATACTTAAAGAAAACTCTCTAACCTTAAAAATGATTTAGGAAGCATTTTCTGGTTGAAGAGAAATTAAGTACTTCTTGTTCTTGCTGAAATGACTTCCCTTGTCCAATGATCTATTCATCATTTAATGAAATGTTTATTGGTTATACAAAAAAAAAAAAAAAAAAAAAAAACTCACATTAGATAAAAACAAAAACAAACAGTGTGTTTAGAATCATGTGGAGATTCTATGGGAACACAATAGCATCATAACTTTCACATCAGCTCAGTTAAAAATTGAGACATCCTCTGAGAGCAATGAGCTTGTTGTACTCAGCCAAATAAATCTCATCTTATAGCATAAACTCAAGAACTCATTTACCTTGATTTGATCTTTATGGTTATGGTACAAATGATATCGGCGAGGTAAATTATGCTGCCAAGAAAGGTAGATGATTTATGAAGGAGAACGGTGACATTAAAGAGATTTTACAAGACCAAACAAGGAAAAGTAGCTTAATGTGTTCCATGAGGCCATGAGAGATGGATTTATTGAGGTGGGCTCCAAGCTTGTGGGGTAGAAGAAGTATCTTCATCGAATCACAGAACGATAAGACAAAATCATAAAGATTTGAGCAAGTAAATACAAAAAGAAATCGGTTTTATAAAGAAAAATAAAAACCGAAAATGTATAAATGCGAATATGAAAGCTGAAGAAGAGAGAAAGAAGAAGAGGACATGGATCAAAAGAAAATCATATTGGCTGCAAATGATGTAAAGGACAATGGGGACAAAGCTCTATAAATGTCTTGCTGACTCCATATTGCCAGCTTCCACACTCTGTATGGTCCTAACATACTTTCAATATAGCCGTCATAAATGATGCCACTTGTCGAGATTCTATCGATCCACGACTTCCCACATTTGATGCTACAAATCTCCTGCATAAGTGTACTTGATCAGACTTTGCAAAAACCAAGAAGTTACACCCTATGAAATCACAAAACTGAGCCATATATAAATTCCATGTGAGAAGCAGAGAAGAGACTACTTTGCTTAATGCTCAACCTGCAACATCAGACTGAAAATGTTTAACACTACTAGTTTGGTTTAGTAGAGTTACTGAAGCTTTTTCCAGTGGTACGTACATAAAAACAGTTTTATATTGAAACAAAAAAAAACTTTTAACTACTGAAGAAGAATCGTATAATACAAAAGTCAGATTGGAGAAAGGTTCACTTTGCACTAAACACTTATCTATTTGTCACATTCTGTTTCTATCAACCTCACAAACAACAGCAATTAAGGCGTCGAAAACAAATCTTTAATCACTACCTTAAGAAACCCTTTCAATGGGAAAGAACCCCAAAAAAAAACAAATTAGATTCCTTAAATACTGAAATCCATGACAGTTACATCCATAATTCCTCATGATTTCAGCATATATTATTTTTTTTGTCAAGAATTTTTAGCATATAATATAAAACTTAGCCATACAACTGCAAGTCGACTTTGCAAAAAGAGGCCAAACAAGATAAAAATCATGTTAACCACAAATGGCAAAACGTAAGCATATTATTAGTGACAAGTTAATTGGCAACAAACAACCAACTAAGAAAAATCCCACTTGAAGAAAAACGAAGAGAGAAACAATAAGCAAAATCAGTACAAACAGAGCAATCAATTTCTCAAAAGGACAAAACTTAATAAAAGAGTTGAGTAGTGACGGATCAATTCCTTGCAAAGTCACCTTCAAAGGAGTAATGAAACAACTGAGACATCTCGGACCAAGAAAAGAAGAAAAACCAGACTAACTGAGAAATCAGACATAAGTGTTTCACCACCAACAAGAGCAGCTAAGGTACGAGATTTAACTGTCTTTTTAATTTCCGTAAGGGCGAATCAACAGCTCCTGTACTGTGTATGTAATTTTGCAGCAGCAGCAACATTGTGTTTTCTTCTTCTTCACAAACAAAAACCCGAATAGTTAGTACATTAGCTGATTTTTTTTAATACCGGTTCGGTTTGACTAAACCGGAAATCACATATGAATACCGAAAGTCCACACAATTGAACCAAAAGGGGGAGTATGGAAACGCGATGAACAGGAAGCAAACGAACGACCGAGCCGCTAATCGCCGCCGTCCAAAACTATGGCAGAACTGCACAAATTTCCGATCTTTGAAGCAAATTCACGCTTTTATGGTCGTTAATGGACTCATGTCTAACCTTTCCGTCGTCGGAGAGCTTATTTACTCGGCTTCTCTGTCGGTTCCGGGTGCGCTTAAATACGCCCACAAGCTGTTCGACGGAATTCCTAAACCAGACGTATCCATTTGCAACCATGTGTTGCGCGGCTCTGCTCAGAGCATGAAACCTGGAAAAACGGTTGCTTTGTATACGGAGATGGAGAAGCGAGGCGTGAGGCCTGATAGGTATACGTTTACGTTCGTTCTCAAGGCGTGTTCGAAGCTAGAGTGGAAACACAATGGTTTCGCGGTTCATGGGAAAGTGGTGAGACATGGGTTCGTGTCGAATGAGTATGTTAAGAACGCTCTGATTCTTTTCCATGCTAATTGTGGGGATCTGGGAATTGCAAGAGAGCTTTTTGATGATTCTGCGAAAGCTCACAAGGTTGCTTGGTCTTCTATGACTTCTGGGTATGCTAAGAGAGGGAAGATAGATGAGGCGATGAGGCTTTTCGATGAAATGCCAGAGAAAGATCAGGTAGCTTGGAACGTGATGATCACTGGTTGTCTGAAATGTAAGGAGATGGATACAGCGAGAGAGCTCTTTCATAAGTTTACAGAGAAAGATGTTGTGACTTGGAACGCGATGATCTCGGGATACGTGAATTGTGGGTACCCTAAGGAGGCACTGACTGTATTCAAGGAGATGAGGGAAGCTGGTGAACACCCAGATGTGGTTACAATACTGAGTTTGTTATCCGCTTGTGCAGACTTGGGAGACTTAGAAACTGGGAAGAGAATCCATCTCTACGTATTGGAGAATGCTTCGGCTTCAAGCTCCATATACGTGGGCACTCCTGTTTGGAATGCTCTGATCGACATGTATGCAAAGTGTGGAAGCATAGATAGCGCGACTGAAGTGTTCTTAGGAATGAAAGAACGGGACTTGTCATCTTGGAATACTTTGATTGTTGGTTTGGCCTTGCATCATGCGGAGGGATCGATCGAAACGTTCGAAGAGATGCAAAGGTTGAAAGTCTGGCCTAATGAGGTGACTTTCATTGGAGTTATCTTAGCTTGTAGCCACTCGGGGAGAGTTGATGAAGGGCGTCGATATTTTAGCCTTATGAAGAATGTGTATAATATTGAGCCAAACATAAAGCATTATGGCTGTATGGTGGACATGTTGGGGCGAGCAGGGCTATTACAAGAAGCATTCATGTTCGTTGATTCGATGGAGATCGAGCCTAACGCCATTGTGTGGCGAACGCTTTTAGGTGCTTGTAGGATTTATGGGAATGTCGAGTTAGGGAAGTACGCAAACGAGAAGCTGCTCAGTTTGAGAAAGGACGAGAGTGGCGATTATGTGTTGCTCTCCAACATTTATGCTTCAACAGGTGAGTGGGACGGGGTGCAGAAAGTAAGGAAGATGTTTGATGATACCGGAGTGAAGAAACCGACTGGATACAGCTTGATCGAGGAGGACGATGACAAATTGATGATGCGATATTTACTGTCGTCAGAACCTGAGTCAAAATCAAGAGGTCGGATTAGTTAAGGTAAAAAAACCAACGCTTCATTGCCTACCTATGCAAAGATTGGATAATATTCTGCTATGGTCGATAAATTTGATAGATTATTTCCTTTTTTTGTTCTCTGAGTTTTCAAGTTATCAACTTATACCTCTGAACTGGTACAGGCAACATGATATCATTTTATGTTCGAAGAGAATGCTTAACCCATTTGATAGGATCAGTCTAACTTCAGGATGATCCCTTCCCAAAATCATTGTGCAACTTATAGGTTACCTGTTGACGTTATAAACCTGGTTTTTGTCTTGTCATCTATAAAGTTGATTTCGTGATTTTGGATTTAGCAGAGATTAAAGAACGCAAAAAGGAGAATAAGATATTGTGGTAACTGATGATTAAACACGACTTTTGATAAAGTAACCCATTTACATAAATCACATAGAAAATCACAATAATGATGAGAAAAGAAAAACCAGAAATGCAGAGGATACACGACTGAAAACTCAAGTTCACATTTTTACACACCAAACCATGTATTTCTTAAATCAGGGGAAAAGAAAACTCATATTTCAGGTTAAGACCAGAACTTCAATGGCGTCGGGACAAAGCAATAGCTGATAAGAGAATGAGAAGAATGAGGAGGACGACGGCGATGAAAGATCCAATCAAAGACCCAGAGATACGCTCACAGAAGGAGTTGAACTGTTGACAAATAGCAAACCAATTTGTTTTATTGTTCCCATTGTGTGCCAAGTAGACAATGGCTGCTGCTGAGGATGCTCCAGCAGTTAGAAGACCCAACATTGCCTAACACATGAGGAGAAATCAATTAACATCGGACCTGTAAGCTGTTTTTTTTTTCTTTCTTTATCTACATGATTTAATATGGTTTATCTGTGTAAATGCTTATTTCTTTTTAAGGTTTTTTTTGTTATTGTGTGTGTTTAAATGTCAAAGCTAACGAGAAGGGACATGCGTATGAAACAGGACAAAGTTTACTTTGCTGATGGCTTACCACATCAAGGACGATAAGAACAATTCTACTGTTCTGTGTCTTGCTCGTGACGATGTGTACGAAGGCCAAAGCTAGAGATAAGATGAGGTAACCACTTACAACAGCATTTGCAACCACAAAGAACCTGTTTTGTCAATTAAACGAAGGAAGAAACTCTTTAAGAATTGATCCAGGTTATTTCCCTGATACTCAAAACAGGTAAAAGAATCAAAACGACATACGATAAGGCTGGAAGATCGTTGTACTCGGCACGGAACCGTATGAATTGAGTAAAGAAAGGCAGAGTTTCATTTGTGGTTGCCATGAGGATTGCACTGCTTATGGTGTTGAAGAAGGCAACAATCCTGAGGATAAACTCAAGAATCGCAATTCTTCTGCTCATCAGACCGCTCTTTTGGATACCTTTGCTTGTTTCCACGATTTCAGCCTGACCGGACTTCATATTCGCTCTGCTGTTCTTCAAGATTTTATTTTTAGGTTTCTTGAGAAGGAAATTAGGGTTATCTTGAGTTTCTTGGGAGGTAAGAAATGTATGCTATGAGAGTTTTTGATGAGGGTTAAGAGCAACGAGTGAGAGTGTATATATATTGCATGCATTGGGCCATATTAGTGGTTATGATGATAAAGTCCTTACCGCAAAATTGTACTTGCTAAAGGTATCCCTTTTTCGTATTATAATTCCATAAACTTTGCATGAAGGATATTCTTTATGGGGTCTATACATTTAGACTTCACCACACCAAACCAAACCAAACCAATATACGCTCCTCCAATCTTTCCAGTTTTGGACAACATAAACTGTGTCCAATTTTGTATAGAAAATCTTTAGTTTCAATTAAAAAAAAAAAACAATTTGTTGAAAGAACCAACCATGTGGAGTAGTTAAAAATTATATATTGGAATGATAATTTAGAATAATGGAATTAGCTATGCTCGCATGAGATTTTAACAAACCCACTCACTTTTAAGCTACTTTGGAATTTAGGAAATCTCTAGATAGTTCAAAATTTGAATTAAAGTTCCCAAATGATTGGAGATGGTGAAACCCAAATGGTTCCATGTGTCAAACACATTGTCTATTTGATTTATTAATACCAATTTGAATAGTCATCAATTCAACCATATCAAACTGAAGCAGGACACCTAAACCAAATGAGAATATTTATATATTTACAAAAGTATTTACGCTTTTTGAATTTTAAGATATGACATTCAGCTTTTGAGTTGGCTTATTATCTGTTGCAATTTATATTATTTGTTCAAAATAGATATCACTTACATTAATATTTTTGTTCTCCGAATAAACTTTCACTTATCTTTTTTTTTAGGTCCAATACTTTCACTTATCAATAGTTTAAATTACTAAAAAGTTTACGTCTTTTTCAAAAAAAAAAAAAAGTTTACGTATCATTTTTTTTTTCTCCATTTTGTCTACTTTTACAGTTGTTCTTAAATAACGAAAGTTAAATCATAATGAAAATTGAACGTTTCGTAATATATTAGTCAAATATCGCAAAAGTTGACAACAAAACAAGTCAAATAAACACTCTGGCTCACACATGTCGTTATTTTAGTTAGATAGTTCGACTTCGACGTCCGCTTTTTGGGACGACAGTTGAGGATAATTTAAATAAATAAAACAATTTCAAGCAAAAGACAAAGCAGGCCTCTAAAATTGCATAAAAAGGACATGATTTTATTACATTACAAAACTAGCCCCCACACTTTTAAAAATCGAGTCATCGCTTCCAAGATAACCCATTGCCAGAGAGAAGCCTAGACAAGAACCCTTGACCATTTGTCTTCTTCTCCTTACAAGAGCTCATGTTACTGATCAAAGACCAATGAGTCTCAAAATCAATTTCATAGCCACACTTTTGCATCATGTCCACCATCTCCGAAGCTTTCACTGTGTTGTTCTCCACTCGAAACCGATCAATCACAGTCTTAAACATCTCTTGACTCGGTGTTTCGCCTAACCCAACCATTGACTTGACAAGTCTCTCTGATTCCACAACTTGACATGCCTCGCAATGCTTATGAACTAGATCACTCCATGTATTTATGCTTGGTCTTAGACCAAACTCCACCATTTCTGTATGAAAGTCCATAGCTTTATCCAGTTGGTTGTTGCATCTCAGGAAACCACTGATGACTGAATCATAGCTCGAGGAATCCGGGACATTTCGGTTCTTTATCATTGTGTTCAAGAGATGAACCGCAATGTCAAGATTCCCGAAATCAGATAGTGTCTTGATGAGATTGTCGTAGTTAGGAGCCATCATGCCATTGCGTGTCACACGAATCAGAAAGTCTTTGGCTTTTTGAATTTCGCCTCTCGAAATTAGGGATTCGACGATTTTGGTATGGACAACTGAAGAACCAAAAATCCAGCCTTTCGATTCCATCACCTGCCACAAGTCCATAGCTTTCTTCACATCTCCATTGTCACACAGAGAACTGATCACCACTCTTAAGCTTCGATTGTTCGGTTTCATCCCCTCGGAGATCATATCCGAGAGATATCGCAGAGAACTCGAATAGTCTCCGCACAAAGAGTATCCATGTACGAGAAAGTTAAATGTGGTTTCATCAGGCAACAATCCTCTTCCCTGCATATCGAGCAAGACTTTATTAACCTCCAAGCGATTCTTACTCCGAAAGAGATGGAAAATCAGCAGATTATAGATGATTAAGCCGTCAGGATTGCTTCCTCGTAGCAACAGAAACTCCTTCAGACTAATTGCAGAGAGAAACTGACGCTCTGAACACATTTTCCGAACATATTCTCTGTAACTCGCAACCGAACAGATTACGTTCTTCCTCACCAAGATTCCTAGCACTTCCTCAACTTTCCTCAAGTTGTTGCCTTTACAATAACCTTGAAACATCAAACTGTAGATATCGTTATCCGGTAGAACCCCATTTGATAACATTATCCGTAACTGATTTTCGGCGTCGAGCATCATCACAGCTAAGCATAGTCCTCGTATCAAGGCACAGTAGACAGAAGATGAAGAATCTGATTGCTCTGCTAAAGTAAATGCCTTCTTTGTTTTGTTAGCTCCACAAAGCCTAGGAATTAGCATCAAACAAGTTCCCAAGCTTGGAATGTGTTTCTTGCCTAGCATTTCGTCGAGTATAGCAAATGCAGCCGAATCATTCTTATCTTTACAGAGTCCCTTGATTAGATGGTTGTAAACCTCTTCTTCCACAACGTAACCCTCTCCTTCAAGTCTTTCCACAACAGAATGAGCGATATGAGAAAACCCAAGAACTGTGAGCTTCTCGACAAACACCCTCCATGCTTGTGACTGAGACAAAGGATACGATATGAAAATACGCTCAAAGAGTTTAACCGCTTCCTCCACCATTCCTTTCTGGACAAGACATTCCCATAGAGTTCCGCAACTGTCCAAATCAGGTAACCAGTTTGCATTTTCGGCAGCGTCCCACACACTCATGACATCACTGAGTGTTTCTTTCTTACAGAAACAGCTTATCAAAGATGTGTAGGTTGCGTTATCGATTGGAAAATCCATTTGAACCATTCTATGGAAAATGAGCTTGCTTTGGCGGCTAAGTCCCTTCTTGCAGAATTCTTGGACAAGAAAGTTAAAGGTTTCTCCATCTAACTGATTAGCCAGCTTTGGCCATTTTCCCATTAGGCTAATACCTACTCTGACATGGGAACGCGATGCACAGAGACTCTTCACTAAAACTGTAAAACCTCGACGTGATAGTTTTTGACCCCATCGAGCCATTTCATCAAGAAGCCCCAAAGCTGTTTGTAACTCACCGTCGTTACATGCTCTAACGATAAGCAAATTAAACTCCGGTAGCACAGACCTGTCAAGTACCATATTCACCCTCTGCTCGTAAGCATCCAAATCAGTGTCCAAGTATAGCCCATTCCCAAGATCATCGAAGAACTCTGCTTTGGAGCCTCCGGAATCATTGTCCCTTTTCAATCTAACAGCTAACGGATCAAATCCTACTAAACTAAAAGCTTCTGAAAGCGGATCTTCAACTTTAGATGCTTCGATCAATCCATCACCAAACATCTTGTTAACAATCGTCTTAGCTTCCTCAAACCGCCTAGCTTTGCAGTATCCAGTTACCATTATCTTAAACGTAGACAAGCTGGGCAACACTCCATTTTCCTTCATCTCATCCAGAATACAATGAGTATGTTGCCACAATCCTTTTCTAAAAAGCCCACTCAAGATAGCATTATAAGTATACACATCGGGTTTAAAACCCTTTGACGTAATCTCAGATAAATAAAGAAATGCTCTTTTGATATCTCCTTCATAACAACACCAACCAATCAAGATGCCGAATGTGACCTCATCGGGTTTAAAACCCAAGTGTTCAAGCTCCTCCATATATACATAAGCTCTCTCTGAGCCAAACCTCCTGCAGAGAGAATGCACAATCCTATTGCCAACAAACACATGAGGTTCATATTTAACTTCACCAATGAAACTCAACAAATCCTCAAAGTCCTGCTTCTCGCTGTATCCTAAAGCAATCTTGCTATATATTGAGCTATTCAGGTTACAGCCTAAACCCACAAGCTTTCTCGCCAGGACTCTAGCCTCTTGAACCCTCTTGTCCAAGCAAAGCAACTCGACAACTTTCCCGATTCTGTCTATGTTCACGTCATTTGATTCAGCCGTTGTCTCCACCCAGTCCAAACAAATTTTATAAGCTGATTCTGTTCTGTGAACTCTAACCAAATGATCAATCAGAGACTGGTAACACGAAGTTAAAGGTACTAAACCTTTACGCCTCATCCAATCGAACAGCAAAACTGCCTTCCTGGAATCGAAATCATCGACATATTTCTGGACCAAGTCACAGAAAATTCCTTCGTTATCCAACGTGTCTCCATCGTTCTCCATTTCCATAAGCAACAATTCAGCTTCCTTAACCATTCTTTCCCTGACAAGCACCGATGCCATGATCTCACAAGCCTGAGGTAGATGCTTAAACCCTTTGTATTGCCCACTAGCCCATCTGAAAATCTCCCAGAAAGGTCGGACCTTTCTACCTTCAATTCCACCCCTCTGAAGCTCAGATTCAAACCCAAGTAATAATTCGAGCACATTTTCGGGTTTCAAACCAGGAAATCTTCTAAATCTACGGGTAATATTGGGAATCACATCGGACAAATCCAAAAGATAGTCTTTCAGAGGAGAACCACTAACGCCACGGCTCTGCTGCCCTGCCCCACCAAGAGACCTCGAACCCCGTTCGAATTCACCAGCGGAGAGTAAAAACGGGGAAGATTCGTAATTTCTTGGAATCGCTGAATCATGGCCGAAGGAGGAAGAGGGCGAAGCCGCTGATGTAGTGGAGAAAAACGCGAAAGAGCAACGACATGAGAGGTAAGAAACCTTGTTAAGAAAACGAAGCCGCCGAGTAAAGTTACTGATGTAGAGAAGACTAAGCATGCGATTGCGCAAATACAAATTAATGAAATTCTATTTGCCTTTCTTTTTTTTCATCTGCTGCATTCGAGCTCCAACATTCCACGCAAGGAAGTGACGACGAAACGAAATGGAACGGACAGTAAAGGATCGAAACCACTGGAAACGACAGCGTTTCATCGAGTGCAAATTAAATGTTTGCGATATAAACAGAAACAGGCCTAGTTTTAGTTTGCAACCCATCGAATTAACGTGTTTTTGCGTCCACGATTTCTATTGTTTCGTACATCGAACGTGAGTAATTATCTTGGGAAGACGAAAAAACAAATTATACACAATTTTTAATTGATCCAAGTAGTTTTTACAAACAAAAATTGATGTATGCATAAGAAGTTAAAATAAATCAAGAGAATACTTCTACCAGTTAAACTCATCATTTTACATTCTAGAAAGAAATCAAGAGAAATCTTTCAGGCAAGAAAACTTTTGGAGTGTTCACCCATGGCGAGATGAAGCTACCAACACAATCTAGAGATCAAAGGATTGTTTCCAACGACGAGAATCTTCCAGAAATAGCAACCTGTCTTGACTGGCAGAGAAGCATACGTGCAAAGAAATAACATATAGAGAGAAATAGTTTATATACCTTTCATGTGGACCAAATGGGACAACATATTGATGCCCAAGTGGTTGATTTTACCTTACTAATCTCGATAGATTCTCAATCTTCGCTTTCCCTGCATATGATCTTTAAAGACTCTGATAGATTAATAATGTAATGTTTTGCGATAGTGAAACCTGTCAGAGAGATGCTTAAGCATGCTGTAATACCAAATACATGAGAGCGTTTAACATAATTATATATAAATCATACAAATGGAACTACGCACAACCAAACTAAAGGTTTTCTGATATCTGATCCAAGGTAAACTGAAAGATAGATAGACAGCATTACAGGTAATTGGATATGGTTTAACGGGTAGGAGCTTGGAAGTATTTTGGTCACAAGCGGACATGGAAACAAACTTTAATATCTCATCCATAAGTAATCGGGTTCTCCTAGGTTGAGTTTGGTGGTTCAGCTTTGTCATCTTGTTTGGTGATAAGGCTTCAACTGTGGGCTGTGGGGGGTTCGCTTCAGGCTTCAGGATCTCACACTGTTTTATTGGGACGGGGAAAAAGTTCACAAAGGGAAAAAAGCAGTGTATCAGAATCTGACACCGGGACAGATCAGATCAGATCAGAGTCATGCACTTGGGGCTACATAGCTAGGTAAACTAAGTTTAAAAGAAGGAATTAGGCAAACCACATCGTAATCTAACCTTTTTAATCACCAACCAATAGCTTCTAGTGGTCGTAGTTTCTGCGTCGATAGGTAGAGGAATGACTGGATAACCTGATGACAAAACCCATGATAAGGATCAACCACAAAGACAAATGAAAACCACAAGTCAATGCAGGGCAAATGAAATTAGGAACACCTGATACCGATGTTCTAAACGGTAAATACTTATATATAGTGTCACAAATTCATCAGGGAAGAAATAATCTCACCCAGAACTGCCACTGCGTCCAGATGCATAACCTCCATAAACTCCATATGGAGTACTACTACTACCACCAACCTACGAAAACACGTTCGAAGAGTCATTAATTCAGAATTGATATTTGATCAGTTTGAAAACAACATGTCATGGAACCTTTGAGAAGACATACCGGCGCACCATAAGGCGAATAACCTTCAGCAGACAAGCCACTTGACCCATAGCCTCCAGGATAAGGATTTCCACGTTCAGGTCTTCTGCTATCTCTTCTATCATAGTCCAATCTATCAACAGCATCTGTTGCTGCAACAGGAACATAAGGCAAGACCGGCATAAGTGCAGAAACAGCTCCTTCCCGGTCAAAAACGTTGGCTCTTAATCTTGATGTAATTTGAATGAGAGCTTCCTTGGCAACATCAAGTTCTCCAGAAATCTGACCATCAAAGTTGCTCACGCGGTTAGCGCTCCCCGTGAAGGGATTTATGAGTGAGAGGATAAGCTGCAATCTCAACTAGAGGAGTAGCACTATGATATAGTGAATTTTACCTGAACCATCTCATCATCTTCAGATGCAACTTTTGGAAGATTTTCTTTCCCTAGTACGCGGATGTTAGCTTTGGTCATTCTTCTCATCTCAGTTATAATAGCTCCTCCTTTACCAAGAAGACAACCAATCCTAGAACTTGGCACAAGAAGACGAGTGGTGAATGAAACAATTCCAGAATCTCTTTCCACCTTGTCGCTGCATTTTGGTTGCAGCCGCATAGCTGCTTCTATGGTTGGGGAATACGCATCCTCAAAAACCTACAACAGATTAGACATTATCAGGGAAAGAAATCTGGATAAACTATTCTTACCTAATAGACAGAAGAACATTGAAAGAAGGTCAAACCTCTCTTGCTGATATAGTTATCAGACAATCGTTTCCTTCAGTTCTGGTGCTATCAACTTTAATGGTTGCTCTGGTTTCCTGTCGAAGCTGATTGATTAGAGCTCCACCTTTACCAATAACACTTGCAATGTTTTCAACTGGGGAAACTAGCCGAATAAAGAAATCAGTTGCCGGTGGCTCATGTCTAGGAGCTTGGTATAGAGGGCGTGACCAATCTCCTGCATCGCTCTTGTATCCTCCATAGGAACCCATCAGCGGTGCTATCCCCACAATTCGAGAACTCATGAGTGAACCAGAAGGATACCCACCGGAACTTGCAGAAGAAAGTAGGTTCTGAGTACGTGAGGGATTGTCATGGAGGCGAGAGGCAATCTGATGCAGAGCCTTCTTAACAATAAGCACTTCTCCAGATATCTAGAAAGAAAAGAAATTAAATGATGTCACAAGGAATTCGCCAACAGACACACACATAAGAAAAGGCAATAAAAAGCAAAACACATAACACCTAGAAACAGAGATTTCCTTTCCCATAGATACCTGAATGAGCTCATCTGAACTCAAGGCACATAGAGGCATGTTTCGGTCCTTGATGATGCGAATCTGAGCACCTGTTTCACTCCGAATGTTCTGGACAATTTGGCCGCCTCTCCCGAGAATGCATCCAATCTGATCCGAAGGAACAAGCAGCCTGGCGGTAACTTGGTGCTCTCCTTCAGAGCTATCCTCGCTTTGCGCATCATCCGCAACTACTCTGTCATGGATCCTGAACAACGCATCCTGCGCAGGAGAAAGAACTTTCTCCCCATCTCCAGAGGCATTGGTCTCGTCACTAGGGCTGTAGATCGTAATCACGCGTTCATCACATCCTGGCATCGCCTCTCCTATTCTAATTTTCGACCTAGTCTCCATCCTCAGTTGCTTGACGATATCGCCTCCTCTACCAATGACACTACCAATCTTTTTAACCGGGCACAGGTATCGGAATACAGTATCGTCGCGGTCGATTACGAGCGAGTCTCTGTCATCACCACGATATCTCCTTTTGCTTCCACCGTCGTCATCGTAGTCAGACTGAGGACGAGACCTCTTCCGATGGCTGTCTCTATGATCCGGCGACATTGTACCAAAATGAGGCAAATCGGTACCTTCCAATATAATTCAAACAATCAAAACTCCAAATCTTATGATGAGTTCTTTCAACAAAGCAAAATTTTAGCACTACACAACCATTTAACCAAGCATGCGAGTATGTTGTATATCCATGAGAATCAAATCAAATTTCGCAGAGGATCGAAGAAATATATCAAATTCAGAACTCAGAACTCTACTCTATCACACGAACAAGCACCGCAGCAATAAACTAACCAAAATGAGAACAGCAAGCCGAAAAAAGCAAATGGGGGACGAACTCAACACAGGAAAGATAATAGATTACGATTACAGATCTCAGAGACGTTTGGATTGGAGAAGAAGAAGTACGAACCTTGAATCCCCTGACGAAATCGTTTCTTCAGATTTGGGGTTATATCTAGGGTTTGCGCGGACTTTAATCGGTTGGTTTGTTCAATTATATGATTTGCGTATTGTTTTCCGATTTTACTAATACGCCTCAAGCATTTTTAATTATTGTCATTATCTCCCCCATCTTATTATCGCTTATCCTATTTAGCCCCTTAATCTGAAATCCTGTTTAGATGTTAGATGTTGCATTTACTTTGCAGAAGTTAATTAATTGTTCCTTTTGAAGATGCTAATGCTAAACCTTTATCTTCAAAGGCTGTTAATTTTTCGGGTTATCGTCAAATACAGTAAAGGTATTTTAATCTGATTTTGAGACTTAAGGGGCAGATAAAAATATAATGAAAACTATCTGGGTTTATTAACAAATATTTGCAGAATATTTAACTAGCTTTGTTGTGTCTATTTGGAAAGGAAACCGAGAAACTAGACCTTCGGTTTGAAACTGAGAGCTCGGAACCAAAGGCTGTCGAATTATAGTTTTACAGACTTGCCGTGATCAAAAAAGGATTTTCTTTGCAAGAAACGATTAAGCTTTTGGTTTCGCGTTTGAATTGTTGTACTTGAAATGAATCAGGCTATATCGATGGTTTCATGTTATATATGCTTCTTCTTTAGGGTTCTTGGATCTTATTCAGCTCGACTGAAGTTGATGCATTTACATGCTTCAGGCCAAATCTATTGCTAATCAGTCTATCAGCTTATTACGACTTATATAAAGCCATTTCTTCTTTAGTAGTTTTCATTTAAGACATGATACATTCGATTATTTTTGGTTCTACAAAATAATTACAAAAATAACATATCATTTTGAAATAGTAACAAATACTTTCTAGTGAAACTAAAAAAAAACAACAACAACTGATGATGTGTCGGCATGGTCCACCAATTAAATCAGAAAAATATGTTACAATTTGAACTCGTAATTTCCACAACTGAAAGAGTAAAGCTTAACTTATCGAAATCTAAAATTTCCAAATTACATTTGTTATTCATAGCAAGAACATCATCATAACATTATGTTTACAGAAAGCAATTGGTGTTATGAAAGTGGAGGAGATTGGGGAGGAGGAGAGGCGACAAATCCACTCCAATTGGTGTTAGACTCCGGCGGCAAGTAATCCATCAGCTCCATCGTCTTCCGCACAATGCCTTCCTGTATTTTCCCACTAATAGTATTAGCGCAACATAATTAAACATGTGTGTATACAATATTTCTTCCTTATTAATATTGTTTTTGGTTGACTGTTTTTAAAATTGGTTTTAGTGACATGAACTTAGATCTGAGGTCTTCGATAAATTATATTGGACTACTTATATATATATATATATATATATCTCGATATGTTAATTTTTGTGTCTCAATCATGATCCCTATTTTATAATTCTTTATAAGCAAGACAAGAAACCAAATTTAATCTTTGAACTTGGGATAACTAAGTGTCCTTTTTTTTTTCTTCTTTGAAGTTAATTACGAGAAAGTGTTTTTTTGTATTTAACTTTGGCAAGAAAATTTAGGATACAAAAACGCAGTCCAAAACGTAAAACAATCGTTCAAAAGTCTCTCTGAAATGTTTTTGACCTAGTTACGAATTTAGAAACCGTTTTTTCAGTGTAATAGTCAAAATATTTTTACACTGGCATGGCCATAACCATAAACTTACTATATATAGGTTCTCTTCTTTCTTTTACATCCAATATAATTAAGTTCCTAATTAAAAATCGTGTTATATAATTTGTATCCCTCGATAATTTGAAGAAACTAATTAAAGAGACGCAAAGAACAAAGAAATACCTTTGCAGGATATAGCTGAACAGTATTGTAAACTCCCGACAACTTTGCAGTTCGCAAGTTTCTCCCCACGGCTTAAAAGTTCACAAACAAAAAAATCATCAGGCATAAATTTAAAGCCAAAGTAAATATAAGGGACAAAAAACATAAGCTCTCTCAATACAGTGGGATCTGTTTAACTAGGAGGAAGCTATTACCAGCTGAGAAGAAGATTAGTAGTAAAAGAGAGGAAACAAGCAGAACTTTGAAGAACCAAGATTGACCCATTGTTGTCTGGTTGAAGTTCTGAAGATTTTATTTATATTAAATTTTGTTCTTATTATTTAATTATAGATTCTGTTAGTTATTAATCCATTGCTATTATTATAGTAAAACTTTAATAAAGAGAAAAGGGAACCTCTAGTTTCAAGGTTTTCCACTTTTCCTGGAAACTGCTTCAGCTTCAGATCCAATGAAGAAAGATGGTAACCTATAATTATTTTTATTTTATTATACTTAAGTTATACTATTAAGAACTAATTAAACTTATAAACTGCCAGTTGTTGTTATGAGGCAAACTCGCAAGTGTGGGTACACGTGTAAACCCAATGCTTCCACGTGATATGAACTGGAGTCAAGCTTCTCATGTCTGCCACTACCAAAGAATATCAGTTGTAAATTTTCTTTTATACGAGCTAACTTTAGAAAATATATGAATTCTGCCAGATTTAGATTTTCTAATAAAAGCAAGACTTTCTCCACTTTATAATCAGTTTCTATAATCACTATTAAGCTACGCAGGCACTTAGGCTATCGTCCACAAGGTTGGCAAGTATGGACTTTTTGGGATTGGACTATGGAAATAAAAACGACTTTTGGGTATTAGAATTGCGAAAAGAAACCAAGTTGACAAAAAACCAACAAATAAACAAAAGTTACACATTTGCGCGAATTCGTTTTATCCAGAAAAGATATCGATTACCGTGTTTAATTTATTCAATTTTAATTAGGGAACAAGGTTTGACTTAGTTTGAGTTGAATATCATGTTGCCTTTTCACTATAATGGCCGTCCATATAAACTAACACATAACAAGACAAATGAATAAAGAAACTGTATTAATTAGAAAGCAAAACTAAAATAAATGCTAAATTAATGTTGAAGCATGTGATTATGAGAAATTTTATAGAAAAGCAAAAGAAAAATACCTTTTTTTGAAAATTTTGATATACAAAGCACTTTAGTGCACATATAACTAACGTTTTGAATGGAAGCTAGCTCCGAAGTAGACGAAAAACGAACCAACACGTTGGTTTCCACAATTTTCAGTTTAGTCAACTTCAGGAGTCAGCCACTACGTTGCATAATTTGGGCCTGGGCTTCATTTTTGTTTTTGGGCTTTTTCTAGTGGTTTCCTACTGTCATATAAAATAAGTTTTAAAAGGACGGACCAAGTAACAATAAATCAAAGCTTGTCAGAACAGAGCCAAGCCGAACACAAAAATAAGAAGCCTAGAGAAAGAAGAGAAGTCTAGTGACCCACGAAATCAACAAAGTATCTAAAGTAATAAAGTCAAAATTAATAACAAAAATTGATAATTTTTTATTAAAAAAAAAACTGTACTTTGGAGAATGGGGATACATACACCTATGCACGAAGGATTGAGTTTTTCATTTATCTCGCTCATAATCATCTCAACGCGTGTGTGACTCCATCTCTTCCTTCGTATACGACACGATCATCAATTCGGACCGTAAAGAGTGAAACTTTAATTGATGACGACGAAGACGATCTAGATTTTCCTTTTATATATTGAATTCCCCGACTCCAGATTTCTTCCCAGTTTTGTCTGTTTTTTTTTTATCACCACGGGTGATGTTGTAGTTTCAACCGCGATTACGTTTCCGACTTCTCCATATTCGATTCAGCTTCTCTTTTATTTATATCGATCCTTGGAGCTTCGGTGCATACCGATTGGATTTTGAATTAGTCTGCGAAACCCCATTTCGTCTCGTATGAACTGGGAAGTCGGAGTTTGAAGATTTTTCATCGGATTGGTTTTCGAATTTAATTCCGGTGGGGGCGGCTTCAATTGATTTCGATCACAGATTGGACCCAGTTTTCGATCCAATCCAATCAGGTTCACTCCAATTTTTTTCTGTTAATCGTAATCTGATTAAAGTTTCTCAGGAATTGGTAGGTCGATCTGATTTTGATTGTTGGTGTTTGATTGCGATTTGAAGCGGTTCTTAGGGCTAACCCGGAATCGGAAGAACCGATCTGATTCGGTTTCGATTTTTCAAAACCGCCCGAGTCAATCTCTGAGATGGTATATTTCCAGAGCTCAATCTCCGTCGTCGACCAATCTCCGATCATGGCGAACTCTGCAGATTTTCACCACCCGAGACAAAGGAGCAGCAGAAAGCCAAGCAGCTGTTCGAGTTTCCCGGTCTGCTGCGACGGATCCCGGTCGGCTGCAATCGACGTGCTGATCCTAATCGCCGTGATCACGTCCTCCGGGTTCTTGATCTTCCCTTACGTCAAATTCATCGCCGTCAAATCCGTGGAGATCTTCTCGGAGCTCTCATGCTTAGTCAAGGAAGAGATTATTCGCAACCCTGACCCGATCGTCTACGGGTTAATCGCGTTAAGCATCTCCTGCACCGCGTTATCCGCTTGGATGATTGTTATACTCCTGTGTAGCCGCCATAAATGCGGGAAGCCGAATTGCAGAGGCCTTGGGAAAGCTAATGCGGAGTTTGATATTCAGCTTGAGACGGAGGATTGTGTCAGGAGCTCGAGCAATGGAGGCTCGAGTGGGAAGAGCGTCAGCAAGAAGGGGCTGTTTGAGCTGCCTCGTGATCACCACCGTGAATTAGAGGCGGAGCTGAAGAAGATGGCTCCACCGAACGGACGAGCCGTGCTGGTTTTTAGGGCCAAGTGTGGGTGTTCTGTTGGGAGATTAGAGGTTCCTGGGCCTAAGAAGCACCAACAGCAGCAAAGGAAGATCAAGAAGTGAATAATGACAAGAAAAAAAAGGTTCTATCTTTTTGAGTTTTAAGGATGGGATCATTGCAGGTTATGATGATAATGACGATGATTACACACTTTGATTAGCTTATGAACAACTCCTTTGTATTCGGGTTTCGTTTATTTTCACAAGAACTTCGTACACAAACTAATACTACATATGTCAATCTCCATGTGTTTAAATAAAAGCTTTACAATGAGGATATTGCAGAGAAAATGGTTTATACTTTATACTTTAGTGTGTTCTCTTCGTGTTTCTTGATTCTGTGTCTTTTGTTCCGACTTTCATGGTTAGTGATTCAAACCCTTATCTATGATGATGCTCTGGCTTCTGGCATTTTTTTGTGTTTCTGGTATATGATCTAGTTGGGAATTTTATCATAAATGGTTAAACTTTTTGGGACTGTTACTTTCATTAAAGAATATGTCTTCAACTCAGGAAATCTTCGTTAGTCAAAAAGTCTAGAGTTTTGCCATTAGGCATTAGTTTCAACGTAGCCGATCCAATTATGTAGATAGCAGCACCTTTACTAGTGAAGGGAGATAGAGAGAGAGAGAGAGAGGGATGCCGTTTAGTTATTGAGTAGATCAAGCAAACAATGACATGTGTATTTGCCTTTTTACCCTCCAAGTGTATGGTTTTATATGAATCCAACTGAACAAAAAAATACAGGGAAAGGAGGAGATTGAAAATGATTAAAGGTTGAGATTTGTTGTAAGACTAGGATTATATCAATCTCAGGTTCAATCTATATATATATATATTCACTGATTCACACATATATGTGGCGGTTTATTATATAAAGATTTTTTGTTCAATAGTACAATCTCTAGATCATTCAAGAGACAATTATATGTTCCAGAGAAGACAAAAGAAACTAGAAACATCCTCTAGGTTTGAGTCATCCACTCATCATCACTTTTTCTGTTTATATAACAATCTCGAACACATTCAAGAACTAAAAACATCAAAAGACCAAAAGTTTATCTCAGAAATTATAGCCTTTGACGCATAATCTCGAAGAAGAAAACAAAGACATTTGCTCTTATGTTGAAAATGGCATCTTCATCATCAGCTTTGTCTCTCCCTCTCTCTAACATCCCAACCTGTAATAATAAGTCCCAAGAGTTTCCAAAACCGACCCATTTATCTAAACCCAACCACAGGCATAACCTTCTTCTCAAACCACAAACTTTAGACCATAAACTCACCAAGAGAGCCCTACTGAATTTGACTACCTTGGGATTTACGTCATCTCTAGCAACTTTTTTGGCTCGCCCCGCGAAAGCTGAACCAGAAGCTCCCATGGAAGCCACTTCCAATAGAATGTCGTACTCGAGGTTCCTGCGCCATCTGGAAGAGAATGAAGTGAAGAAAGTTGACTTGTTCGAGAACGGGACTGTTGCGATTGCAGAGATCTCCAATCCGGCATTAAGAAAGATCCAGAGGGTTAGGGTTAACCTTCCCGGTTTACCGGTCGATCTGATCAGGAAGATGAAGGAGAAGAACGTAGATTTCGCTGCTCATCCCATGGAGGTGAACTGGGGAGCTTTCTTGCTCGATTTCTTGGGGAATTTCGGGTTTCCTTTGCTCTTACTTGGCTCTCTGCTTTTAACATCTTCTTCGAATAAAACCCCTGCTGGACCCAACTTGCCTTTTGGTCTTGGGAGGTAATTTCATTCGTAATTAATATCTGAATATTAAGCCAAGATTGAGTTTTAAAAGTATGTTTTCTTGTAACAGAAGCAAAGCTAAGTTTGAGATGGAACCAAACACCGGGATAACATTCGAGGATGTAGCAGGAGTAGACGAAGCCAAGCAAGACTTTGAAGAGATTGTTGAGTTCTTGAGAACCCCAGAGAAATTCTCAGCCTTGGGGGCTAAAATCCCCAAAGGCGTCTTATTGACCGGACCGCCTGGAACCGGAAAAACTCTCTTGGCCAAGGCCATAGCCGGAGAAGCAGGTGTTCCGTTTTTCTCATTGTCCGGCTCGGAGTTCATAGAGATGTTTGTTGGTGTAGGAGCATCTAGGGTTAGAGACTTGTTCAACAAGGCAAAGGCTAATTCGCCTTGTTTGGTGTTCATTGATGAGATTGATGCTGTTGGAAGAATCAGAGGAACCGGTTTAGGAGGAGGAAACGACGAACGTGAGCAAACGCTAAACCAGATTTTAACCGAAATGGACGGGTTTACTGGGAATACTGGAGTGCTTGTGATCGCTGCAACGAACCGGCCAGAGATTCTAGACTCTGCTTTGATCCGACCAGGAAGATTCGATAGGCAGGTATGTTTGGTTAACTCATAAGCTTCTTGATGTTTTATATCTTGCAGAAATTTTCAAATTCAAAGTCAAACCGGACCGATTTGGTATAATGTAAATGTGGTCTTGAACAGGTTTCCGTTGGTTTACCGGATATCAAAGGAAGAGAGGAGATATTGAAAGTTCACAGCGAAGGCAAAAAACTTGACAAGGAAGTGAGTTTGAGCGTGATTGCCATGAGAACTCCCGGTTTTAGCGGAGCTGACCTGGCGAATCTTCTGAACGAAGCAGCTATTCTCGCCGGAAGAAGAGGAAAAGACAAAATTACCCTCAAAGAGATTGACGACTCGATTGATCGGATAATCGCCGGTATGGAAGGGACGAAGATGAACGACGGTAAAAGCAAGGCGATTGTAGCGTACCATGAAGTCGGACACGCAGTTTGTGCGTAAGTCCCGGTTCAATTCAATCATTAGTTTTCGTTTCTCTGGTTTAGTCAGTTTATTAATCGGATTTTCTTCGGTTTAGGACATTAACGGTGGGTCACGACCCGGTTCAGAAAGTATCATTGGTTCCGAGAGGTCAAGCACGTGGTCTCACGTGGTTCTTACCGGTGGAAGACCCGACATTGGTTTCGAAACAGCAATTGTTCGCTAGAATCGTCGGAGGACTCGGAGGCAGAGCCGCTGAGGAAGTAATTTTCGGAGAACCGGAAATAACCACCGGAGCCGCCGGCGATCTCCAGCAAATCACCCAGATCGCAAGACAGGTAGTATGATATAGTCATTAAACCCAAATTTTCAAAACCGGGAATAACCGGTGATTTGCTAATTCTTCTCTTGTCTCAGATGGTGACGATGTTTGGTATGTCGGAGATTGGTCCGTGGGCTCTAACCGACCCAGCGGCTAAGCAAGACGACGTCGTTCTAAGGATGCTCGCTAGAAGCTCCTTGTCCGAGAAACTCGCGGAGGAAATTGATTCGTGCGTGAAGAAAATAATCGGTAACGCTTACGAGATCGCGAAGAATCACGTGAGGGATAACAGAGAAGCCATAGACAAGCTTGTTGATGTTTTGTTGGACAAGGAGACCTTAACCGGAGACGAATTTCGAGCAATTTTGTCTGAATACACTGATAAACCGTTAAATACCGAGGATAGAGTTCGAATCAAGGACTTGATTAGTGTGTAATATAAATCTAACCGGAAACATGAATAAATAAACAGATAAATAATGTGGTGTATATATCAGTTTTACAAATTTTCTTACTAGCTAGACAAAAAAAAAAAAACTAGACCTCTCTCACCTGTTGGGATTTCAAAACTGGCCAAAAATGTCCTTCATCGCTTGGTACGTTCCGGTTACGACAACCACGATACCGACTAGTATAATAGCGAGGAGCAGCAGTGTTTCGAACCCGAGTCTTCGGTATTTGCCGGAGATCTTTAGGTAACACAAACATGGCAATATAACCGACGCCGTTGCGCTCAAGAATGCTCCGACCAAACTCATGAGATCACCAAAAAACGGAAGAAGCAATGCCACAATCACATTGCTAGCTACCAACATCGTACCAAGAACTATACCAGCTGATTTTTTGTTAGGCAAAAACCGGGAAACCCGGCTTCTCATTGCGTCGATAATAGGTGTAACCATGAGGGCAAACTTAGCAATCGGGCTCACCAATGTAGTGCATATAGCCACTTTTGAACCAAGCTTATCAGTCGGAAGATTCAGTGTTATCTGTGAATCCACATTTGATCCATACATTAAGTAACCCAATATCGCCACCGATGCATATATGAATGTGCATATTGTGAAACATATAACCATAACCTACATATGCAAAAAAAAAAAGAAACATGCAAAAAAATTAGTATGAACTCCGGACCAGAAAACATCTATTGATGGTGCATCTTGATAAAAACTTACGTTCGAGAATTGGCGTTTGTTCTTCATGGAAGTGTATAGAGTTGGGAAAACCGGGTGGGCGCAGTAACAAAACGCGTATAAGCTCACAGAAGTGGTGACTCCATTAAGACGAAATATCTCGGAGTCATTGTTCTTGAACCCAACTCCTTCAAATGCTCCAACCCAAAAGATAGAAGCAAGAATCAACCCGGAAGCAAATACACCGCTCGCGGAAACATAAGAAAGAATCCTCATATTGTCTAACCAAACGGAGGGAAGAATGATGAGTGCTACAAGAACGATGAACATGTGCTTGCCTCCAAACTCTATATCCATGAATTTGAAACCAACGTTTGAGAAGAGTTTATTGAGGTTGTCACCTTCTAAGATCAAGAAGCTAGTCGCGACTAGGTAAAGCTCGAGGTTCATGAAGATGGAGACAATGACTCGTCCTGTGTTACCAAAGGCTTTGTAGCCAATGTCTGGATAAGATCTAAGAAGTGGGTCCATGTCCATACATCTCTTAATGAGAATGGCACAATAGAAAGTTGTGATGGCTACGGTGAAGAGTATGATCAAACTTAACCATCCTCCAGATGCTAATGCGTAAGGGACCGACAGTATACCCACACCTAAAAAAAGAAAGAAAACAAATAGTTGATTAGAGGAATGATTTGTTAAAACGCAAATCCAAATGTTATTTTTTTGTGTTCATACGTCTGAATTTTAAAATACAAACGCAATCTGCGTTCAAGATCGTTACCAAGAGATCATTGATTTGATCCAAGAAGCTTGTAGTTGTAGAGGAAGAAGAACACAAATTGAATAAGGAAAAAAGTGTTGTTAGTGTGTTAGGTTTGCTAAGTGACACGTTGGATTTGGATATTGAAAGAGAACTTGAAGTCGATTGCTTTTTAAAAAATCAACACTTAGGTTTGTTTGTTTGTATACAATTTCATATTTATATATAAGATAGTACATGGTTTATACTTTATAGTAATGTTTGGCCAAACATGTGTAGAACTAAACACTACTATTTGCTCTATGAACATTAAACACGAGCATATTTATACAATAATATGATAGTGTGTGACCCTGTTTAATCGCTAATACATACTACTAGCATTGGGAAGTCCAACAAAAGTTCGGTTTGTTTAGCTTTATTTTTCCTAACTATATTTTATCAAATTTTTTGAAACTGAATCTAGAAGAAGAAAAGAAAACCCAATTCGAATTGAATTAATTTTTGTTTTGATATGGTTCATATAATTATTAAGGGGGCAAAAAACTAATTAATCAAAAATCTGAAGCAAAAGATAGGAGCGAAAGATAAGAGATAGGACGGAACATTCACGCACGAAATTAAAACAATTATTCTATGATACAAGATAAAGTCAAAAGATTGAGTTAAGAACATCGAGAATGTAGCTAACTTAAAAAAAAATTCTATCATAGTATCAAAAATGACTATAATGACTATTATACATATCGATGTTCTTGGCCGTGAGTTATGGAGCTTGGAGATAAGAATAACAGGTGTTGAACAAATCAAAAAGGGAAAATTAATTTAAAAAATACCAAAAAGGGATAACAAACCTGATAAAGCGTTAATGCCATGGAAACAAGTCTTGGAGAAAGATGTATTGCCCTGTGAATTATGATTGAACTCATAATCATGAAGCGTCGCTTCTTCATCTTCAATCTTCTTAACGATGAAAGGTTCCGACATGAAATTTTCCTTCTCGTTCATAATTGTTTAATCCTCGACTCTCTGCTCCTTCGATGTAGGAAGAGACAAAGAGAGAGACAGATCGAGAGACGAAGGAATATAAGATAGAGAGAACTCGCAAGTAATGAAAACTCAGAAGGCAGAATATAGCTCATTTATAGACACATGACAGTATTAGTATAGAGCCGATGTTTATGCATAATATTTTATTAAATAATTCATTATTTTATTACAAATTATAGAAATAACTAGAATGATAATGTTTCACGACTCTATTGGAGATTTTCTGTAAAACTCTTTTCATTGATTTGTTAAAAAATTGTAGCTTCTGAAAATTTAAATCCAAATTTTTAATATAAAATCTTTAATTAAATTTAACGTGTTTGACCAAAAAAAAAAAAAAAAAAATTAAAGTGCGTGAGAAGTAGAAGATCTTTTTATTTTTTCCAATACATTGACCAAATCCTCTCTACATGGGATTTTCAGAATCAAATTGGATACGGACAAAATCTTATAATCATCAATTCTAATACTATCATTAATTGCTATATAAAAGACAGTAGAATAGTTTTTATTGTTACAAATTTAGAAAATGTCATAGCCATTTTTTTCTATTGTTTTGTATGAATAATTATATCTAACCATTTTTCTTAATTAAAATTAAATAACTAATACATATAGTTTTACCAATCTTTTAAAATTATAAAAATATATGTTATGAACAAACATAATGTGGACCGCTCAAGGGGAAACCAATCAAATCATTTTTTGTTGTCGCTTATCATTTTTCAAGGTCTTCTTATTTTCCGAAACTCACTATTTCTTGGTTTAGAATTTTACGTGTAAACAATGTTTCTGATTCGAATAGTATATAGTAAGAATTCAGAGTATGGAGTATCAAACTATGAACGATGACCATAATATAAGCGAAATTCAAAGTGAATTTGTACATATAAAAGACGTGAGTTTTGGACCTTTTGGTATGCTTTTTTTTCCGAAAAAGCAATGTTAGCTCACGATTTGATTAAGACCCTAAACACCGAGCAATTGCATACTAACAGGACGACAAAAAAAAATGACATGTTGACAGAAGCTTTAAATAATTTATTGATGCTCGCAAAACTCGTTTCATTACAACAATTATGGCCTTTGACCTTGATTAATTACTTAAGAACAACAAAAAAAGGAATATGATTAGCTACTTTATAAATGCGTGAACCATAAAAAAAAAAAAAAAACAAAACAAAACTACAAACGTATGTGGGTGGTAATGATTTCGCCACCGTCTCAGAAAACTCCGCCATCTTGTCATTTGTGAACCTTGGCAGTTTACGACTTCTGCGAGGAAGAAACACGGTTTAAACGGCAAACCGAGTTCAATAACCGACTCCCTTGCCGGATCTATTTCCATTACCTTAGATTTGAGCGGGTTTAAATTTTGGTTCTTGTTTTATTATTCTACATGTAGTTGGGCTGATGAGTTTCAGAAATTGGGCCATGTCACATGTACTTCTGCGTTTCAATAGATTGTGTGAAATTACCATTATATAGATTATATCTTTGAATCATTAATTTCAGATAGTTAAAGCAGATACATATCATTATTAATATTGTTGAATAGCAGTAAGCCGCGTACCTGCTGTTTAAATTATTCTGTTGGAGTATTTATTGTGACGTGGTGGGTAATGATATAACTGATAAAGACAGTTGGTAAAGTTTGTGGTTCATATGAAGGCACCCATTATGTTTATCCTTGTCCTAATTTATTGCGAACCTCACACATACGCCTCTCGTCGTAGAGATGATGGCAACAAAACGCAACCGCGTAGAAAACGTGATTTTGATTTTTTTAAAACGTGCAAAAAAATAATAATCAATAATGGGCTTCTCGGGACTGGGCTAACTGGAAAATCAATAATTGGTTGCGTGCATTGGGCCAAGAGAACCGTTCGCAAATTGTAAGGGAAAACTATATAGATGAAAATATCATTTAATTCATAGGCCACTCTCATATTTTTTCGGACTTGAAACAAAAGCCCAAAGGAGTGGCATAACATTACAACATTAGGAATTAAAAAAAACAGATAAAACAAGAGAGAGAGAGAAAAAAAAAAGCCACTGATCAAAGTGAAATATTAATTTTATCATCGAAAACTTTTATTATAAAAAAGGAACGATGTGAAATTTGGAAGTGGGGAAGTCTGCTTCAAGGGCATTTTGGTCCACCCTGTTGAGTTTTCCAGTTGTTGTAGCAAGAGCAGAATTCTTTGTACCCGTAATAGCCAGGAGGCACACACAAACACTTTCTGCAGCATTTGTTGCAGAACAGTATGCACGCGTTGCGGTACTGAGTCTTGCTACACCTTGTATTGCATTTACTGGGGCATTCTGGTAATTTACAAATCATCCAAATTGAGAAATCAGTGGATATTTAAAAAATATATATTAAAATAAAAACTGAATCTAGTAAAAAGAAACGTAAAATGATGATAAAATAACTGTTCATGTCGTTTTGACCGTTTGTGGGTCCCAAGACAGTGGGTTACTTTGACTCTTGAACCATTAGTTAGGGGTAAATTGGTCAATATCTAAATTATTGTGAGAGTCTACGGATCTGACCAAACACTGTCCACTTAACAACACTCCACTTTCAAACTGTTCATCAATTCTATGGAATTAAAATGCTCTTGAGACTTTTCTGCAGTTAATTATCGATTTGGTCTTTTTATCGTCAGATGTAATCCTAAAATAACTGGTTAAGAAAAAAAACTGTGAAGGAAACACTTACGTTTAGGTTTCAAGCTTCCTGGTCTATAATTTTTCTGAAAATTAACCAAAAAGTAGTGAAGTCATAAGTTCATTGATATAAGAGAAAAATTGGTATTTAAAAGGCACTGTTGGTTCAATTTAAATAATAAAACTTACCGGGTTCCAATTCCCTCCAGATCCCTTTAAGGCCATAACCTAAAAACCAAACAAAAAAAGTACAAGTACAATTATAATTTTTTTCTAAAAAGGCAATCTCAAAATATTTGCAACCAAAAGTACAATAATAGATTCACATTCTTCTCATTGTTCTTTAATTAAGGAAACATTGTGAGAAGAAGAAAAAACGAGATGATACCGTGGTTTGAAGCATGGAGAAGACAATGAGGGCCAAGAGGAAGAGAGCTCCATACGACTTAGCCATACTGATCTGTTTAGGATATTATTATCCTAAGAACCAAACACTCCTCTAAATCTCCCAAACAAGTTTTGTCTCTTTTTGTTTGAGCTTTTAAAAGAAGTGTACTGAGAGAGGAGTTTTGGTTGAGGACCCTATGATGTTGCATATAAGCTATATATACACACATTTGCGTTTATTAATTATTGCGTGTGGCGATACATATCGTTATTACCGTACTCCTCCATTTATTATTTGACACGTATGCCTCTTGTGTTGGTCCTCAATTTGTCACTTGCTACTGGTAGACACTGTGGTTAGGATGGTTTTGCACATGGTTTAAGAAAGCTTAAACACATTTGAATTCGTGCTGTTTATAAAATTATTATGGACTGTAACATAGTTTTTGACGTATTGAAAATTCTACGGCAGAATTTTTCATCTTATAAGTTTTCAATCTCACAGAGAGTTTTCGAAAATGTATGTAGTTTATCTTTACATTCATTACAGAGTTTCGAAGGAAACCAAACTAATAAAACTTCAGTGCTTCCATCTCTACCGGATTTTATGAACAAATACTTGTTTTGTGGCAATGAATTGGGTGCTTGATTGGTGGGATTTAATGAAAAGACGAGACAATATTAAAAGTCTTAACCACAAATATATAATCTCAGTTAGTAAAAGATAATAATTATTTTTAACCCGATGAAGAAAATTAATCAACATTGTAATTTAATAATTTTAAAAAAGGAAAGAAAAAAAAAAAGAAGATAGAAAAAGAAGGACGGTGCATTGAAGAAGGAGACGGGAGTTAGATCTGTCCAACGGTCCCAACGGTAAAATTGTAATCACACTCTTAGTATACGTATTTTATTAATTAACAGTAATACATTTCTTGTTGACGGATTATGACTAATTCAATAAAGTTTTAGTATAAAGTCAAGATAAATCTATCAATCATTCGTATACCTTCATAGTTTTCAGATAAAACTAGCTCTAGATCCCCTATTATAATTAGGGTTTTTTTGTAAAAGGTTATTTGCATACGGAGCTTTCAGTTCTCCATTATCTATCGATGAACAAATTCGTGGTAAAGTGAGATAGTAGCATAATGAATAGTATTTTAGAGTTATGATGTATAGATAACACATTTCTTTGGTTACACTGATTTGAAATCTGCAAGGTACCAAAAAACACAGGTAATCGCACCACTAGGCTTGTCACTTATGTAACATATCAGGTCGGAAGTGAAAGAAAAATTACGATTAATAAGAAAACAACTTAGAGACACATATGCAACAATTAAAACGTATACACGCACACAAATACATACCTAAACATCCCAACTTGTGTACTGCGTAAATATCAAATCGTGAGAAGTTACTTTTACGTAAAAAAATCTTAAAAGTTAAAAGAAAGAAGAAAGAGAAGGCATGTGTGCAGTGCAGTTACCCCGTTCCACATGCTCATCCAATTATTGTTTGATTTTGAGTCACTCTGCTCAGAAGAAAAGGAGGGAACATCGGGATATTTTTGGAAATTTAAGATATATTATCTTTTCTAATAGGATATCTAATAAAGTCAAAGAATTTGTTACTGAAAATAGCTAAATATAATTACAGCCATGATCCCATTTGCGATAATCTCTAACAGTGGACATATTCACATGTATAAAATATAGAGAAGTGAGACACTCCTTACTCCTTAGGCTCTTAGCCATAACATTCCGTTAATCACTATGTTGTTTTAAACTGTTAGGCATTGCTATTTGTTAAACTTAAGCCAGATTAGACATATACTCGAAGACATTGTTAGCTACTGTTTCTTTATCTATATAAAAAAGTTTTTTTTAACTATACTAATTTCTGATTTTTGAAAGAAAAATATTGGATTGATCAAATAATTGGTTTGACACACAATTTATTTCAAGGGTTTCAGTAGGGTCGGGATACCGCAAAGCACGGACCGTAGGACCCTTTAAAGAAAACATAAATATTTGTATAAAAAAGATTTCAAAGCATGTGATGGATCACATGGATGATATTGATTACTGTCCACAAAAAGCATATAGATCATGTCAAGTTGTTCAAACACATGCATACACAATTAGAAAATATGATGACATTTGTTTGTTGTTTATCTCTTACACCAAGTAAAAGATAGTGATCTTCATGTCAACTTGTTCACACATACAAGCCCAAGTAGATTGATACAATCAGTAGTTGTTGTTCACCTTTGTGATATGATTATACTTTGGCTAGATTTGATTTCTTTTCCAAAAACCCAAATCTGTAGCGGAACATTTTTTCTGTCATGTGTTACAGTTTCGTGAAGCTATCGTAATTCTGAAACATCTAGACAGTGTGTAAGATTAAACAAGTCTAAAATCAGAAACAACTACTGTATGCAAAATTAATGTAAGTTTTAATTTTTTTGATCCAGAATAAAATTTAGGGGTCATAATGTAATAAATGGAAACGTCAAGACCCATTTGTGTGTATAGTTGACACTTGACAAATAGAGGGTTTTGGAGTTAAGCCCTCTTCCTCCTACACGTCCTGTTAATCGCGCTTCCGTCTCCGTCGCCATTTTACTCGCCGTCGTCGTCTCCGATCACATTAATCATCGGTCGTTGTGTAGTGGAATCGAAAATTTCCGGTAAGTATCTTCCTTTCTTATTACTGCATCTGTCGATAGTTTCGATTCCGACCGGGCTGCAGAATTTGGTCGGGTAATTTTTGGCTTTCTACGCCGTAGGATCCATTATTTCGGTTGGGAAATCTCGGATTTGATCGCAAATTCAGAAAATTAGGGTTTCGATCTAGATTTTTTTGACTAAAAATTAAGGACATTGAAGAAATATAGAGGAACCGAATCTGAAATTTTTCAGGTTGATAAGTTAATCAATCGTTGATCAAAAGGCCAATGAGTTAAATGTTTGTGACAATGATGCATTTTTGAATTTGAAAGGGAAAAAAAAAAACTCATTTGCTTTTGCTGAAATGGTTAGTGTTTGTGTTGATTATCATTGAATACTTAATTTTTGAGGGTGATCTTTGTTGCTTACAGATTGTGAAAGATGAATTTTTTTAACTCAGCAGCATCCATGTGCAGAAGAGTTAGTTTGAGGGAACTAATCACCGAGGCTCCTGCTTACGGTGGCAGTGGCATTTCCGGTATGAACCTATCCTCAATCTCAGTGTGTATTTGAAGATCTTTCTCTGGTTAACTCATTTGTATCGTTGTTGTTCTTGTTTTGGGATGTTTAAGATGGTTCTTCAAGTGGGTTGAGTTTGGTCTTAAAGCGTTGGGCTACTAAGAAAACCGCAGGTTCCACAAAGAACGGTCGTGACTCTAAACCCAAGAATCTCGGCGTCAAGAAATTCGGAGGAGAGGTAAGAAAAAAAAAAGAACAAGGAGGGAATTAGGATTTAGATTAATGAAAAAATCAATGATTAGTGCGAGTCTGTTGTGATTGATTTTTGCAGAATGTGATACCGGGGAACATAATAGTGCGTCAACGCGGAACTCGGTTTCATCCTGGAGACTATGTCGGGATCGGGAAGGACCATACTCTGTTTGCATTGAAGGAAGGACGAGTCAGGTTCGAGAAAAACAAGATAACGGGACGCAAATGGATTCATGTTGATCCAAAGGAAGGTCATGTTCTTCACCCTATCTACACGAAAGCTGTAGCCGCCAAGTCGACCAAGATGGAGACGGCTTCGTCCTTGTGAAAACACACTGAATTCAACAACTATCCAAAGGTGTCTTCGTTTGTTCTTTCTTTAGATCGTATGATCTTTAAAAACAGACGATGTCTTAGAACAGCAACACCCGGTTCAATAACGTCTGCTATTTTGCTTTTTGCATGAATATTATTTGATGATGAGGCAATGCATAAGTTATTGCAAAAGACTGATTACACAATCTTCTCTCATTTTTTTTAGTATTGTCGATTTTATCATTTTCCAGCCCATTATAAACCCATTTAAAAATGGGCCAACATTTTAAGCATCAGGCTTCTTAAAAATGTCGTTTCCGCAACTTCGAGAGTTTCAAAATTCCAGTTAACCCACTAAAATGTTTCCTACTTTCCTAAATTCTGTAAGTTGTATATATGAGAAAATAGGAAAAAAGTGGTTACAAATTCCATTTTATTTCTTTAATATGAAATCTGAATAAACAACAAAACTTATTAATGCGTTAAATAAAATCAGGACTTAAAATGGTCTTACCGCTAGTTCAATTATGATTTTATTTATTTATTTAGAAAAAAGGTTATATATCTGATCGCTTATTCGCTTTCAAAGTTTCAACTGTAATCATCTATGAGGAGGAGCCCAGGTTTGATTTCGGCATAATGTGGAATTATGGAGCCAACTTGGTTTAGTCATTAAGGCAGTTTCCTCCATTTCTTCTCAAGTGGTCATGCACATCAGCACTGACAATTTATGTTCCTAAAGACCATTATTTTCTCTTGTCTTTTACATTATCATTATGGCAAACCAAACTTTTAAATCATTAATATCTCGTTCGAGGGAAAAACTAAACATGTCATTGTTTTCTTTTTCACAAAGCTGGCGAATAGTCCAAATTAATAAATTACTAAACACCCATACGTTCATCGTATGTGATATATCCTCCAATTGCATTTGCGCACATACATGTATACTTACATATAGTTGTACAATAATATATATATAAGATATATATATATATAATAGTATATAAAGTTATATTATAATAACAATTTATACGGGTAGATCAAATAATTGCGTGATGAAATATATTCTGAAAAGGCTAATAGTAATAGTATCCTTGCTTTGGGCATCAATCAAACCTAGATTATAACTTATTAAATGTAATTATGTCGTTCTCTATGAAATCTTTAGGTAGTGCTAATGAGGTAATATCTAAGTTCTATCTAAATATTGAAAATGTTTGATATGGTGGTTCCCTGTTTTGGTTCTCATTAGTCGTGATAGTCGTAGTATATATATACCGACAACATTCAGATTCTTCTAATTATAAGTAATAATAAAGTTCAATGTATCTTATTTTAGTATCAGGAGAAGAAGAAAATCGACTTCGGTATATTAATATAAAAGAATATGGTCCGAGTAGGCAGCACCATGTGGCTAGAAGATAATGGACACCAGTAAGCTTTTTGATGTTTACTTTAATGGAGAGAAAAGGCTAGAGTTTATGATTCGTTAACTGTTTACGATTACATCACTATCAATTCTTTATCCCAAGGTTTTGCAATTCGCAAATGATGGAATGTGAAATGATCTGCAATTGGTATTTTCTTACAAACCAATTACAATAGTTTATCTTAGTTATTTTGATACTGGCTTCTGATTAAAGACAATTTACATTAGTTAAAAAGTACATGACTAGTACTCGATCCATTAAGGGCCTTTTCTTGTCTCCTTTGCTAAGCCACTTCAACCGTCAACATGAATAATCCAATAAGCATTTTTTTTAAGTTAATTACTTTTGAAGCACATTTAGAAATAAACAAGTTAATTAGTCTTTAGAAAATATTGAACACAAATCATTTGCATGATTAGGGAAGATCGAAATTTAACACATTGTTTACACACATTAACCTTTTTAATTTATGATTTATTTCTACCCAGAGAAAAACACGAAAATTTCTGCTTAAATTCTGAACTTATTGATATATTCGAGTATATATATTAATTAGTTGTCAACGTCATGGAGATACAAATTTAGCAAAAAGAAAAAGACATGACTCACATTAGATGCTGTTCTATGAACCCTATTTATTAGCCTATATTTATTACACTTATCTTCATTATTAACCATAGGGTGGGGTCAACAAACCATGGTTAAACTTTTTTTTGCCAAAGCATAAAAAAAAATACCCATAATGGTTATGAATCTTGACCACACAACTTGGATTTCTCATTATCAACAGTGTTCAACTTCTCATTTCTCTTCCTCCATCAGAGTAGAGTGATATAATACATATTTTTAACAAGTTAGCTTTCTAATCTTATATCTGTCCAAATAACCAACCATTTCCCAAATTCCCAAAGATTTCAACTTTGCAATTACCAAAAGAGTTTTGTGTTTAGTGCAATCTTTATCTTTCATGCACTCTCTCATTCCTCTTCTTCTTCTCCTTCCATCTTTAGTAAACTATACATTATATTAATCTTATTTGTATCCAATTACCAAAAATAACTATCCTAAACTCCCAAAGATTTCAACTTTATAACAGACGAAAACTGTTTGTTTGTTTTTAAAACACTAAATGTTTTGAGTCATGGATGTAATAGCTACTCCAAATACTATAGTGTCCGACTTGGATTCGCGGCAACCGGAAATCGAAGCTCCGACCCGGATCCATCCCGCGAAGCCCATTTCTTTCTCCAACGGCAAACGCTGCCACTATCATCTCGCGTCTGAAGCGGTTGGTGTCGCGACTTATAAAGAATGCCTAAAGAATCACGCCGCCGGAATTGGCGGCCACGCTTTAGACGGTTGTGGCGAGTTTACGCCGTCGCCGTCGTTTAACTCCAACGACCCCACTTCACTAACATGCGCCGCTTGCGGTTGCCACCGTAACTTCCACCGCCGTGAAGAGGATCCATCTTCTGTTTCAGCCATCGTCCCGTCGATTGAGTTTCGTCCGCATAACCGTCACCAGCTTCCTCCTCCGCCGCATCCGGTGGGAATTCGTAGCCCCAATGAAGACGATTCAGCTTCTCCGCCGCCGATCTCGTCCTCTTACATGCTCCTCGCACTCTCAGGGGGAGCCACGGCGGTTCCGATGTCGAGGAAACGGTTTAGGACGAAGTTTAGTCAGTTTCAGAAGGAGAAAATGTTTGAGTTCTCGGAGAGAGTTGGGTGGAGGATGCCTAAGGCGGATGACGTGTCGGTTAGGGAGTTTTGTAGGGAGATCGGAGTCGAGAGAAGTGTGTTCAAAGTGTGGATGCATAACAACAAGATTTCAGGACGCGGCGGGTCTAGAAGAGCTAACGGCGGAGGAGTAGACACTCGCGAGAGTATTCCGACGAATGGGTCGTTTTCTTCGACGCGAGGAAGAATTGTTATTTGATGTTTAAAGCGTTGTCGTTTTGAGGCTAATTTTTTTGGTTTTCCTTTTGGTGTTCTACGATGATTTTTTTCTTGTTTTAGTCAACGGGTCAAATATTTTTCTATTCCACTTGATAATGTGTTCATGTTTTCTTAGTTTATAGTATTTGTTCGACCAAATACGAGAAAGATAATTAACCTCCAAATTTAGAGTTATTAAAATTTTTAATTATTAATCTTTTACTGCTATATTGGTTATTATGTTTTCATAAATGGTTATGAGATACAAGGTACTTACAAAATAAAAGACAAGGATTTAGTTCTTTATTTTCAAACCTATTAGACAAGTCCTGGTATTAACGCACCGTATATATTAGATGTTAGGATGTGATTGTCCAAAATGATTAGGAGTTGGTAAGATTAGGCACCGAGTTAATGTTGAACACACCACTCACTTTAGTTTTTTCTAGCTATTATTTTAAGGCAAGCAAGAGTGGTAAAACATCTAGAAAACCTTTCAATTATTAGTTTTTTTTTTTTTTCTGACAGAGATCTAAATTTCACAATATATGTAAAATAATTATTTTTAGGCAATCGCCATAAACTAAACTGATTATTATGGTAGATAAATTGACAAATACATAGCAATTTTAAACGTGCCACAATTTTAGAGCGGCCTAGTCTCTTTAGCTTTCGATAATTTGGTGTGTTCTAGTTGGGTTTTGCTGTCTACCGCCAAAAACCGTAACAATGCACAACACTATTTACGGATGCTTATAAATGATCTAATCAGGTTCCTAATAGTCAAAACGAAATTTGGTAACGAAAGAGAAGAGATGAATACAAATTCGAACTTTCGGGCCCGAAGTTATATGCACAAGTAAAATGGACTATATATTCGGAATCCAATTATTACTGGATTAGGGTTTTCCAAATTAGAATTTGGTATTGTCAATTTAGAATCTTTAAAACTCATTTTCGCAACTATTGAATCGGGTTCAACATGATTAAGGTTAGGGAAGATTTTGATTGAGGGCTTACAAATGATCAAATTCAGAAATGAATTAGTGACCCACTAGAAGAAGAAAAGAAAAGAATATACATCTGAGCCCAAAGCCCAATAAGAATATATGGTGAAAAGGGCCAATATACTCAGAAAGGCCCAATAAACGTCAATTAGGGTTTTAGAGACCCTATTAATAGTCTCAACGTCTCATTATAAGCTCTCTGCGTGCCCTAGTTTTCCAGATCGCCGATTTTCACTAAGGAGACGAAGCTATGGTGCACGTTTGCTACTACCGCAACTGTAAGCATCTCTTTCCCTCTGTTGTTTCTCGCCCCATTCTCGATTCGATATACGTAGTTGCTTCTGTTTGAACAGACTGATAGATTCGTGATTGTTTGAGATATTGATCCTATGCGCTTAGAGATGTGTATTCATTTTGGAATATGTTAAACTGTGGCTTATGAATCTGAGTTCTTAGTATCTGTTCGACTCGTTTCCTCTAGTAATGAGCGAATCTTAGAGATATCAGCGTCGTTTGGTTTCAAAGATCTTGCACATTTGCTAATGATTTTTGTTCTGATGTGTGTTGTTGTTGTTGGTAGATGGAAAGACCTTCAAAGGTCCACGTCGTCCGTACGAGAAGGAGCGTCTGGACTCTGAGCTGAAGCTCGTCGGTGAGTACGGTCTCCGTAACAAGCGTGAGCTCTGGAGAGTGCAGTACGCTCTTAGCCGTATCCGTAATGCTGCTAGAGATCTTTTGACTCTTGATGAGAAGAACCCCAAGAGAATTTTCGAAGGGGAGGCGCTCCTCCGCAGGATGCACCGTTATGGGCTTCTCGACGAGAGCCAGAACAAGCTCGATTACGTCTTGGCCTTGACTGTCGAGAATTTCCTTGAGCGTCGTCTTCAGACCATTGTGTTCAAGTCTGGTATGGCTAAGTCCATCCATCACTCTCGTGTCCTCATCAGGCAGAGGCATATCAGGTTATTTTTGATTTCTTTCTTTTCTGGTGTTCCTCATTCTTGGTTAGTTTTGATTGAATCTAAATTAAAAAGTGTCATTCGATATGAATACTGGAGCTGAACTATTTGCTAAAGTCTTGTTTAGCACAGTTCGCTTATACTTGTTAAAGCTTTGTTAACCCTTTTGTGTATCGATATTTATCATGGTGTTTTGGTAAGTATTATCACTGTCTTTGCTTTCGTAATTTGATTACTCATCTTGATTTGGGTTCTGCTTCATCTTTCTAGGGTTGGAAAGCAATTGGTGAACATTCCATCATTCATGGTGAGACTTGACTCCCAGAAGCACATCGACTTTGCTCTGACCAGTCCCTTCGGTGGTGGCCGTGCCGGTAGAGTGAAGAGAAGAAATGAGAAGTCTGCCTCGAGGAAAGCGTCTGGTGGAGATGCAGGTGGCGACGACGAAGAGTAAGATCCAACACTCACCGACTTAGCTATGGAGCAATCTGCTTTCTGAAGCGATCTGCTTTCTGAAGCGATCTGCTTTCTGATGTCTTGTAGTCGAAAACTTCTTTGTATGGATTGTTTCATGGTTTCTTTCTATTTCTCCTTTAGAGGGTGTTGAACTTTTTGCTTATTTATTTTTACTCACATTATCTTTAAAAGTTTTGTCTTATTTCCCAAGTATTGTTATGTCGAACCTGAAAAATCGAAGTCTATTTTATGGCTAAGCTTTGCTAATCTCTTGTGGGCCTGGCGATTCGAAACTCTTTTGTGAAGTCTAGGATTTTAGCTCTTTGGGCCGTAAGAGTTGTTTCATTATCAGTGTTTCGTTCGTCGTATTTAATTAATATATTTAAAAGTTATTTTGAAATTCATGAAGCTGTGGTGATATTGCTCTCCGTGATTATATTATTGCACAGTGCCTCTTGTTTACTAACACTCGGTGTTTTCCTAACACACGTGTTACATGCGAACCACTTGGAAACCATTTCACCATAGTAAATCAATTTAAATAAATTACAGTACTACTTTGTTTATACTTTCTGATTCACGCTACGGTCGGTTATTCAGACACGTAAATGAAAATATTGGTATTATTAATCCCTCAACGAGAGTCGTAAGACAACCAAATCAATACTATTTTTACACGTATGAAAACTTTGTTTATCGTCTTTTAGACTTTCATAATTTATGATTTTTTTTTTTTTGAATATTTGCCGATGGAGATGTGACCCTTGCCTTTCTATTACCAATCATTGAACCATTACAGTTCTATTATTATATACTGAGAAAATCACACTTACATCGCCACGAAAATATTGAAAATTTATATGAATATGTTGGTAAAACATCTTCAAAATCTCATTCCATCTGTGCAAGAACAAACTATTTCACATCATAGTTCAAACTTTTTCAAATTATAATTTATGCAACATGGATTTGCTAACAACTTTTTTACAGAGACCTGTTTACCATAAAAATCAACTTAATGCTATGAATGATATACAAATATCTGATAACGATAAATAAAATATCAGAAATAACCTCCATCTGTACACAAGAACCTGGAGCTTAATTATAAAATGGTGTTCTTAAAACAAAATCTAAGAGATTTTTTTGGGGACGACGTGGCAATAATCTTTGGAAGTTATCGAACTAGTTTTTGGAAGATGCCGGAAAACGGCGCCAGATTTGGTCGTTTTCAGATCCGATATCCTCTTCTTCCACACGTCTCATTTCATCGGTCAAAGCAACACACAGAGAGATCCGGTCCCATACCATTTCTCTAACCGACCGGCTCATCTAATTCAACACGTGTCAAAATCTCTATGGTGCAAATATCTCGTGACGTCATCAATACCGACACGTCAACTGTAACCGTCTTTTTAATCCCGTTAGCTAGCTCGGTATATAAATTAGGAAGCTCCATTTCACATGAATTTCACAGTTCACAATAAATTTCGAATTTCGAATTTCGAATCTGCCCCCAAATCTCCGTTTTATAGATGATGACGATGAGAGGAGAAGCTCAAACTTGGCCGGAGATGGAGGCGATAGCTAGGAACATGGTGGAGGAGGTTGAAACAGAGAGCAGCGGATCATCGGAAGCTGAGACGGAGTCTCCGAGGTCCGTCGGGCGTTGGGTAGCTGCCCCGATCACCGCGACGACGGCGAAAGTGCGAGTACACAGCCAGGTTTTGAAGATCAGGGAGGAGGATCTGTGTGTCCTCGTCGAAGATAAAGCCGCGAATCCAGAGAATCGGCGATATCTTCTTCCACGTCGTCTCAATCTGTTCCTGATCTCGCGGCCGAATTTGCCGTGTTCGCCTCTCAGTGGAAAAGTGAGCTCCGTTAACGCTGTTCAGTGATGATTCCCAGATCTAAATCGATCAAGGTTCGTCTCTCTCTGTGTTTCTCGATCGATCGATGGAACAAATTACTCTAAACTTTTGATTTTTTTCGTATGCATCTGATCATGTATTGTTTACATAGAAGGATTCTTATTAAATCGCCTATTAACTTAGATTTTGTTTGATCAATTTTGTTTGTGCAGGTGATATGTGTCTGCGTTTTAATTTCTCTGTTTTTTTTTTTTGTTTCTTTTAGCTTTTTCTTTTTGTTTTGTTTCTGTAAGATCTTTTTTAGAGAAAGCTTTTCTTGCCATAATGTCATGTGTATAAACCGTGAATGTATATATATATGAGCTCATGAAACTTTATGCTCGACTTTTGTCTCTACATATGCGTGTAATTATCGACTGTATGTATATGTGTATATCGCCCAATTTGAAATGATTATAAACTTTCAGACAAAATCAAAAATGAAATCCAAATTAGGGCCGCTTATGAGAGTTTAAATTCAAAATATACTTTAATGTGAAGATAAGTTCGACTAATTCAAAGAGCCGGTTTTGCTAAATTCAAAATAAACCCCTTGTAAAGTTGGAACTTTATTTATTGTTTTGCTAAAATCAACTAATGATGTCAAAGTACAACGTTCATCGCAAGACTGAAAATATAATATTGGGTGTACATAGAACTTCCAGAAACACCAAAGTTTGATTCTGATATTTATTATACACAGTTTAAACAAGATGAATGGCCACAAAAATAAAGATAGAAATTTATATTTGTAAGTTAAAGTATAAATTTTGGGATTTATTCCACTAGCTATATCGATCAGTATATATTTTAAATTTGATATTTTTTTATTATCCCTATAATTAAATTATAAAATGCTACTCTATATAAAATATTGTGAAAAAATAACTTGACATGATTGGATTAACAACTTTATATTCCACTGAACAATACATTTATTTTCACACATAATTTCTTCAGAGGAAAAACAGAAATAGTTACAATACAATTATCAATCACACAATCTCACGAGAATATCTCTTCTCTCTCTTAGTTAACCATTCTGCACTTCTTACGAACTTCCCCGAGCTGACCCGTTAAAACCCCAATCCGACCCATCTTGACCATAGAGACACCAAAGTCCTTAAAGAAAGAAGATCCATAACTGTTCTTTTGCTTAAGAACATAAGACTTAGTTTCTTGGCTGTCCAAAAGAGCTGCATCAGATTGGAATAACCCTCTTCTTTGAGACACAAGCTTGAAGTAGCTTTCATCGAATGTTTTGAAGCTCCCTGGATCCATTTCTAGAGCCGTCGTGGTATCGGTTGGCTTGCATTTTTTTCTGAGGGCGGCTGCGTATTCCGTGTCCAAGTTCGGGTCGCTGTCTCCTTTTCCGGTGAAATTGTAGAGCCGGTTTGTGATTAGAGGACAATGCCCGTTCCCGACCGTGTGTCCACCTATCACATGTAAATACATACTATAAACAAGTTGAGGATGACTTTTTATATTTCAGTTTTTATAACCGGTGATTCTTATACCAAAACTCAACGCTAATCTTAATAGCCTCTAAAAGACAAAAAAACGTCTAAAAATGACTAACCATAAGGGATAATAAGAAAACTGAGAAATGAAACGATAAATCTGTATGATACATGTTCTTATATTTGGTCTATTGCGAACAAAACCTGTGAATATCAATGAGTTTGATCCATTTTTTTCCACTGCCATCATTCAAAACCTGATATTTACGTTTGGCTCAAAAGTCTAATTATTTGATTCATTGTTCTAGACTTCTAGTATTTTTTATCATTCTATATTAAGTAAATATACCTGAAAGCACAACCAGGTCTTTCTTGTCGAGGCCTTTGGCCTTAAATTGGGTGACAAGGCTAGTGATATTATCAAATGGTGATGGCAAGTTCGATCGGGCCTCATTGATATTTGTAACTCGACCGTCCCTTCTTCCCGTTTCAACTCCCCACGACGGTCCATTGAGCTGAATGATATGATGTTAAAAACCAACATACCATATATATATACCCATTTTTTGGGAGTATCTTTTCTCTAAAACTGGTTAGAAGATCTCATGACTTGAACAAATTTCTTGAGATCGTAATCAAGTGAATTTGTATCATAAAAAATAGAGTGTATCCAACCTAATTTAGGGAATCTCTATCACCATGTGAAATTTGTAATAGAAATAAAGAGAGCGTGCACGAAAGGTCTTATTAACTTGACCTAATATTAGATCAATATCACTTAATATATAGTCTCGGGTGATACAAAAAAGTTTCTTCTTACCGCTACCACTGCGTCTCTAGCGACAAGAGCCAATACATCAGAGCAAGAGACAACGCCTGGACACTCCTTTTCTAGAGCTGCCTTGGCATTGTCTATGATCTCAAACCCTCGAAGGCTAAGATTAGGTATTGCGTTCTTCTCGTCTTTCTTGTTCTTTAGCTCTAGCAAGACCGACCCTTCACATCCCTAAACATCAAGATTTAATCGTTAGATCTATAAAGAGCCTTTAAGAGGAACTAAAAACTAGGGTTGTCAAGAAAGAACATTACACGAACGAAGCAATCGTGGAAGAACATTCTCAGCAAAGGAGCTCCAAGTGTCGGATCGTTCTTCATGGCATCGAGCACAGACTTCTTGACAATAAGCTCGGCTTTCGGGCATTTTTTGTCGTAGAACCCCACTTTCAGTCCTTGCGCATTGGTTGGTGGAGCAAAGGAGGAGAGCAAGAACAATAATATTTGAAGAAAGACGAAACCGGAGATAGTCATCTTCAAAGCAGTCATATTGTTTTATTAATTACTTTCTCTTTTGATCGATTCTTGATACTAATTGAGATGAAGATTGGTGTTGTTATTTATACACTGTTATGCAATAATGTCACGGAGTTGAAAATACTATAGTTTAATTTAAGTTACAAATATTATAAGAGTTCATGGTTACATCATTGAAATAAAGGCCAAGATGTGCCCGAGGATATATACAAGTTTCGTAGAATTTTCTTGTAATTTTGTTGAGTTATCAATAATTATTTGTGGAATGTATCTAGTTTTTCTTTGTTTATGGCTGGTTTGCTTGATGAGTTGATGTATATTATTACTATTGCCACCAGAGAAAAGGCTGCCAAATAATTTTAAACGAGGAAAAAGGAATAAAAATTTTGCTTGATAAATACGAATTGTAATTTGTCGATAACTAACTTGAAATTGACAAGTAAACCACAAAGGAAAAAAAAAAACTATATTATGTTTCGTAAAAAATAAAACGCAACACGAGCCGGCCATGATTATCTATATTACACGTATACAGATGGCTGGTAGGTAGGAGAATATTTAAAATTAAGAAAAAAATTTTGCTTGTAAAATTGTACTTCTAAACTAACAAAGTGACAATGATACGGTAGGGGAATATAATACAGCTATAAATTAATATCCTTTTGACAATACTTGACGAACGCCTTGGACTTAACTAGACTGTTTAATCTTTGGACTCTCTCTCTCATCACAGCAATAATTATGTCCGCTGCATAATATTCTACTTATTCGTCTAATCATATACTCATTTGACAGTAACATTTTAACGCAATGGTGAGATAGTTGTTCATTGATTCTATTTTTATACATTTTTAGTATTTAGAAAAATCAATTAAATGCAATTATATATTACGGGTTAACAAAACGATGTCCATTACTAATATACCCATAACATACAATATTACAAAGCCCAATAGAACGGGAAAATCAGTTGATGACGTAAGGTCTTCCCGCGCGTCTCCCAAATGTAAGAAAATTGAAAATAACGTAAGTAAAAAACTTCAATGTCTGAGCCCGGGTTCGAACCGGGGACCTTTAGTGTGTGAGACTAACGTGATAACCGACTACACCACCCAGACTTTGGTGTCAAGGATTCCTATCATTTTATACTTATCAAAGTGATATTAACGATGATGCTTGATGCGGTGGTGAGATTGTTGCCGCCGGCGTGGAAAATCGTTACTTACCGTTACGTCTGAGTATCATGTCTCTGATTCCTTATTTAATTTGTATATGATTTGGGCCAACATAGCGAAGATCGGGAGAGTTTACTTCTCAACTGAAACACCCAGAAATTTTACAATTTCTTCTTTGATCCTATCCAGCGTTATAGGGCTCCTCAAAACGCTGCGTTTTAGTTCTTCTTCCTCAGTTACACTTCTCGGCACAATCAAACCTCAGACACACGTCGAAGTCGTCCTTAATGGCACTCTCTCAGGTAGATTAACAAATATACATAGAAAGTACATTCGAAACGAACCCTAATTGCCGATTGTTGAATTTCTTGTTTTATATCTGTCGTAGGTTGCGTATTTGATTCCACTGAAAGCAGATTTGAATGAAGACAATTCGTGCCCAAGGATAACTTTATCCGAAGGGCCAAACACCATCGGCCGCGGCAACGTTTCAATCGCCGATAAGCGTCTCAGCCGCAAACACATCACCATCATCGCTTCCACGACTGGCACAGCGTCCTTGTCTGTGGTAAAACGACAGCCCTTACTTTTAATCGCCAATTTGCTCCTTATCGAATTTAGTCACACCGAAATTTTGTGTCTTTATCTGTTGGGCAGGAAGGAACTAATCCGGTGGTTGTTAGGTCTTCCGGCGGCGGAGAGAGGAAGAAAGTAAACCCCCGTGAAGAGGTTTCATTAACCAATGATGATCTTATTGAATTGATCCCTGGTCATCATTTCTTCAAACTTGTGCTTCTACCTTCTGAAAACAATGGCGAGAATCAGACAGGAAGCCATGAAAGAGCAGCTAAGAAAGCTCGAAAGGTTTTACTTACTTACTTGGCCTGATCAAAGCATGCAGCTTTATTTTTGGGTTTTTTTTTGTTTTTAAACTTTGTTTGATGTGATGAAACTGGTTTAGGCTGAAACACAAGGAAATGATGATGATGATGTAGAGGCGATTCGCCGTTTTTGTCTACCTGATGAGAAACTACCTTCAACGTTTCGGCTTATGAATGTTAATGGATTGCCTGATTGGGCTAATACCTCTTGTGTTTCCATTAATGATGTCATTGAGGTTAGTCTTGTGCAAACATATTAGTTGATTGTTTTTGTTCAGACATTCTTGACCAAAGAGATAATTGTAAATGACAGGGAGACGTTGTTGCTGCAATCCTGTCGAATTATATGGTCGATGTAGACTGGTTGGTGTCAGGTAGGTTTTCTTATATTTTTGTTTGTTCAGCTGTCGAAATACTTAGTTATTTTGTGTACATTTGTGGGTTTTGTGTTGACTTAACTCGGTTCACTGCAAATATCATTTTGTAGCTTGCCCAAAACTGGCCAGCATTCCCCAGGTTATGGTTATTCACGGAGAAGGTGATGGTAGGCAAGAGTGTATTCAGGTTCGTTATGAAGATTTAACGATTTCTTCTAATTGATGTTGATGGTAGACTGAAATCTCCAGTCTCTGATTTGCTCAACAGAGGAAGAAGCCAGCTAATTGGATTCTTCATAAGCCCCGGTTACCTATATCGTTCGGGACACACCATTCCAAGGCTATATTTCTTGTCTATCCTCGAGGAGTGAGAGTTGTGGTACACACTGCGAATCTGATCCATGTTGATTGGAACAACAAAAGCCAGGGTTTGTGGATGCAAGATTTCCCTTGGAAAGATGGTGACAAAGATACACCTAAAGCTTGCGGATTCGAAGGTGATCTTATCGATTACCTCACTGTTCTCAAGTGGCCTGAGTTCACTGCAAGCTTACCCGGTCGTGGTAATGTCAAGATCAATGCTGCCTTCTTCAAAAAGTTTGATTATTCCGGTGCTACGGTAGCTTCTCTGTTTTCTCTGAAACTTTTTGGCTGATGTGTTGTATACCTTATTGTTCACTAAGCTATGCAAGAAATTTTCAGGTTCGACTAATTGCATCGGTCCCTGGATACCACACTGGTTTGAACTTGAGAATGTGGGGACACATGAAACTACGGACGATTCTTCAAGAATGCATTTTCGATAGAGAGTTCCGCAGATCCCCGTTAGTTTATCAGGTAGTGTGTTCCATTTTCAAGTTTCTTCTTTTTCGCCATTGTATTTGCTTGCTAAAAAGTCTTCTTTTACAATTTTTGTTCGTATTGCAGTTTTCTTCACTCGGTTCTTTAGACGAGAAGTGGTTGGCTGAATTTGGAGCTTCTTTGTCTTCTGGTATGACGGAGGATAAAACTCCTCTCGGTCCGGGGGATCCGTTGATAATATGGCCTACAGTAGAAGACGTCAGGTCTTCTTTAGAGGTAAACCGAACAACGGTTGTATCTTTCCTTATATTCCCTTATGGTTTTTTTCTCTTCTAAACCTTGAAATCTTCAAAGGGTTATGCTGCTGGCAATGCAATTCCGAGCCCATTGAAGAACGTGGAGAAACCATTCTTGCAAAAGTATTGGGCGAAATGGAAAGCGGATCATAGTGCTCGCGGGTAAATTTAAAAAGAAAAATCAAACCTTTGCAAAACAGGGTTACTTTACTACTCAGTTCTGATCCTTTCTAATGTTATACAGTCGTGCAATGCCACATATAAAGACGTTCACACGTTACAGCGACCAGAACCTTGCGTAAAGTTCATAAAGCCTCAATCTTTAATGACCCATTTAATAAAAAAAGTTTGACTTTAGTGATGATATGTTCTTGTGTTTGCTTCCATAGATGGTTCTTGCTAACCTCGTCGAATCTTAGCAAGGCGGCATGGGGAGCACTTCAGAAAAACAATTCCCAGTTGATGATCCGTTCCTATGAGGTAAATCAATCCTGGTGTTGTTCTCACACGTAACAAAGTCTTGATCTTTATAACAACTAACAAAATTCCATGGACTGTGTGATATTGTTAGTTGGGAGTCTTGTTTTTACCATCCCCAGTAAAAACACGAGGCTGTAAATTCTCGTGCACCGAGAATAACTCGAGGACGATGAGGGTAAAAATGATCTCAGGATTCGTAAAACCATGACCCGAACTATCTCCTTTCCCTCTCAATTGTGTTATGTTGACAGGCAAAACAAGAGACGAAAGATGAGGTAGAGAAGAGTAGGAGTAAGCTAGTGACAATGACCTGGCAAGGAGACAGAGATTCCCCTGAGATAATCTCATTACCGGTTCCTTATCAACTACCTCCTAAGCCATACGCATCCCAAGGTTTTTTCGCTTTTATACTCGTCCCAAGGTTTTTTTTTTTCGCTTTTATTCTTAACGTTCTTATCGGCACTGGGATTTTTCAGATGTTCCATGGTCATGGGACCGAGGGTACTCGAAGAAGGATGTGTACGGACAAGTCTGGCCAAGGTAGTGATGATAAGAGCCATTGTGACTTGAGAGTGGTCAAGATAGTTGATGTTAGCTTTAGCTATCATCTGAATAATCGGATCAGATTAAAATTTGTAGATTAATCCGGATTAGTCCACGATTAGAGTTGTTGATACAGGTTTTTTAAGTCTGAAAGAAAATTAGCATGTCGACTTGAGACTGCCGTACGAACGAGGTTGAAAGATTTAAAATCTCGTGGGCCAACTAGATCAGTTTATGCCTTTATATGGAATGGCTAATTTTAATTATATGTATCTTTCTACAAATCATGTATCTAAATATCAAAATATGAATTATCGATTTATAATATTTTGTGATTTGTTTTATTTATTTATTCATGTGTACAAGCATACTGCTATATTTGGATTATATTATATGATGTTAATATGTACCACTAAAACCCTCGACGTTTTTACATCTTATATTTGTAGATTCCAAAAACGAGTAATTAGTATCAGTGATAAGTACGAACTACAAACATGGAATATAGACAGAGAAATTGGAGACATAAGTATTTCTTATTTATCATGACAGAAATGTGTCGTTGGTTGCAAGAAACCTACGATTTAATAAAATTAAGATTTTTTTTTTTTAAAAAAAGGAATTTTTGGTGGTACATATTCGATAGACAGTTTAGAATACAAACAGACGAAGACAAGCATTCACACTCAATGTCTACATTTCCAAGAACACCCGTCCCTCTCCTTGATGATTTTGCCTATATCATATCTATCAAAATTTGAAGACAAAAAGATAGATATAATTAAGATAATAAGATTCATAAGTCAATTGCTATTTGACATGTTTACTTAGTCCTCGAACATTGATAATAGCTAATCATGATTTATTTTATTGATTAAGAAACTAGATCCTTCTTCTACGTTCATGGCCATTCACAACTTGCCACGTCTGTATCCAGAAGTTTGGATAATTTTATTCATTGCCGTGAGCCTTAGGATATCAGTTATGTATAGGTGTAATTTTCATTTGTTTTTCACAGCTGATTTGTTTCACATTTCATAGGTGAAATTTGTTTTTCACCAAATCTTATTAACTTTTGATTTGTTTTTCACATTTCATAAGTGTAAATTTCATAATAACCTCTACTATGAACTTTATATATATACTAGTGATGCCCTGATTATGAGGATTATAGTGTATAATTTATACACGTGAATTGTAAAATTTTACTATAGAAGACGTTTGTACATTTTCAAATGTTTTCCTTCATGCTTTATTTGTAAAATTTATTTTAGAAACTTTCAAATGTCTTGGCCACCCATATCTTCATAACTGAAATTTCAATGTGAGCATTCGAATGTTGGTAATCTAAAACCTACAAACTTCTTAAACAAAAGGTTTAGCTCGCAATTGCTCTAACTAGGGAAAAAAAAATTGCTCTAACTAAAAATAGAAAGAACAAAAAACCAAAATAGAGATTTTGATATTTGTTATCTCGAGACCGTTATATTAAAATGATATAGCTATTTAAAAAAAGGGGGGGTCATGTGGGAGGAGGGGCGTGAAGAATGGGGATGCTCCCTGATTAGAGGGGAAAAGAGTGTCATATCATCACATGGGAGGTTAAAACTTGTTTTTGGCTTACAACAAAATTAACTTCAAAATATTAAAACATAAATAGTCCCACCTTTGTGTGCTCATCAACAAACATTTTTCTTTAATGTCCAATTCATCACACCATCTCCTTGTTTTCTACTATACCATGCATCTACATATCATCATCATCACCATGTCTTTAGAAGCTAGCACTTGTTTTGTTGTTATGACCAATTACCATATGCGTTTATATAAGACAAATTAAAAACGAAACAGAGTAAGATGGAGTAACAAAACAAAAATTTATGCAAAATCACACGTTGACGAGTGCAAATTTTAATATCACTGTCTTAGCAAAAAAGTTGCAAGTAATTGGGTTCGGTGATGTGACGAAATTTCATTTAGGCATAATGTATGTATAAAATATCCCAAGCATACACAATATATATGTATTGAGTTTGTACGTGATTAGAGCTTGGACTAAGACTAGTCCCTCCCTAGTAATTAGGAATAGGATAGATAGTTAGATACCGTACGTTCCTCTCAAATGACCTAAAGTGAGAAGCCATTGTTTTTATTTACCCATATCTATAACTGATACACAAAATCTTCTTGGTTTTACGTATCATCGATCGAATATATATGTTGATTCTCTCTCTCTCTCTCTATATATATATATATATACATATGAGTTTATAAAGTAGACAAGCTTTACCACTAGGATAATATTATAAAATCAAGTGATGGTATTCTAATGTTCTTTGTTTTATTGGTTGTAATAAGAAATTGTTTTTCCAACTGTTAAATACTTAAATATTTGGTTTTCTATGACCATAACAGAATTCAAATGACAATTAACATTTATGGAAATCACTCTTTGATCTTGTGGTCGTTTTGCTTAAAAGATATATTTTCATAAAGTTAATAATTAGGGTTCTAAAAATCAATATTTTAATTAATTTGTGTTACTGTAAACATACTATCTTTTAATCTAGTTGGTACATCATACGCATATATCCATCACAATCTGATAAATTGTAATTCACGTGTCATGTATCCAAGACTCGAATTCTAAGCCACTGCTCTCTCTTATGCACTTGTCTTCGTCATGTCCAACATCCCTATTTAAATTTATTGTATTACTCTCTCTCTCTCTCTCTCTCTCTCTCTCTCTCTCACTGACTCGCTCTCTAGAAGTGGTCCAAGCCCATCTATATAACACCATTCTTTCTTCTTCTTTCTTCTCCCTTTCTTTCGACAAACACAAATACGTACTTCTTCTCTAACCCACAAGCGATCAAGAGAAGTAAGTGTTTTCTTTGATACATATAATTTTCAAATAAAAATGTCGTCTAGCAGAAGGTCGAGACAAGCAAGCTCATCATCGAGGATAAGCGATGATCAGATCACTGATCTCATCTCAAAGCTCCGACAGTCTATTCCAGAGATTCGCCAAAACCGTCGTTCCAATACGGTAAAATCTTATTTTTTTGAAGTTACTATATATGTGTACTCTAAAAGACTGTATTTCATGTAGCGAATACGAAACAGAATTCTATTTTATGATTCATTGTTTTGATCTCATTATACATACGTTTGAATTTTATGATATTTACTTAGGGTACGTTACTATGTTTAATAGAGAAACTCACATATACAACATGTTGGAATAGCATTAGAGAGTCATATATTAATTACGTGTGGAAGATTGCAATTTGAAGTTTCTGAAAAGACTTTTGACCATTAACCGGACTTTGAGGAGAGGGGAACATATTTCCCCTAACTTCAGCATTAAGCTTCTAATTTATTTTACTTATACTATTGATTAATTGCATTGAATGTGAGAAGACTATATTGCTTCACGGACTATCAATTCAACACATTTATGTACAGCACCGACTTGTCTTTTTTTTCGTATTATATATTTAGTTATCTTAGTTTCTACTACAAAACAAGAGAAGGACGAACTTTACAAAAAAATAAGAGAAAGGCATTTTACAAATGCATGGAAGCATCGTTTTATAGCAGCACACATCACTACTATTTAGATATGCACTCAATGTTAAAACAATGTGCGAGTTTTGGTTTTAATTATTGAATTAATCTTGTAAATAATGAGAGTTTACCTTAAGCTTTGTTTTTTTCTCACAGTGAATAACATTGTAAATATGTCTAGCAGTAAGCATCTGGAAATTTTACATTATTATTTAAGATGCATCGTTACTTCATATTAAGACTTTGTTTAAAACATTTATTTCGAATTCTGACTATAAAATGTACATTCTTTAATAATATAGGTATCAGCATCGAAAGTGTTGCAGGAGACTTGCAACTACATAAGAAACTTGAACAAAGAAGCAGACGACCTCAGTGATCGATTGTCTCAGCTACTGGAGACCATTGATCCTAATAGCCCACAAGCAGCCATCATTAGGAGCTTGATTAATGAATAACTAAGATATATGTTGGTTAGTTGATATATAATTTTACAATCTCGTTGCGAGGTTGATCCACCAGGGTTTCCACTTAATAATCTATTATATGTTTTTCATATATGAATTACGAGTCTAGCTAGCTAGGGTTCATATATTTGACCCTCTTTTGGTTTGACATCATGCATGCAACTATTAAGCTTTGATTATAATAAATATCATTTCCGCTAATTATTTAGTTTAGTCCTTTTGTATAATATGCATGTCTGTGTTCATTTTGTATGTTTGTGTTAGACAAATGAAATATATATATATCTCTATATAGGACCAGTCGGAGATCGTTTCTAATCGAAATTCAAACTAATCTTCGAAATATATAGAATAGAATAATTCGATTATCATATCTACATACACATAAATATTTAATTGATAACACCAGAAAACAAATTTGTCAATTGGTGCCAAGGTTTATTTTCAGACAAAAAAATACGCAATTATATTGTGTATTGGTAGAAGTCCATATTTACTATGCCGGTTGTCACTCAGTTAATTTGTCTAATTATTTACAGTCAATACGTGTGAGCTCCACGACGAAAATTGCTCAATATTGGGTGAAATATCAAGTGGCAAGATCACACGAATCTTATTTATTGATGCTGCAAATAACACAGACGAAAACAACGCAATTTTTAACAACAAAAAGGGGATATTATTTTATTTATTTACTTGTTTTAAAAAAAAGGGGATATTAATAACACATCTTTACAAATAATCAAATCTCAAAAGAAGTTTGACGTTTTTTTTAGGAGATGCGAAATATAAAGGACGTTAATACTTAATTTGTCGGAGATTTGGGATCATGAGCCACAAATTTTGCATAAATTAGCGTAGAACTAAGCTACTCTATTTCTTCAACAAAAAAAAGGTATTCTTGTACATATTATATATATAAACAATTATATTATGAAAAGATATGTAAATATAAGACATTTGGATGTGACTATAACACTATCTTCTTTGTTACGTACCGATGTTTAAAGAATTGCGAACTTCGATCTCTGCCCTATATAATATTGTCTACACTGCAATTTGTGTAGCTTATTTTTTTTCTAAATAATATATCACTGAAAGATAAATTTAAGGAATGCAACTGTAAAGTAGTTAAACCGGTTGAAATTGGATATTATTTTGTAACGAGAAACTTTTGACAAAACAAATATAGACCTTTTGACATGAACCTTTGACTTTTTAGGTTAGTTTAAACTATTTGATAAAGTAATTCGCTAAAGTGGAGCTTTGTTTGATTATTTTGAAGGGCATAAATTTTCAATTTTAATAATCCAACAAGCGCTGCATATTCGACCTAAAGCTGAGAGTTAAAACCACTGATTTTTTTAAAATATATATATGAACTTTATAAAGCAAAGTTATTCAGTCGTGACGATGTAGTTGAGCTTATATTGTAGTTTTCCAACCGATATCAAATTAACCATACCTGAAATGATTTGTCTGTTTTTTTTGGGGGGGGGGTATGAATGATGTGATGATGATGATTTGTCTGTTGTTCACAGAATCATACCATTATCGATTGCTCTTTACTTTATTGTATTACTAGCTTTTATCTTTCTATTTATAGTTGTAAATTTGGTTTGTTTTATGCATGGAAAAGACTGAATTGATTTATAACTATTTTTTATACAGTTACTGATTTTCGAATTAAAACTATAAATTCCTACAGTAAAGTTGGTGGTGTGTAGGGATGGATCCCTATATGGTCCCTTTCAACTGAAACCTACATTTAATTAGATACCTATATATATATATATCGTATATAATAAATTATATCATTTGTGATTAATTACCTATTTTAAACGCTATGTTTATCGTACGCATGGTTTTTAGTATATATTATGATTTAGTTCGTTTCAACAAAATTAAAGATTACCATTTCATATATTGATGGTTTGCTAGTTTTATGCAAATATATGAAAAAGTTATAAGTTCTAAATATTACTAATGCTTAACGGTATTAATAGAACAAATTTCTTTCTAAATATAGTAGAATAAATAAGTCATAATTTTCAAACGTATTGTGGTGTGATGGTTTAAATCCTATAAACGTCCGCATGCAGAGAAAAAAGTTATAGGCTGCATAGGTAAAGATTGACTCTGATTGGTGTATATTTATTTATTTAATAATCTACCTAACACTTATAACTGTGTGATGCACGCACAATCAATATGGTCACAACAAATTTCAAAAAATAGTACTACTATGAATGATTTTTTGATATAGAATATCCGATTTAATGGTTGAGAAATGATCATATTCAACTAATAACGGTGAGTACATAATCTGAACACGAAAGTGGAACATTCAGAAATAAGATGGTGTTCGATTTTAAAAATATTGGCTAGAAAACTGCAAAACAAATGTACCTGATGGTGAATGTTGCTCCACCCTACAATTTTATTATAACTACCGACATAACTGTTCTCACCGTCGGACAACGGAAACATCTAAATTTCTCATGTGTTTCCTTTTTGTGATTTCTTCTTTGATTTAGAAAAACAAAAAAATAACAAAAAAGAAATAGAAAAGTAAAAGGTATTCCAAAGAGAAAAAAATAGAGAAAGGGGAGATGAACAGAATTTACATCACGGTTAAGGTCGTTATCACTGTTTAACGGTATTGTCAAAAAAGACCATTCAATGTAGTACCTCTTTGTCCTTTCCCACATTTTCCGCGTTATTTGACTTTTCAAATTCACTATAATTTTATATCCCACAAAATTAAAATTAATTACGATAAACTGGATTAGCATGCAATTACCAAGCTTTTGTAACAACCCTAAGATTATGGTCTATTCGTTTCATACTGGAGGTGTCGATTTATAATTTAAAGTTTGTTTCCTGAAAAATATCGTTCTGCAATCTTTGTGTGTTCTACTCTTTATCATTTTAATTTATTAGTTAAAGAAATAAAGTTATAGAGTGGATTACCAAATGGTGTCTACCGTCTACGTTGTGCTGGGCTACAAAACCGAAATCGTAATTTATTATTGATTTATTGGGTCTCTTGACGGCCCAAATAGTTAGGCCCACAAGCTTCACGCGCGTCAATTCAAAAGTATAAAAGAAAATAAAAAAATGCGCGCTTATTTTCACGCGCGCAACACTAAATAGTTTTATGGGTCTCGCAGCGAAAGTCTTGGCCCATATACACAAAGTGACAGACTAGCTAGCCCACCACCAACTAAATTCTTTTTCGCTTTGTGAATTAATAAATAAGTAAAAAAGCAATATTACTTATTTTCGTCCTCCACAAGTTATCCAGCCAAGCCATACAGGCATACTACAAACCATACAAAAATATACTGTGTTTTCAGGTAATTAGTATAGTCGACCGTCGAAGAGTGAGATCTACGAACAATCATATGCTAGTATATATTTTCAATTATCATGATTACTATTCATCTTTCTTAATTTATATATGTTGAGTAGTTATTTACGTGAATGTGTCTGATTATAGACACGTTCACGTAAACATTTTATAACATAGCAGACGATATAGAAATAGAATTATAGAAACAAATAGACAAAAAAATGAACGTATCGCTTAAGCTCCGGTTAATCAAGATAAGAAACAAAATGATTAATAGCACTGTGGTTAATATGAATGACTGGGTCAATAAATAACATAAATGTAAGAAGATCATACAAACCCATTTCATATAACGAATAAATAGACCCGTTAAATATTGAAAAAAAAATAAAAAAAATAAAGAGTGGAGAGTTGAAGTATCCCAAGAAAGAGGCAGAGAGAAGGAAAGGAAGCAGAGCACATGGGAGCAGTGGAGCTAGTTGGAGAAGCTTCAGATCATTTGTATATATATATATATATATATATAAACATTCAATAATTTTCTGCAACAAAAGCATATTGCCAAAGAGGATAGATAGATAGGTGTTAATACACTTTCAAATCTTCCCAATACAAGCATGTGAAAGACCTTGTTGTAGGACAGGTCTGTGGCACTACATTGTAGGACCCGCTCTCAAAATTTATATTAAAAATACTATATTATAATAGTATACCATATACTAACAAATAAAATAAAAAAATATTTGTTTATATGTTTGATACTGCGAAAGCCACCACATAGATATGACAATTGGGAAACACTAGTGGTGGGTCTCTATCTTTCACATCTACCTTGGATACTCATAAGAACTCTTACCAACAAAATATAGTAGAGTGAAAGAAAGAGCATCTCAATCATCATTTTGCCAATCAATATTGCCTAATATCACATATATAATATACATCATATATATATATGTTTATAATATCTTAAGTAAAAATATATGTTTACTATTGGAAGTAAACTATCTGATATACTTTTTTTTTTATAAAACTATCTGACATTTTGTTGGTAAAGCTTTTCTTATTCGGATAATTCAAGTATGAAATCTTATCTGATTTGAGTGGTTTATCTAAACCAAAACCAATCTACATTTATTGTAGACTCAATTGTATTCCATAATCATATTTTGTTTTGTTTATATCTTAGTCAAATGGATTAAACATTCTTATATTTATAAGTTTTAGAATGTATTTTTTAGTAAATGTTTAGTGAGACCCAAATTTAATATTTATTTTAGTATATATTTTAGTGAGACCCAAATTTTACTAAATATAGTAGAATCTTGGTTCTAACTTATACATTATGTCTGAAATGCTTTAATATCTTTGTTTGATACAATATAGTTATTACTTACTACCTTGAGTCTAAATACTAAAGACTATCAGATTGGTTATGTTAGAAAATACTTAGGTCGGTGCATGGTGTGAACGCATTTACCTGGCGAGAAGAACACACATGCGTTTGAGTTGTACTGTGGAATGTTCTTCAGAAACCAATGAGTGTGATTTTACATATATATCTTAGGTGACAGTACGTAAAAAAACTAATAATAAAATTGATCTATTCAGGACTATATAATCGGTGATCTACGCACTACCGAACCTTATACTTACAGACTACAGTTAGGTATTCGTGGGATATAATATATAAGTTATATAACTAATCAATTACTGATTACACCTGAAAAATTAAAATTCGTGCTCGATAAACATTTTTGCAGAATAATTTATTATAGCGTACCGCTCCAACACAATTAGTATTGATGACGATTTTCCTAATGCTACGCCTATATTCGAGGATTGAGAGTAATGGGTGATCATTTCTTTTGATTGTTTTGCTTATCTTCTCAAAATGATTACATGTTTCTAGTTTGTATAGACATGACTAGATCTAAAGTTTAGAACATCATTTTTACATTGATTATTTTCCTTGATCTCAATTTGTTTAGTTAAATTTTATAACAAACTTTTATACATAAAAAGACACATTGGTCGAATATAATATATATAGATGAATCTCGAGATCTAACAGTGATTATTAGGATAATATTGTGTAATAAAATATCTAATTTAATCGAAAAATGTTAAATCAATGTATTGGTTGGTTTGTAGTTGTATAGATGTACGTACTGCTAAGCTGTATCTTCTTGATAGCATAAGATTAAACAGTATATAAATGAAGTGGAAAATGTATGTACGTGGTATATATATGTCAAATATCCATGTGGTATTTATTTTTTTAGAATTTCAATATCCCAAGTGTCCTATACAAATTAAATCAAAAGAAAGATCAGCATATGCCCTGAGCTTAAATGGTATAAAGGGTGGGTCCTATACAAACCTCTCATGAGCTGATCTCTTGCTTCTTCTTCTTTCTCTTCTCACTAAATTCTCCCTCACAATAGAGCTTCAAGATCCTGTGTTACTGACCTCTAACAAGTTCTTGATCTAAATTACGAAGATTGATCAGCTCACAGTTCCTAAGAAGAAAAGTTGATCATTGGTCGGCTTTGATCGTGTGCATACGCATATACGTATATACATATATATGTATATGTATGAGGAGGAAAGGAACAATACCATTAATAATCAAGAAGGATTGAGACTAGAGATGGCCTTTCCACAACATGGATTCATGTTTCAGCAACTCCACGAAGACAATGCTCATCACTTACCTTCTCCTACCTCTCTCCCTTCTTGCCCTCCTCACCTCTTCTATGGTAAGTACCTCTCTATATCTATCTCTCTGTATATGTATAGACACATATATAATATACAGTGAAAAGGGTTTTAAGACTGCTGAATTCACGTACATAACAAATACGTGTTGAGAGATGAGTGTGGATTTCGACCTTGAATTCCAAGTCGTCAAAGAAAAAGTAGTAAGAAAATCTGTCTTTGTTTTGGTGTAGGAGGAGGAGGAGGAAACTACATGATGAACAGATCAATGTCGTTCACGGGAGTATCAGATCACCATCATATAACTCAAAAAAGCCCGACCACAACGAACATGAATGATCAGGACCAAGTGGGCGAGGAAGACAATCTATCAGATGATGGGTCACATATGATGTTAGGAGAGAAGAAGAAGAGGCTGAATTTAGAGCAAGTTAGGGCATTAGAGAAGAGCTTCGAGCTAGGGAACAAGCTGGAGCCAGAAAGGAAGATGCAGCTTGCTAAGGCTTTAGGGTTGCAGCCTAGGCAGATTGCTATATGGTTTCAGAACAGGAGAGCTAGGTGGAAGACAAAGCAGCTCGAGAGAGACTATGATTCGCTCAAGAAACAGTTCGATGTTTTGAAATCGGAAAATGATTCTCTTCTAGCCCACAACAAGAAACTCCATGCTGAGGTACGGTTTATATTAAAGACACAAAATTCTACTAGAATTTCTTACATCATCACGTTGTTTCTTAAAGCTAATATAAAAGCTATCGAATATCGATTAAACGGATATTAATATTCTTACAAGCTATATATATATATATATATATAATTAGGTTCTTTTCGTGGTCTATATGATGAAATAATTATGTGTTGGTAGTTTGAAGAATTAAGTAATGAATAATTATCATTTATGAAGCATATACATACAAAAAAACGGTGAAAAAGTATATTTGTTCACCCAGAAAAAGTTGTGCATATACAGAAGGAAAATCTTCATGGTTTAACACGTAGTATGACATGGTTTGAGATTTATGAAATGCAATTAGTTTATTGACAGGCTCTTGATCCAACGCGAAGATGTTTGTCAAAGACATTAATTATACGTTGTTTTTTATTATTAAATAAAGATTCTTGTGTACATGCATTTTAAAATTAATAAATTCCCCATGTGCTTGTGGAGTTGACATTTACGATAATTTATTTTTATTTAACAAATTAATAAATTTATGTGAGGATAATCTCCACTAACTTTGGTTTACGTGTGATGATATTGGTTCACAAAACAGTTAGTGGCATTGAAGAAACAAGACCGCAAAGAATCAACAAAGATCAAGAGAGAATTAGCAGAAGCTTCATGGAGCAACAATGAAAGCACAGAAAACAACAATAATTCAGATATAAATCATGGGAACATGATCAAAGATCTTTTCCCTTCTTCAATCCGATCTGCGACCACGACTACCACCTCGGCCCAAATTGATCATCAGATGGTTCAAGATCAAGGATTTTGCAATATGTTCAATGGTATTGATGAAACAACGTCGGCTAGTTATTGGGCATGGCCGGACCAGCAACAACAACATCACAATCATCATCAATTCAATTAATTATATTGTCTAAGAAGAACATCATAATCCTGATCAACATCATCATCATCATACTTTTGGTCAAAAAAAATCATATCATACTCATCTTGATATCATTCAATTGAGTATTTTGAAATTATTTGGTACTGTTTCAAATTAAATTGCTTCGGTTTTTGATTTTATGTTTCTTTTGGGTTTGTAGAGAATTGGTGTATAGGGGATATTCAACAAAAAAAAAGTCGAAAAGTATAATTTCTTGTTACTTTGAATTAAATAAATATTTTTTTTCTACCAAACTATTTTTTTCGGGATCAAATTTATGTATTTTATATAACAAATTAAAGTACGACTTATGAAACATATTAGTAGAGATTTTTTTCGGTAAAGATTATAGTTCATTAATGCTAATTAAGTTAATATTGCGATGGCCAGCGACGATTTTGTTTGGCTACTAGCTTAAATTAAGTTTGGCTGACGAAAAAGAAAACTTCTTGTTGATCGCATTACATCATTTTTTATCCACTAATTTTGCAAAGATTTACTTTTGTTGCTAAAGTTCAGCTTTATAATCAGATAATTTTGTTGAAGTGAATGGGTCAAAATCATTTTCTTCGTTTTCTGTCTTTCTAAAAGTATAGCACCATATACATATATATAAATCTAAATTTTAAAAATATATTGCTAGGTTGGAAACACAAAGCTAAAACTAAAATAACAAAACCCTATGATAAATTTCAAATTCATGTTTGACGAAAAAGAATTGACAAAGAAAATAAATCCAGATGCATGTGCCTTCGAGTGGGATTCCAGCTCTGTCATTGACACAACATGAGCCATGAAAAAATATATATATATTACATCTGATATTTAGCCATCAACTTTTCAATTTATTTGATGTAATCGTGTGCTCGTGTGTTCTTTCTATCAGATATAAATTTGTTTTAGTTACCGTGATTGTAATTAAAATAGTAGCTATCAAAACTATCACATATGAATATATGATGCATGCATAAATATGCCAAATGATATCTATTTCAATCTTCATTCATCATATCACATCATAATTTTAAATTTCATAATTGTAATATTTATTTCATAAAGTACAAGTTGATTGATTTAATATCTTGTTAGTTACCTTTCGTAAGTACAGTGTTTGTAAATTGCAAACTTGAAAGTTGAAAGAACGAACTCATAGCGAATTTCCTATATATATATATATATATATATGGTTATAATTTTATGAACTTGACCTAATTAATATCCAAACATTATGTAATGTGAGTCACGTAGTCAGTCGGATAGATAGACATAATATTCAGATCCATCCAAAGTACAATTTAATTTTTATTCAATCACAGTTACGTACTTTGGTGCTTTTCATAATCAGATTTAATTTTTCTGTTTTTATAACCATAATATATAAATTCGATCGAGCTCCACTGAAAATTATTTTCATTTGAATGTTTATATCAACTATGATTGTAAAAGTTGGGACTTTGGTTTAGACTCATGCACATGAAAGCACATTAAAACAAATTATTTTCTTTAACTTGGTAGGTTATCGTAAAAATTATATATACATTCGTTAATCAAACATATTCAACATGAATAACTTAGTTAATCAAACATATTCAACATGAATAACTTAGTAGATATTAACTTAATTAGATTGTTTCGGTAAAAGTTTGAAAGAATAAAACATTTTAGTAAAATTTACCGGTTATATTACTTCTGTTTTTCAGTAATTAAATATACCTTGAGTACTCTTGAGCATAAGGTATATTACAAATTTACAAGACAACAAAGGAACATGCAATAATGATAGTGGTAACTGGTAGATGAGGAAGATTATTGGAAGCACACATTCCAAAGACGAAGAAGAAAAGTCCAAAAAGATAACAGAAGTGAAACAGAAGTGAAACAGTGTTTAAGAGAATCGTTCACTCATCTAGCTATCTTTTCGGATCTTTGGATGCTTTTGAATTTAAGAATCAATAAAGCTAAAAATATAAACTAAAATGTACATATATTTTGTTACTACACAAGAAAACAAATAGAATACCAAATATTTCTCTTCTTTTGGGTTCTCCATGTGACCTCACTGCCACCACCACTTGACTTCCCACAGAAACTTAAACTTGCGATTGTGAAGGTTTTAATCTCCGAATCATCTAAAACTACACAGGTTTGCAAATAATCTGTAGTTTTACCAAATCATCTGAAACTGACTGACTGTTTGTGTGAAACCAAAGTTAATTTTCTAAATTTATGGCCAGGTTTTAAATTCATTTGCCTGGACTAATATTCTATTCAGATACTGTTCGATATGTATACGTACTTACATACGTAATTTATGGAATATATATAGCATGTGAGATCATGGGGTTGTCATATGTTTATATGGTTATATAAGAATTTTGGTGAAGTGCACATGTTTATGTTAATGGAATATGGATATAGGTCAACTCCTAAATTCTCTGTTTTCTAGCTATCATTTCAATTTGATCCTAGAAGTAATAAGATTTCATTCTCACGATGACAAAATCTTATGGAAAATTCTGACGTTCAAAAGGTTTATTTACCAACAAGAAAAAAAACAAGAAAAAAAACTCAGGAATATTACTTCTAGTTAATTTATTTTTATGTTTAATCACCATTTGATTGTTAAAGTAACAAAAGCGGAGACGAGAAAGTCTATTCCCACGAGCGACATCTCAACATCTGCCCAAAAGGTAATTTGTATTTGTTTGGTGAAAAAATGAGTAAAGTCTTCAAAAAGATGCTTTGTATAAAATAAAATAAAATAAAATAAAAGACGTCAAGATTCTTGAAAACACTTGGTGCATGTGAGCATCTTCTTGAGATTGATAGTTGTTAATGTGTCTCTTAGATACAAATATTAAACACTTCAAGGTCTTGATGGATTTTTGCCTCTATGATTATATGGCTATGGAAAAAAAGTATATTTTTCGAAACAAAACATTATGAAACTTTCGTCCACTTTAATTTTACTTATGAAATGAGATTTGATAACAAAAACTACAACGAGATCAAAGAAACTACGTAGATATGAATTAATTTCATGAGATTTGAAAGATTGAGAATTGTTACAAACTTACAATCTAACTAGTTTTTTCTTCCTCGTGAATATTGATTATGGTTCCAAAGGTAATTATCTTCAATCTAAAACAGTAATCTATGAAACAATAGAAAACTTGAAGTGCATAGTGTGTTTGTACTTTTTCCCTGGCTCAATAATCTGTGAAGGAAACTTCGGATTATTAACCGCGTTTGGATAGCTTTGTGTTTCTAGACATAACCCGGCGTAAGCTTGGTAAACCGTCCCATTCTTCCCCTTGATGTCCTTTAACATTCCTCCGGTATAGAATTGCAAACCCGGTTGGTTTCCGGATAACTCCATTTTCCTCCCCGATTTCTTATCTACGAGCTCCACGATTTTCCTCATCTTATCCGCCTTACCATCTAAGCAATAATTAATATCATATCTGCAAGAAGAAGAGAAATTAATAAATACAAAAATACCATTATAGATTACTTGGACTATAAGTTACTCTAAAACTATATATATTTTGGCAAAGTATTTACTCACCCTGTTTTAAGATCCTTCATATTGTCTTTAATAGGACGGAGTTGGAGAAAATCGTACGGTGTTCCTTTCACCGGAGATATTTGTCCGGTGGGAATGAGTTCGCCGTCGACGGGAGTATAACTTGAGCCGAGGATTTGAATTTCTTCAGACAAAATATCTCCGGCGTTATGACCACCAAGATTCCAATAAGAGTGATGGGCTAAGTTCACCGGAGTTGCTTTATCTTTAGGCTTTGCCTCCATCACCACACTCAATTCATTATCTTTCACAAGTTTATAAGTCACCGTGACATTGAGTTCTCCGGGAAACCCTATTGATTTAAGAAACAAAAAGAAACTTAGCAAATCGTTAAATTTCCCCTTAAATAGTACGTTTCAAAAGTTTTAGGTTGAAAAGAAACGGTACCTTGATCGCCATCAGGACTTGTGTAACTGAAGACAATGTGAGGTTTCTTGCCATCATACTGGTGTTTTGTAACTGCCCACACAACATCTCCAAACCCTTTCTTGCCACCTAAGTTTTTTTAAAAAAATTGTAAATCAGTTACATCATCATTACATTCACGTAATCATAATTAATTGCTCTAGTTTTGTTATAGTAGTACTCATAATTAATTACCATGAAGTGTGTTTGGGCCATCGTTGGCAATTGTCTTGTACTCTTTACCATTCAAATTGAATTGAGCTTTTCCTATTCTATTCGCAACTCGGCCCACGGTTGCTCCAAAATAGACCTTATCGGTCTGATTTGCGATTAAAAAATATACTATATTAATTTAGCATAACAATAAATAAAATCAAACACATGTCAAAAGTAAAAATAAAAAATTATACACGAGAAAAAATTAGTTTCTCTACGTACCTTGTAGCTTTTGACGGTATCATAACCAAGAACAATATCGCCAGTTTTTCCTGAAAAGTCGTTAAAAATACTTAGAATTAGGTTATAATAGTAAGTTTTTTAATGACCAACATTCAATTACAATACATATGATTTGATTCACTAACCATATTTGTCCGGGAAATAGAGAGACATGATTGAAGCACCCCAATTTGTGAATTTGACCGTAAGATTTCCCTTCTTGAGCTCATATAATCCAATATTCTCCTTTTCATTATCATCCCCATCAACCTCATCTTCATCATCATCATCGTCATCATCATCTGTATCATCATCGGTATCATCATCTGTATCAGTTTCATCATCATCATCATCGTCATCATCATCATGTTCACCCTTCTTTTTTTCCTTATGCTCCTTTTCACCATCGCTAGCACTACCATTTTTATCATGACCAAGGCTCTTCTCCTTATCACCATGCTTCATTTTATCACCATCTTCGTCTTTCATTACATGTTGATCACCCTTTTTATGCACATCATGCTCTTCCTTTTTGTCCTTTTTACTGCTCTTATCAACATCAGAACCGGCACTGTGATCATCATTTACCGTTTCCTCTCCTTTCTCTGTGTGATTACTACTCTGATCAACTTTAGTATGTATCTTAGTGCTCTCCGAATGTTCCGATTTCACTTCAACGTTGTGGGCAAATGAGACACTGATCACGACTGCTAATGTAACCAATAGAACCCAACATACCAAAACCGAAACTCTCGCCATATCGAAGAAGAAAAAAAAAAGAAAAAAACTTATTAAGTAATACGAGTAAAATGAATTTCTTGGTGAGTATTTATAGGTTGAATGTTAATAGATAAAATAAGACAGAAATAGGAAATTATGATGAATTTGTGATCCATAGAGAAGTTAGGAGATAAAACCGGACTGTGTTTTCCGAATTTTCTTTTTTAATCAAAAATAAACTGACATAAATCTTTACAGCTAAAGCTGCATGATTCACCAAACTTGAAAAGATGAGCACAAACACACCATGTTTATGTTAACCTCACTTAATCATTCGGCCGTTTTAACGGCCCATTTTCTTAGACCCACTAAGGCGGAGTCCAATAGCTTTTTACTCAGAACTAAAAAGAGAAGCATTGACGCGCGTAATTGGCGCGTGGATGATACTGCTCCGATACTTTTTTCCCCCTTAATTTTTTTTACTCCCGTGGCGCGTGGGATCTGTATATTTTTGACTTTTGTTTTTCAAATTGTAATCTTATAATTGGCGCGTGGGTGATTTCTTTGTTCTGGTTCAAATATTTGAACACGATATTTTCCACCGTAACAATACCAATTTGACGGGGAAAATACTTTTTTTTTTTAATGTAATTTAATAGAAAATAATTTGTCCAACACAAAAGCGCACTTGAATATACAGTCCATTGCTGCATTATCTTAATTCAAACTAATTCTTGCTACACAAGTAAACATCAATTGTACATTTAATTTGGTCTATTTGAATTCGGTTGCAGACTGTCCTAACTCGAATAAAAAACACTTATGAGAAACGGACGAACAAGAATCAATATCTTCAGATACAATACTATGAAAAACCTAATAAATAAATCACCACAAAAAAAAATTAACAATGGAGGTTCTTGTGATACAATTACTAGCTTTTCTCTTCCTTGTTCACGAAACTAGTCGTAGAAGACGAAGAAGAAGAACTCTTGAACACAGAGAACGGAGGAAGCTGCGGCGATGGTTGATCCAACGACGCGCCTGTTTGATTATTCGCTATAATGTTAGACATCAATAAGCTGCTAAAATAGCCTCCACATCCTTTGTTGTTATTCGTCGCGGCGATTTGTTGAATGTTATTGCTATTAGGATGCCGTGGACCGACGATCTGTTGTTCCCCGTTGGATCCGACCATGGATGAGATTGCAGCAGCGATCACCGAGTGGAAACTTGGGTCGGAAGTAAGCGCTTTCGTTAGCGTTTCGGTTAAAGACTGACTATTTTGAACTGTTTTCCCTATCTCGGACGTCCCAAACTGGACGTTATTGTAAGGATATGGAGAATAAGAAGAATATCCATTACCCCAAATCGCGGGTAGGTTGAGAGTAGAAGGGTTTGATGAACTGGAGGAGAAATTTAGGCTTGTTGATGGGAATCTCTGGAAAGAGTTTGAGAATTTGTTGAAATTTAAAGAAGGCAATGAAGAAGAAGAAGAAGAAGAGTGTTGTGGAGCGGTGAGGTCGAGAGTGACGGTGGGATGTAATGGGGAGTGAAGGGTGGGTGAATAGAAGGATTTGTTGTTGTTGCTGTTGTTGTTGATGAATCTTGAACTGTCGTAGAGGTTGTTTCCGATCATTTCGGCGGCTGATGAGGAGGAGGAGGAGCCGGAGAGGAGCATGGAAGCGGCGGCTGAAGTAGTAGAGGCCATGGTGGTGGCTGAGAGAGGAAGAGGATGGCTGTGTGTTCCTTCATAGGTTGTGATTAGTATGGACATGTCTTCTGCACATCTTTGGACCTAAATCACACATAGTTTAAGACAAATAGTTAGAACTTAGATGATCTGTTTTTTTATCAAGCACAGGTCCCAATTGCTTTCAACTGCGTTTCCATATATTATAACCGAACCTAAACAGATATATGAACTAAAATCAAAACCTTACCTAAACAAATTTATGCTAAGTATGGTTTTAATTTCTTATTATTCTTTAAAAAATTAGAAAATCAAGATTAAAATTATAGATAGATATGACTATATTGTTCCGTTTAATTTGTAGATGTATAATGAATACGTACCTGTTTTCTAACGGGACATCCAGGTGCAACCGTGCAGCGATAGTATGCTCGTGGACATGGGTTTCCTTTCGCAATCTTTTGACCATATTTTCTCCATTGACAACCATCATTCATCTATAAAACATATAATAAACGTGGCCTAATCAGTGGTCTTATATATATCAATAATAATCAAATTGTTTACAATGATCAAAGTTTAATATAACAAACTATTAATGTATAATTTAAAGGACGTACCGTTGGCGTGTCGCATCTTGCTCTAACACAGACTCTAGCTCTCTTCACATGGTTTTGCTGACCGGCCTCACCATCAACATCTCCACCGGAAGCCGGTGCCGGAGAGCTTCTCTTCCCGGTAACTTTACCTGGCGGCCAAGATTCTCCCGGAGCTTCTTCCGAGCTGTTTTCCAGGCTAGAATTGGCAGGATTCTCAACAGATAAAGTCCCGTTTGGCTCATGGCCGTTGCCGTTATTGAACCCTAAGGTCAAACCAGCCTTGGTCAATTCGTCATCATCCTTGACTTCTTTGCTGATGGCGTGATCTGTTTTCTCTTCCTTTTTCGAGGCGTTATCACTCGGAGACGAACTTCTTCTCCCGAGTGAAAGCGACACAAGCTCGCGTTCTTGATCAAAAGAACTCAAATCCGTCGTCGCCTTCGGAAGATTAGCCATGTTTTGATCTTGAGTTGGTTTGTTTGAAGGTTCTTGTTGAATTATGTCGAAGAATCTAAGTTTCAGAGATTTGTAATCACTTTCAATTCGTTCGAGCATCCCTTTAAGCTTCTCGTTCTCTTCCTTCACCTCGCTCATCTCAGCCTTCGCAGATTCAAATTTCTCATGATCACCATCGATCTAATCAAGATCAATGAATTTTTAAAAATGATTAATTCCAACAATTTTTTTTTTGAATAAATCACGGCGATCCATTCTAAATTCTAACGAATTATTCAATCATATATCGAACATATTATGTAGATGACTAATATAAATTTCTATCTGTATATTAACAAGCAAACCATACAAGATTCATTTCACGAGACAGAAATAACAATAAAAAAAACATACAACTAGCTTCGTGACATAATTTGTTTAATCTTGATTAACAAGCAAATCATACAAGATTCATTTCGTATTTTACCTTACTAGCTTCGTGGATTTGAACAGATCCAAGAACTTTATCCTTAAGAAGAGAATCCGAAGTGGATAATTTCACAAGAACCTCCATTCTTATAAGAAGATCTTTGTCTTCTCTGAATTGTTGTTTCTCTTTTAGTTGTCTGTTTTTTTTCTTTCTTCACAGACATTCAATCAAACCCTTTACTTATAGCCATTTGTGTAGTTTCTTCGAGGGGACCCAAAGCGTCAACACTCCAACATGTTCAATTTTTTATTTTATTTTTATTGAATTCCGTCCGGTACATTTTTCCTCCAATCATATCTTAGTTATTTATATTAAACTAACTAGCGAAATATCAAGAAATTATTTCCTGACTTTGTTGATGATAATACTGCTCCGTTTTAATAGGGACAATAAAAAAATATCACAACTAGTAGCCTAGTACAATGGAAACGATGATCAAATTTAGAAAATTTTCTTTTATTGATATATTTTTGTTTTGTAGAATGTTTTAACATTATGAAAATGAAATTTCGAATAAAATAAATGAAAACAATAATACTTAAACACACAATTTTCTGGCGTCAGTATTTAAGTAAAATTGAAGTGTAAAATCAATAAATTTAATGAATAATTCTCAAAATGATAACTGTGATGATTTCTCATAAAGTATATATTTCCTTTTTTTATTAATTGAACCAAGTGTAGATAAAGTCTACATGGATCTTGGTTATTTAATCAGAGTATTATTGAAATGTCCAAATGTAATAAATGAAATAAATATTTATAAGAAAGAGCCTAATTGTACGGCGTCAAATAGAGATTGTATAATGTGAAGGGAGATATCCTTGAAGCTTCATGGAAGAAGACTTCTTCATCTCTTGGCCTCACATCACATGAGCATTCGTCAACTCTTTAAATCTTATATTATTTGTTTATTTAACGTAGTTACTAGCCCTCCCTCATCGAAAACATGTTAAATATATTTTCCAAATATGTATAACAGTATAAGGTTATACAATACATTCATACCATCAATGCATTCAATTCATCTAGGTGTACATAAATATGTTTCCGATTGATAATCGACGACATTGCATATTAACGCGCGATATATTAGTTCTTTAGCTGTTATGTTCTACCACAGTGACAAAAAAATGTCATATTAAAAAAAATAACATAGAAACTAAAGAAACAAAATTTTGGCTATTAATACTTTTTGGGTTAATATACTATTAATACTCAGAAACAAAACTTAAAGTCAAATCATGTAACATGAACTGAAAGAAAAACACATCAGGCATTTGATTATTGTTTATGTATGTAAACCTTGTTCATATGGTAGGCCAAAGGGTGCGTATACCGGTCAATACGCAGGTCACACACGGTAAATATATGATTTTGTCAACTATTGACTTTGTTAACAAAAAAATAATCGTTTATTTTTTTCCAATGTTATTATTATATTCGTATATAAGCCCGGTCCAATTAAAATAGTGGTTCAAAGCTATAAAAAAAGAAGATGTAAACTTTATTTGGTTATTTTAAATTTGTGACTTATTTTTTAAATTTTTTCAAAATTTATAGCCCTTTTTTAACCTAATTTTTTCAAAAATATTGGTGACCCTAAGCGCTGGCTTAGCCCGCCTATCCTCTAGGCTAGCTTTGTGTATACATCTAGTTTCATTTTATACCAACATGACGAATGTCAAATGCTTCATTCACATAGTTGTCAAATTTCATCAGTGACGTAACGCTGCATGGCGCGTTGAAAAAATAACATGCATTATTTGCTCTATTTTCTTATAAAATATATAATAACTAATTTAATTTCAACTCTTTTAAAGATAAAGCGTAATAAGTTTATATATAGTATATAATTGTACATATGAGCTTTACTCGTATACAATTTTGTTTTTTCGACACTTTACTCGTATACAATTATCGGTAAAATTTAATCTATAAGCTAGCAAATTGTTGTCTTTTCCTGTCTCCAATTCTTCAAACAAGACAATTTATTAGTTCTTTGAAATCAATTCTTCAACTACTATAACCTTTTGTGGTGCCGTACATTAGAAAAATATGACTTTGTATTTATTTATATTGATCGCATGATATTAAATAAATTTATTTTGTGAATATGGTTAAATAACACATTGGCCGATCAGTTGAATCTTCTTCTTTTGTTTTAGTTAAAGCCGAGTTCAATCTTAATTACTTAATTAATTCGGTAAACATTTTGATTACTTGGGGATCTGAGCTCCCGTAGCTTTAAATATTACAAAATATCTTAGTAAACATTTTGATCAACTCAACTTACATCACTCATTTTTTTTTTTTTTTTTTTTTTGTATATTTATCTACTATAAACAAAAGACTTTCTTGTTTACTATTATATGTGTACAGTTCATTATAAGGTTAAGTAAACAATCGTGGTCGCAATGTGGTTATTGTTTGATTCAATAAGCTATGAGATATTAAATTAGCACGTCCTACATGATTAACTCTATTAACTAATTAAAACTAATTAGCAGTTACAAATTACATGGAAATTTGAAAGCTCTTTCTAATAATTTTTTTACATTTACTCCATTTTAATTACCGTGTGGCGAACCCCTAATTTCCAATTGTGTATGTAAAATTGCTTCGTTTTTGATAACTATTAACCTTTCAATTTCATTTTAAAGACTAGCGATGAAATTTAAATATTTTGATGTGGAAAATTATTGATGGCTTAATCATCCCATAATAAGACAAAGGAAGATTATCAACCTTTTGGTCTTATTTAGACATTTAAAAGTCTTTGGTCAACTGTATTAATTATTTTTCTTCTAATTTGAGATAAGTTTGTTAATTGCAGTTCTAGTGTAATTAGTTATGTTCATATGGCCGCACTGTTAAATAAAATACAACTGCTTAATAAATTTGCAAGAAATAAGAAAGTTTCTGAATTTTTCAGAGAAGAGTGAATGAAAGGTCAACTAACATGTCTCTGCGACTCGCAAAGACAGATCAGAGATCTTGACCCGAGCTTCACTAATTTTCTTTTTCTTTATATATTTTGAAAGATCCAGAAACAATTATAATTATTATTTCGAAGAAATTCTATAGACAAAATTTAGAAGTTAGAAGATCGAGTAACATTTGAAATCAAACTCTATATTACATGTTTTGGTCTCAGATTTCGGTACAAATTAGAACCTCGTAATCATCAAAAGTAAAATAAAATAACAATGTATATAAGCAAAAATAGTAATCGGAAAATCATCTCTATTTCCAGTTCTACAAAGGGTTTTAACTATGAAAAATCATACTCTTTTATGGAAAATATAAAATACTTTCAGCTTGCGGTAATTTTTGTTGATAAATTTTTTTGTTGTATATCTTTAACAATTTTTGTTGTTGTTGTTGTATATGCATAGTAACGAAGAGTTCGTATATTTTATGGTTGTCAACAGGAAATGCAACTATATTATACTTATAAATACTCTTCTGTCATCAACTTGCGAATATATTTTTATAATTTCTAGTTTCTACCACTGACCTAAGGTCAATGGTTTGGATTTAGACATTGAAATTAAACAATTAAAGAAAGATTTATACGTTTAAAGACAACTTGGAGATTCTCTATTGAAATTTTAGGTCAATAGTTTAAGATTGGTCATTGAATGAATGATTTTTTAATTATTTATTTATTTACTATTGTTGGGTTTAGACTCCCATCTCTATGCATTATCCAAGATATTTGAATTCAAGTTTGATCAGTTTATTGTTCTCGCAGAGAATACTAGTATTGCTTACGTTGAAGGAGTACATGTACAGCTAGTGGAAATTAATTAGGCATATCTGCCGGTTGATATTCAATTCAAATACCAACTATCGTGGTTAACTGCTATATTGATGAATACAACAACTTTATAAATTTCAAGTTTTTTTTTTTTTTGGGTTTAAATTTCAAGTTTTTCTGTTGAAGAAAATGAATTTTGGTATAATAAATTCCATATTGTAGAGCATCTTATGGAATAGTATATGGTATGGAAGATATCGTAGCAATACAACGTTTACGATATTTTCGATTTATTCGTAATACTTTCGCTCCAAAATAACTACCAATGCAACCTTTACGATATTTTTCGAGTTTTATGATATTTTCGATTTATTCGTAATACTTTAGAAAGCGAGATCAAATCCAAATTAATCAAGAAAGAAAAAAGCACAATCAAGATTTAGATTAGAAACAAATTCCAAACACTACGTCGGAAGATATATCAAGTCTGTTTTATTTTGGCTACTATGAGAAACTTGAACAGAGACCCAAAATTTAGACTAAACACAGTAAAGATCTTTTCTTTTTTTTCCCCCTGTTTATCTTTCCTTTTATGTACAAAGAAGAATTTAAACTAAGAAACCCCAAAAGAAAAGAGAAAAACTGATTCTTAATCTGAAAAGTGAAATGGATAAAAAAGCTTTCAGTCCTCAACCTTGGGGCCTCTGTATAAGGCTCCAACTACGTTACGATCGTCTGGATCATCATCTCTTTCTTGCAGCCATGCATGACCTTCCTTCTCCACTCCACCTCTCAAAACGTCGTCTTCCTCTGAAAATAACACATATAAACCATTCACCTATCCGTCTCTCATCACACATGAGTGTAAAGGCTATCATGATTCGTAAGCATTGAAAGCTGACCTGATGAGAATTTACCAAAAGGGAAGTCAAGGAAATAAGTGCAGTCTCTGCCTTCTGGAATGCAGTATGGAGGGCCAATCACGTCTAGCACCGCGCACGCTGTTCTCGCTGTGAACCGATGCATGTTCCCGCCATCTTCCGGGTACAATATCGAGACGTTGCATGGTGCGGTTAACGTTGAGTCCATCTTCAGTTTTGCCAGCCGGGTTTTCGGATCTCTCTCTGCAATTGAGAATTGAGATGAGACAGAGCGATTTGAGTTTACATACATTACCACGAATGAGACAATCATTGGTAACAGTAACACTGAGGGATAAAACTCGAAACAATTTACGCGGAGCAATACAACGGTGAAATCATAAAACGAAAACTAAGAATACTTAGATGATGATTGGTAAGTCAGATTAACAGTGGGATGATCGAATACTTGAGCTAAGCAATTTTCTGTTAAGTAATCACGAAACGCCCAAAAAAACTGATTTTTGTGCCTTCTCATTTTCTTTGTTGAGCCATTCCACCACTTTGGGTATTACCACTTAGAGCCTATAACTTTTTGCTAAATTTGGGATTGGAATTCTTCCAAATAAGAAGTTAAAGTCACTTCTCTCTGTCACTTAAATCAGAACGCACATTCGAATATCTAATAAACCCTAATAAAGCTACCAAAGATGAACTCCAAGAAAACAAGTTTCATAGCTCAAAAGTTTTCTTGGGATGAAAGTAAGCTTACTTGGAGCATCAACGACCCAATCATACGACTTGATGTGCATTGTACCAAAGAGAAGCTTACTAAAAACTGTCATCCCTGGATGATTATGAAGAGGTATGACAGCAGAAGGCGGCAAACAGAAAATCGCAATCTGCAATAAAACCCTAACCAGATGATTACTTATACCACAAGAAAGAACCGATTCAAGTGAGTGTGTTAAATGAAATTACCGAGAATTGACGACATTCGTATAGATTCAGATATGTAACTGGTGGCGAAGACCCGTTTCCTGGTCCGGCGTCTGGTCGGAAATAAGGCATGGTCGGAGTTAATCCGACATCCTCTGGTTTCATGTTGTCTATATTTATATAATCAGAATCCAATCAAAATCGAAACTTTGTGGAAACCCAGAACACGAAACGCAAAAATTCAGTGACATTTGAATCAAATTTCATACCAAGGATCCCTCGCAGCTGTTGGATTTTATCTTCAGACGGAACAACTCCAGGACCACCATCAGAGAACACTTCCTTGCAGGTATCAAACAGCCGTCGCACCGCCGTTATCTCATCATCCGCCGGAGAATCAGTCTTCTTCCGTCGCCACGTCATCAACATCTTCTTAGCCTTCTTCTTCTTCTTATTCTTACTGTGAGGCGAATTAACAGAATTGGGATTAGGGTTTTTAGCCTTGCAATGATTCTTACTCGAATAAACCAAATCCGAAACTTCTTTCTCTTGTTTCATCTCAAACCCCATGAACCTAAAAAAGAAAACCCAAACCAACCAAAGAAAAAGACCGAAACTTTATCACGAAATCAAAATCAAAATCTGAATCTCGGAATTGGATTTAAGTGGAAAGAATGAGATATAAAACAGGGGAAAGACGAAAAGAGAAGATAGAGATACCATTTTCGATACAAAACCAGGGGCCCTTCTTTTTCTTCCTATGGGCTGCGTGTTTTTTTTTAAACAGCGGATTCTTTTTTATCCGTTTCGGTCTTCGCAAAGGGGTAAATATGGAAATAAGAAATATATTTATATAGTACCGCTACTTCCTTGCTCTGTTTGTCGGTTTAAACTCGGTTATTCTAAACCGGATACTCGGTTTCTTTTTTTACTTATTGATACTTCCTCGCGAAATTTGTTGATTTTATCAAGTACATGATGTTAAAGTAGAATTATTGATTTATCTATATAAATTCCAAAAATATGAATGTAAAAAGCACAATTTTGAAATATTTCTGTATCATAGCATGGTTTTGTCACTTTTTTGTGTGTGTGCGCTTCTAATTCAAAGCATTCGTATGTAAATGCTTTAGGGAAATGTCGGGTCTGGCCCTGATATATCCATTCTTCTCCCCGGGTTACATGGGAATGCAAGTAGTGAGTCCTAGGAATCTTTGTTTTTGTTATTGTTATTATATTTATTTTTCCTGGCTTCAGGTCATATCTTTGCCAATTTTAATTTTTATTTGTTTTTCCGAATATAATTATCATTTATATTTGAGATCTTTGATAGTGAAGCCCACAAGGCCATAACAACCCGGTATTGCTCGCCAAATCCGAATACTGTAAGTTGATTATATGATTACAACTCTGGTGAGATTTATTAAATTAAGAAACAAATGTTATTATACTCTTAGAAATCTCGAATATCATTGTCACTCACCATCCCTTTTTAACACGTTTTTAAAGACAAAAAAGGTTTCCTTGGATAAAATACTATTTAATGCTGATTTTTTTGGTTGTTTGAAAGTTGAAGCAACTAAAGTTGATGTTTTAGTAGTTATATTCATTCTGGATATTTTAAAAAACCATGACCCATATTCGCGTTTGAACTTTTACCAAAAATAATAATAGATAAATTGAAATGGTAATTTCTGTGTGTTTAGCATAAATGAAAGTTTTATAGTCCACATTTAAATATTAATCAAAACAGCCACAGAGTATGTCACCCAAAAATGAATTTGCTGAAATACAAAAAGAGAAGTCATCAGAATCAGCTATTTTCGCTTACTCTTTATAATATACAAAAAATACCTGTACAAATTATATAACGTTTTTTTAATATTTCACCCCATAAATTTTTTATTTCCTGAACTACATAGATAGAAGCAAAAAAAAATCAAAAAATGGGGGAAAAGATTTGTCTTTAATTTAGACATACATAAGTAATAAGAAAAAGGGGGCTGTTCTAACAGCGTCTCCCGACTTTGCAATCAAGTGCTCCTGCGTATTTGGTGAGCTTAGAAACCGCAATACCATGTTTTGGTTTAATCATTTGTTGCCTCGTGTGACCACATTTGTAATGAGGATTCCCAGATTGTCTGAAATATGCTCCGTTCATGAATATATCTTTATCAGATCTCCAGTTCCAGTGTTTCCACTCGTCCTCTGAAGCATAGTCTCTCTTTGTCACCTACATCCATTAAATTTTGACAAGTTTACTTACAATTTGATACCCATAATTTTGTTTTGTGCAATATAACGCATAGTTACCTCTCTGTAATGAGGTTTGTGTGGAGGAGCAATGAATCGGTTTCCATGGCTGAGAATCGTCGGACCTTGACTACCTCCGATAGCGTAAAGCTCCCAATGAGTGTAGTCATTGTTCACAACGTGAACAAATCCCCATCGGATCCTTGGCATCCTCTGCACAAGTCCTTTACCAAAATGGTTATAAGCCACTGTGACTTGCATCTTCTTATCTGCTTCATTCGTGTTTTGCGCACCAAGCAACATCACCTACACAAACAAAAATCCCCAAAAAGCTATGGTAGTGTATCGTTCTTAATGATCGAAAGATAGAATCTAAGCTATATGGATTTATATGAATGCTCACGTCGTTGTGGTGAGTGAAGTGGGAGTTGGAGATTGTAATGCCAGTGGATCCAACAATGGCATCGATGAGTCCATCTTGACATTTCGACATCGAAATATGGTCAAGCCAAATGTCGGACGAACCGTAGATCGATATACCGTCTCCATCGGCTCTAGTCCTCATTCCAAAATGGTCGACCGAGTCTCGGATCATACCACCACTACTCTCGGAAATGTGGTGAATGTGCAATCCATGGATGACGATATTCCTCACAAACTGCATAGTGATCCCTGCGCCATGCGCGATATGGACATTAGCTCCTCGAGCATCAATGGTCTTATCGCTATTAACCAGAAGCTCTTGGTTTAAACGAATGCTCATATCGTTCTTGAATATGATCCAGAGAGGCTCCTTCTGAATCACGGCGTGACGCAATGTCCCGGGTTTAGGGTTCACCATATCCTCGTCGAGGTTGCTTGTAACCACGTAGATGCGTCCCCGTTTTCCTCCGGTCGTCCTGTGGCCGAACCCGCGGACACATTTGACAAGCTTCTTACGGCGCTTTGCCCAATCCGTACGGCAACGCCAGCATTTGTCTATCGGGTTGCTTGCGGTACACGGTCCCTTAAGCTTACTCCATTTTCCTCTGCCTTTACCTCTTAGGCTCCGTCTCGTGTTGTTCTCCGAGCTTCCAAGCATTTCAATGACCTCATTTCCCACCCCTTCGGGGTTCGCGCTGCCATCTTCCTCGGTCGCCATAACATCTGTAGAGTTGTTATGTTCCTCGGCCGCCGTAACATCTGTAGAGTTGCTATGTTCTTCGATAACATCTGTAGAGTTGCTATGTACATATACACACAAAACCCAAAACAAGAATCACACATTAGTTATGTTTCTTTGCTTCGAACTCATATATAAACTTACTTGACTTACTCGTAATGACGTTCGTGGAAGTGATCGACGACTTCGTAAGGATCAGAATGATAAGCTTGAAGAGTGAATTCTCGGGCTTCGTCGGCTCGTTGCGACCAATATTCGTCCAACTCAGACATGTTGGCTCGTATGGTCGGAATCAGACCGGCAATACAAAACAAAAACATCAACTTTAATAGCCTAGCCATCTCCATCTTTAAGTTTTTGTTTTCTCTTTTCTCTCTAAAAAAAACAGTTTTTATACTAAAAATGTAAATATTTGTTTTCCCTTGTTTCCTTAAGGGACTAAGATCTAAATGGAGAATTACTATGCTTTCGACATGGCTTTAGGTCGTTTTTTCTGTTAATTTTGTTTTTTTCTTTGAAAGCCTAAAGCCTTGAGATGATGAATCGTACGTACTGCGGATTTTTAGAAACGTGAAGGAATCGAGTTTAAATAAACTTGATAAAGAAGCAATCTCCAATATTAGGAAGTCACCGCTAAGGATGGAGAGCCGTCATTGTTTATTTGTGGACAGTTTCTATGTTTTTATTTTTAAAATTATTATTTTTAGCTCCCAAATTATTTTCTTAGTTTAGAGTTTTAATTTGGATAAAAATAGAATTATGTACAAGTTTTAAATGATAACAAAATGTGGATATGTTTTTCAGTTTTTGATTTATTATTCATTTTAGTAAATTTAGGCTAGTGGACATGTAATGTTTGTTTATTCATAAAGGCCATCAAATTTGTATGTTTGTTTCTTCCTATTCACTTCAGAAAAATAGGAAGAAGAAGAGGAAGAACTAAGAAGTATATCTTTTATGTGAAGCTTTCATACGGTTACTAACATTTCACTCTCGTTACAAAGTTCACTAAAGACACAAATAATTGGAAGTATAATATATATACATCTTTTATGGGATCAATATTGATTTTAAACTTGTTAAATTTGTATAAAAAAAAAATTTTAGTGTAATGTATTTCTACTTATATTAATCATGTTATGTTGCTAACATTTTTCTTAAGGAAGTAATGTTGATAATATTTTTCCTAAGAAAAAAATGTTGATAACATTTTTCTTAAGAAAAAAAATGTTGATATATAGCATATTTCTTAAGAAAATAGTGTTGATAACGTTTCTAAAAGAACTTCATCATGAGGCTTTGATTCGTTTGCACAGACAAATCTAGCTTTCAACTGTTCCAAAGTTTCTCGGTTCAATCTAAAATGGTAAGCATTTGCTTCGTTCTTCTAAGAAGCAAACTTAAAAGAAAGAGATAATTTCCTATTTTTAGCAAAAAAGAAGACACAATTTTCTTTGTATGTTAATAAAGGAAAAAATGCTTATTTCTCAATCTTGAAACCAATTTTAGAAACAAACAAATATTATGCTTGATGATTACTTCCTTCCCAATTCACTTCTTTATTCTTTTGATTATATCCTCATGTCATAATATGTCTTTGTTATAAAAAGATAGACTAAATAACTATGTACTAGGTAATAACATGTATCATATGCAGGATAAGAAATCTACAAATAATTTTATTAAATATGATTTAAAACTATTTAAATTAATTTAATTATTTGTGTATATAATATATTTGATTAATAATAATATTTATTTATAAAATTTTATAATTAATTTTAATATTTTTTTATATGAATATAATTACATATGTAGTCTCAATGGCGGAGCCAGCCACAAATTTTACCAGGATCAATCATATATACATCTAGAATATTACAGGGGTCAATTAGCCAATTTTATAATATTTCACCAAATTATCTTTGCAAAATACATGTAAATTTTTTTTTATACAAAAATTCACATAGGTCAAATGACCCTTTCCTAAAGAGCTGCCTCTGCCACTGAGTAGTCTAACACGAAAAAACTACGATCGTAAAAACATCAATTTTTTAAAAACATAAATAATTACAAATTTTATTTCAAAATCTTAAATATACATAGAAGATGTATAAAAATAGTATATACTTATTTAAGTTTAATACTATTGATCAATTATCTAAATTATATATAAAAGAGTCAATATTTATAACTCTTAACTTATTAGTCTAATAAAAATATTAATTATATAAAAATTGATCAAAATATAATATAATCTTAACAAATAGTATTTTAATTTGTACATCAGGTTATTTATTGATTAAACCAAAATTTATAATCATATAACTCTTAATCGAACGTAATTATTTATAATATTATAATTTTAACACATTAAATTATTTATAATATTTTGACTATTTGATATAATTTATTTTTCTAACTTTATATCAAATTTAAATATTTACATTATTTAGTTAATTTATATGGTTTTATTAAATAATTATATTAAGTAAAAAGTATTTATAAATATGGATGACTATTAAATCAAGTTTTGTGATTTTTTTATCTTTTATTTGTTTTTATAATAATTTTCTAACCATCTACATCTTTTTATTTCTAATATGTGACTTTTAAAAATATATTTATATTTATTCATCATTTGAGTAATTTATATTCGTTTGTTAAAATTTCAAATAATAACACATGTAAAAAAGTCTATATATTTTTTACTATGTGTAAATAAAGTTATGATTTATGTTTTACAAAAATAAACTTAAATAAAAGGAATAGAAGAAACATATATAAAGAAATAATTAATATGATATTATTTTTGGTAAACAATAGAAAGAAAAAATATCTTTATAATTAAATGCTAAATTATATATATAATTGATATAAATTATGGTCTAAACAATTAATATAAGTGGCATATAATGTAATTATTTTAATAACAAAAGTTTTTTTTCAAAAAATTTCAAGAACTTTATGTACAAGGCACCACTATAATTATTTACAAAATTAAAATTAATTTCTAAAAATGCTTATCAAATATTATATAGGAGATACTCATTAATTATGTGTGCATACATCACATATGTACGAATTACGACCACATATATAGAAATATTTTGATACCACCTTGTACTGCACATCTTATTTGACTAGAGATGATCATAAAATATATATTGTATATATGTAAAAAAGTGGCAGTTTCTTTGTTATTTTTAATTTAATTGAAGTATCTAATGCAAGAAAAAATCAAGGGCTATTGAACTAAAGCTCTGTTGGAGCATATATATAGCTCTTCTTTGTTGATGCAAAAGACAAATTAGACAGCCTTCTCTTTTTTTTCTAAATCTTTTTTCCCTTTTATTATATAAATTTGGTGAGACGAAAATGCCAACAGAAATTCAAAGAAAAATGATTGTTGCAGTAATTAGTTATTATATTTGTTTACATGATAATTTTAGGCAAACCCAACAACCAACTCTACAAAACAATAATTAGAATAAATAGATTCAAACGCTCAGGTTTTTTTTTCTTCCAGGAACCCAGACTTTGATCCCCTTTCCTTTTGAAAAAAAAAAATGATTACAAAAATTCCATTATGGAATCAAATACCTTGAAATTCAAGAGTTGTAGATCTGAACAAAAGAAAGAAAAAGCTATCAACTTTATCCATATATATATGACATAACATCAAACAGCTTCATTCCATAAATTTGAAAGAAAACTGTTTCTGTGATTTTCTTTCAGATCTTTCATTGTTTGTTTTTGTTTTTTTTTATATTGTATATGAGATTAAACAATTTCAAACAAATAAAAAACCAGTTGTATAATTTGATAAAAGAAAAATGATCTCTTGGCTTGATATCTACCATGTTGTTTCAGCAACAGTTCCTCTCTATGTTTCAATGATCTTAGGTTACCTCTCCGCAAAACATCTGAAGCTCTTCTCTCCCGAACAATGCGCAGGGATCAACAAATTCGTTTCCAAATTCTCGATCCCTTTGCTTTCTTTCCAAGTAGTCTCCCAAAACAACCCTTTTACGATGAGCCCTAGACTCATTCTCTCAGACATTCTCCAGAAAATCTTAGCCCTTGTTGTGTTGGCCGCGGTTTTAAGATTCTGGCACCCAACAGGAGCAAGAGGAGGAAAATTGGGTTGGATCATAACCGGATTATCTGTATCCGTGTTACCAAACACTCTCATTATTGGAATCCCAATCTTGAGTGCCATCGATGGAGATGCAGCTGTGAACATCTTGGTGCAGATTGTTGTGTTGCAGAGCTTGATTTGGTACAACATCTTGCTCTTCTTGTTCGAGATTAATGCCGCCAGGACGATACCATCTCCTCGAGCTTCCATAGAACATAGAGGTAACTAATTTGTTTCATTTATTTTCGCGTAGAGTTTAACAGAACTTCTACCCTAATTAAACCTGGGTTTCTTACAAAACAAGGTAATGACAATGAAGAAGCTGATAAAGAGCAAGAGCCAAAAGAAGAAGAAGAAGAAGTAGCAATAGTGAGAAAAAGATCTTCTGGAACTCGGAAGATTCTGTTGAAGGCGTTGGTAGAGTTTATAACCAATCCTAACACATACGCAACATTCATCGGATTAATCTGGGCTACTTTACATTTCAGGTGAAAAAAAAATCATTTTATATATATCTAAAAATTTAATTTATCAATAAATCAAATTACACACTTTAAGGTTCAATCTTTACCATCTTACATGTTTAAACATTTCTTTTTCTCTTTCCAAAAAGAAAAGCGATAGTTTAGCAGTGCTTCTTCTATTTTAAGCTTTCTGTTTGATCATTTTACGCATATACAAATTCTATATATCTTTTTTTTCAAAGGAATTGGATAGGCAAGTGATATTCCACTTATTAAGATTTGCTACTTTTTTTTTCTTTATATATTCTAACGTCAAATGTTGACTCATTTTTATTTTTATTTCCCAATAGATTGGGATGGAATTTGCCTGTGATGATCGATAAATCAATACATTTAATATCTGATGGAGGCTTAGGAATGGCCATGTTCAGCTTAGGTAATCTCTCTCTTTACGAATATATATATTATTAACAAAACTAGTTTCACAAGTAAATAACACAGAATATGAAACAGGTCTTTTCATGGCATCACAAAGTAATATCATAGCATGTGGGACAAAAATGGCAATTATAACAATGCTCCTCAAGTTTATATTAGGACCTGCTCTTATGCTTGCTTCTGCATTTTGCCTCAGATTACGAGGCACTCTCTTCAGAATCGCAGTACTACAAGTAAAAGAAAACTCAAACTAATATTCCATTATTAAAAACCAATTATTAATTTGTTGAATAAAAGAATCAATTACTATAGTTCATGTCTTCTATATTCATTGTGTTGCAGGCTGCATTGCCTCAAGGGATCGTGCCATTTGTTTTTGCAAAAGAGTATAATGTCTATCCAGAGATCATTAGTACTGGGTAAATAAACTGTTGTTTGATTTCTTTTTTTTTTATAAATTTCTTCTGTTTCTTAACTTTAATTTGTGGTTTCTATTTTTTTTTCTTTTCTTTTCAGGGTGATCTTTGGAATGCTAATTTCTTTACCAACAACTTTGGCATATTATTTTGTGTTGGACCTATGAATATGACATGCGTGTTATATATATAAACTATATAATATAATCAAGAGCTTTTATGTTTTTTCGTAGATAGATTGGAATTATATTACATTTTAGATCATGGGATTTTGAGATGTTGATTGATAAAGCTAATGTCAAACATTCTCTTTATTTTTCACACAGTATATCTTAAATTAAATAATCTCTGATATTAAACTTAAATTTATGAAAAAGAATTGGTAAGCTAATAGTTACAACTGAGGTAAATGATCTATAGAACTATAGAAGTAAAATCTATAAGAACATCATTTAAAGAAAAATAACACATTGAACAATATGTTGAATAATATCTTAAACCAAAATTTAATAACAATTCAGATAATCTGTAGACAGAGTCAAAGAAATTAAAGACTCAAAGCGAAAACATTTTTATATTATATTTAAAAAAAAAAACTTTGGAGAGCACGGAAAAATATTATAGAACGCCGCCTGCGTGCCACGCAATGAAAATGGAAAAGGCCAACATAAATAAGAAAAGATTAAAATAAAGAATGGAAAATAAATAAAAATTCCTTGGTGAATGGGGAATAAATAATCAACGGTTGTAAAAAAGGGGAAACCGACTCATGTAATATTGATCCAACGGCTGAAAGTTTTTAGCTTGATAAGCAGGAAAAAAGAAGAAGGGATGTAGGGTTTTCTTCTTTCCCTTATATACACATTACAACACCTCATTCACCAGAAAGCCATTTCTATTCTCTCTGCTCTTTTTGTCCTCTCGTGTTCTTCACAACTTCTTCGATTTTCCCAGAAACTATCATGGCTAAAGGTCCAGGACTCTACACCGAGATCGGCAAAAAAGCCAGAGGTATCCTCTCCATCTCCTTTTTCTCTCTCTGCGAGCTGAATGTGACTCTGTGCCTTTGAGATTTAGTGGTTTTCGTAATCCGATTTGCTACTGCTTTGTGATGATTTTTGACCTGGGTTTTTCGTTGAGATTCTAGGTTTCTGAATATTTGTCCATCCCACTTTCTATCGGTCACTCTTAGGGTCGTTGAATCGTTGTGTTTTATGAGCTGATTGATAATTCCCTTAGTCATCTCCATCGATTTATGCTATCTGTTTTGTTAATTCTTATAGTCGATGAGAGTATTTCGATTGATAATGACTGGGTCGCTCGTTGTGTAGCTGTATTTGACAAATTCTTGCGCGGATCTGGAAAATGTCTCTCTATATGAGATTTTGTTTGTAGAATGAGTGTTGAATGTTGCTCTTCTTCCTTGGATTGTAGATCTTCTGTACAGGGACTACCAAGGAGACCATAAATTCAGTGTCACCACATACTCTTCCTCCGGAGTTGTAAGTATCTTTATCGACTTTTCCTGATATCAGTCTCTTCATACTTGTTCGTTCGTCTTTTGGTTTATTGGTAGTGACGGAAACGAGATTTGCTTTCTTACTGGTGTTTTCTACTCTGAATAAACTCTTTAAGATGTTCAAAAGTATTGATTAGTTTGCTTTTCATGTGATTCTGTGAACATCATGGATCTTAACTTTACCTGGTATGATATTTAGGCGATCACTACAACGGGAACAAACAAAGGAGACTTGTTTTTGGGTGATGTAGCTACCCAAGTGAAGAACAAGAACTTCACCGCTGACATCAAAGTTGCCACTGATTCTTCTGTAAGCATACTTACCAAATAATCATCAGTTAACCTTTGAGTATTCTGATTCACTTTGACTAATTGTGTGTAAACATCTTTCAGCTTCTGACCACTATTACCTACGATGAGGCTACCCCTGGGTTGAAGGCAATCATTAGCGCCAAGTTGCCTGAGCACAAAACCGGCAAGGTATTAATTTTAAATAGCTTCACTTGCGTTGCAATGTGTGAATCTGTATAGTATATAACCATTTCTGGTGTTTGTAAACACAGATTGAGCTGCAGTATTTGCACGATTACGCCGGTATCTCCACCAGCGTTGGATTGACAGCTAACCCTACTGTCAATTTCTCCGGTGTGGTTGGAAACAGTGTCTTGGCTCTTGGTACCGACGTGTCATTCAACACCGAGTCTGGCGATTTCAAACATTTCAATGCTGGTTTGAGCTTCACCAAGGACGATTTGATTACTTCACTTACTCTGTAAGTGCCTCCCATCATCATTTAAAAAAGTCCCAAGATTCATTTGATTTGAGCTTTCATTTGCTGTTGGATCTAAACAGAGTTTTTTTTCCTTGGAACTGTTTTAAAGGAATGACAAAGGTGAGAGGTTGAATGCGTCGTACTACCAAATTGTGAACCCTTTGACCAAGACAGTGGTTGGAGCTGAGGTTAGCCACAACTTCACGACCAAAGAGAACGCCATCACCGTCGGGACACAGTACGCTCTTGACCCGTTGACCACACTGAAGGCACGTGTGAACCATGCCGGTGTAGCCAACGCACTGATTCAACACGAGTGGCGTCCGAAGTCGTTCGTCACCGTTTCTGGAGAGGTGAACACGAGGGAGATCGAGAAGACTGCCAAGGTCGGGTTTGCTCTCGCTCTCAAGCTTTGAGGAGATTTCCATATGGGCCCTTGAGGGGGTAGCTTAGTTATTTTCATTTTCGTCTTCTAATCTTTGGACTAATCTCTCTCTGGTTTGCTTTTAAAATCTTTCATTTGTTTTTTTTTTCATCAAAAAAATCGGCGTTGGATTTGTAGAAAATAAGAAAAAAAAATACTATTAAAAGGATCGTCTTGAAGACGAACCATTAAGATCTCTCTTTATTTTCTGCTGCTAAGTTACTCTGTTCCACTCGATTTGGATATTCTGAGATTTTGACTGGTCTGTTTTATATTGCTTCATAATCTTGATTCGTCGCAGGAGATTTGATTTTGTCCGATTTGTTTCTGTCCATTGCTGTTGTTTTTAATGGCTTTGGCTTGTGCACAGTGGGTCCAAAGTTAATTTCAAATATTCGAATCTGTTAAGAAATATTCTTCATACTTAATTCGGGCTTCATATTTAATTCGGGCCAACTTGTGTATGCGATTTACAATTTTTCGTTTATGGGCTTCAGTTTTTCTTACATAAAATGAAAAACGATGAATCCCACAAGTATTTGAATAAAAGATTATGTTTACATATTTTGAAAAAAGATAAATAGATTATGTTTACACTTTTTTAGTAGAATCAACTTTTTTAGTAGAATCAATCTTTGTTTACATATAAAAACATTAATAAAAGATTAGAACAAGAAAAATATACTTAGAAATGCTCTTGAAAATTGGATGTCTGGTTTCCTTTTTTTTTTAAGAGAATGTAAAATTATATTCAATCACAAAAAAAAAAAAACTGTTTTACATCAAGTGCCTGCATCAGAGATTGATTCTAGTTAATACAAAGGATTGAAAGCTTTGTTAATCCATGGTTTCACCTGCTTTTGTCCACGCAAGAGCTATGTAGTTGCTCCTTTAGGCTTTGGAGAAGGAATCTGATGTCGATAAGGCGAAGAACCATGTTGACCATGTGGACTAGACAGCGTCCGAAGCACAGGTTGCGGATGCCCGTTTCTTGATCCGAATCCGTTTCCTCCCTGAGTTCGACCCGACCCATTTTTCAAGCGTTCCGCTTGCATTGTCTGAAAGTAGTAAGAAGAGCTCGCCATGTCTTTGAGATGCGGAAGTGGTTTGAGTGCTTCGACAACATCACTCATCTTTGGCCTAATCTTGGGGTCACGGCTAAGACACTGTGCAGCAAGCTGAGTCACCTTCTGGGCTCCTTTGACTGAGAAATGGCCCTCGAGCCTCGGATCAAGTAACCGGTAAAACCTTCTTTTGTCAAGCAGATGTGGTCTTGCCCATTCCACCAAGTTGTGCTCACCGTTTGGTCGGTTTTTGTCCATAGATCTTCTTCCCGTCAGCATTTCAAGCAGAACCACCCCGAAACTATAAACATCGCTCTTTGATGTCAAGTGACCTTTTAAGGAGTAAAACAATGGGAAGCAGCAAATCAGCAAAGATGTAAACATTGAAGTTTTTCAAACCCAAGAGAATGGATGAAACCAAAGGGGGACTCACCGGTCATTACATACTCGGGAGCAGCATAGCCATATGTACCCATAACTCGAGTTGAAACATGTGTTTTGCCTTCATCAGGAGCATCTTTGGCAAGTCCGAAATCCGATAGCTTTGCATTGTAGTCCTTAAAATGGTAATTATAGACTAGAATTGTTAGAAGCCAAAGGAGAAAAAAATGGAAATATATAAGATGTTAATGGTATATAAAGGAGCAAGATACATACTGCGTCAAGTAAAATGTTTGATGTTTTAAAATCTCGATATATAACAGGCTTCAAAGCTTCCTCATGGAGGAAACTTAGACCTTTCGCAGCACCTAATGCAATCTTCATCCGGATAGACCAAGGAAGAGGCAAAGACCCTATGGACATGAAAGCAAGGTAATGCAGAGCAAAAAGATTAAACATTTGAACACTGTAATATGGTATGATTTACGAGGTAGTGAGGTTTACATACTTCTGAAAAGGTGATTCTCCAAACTCCCTCGAGGCATAAACTCGTAAACAAGCAGCCTTTGATCATCTTCGATGCAATAACCGACAAGCTTAACCAGATTTGGATGGAGAAGGTTTCCAAGGAAGTTAATCTCAGCCTGCAATTGCAACAAGCAAAAACACATTAAAAGGGAAACTGACATGAAGGAAGTCATAACAAGTTAACAACTAAGGAAAGTTGATGAAAAAGGATTTCTTACAAGCCATTCTTTGTGACCTTGAAGACCATCAGGATTTAAGGTTTTGACAGCTACAGTAAGCCCAGTACCGGGTTTAACAGGAGCAGTCCCGTTTTCTTCGATCCATCCTTTAAAGACACAACCGAAACCTCCTTCTCCAAGAAGACTCTCCGGTCTGAAATTTCGAGTAGCTAGCTTAAGATCATTGAAAGTGAACTTCCTCAGGTTAGAATAAAGCTTAAGTTCTTCGCTGATCATCGGAGTTGATGAAGAGCTTTCTGCATTGCTAGTTGTTGTCGTGGAGGAAACTGGACCAACTGGTTGATCAATTGATTTCTCATTTGCCGATTTACTTTCCATTGTTGTAGCTAAAAAAAAAGCAAAAGCAAAACCTTTTAGAACAAGAACATCCCGCAAAACTCAGATTCATTTAGAAAGTAAGATGTAATCAAATAGAGAAAACTCCAAATACTTTGTCCCTAAATCTGGAAACAAGGAAGCTCATCAATAAAAAGGGTAAAAATCACAAGCATCACGTGAATGTTGCACAAATCGTCTAATAAAAACCCTAGATGGAGACATATAGTTGGAAGACAATTATGGAAAGTAAACCCACAACACGATATTTTTCATTTCTCAGCTCAAAGGGAAAGGCTTTTTAAACGCAACATCACTCAAAAGGGAAAAAACGAGAGATTTAATTACCGGTGCTGGTAGTGCCATAGAGAGAAGAAGAAGCATCAACATCTGATTTCGAAGGTATGCAACCAATCATAAACCTAAATTTGACCCAACACCCACTTGCTTCTCTTTCTTCTCCTTCTTCTTCTAATTCTTCGACTTTCCTGTTATCACCATTGCTTCTATTCTTCTTCTTCTTCTTTTTGTTCTCACTCTCGTTAGATTTCTCCGATTGACAATTCCCTTTAGCTTTCACAGCATCACTCTCGTCCAAACCCATCTCACCAGCACAGACAAAGAAAGAATAAAAAACACACAGATGATTTATCAATTTGATCAGACCACCATAGTTTTTGGAAGAAAAACCCCACAACAAATTAAAAAAAAAAACCCAAGGCGAATTAGGGAGGAAAGGGAGTGATTTTCTGATAAAGCAGTGAGATTCACTGGGAATGGATCAAAGCCCAAGTCGCGGAATTTTAGTCAAAAAGGAGAATTGATGTCTGCGGAGATGGAGAGAGAGAGAGAGAAGATGTGCAGAAGAGAAGAGTAGACTAGAGAGAGAGAGAGAGAGAGGAATTATGAGGCAAGAAAAGTGAAGATTTTTTCACATGTGCTTCAACAGTAACTACTACTATATACATATTTCGTACCTAGAAAAATAAACAAATTTAATCACCGATTCACACTAACTAATGAATTCATTGATTAATTATTAGTATTATTAGCTGATTCTTGGTTACAAATCTCCTGGATTTGTGTTTGGTGTGTTTTATTTCTGTCTGGTTGGAACCAATTATCGACACTTATTATTCTTTGGGAAAACAAAAGGTACGAATCAAATTCCATTTCATTTTAAATCTTTCTTCTTTTCCGGTAAACGTGAACCAATTGTATATTTTGTATATAAAGGCAACGACCAATAAAAAAGCATATTGCTGAACCAAAAAAAAAGGAATTGTCTAAAATAAGACTATTAACGATTCTGACATAAAAGTTAACATCTCAATTAGGAAAAATAAAATCAAAGATGCAAAATTTTTGTCCTAAAAGGAAATGGATTAATAAGTAGAATAGCAAGCAGCACTCATCGACTTTGTTGGCTTTTAGCTTTTCTCATTAGAACCGGTGTTCTTGTGGAAGGGCCAGAGTTTAACAAGACGCTCGAGCACGGCGGCACTTTTAGAAAAGTAACCGGAGAAACCTGCCGGAGTTGACGGCGGAGGGAAATCTTCGGCCGGCATTGCAAATGGACGTATCATCTTCTCCATTGTTTCAAGTGTCAAACATGAACCAACCTCTTGAAGCCTCTCTGGTCCCATTATCGGAAGTGTGTGTTCCCGGAGTAATGATTGAGCTTCCTCGTCCTTCTTCTGTTGTAACAAAAATATATATAAAATACCATTCTTTGATCAATAAACAACAAAAGAGTATAGTCTTTGCTCTTTACCTCTAAGGGAGACAAATCTGCGCCACGGCTAAATGTAAGTTCGATCCTGAACCGTTTCGGGTCTTCTAGAGATACCTGAAGGAAACAGTTTATAGGTTACAATGTCTGGTTTTAGACGCGAGGACTTTAACGCGTGAGTGAGAGAGAAAAGGTCGGTGTATTGTAAAACCTCAGTGTTCTCAAAGAGTCTTAAGACAATGTAGCTCATGTAATCAAGTTCTTTGGTTTTACACAGGCGTTCCAATGCGCTTTGGCAGACGAGACTTTCTTCTCCTTGAAGAGATTCGTCGAGGTTGCAATACCGTAGAACATTCACTAGAGAATGAATATGTGATTCCTGTCAATCGTTTCATACCAGAAAAGTCATGCATCCACATGTTTCACTGATTATCAGGCTAGTCGCATGATTCAGCCATATATGATATATCACACTCTAATTCCGATAAGTATTTCCATTTTTGCCAGCCGGATGATTGCGTGCAGCAGAGAATTAGGAATTTGTAAAAACGAGACAAAAAAGTGGAAGAAGGAACTCACAGATGTGAAGTAAAGGCGTGTCCTCACATGACGTTCAGGCGTCATGACATTTGCATATCTAAAAGGGAACACGATAAAACAACGAAATTAAGAAAAGCAGAGAAGATATGAATGTCACTTATGATATAGAAGCAGGGAAAAAGACTTTTCGATTACTTTGGATCTAGTCGGTATTTGGTTTCTTTATCATCATCTTCATCTTTATTCTCTACAGAGATAGGCCGTCTCAACTCATTGCTTTTAATAAAAAGTTTTGGTTGGCTATATCTATCCTCTTTTCTCGACGAATATAGTGACACTGAGACTTGGTCTTGACTATTCTTCAGTTCAGCAACACTCATGGCCTCTTCTCGAGTATTCCTCAAGTCAATCAAGATTTTACCCAGCAAGCGACGAGCAATCTTAATTTAAAAGACAGAAAAAAAAGAAAGCATATGGTAAGCTATGAGATCATCTGAAATAATCATGGATCGTCAGGGAAATACCAAGAGAGGAAAATAGACATTCTATGCATTTGTGGGAGTTGGAATGCCACGTTGAGGAACCAACCTTTGAACCTATTTTGAGCTTTTGCTGTGGATTGATCCCATACTCATTCGGAATTACACCATCTGCAAGTAACTGCAACCACATAACACATAACTGGCCCTGATCAACACAATCCATGATCAAAAGGCAAAACAGAGATGTACCAATAATAAAGCACAGATTTAATCAGGAAAGCTAGGATGCATGGCTCGGTAATCGGTAGTTAAGTAAAATTGTCTCACCAAGACAACTGGAGTGGAGGATGGTACATTGAGAAATACCATTGCAGTTTCAGAAAATGGAAGAGAAACTTCAGCTCATACCTGAGCAACTTTGAAGAGTTCGTCTAGTCCTTTCAGGTCGAGATGAGAATTATGTAACAGGTCATACCTGGTGTTGACAACACATTGCAAGACTTTTCAGAATGGAGGAATCAAAAGCTAGGATCGTTATGTAATAGACTGAAACACGAAGCTTACTTGCATGAATCATAAACATCAGGAATTTGCGTTATGTCGAACCGGCTGCATTTAATTCCAACTATCAGTGCCACTAAAAAGAAACCTATGCAGAAAATAAGGTTGACAACTTGAGAAACAGCGGTAAATCCAATATGGCCGTACACTTACTCTCTTCTTTCGCTGTAGAGATCCCTTTCGAGTTTTCTCCACCGAGCATACATCAAAAGGAATCCTTCACTACCGCAAGGTAATCCAGCAGCAATCCGACCAACGTCAATGTTTGACTTGCCAAGGGCCGTTGCTTGATCATAGGGAGGGACTACATCATAAGCGCTAGGCTCAGTGAGACTCTCGTCGTCATCGTTTGCAAGTAGCCTCACTTGTTCAGTCACCTTTTTAGCTAGTTTTACCTATTTATTTAGAAAGTAAACAGACTAGTAACGCTGAGTATATATTTTGTGATCTCCAGTAAAAAAAACTTGACATTCCCTTTTAACAAAGGATACTAGTAAAAAATGGAAGAAAAGTGCAGCTGAAAATGCAAATGATATTGGTGATGGCCTGCAGAATAATGACAATTCGGGAAACAGATAGAAAGGCCACCATCCCGTGCTAGTCGACTAAAGTTTAGAGAAAAAATGTGAGTACCAGTTCAGGTAGGCGCTCTTCAGCGTGAGGAGGAAGGCCACCCCCATCAGTCATCCAAGGTAATTCAGAAGAGACGTAATCATTTACCATCTTTGTGCCTGCGGTTATGATCTCGTTCAACTGAGCCTGCACGCAAGTTAGGAAAAAAATTCTAAGATGAAAATAATCACACATTTATTTTTAATGTACATTTCCACCCTACTTTCCAATCTAGAACGCTATGAATGTCATCACTACTGATTATTGGTTGATGCTTTAGACGTGTATCCAAAACAGGCTTTCAGTCGTCTCATATATGCTGAAGCCACAATCAAGTTGTCAATAAAGAGAGGGACAAACCTTGGCCTCTTCCATTTCGCTACTCGCAGTGTCAAGGCCATCCAACATGGAAGAGTCCTTGCTAACCAGAGAAACCTAGAGAAAGAAAATAAGAAATTTAATGATTATGACAATGCCAAGACTATACTACCTCGGTAAAAGAAAACGGCGAACCAGGATTGGAGTGAGCTGTCCTTCTAGGTCAAGCAGGCCTTTAGCAAAAGCAGCTGCAGACATCTGCAAGCAGTGCAACTATATTCATATTTTGATCTGGGGTAGTGCAACAACCGATGAAGAATATACAGAAGATTGAAGTTACTATCTGAATGCTCTACAGGATGGCCATACTCACTACTACATCGGTATAAATTTGTACCTGAACACGTCCCTCGTCAGAACTGTAAATCTTAAGGTCATGACGGTATGTACTATGGAGACGGAGCAAACCGGTACCTTCACCTGCAAGCATATCCAATTTTGTTATAAACCACTCATAAATAAAAACATATATTGGTCAAAAAAAATGAATGGAATGTATATGGGAAGTAGAAAATGAAATGATCGGAAAAATCCAAGCAGAGCAAGTGTCAGTCACCTGGATACATATTGTTTCGGAAATATCTACCAAGTTCTTCTGCCTGTGGAAAAAAAAAATCAAGCAAACATCAAAGAGTACATCAACTCCTTGCACTGATGTTAGATATCCTAACATACCCATCCATAGGCAATACCATTACTGAAGTTTGCAATGCATTTAACATCATTTTCTGATACCAAATGACAGTACCTGCTTTCGACCAGCATGAGTTAGAACACCCCCATATTTCAGAACCATAAGAGCCTCCACTGGGCGTTCTTCTTCACCTTCACCATCACTTTTTGGTACTTTATCCCATTTCAGCGGCTTTAGTTGAACCTTCCTGTATATACCTGAGAAATGTCCACCCTGCACGTTTTACACATCTATAAGATGAGACAGAAAAAAAAAAAAAAAAGTAAAGCAATCATTCTAAGGACCATATTTGATAAAAGGACATGGGACTGAATAAAGGATAGAGCTCAGAGAAAAGAGAACGACATGGGGCTGCACACAACCTCTTCAAGAACGGCTTTAACTTGCCGAAGCTTGTCAGCATGTTCAAGGTCTTCTGCATCACTATCACTTTCACCTGATCTAAACATCAAACAGAAATACAATAAGGTATAACCAGATTCCATATTGTATACATCACTAGTTAATGAAGCATATTATCAATACAGAAGAACCTTCAACGGGAAAATTCATAAAAGTCCACAGGTGGAAACAATAGCATATGAACGCCACTGTTATTTCACAGAAACATCAGAAGTGTTCCAAAAATTTATTTTAACCTATCCATGAAATCCTTTAATCCACTGGCTCCGTACCACTCAGGCAAGAAAAATGCTCTGTACAGGAAGTGTAACCCAAGTCATAAGGTCACTATAAGGGTTTACCTTGTACGAGGAATTAACATTCTTGTGGCATCCAATAGATCTTGCAATTGGACGGCACTTTTAAGTTTTGTCTGCAAATAATGAAAATAGCGCACAGCATAAGAATATAACTCTAGGCAGGAAGAAGATGAAGATAGAAAATCCTGAACCTTTCACCTCAGCTCTTGGCTTTCCTCCATTGTACTTCAGCATCAGGTTTAACAGTTTTTCCTCTGTAACTTTTAGTTTCACTTTCTGCTTCGGGGTTCTATCACCGCTGTCAAGGGAAGTTAAACACAACTCAGAGCTTGGGTGAACAAATATGAATTTAGAGAGAACAGGTGATCATATGCTAAAACATACTGCCGAACAACAGCAATGACACAGCGTAGCTCCTCCGACTGCCCAAATGTTCCAATGATGCCACTTCCTTGGCGAGTTAGACCTTCGTTAGATGGGACAGGTTCATTGATCTTCCATGGCAGAATGGGAGGAATTGTCGAAGAAAGATGAGGAGCCTTTGCATCCAAAAACATTTTCCGTAGCACACACGCAGCATCGTCGTAATACCTTACAGTGAAAGGATCTAGTGAGATTTCTGATTAAAAATCCAAATGATTGCAAGCTCTCGAGTTCAAAAAGGAGACAGCACTTGGGTGTCTGAGTGCACCTCAGCTTTCCAAGTTCAACAAAGAAAGCAAAACTGAGGTTCAAAAGCTATCTAATGTCATTTATGTGGACACAGAGGCAAATATGACGATGACTCAGTGTTTATCCCAAATGATTAGCAATGAACTCTCCTTCCAGTAGCTTATAGCCAAATTTTGCTTTTTTAGAAAACAAAATATGCTGCTAAAAAGCTCTGAAATGGAAATTCACTCAGCATATATATTATGATTTGTGATTTTCCCTGCGATTATATAACTGAAACAATAGTCAGAGCTAAAAATATAAAATTCCAGATATTATCTCACTTATAAGAGTTCTTCACAAAACTCCATCCATTTACGTCACAAACGTATGAGCTTCCCTCAGATCGTAAGAGATCAAATCCGCAGACCTGCAAACAAGAGAAAAATGATTCTATTAATGCATTATATCGGACGATAATAGCTTCCACTTTGCCTGACAACAACAACAAGTGTGTATTCTTTTTTTTTAGAAGAGGATAATTTGTATCACTTTACCAAGCGTTTAGTCTGAAAGCAGAAGACAGCCAATACAGAAGTTAGAGTATCTTACAAGCAGACACTAAGTAATCATTACTTCTAACTGATGACTCTGTAAGCAAGCAGTTAATATTGTTGAAAAAGAATATGAAAGAGAGCAATAAACAGTTCAATAGTAATATACAATTTAGCTCAACAACTTCGATCTAAGCATTATGAGAGACGATTAATGAGGCATGTATCCTTATTACTGCTGCGCATATAAAATAATGAGGCAATAGAATTCATGAACTCCTCAAGACACAGTGACAGACAGATAACTGGAATCACAACATACCGCTTGCCTAAATGCAATGCAAACTTCTCTCGCCATTTGCTTCTCAGCAGGTGTAAGCAAAACTGGATACCTCACCTGTTCAACAAATAACAATACCTGATCAGAGTTTGAACATCAGCGTTCTATAACATCATGAAACATAAGCTACGATTCCTCTTATATAATCGACAGCTTTTGGTACCATAGCTCCATTCTTCATGAAAGATGAGCCACATAAGGTTTTATATGTGAAATGGTTTGGTAATGATCGGTAAACTTACTTCCTTCCCATCTGGATTCCTCATGACAACACCATCAACAACCGGTGATTTTCTTGCTTCAGCGTGTGCATACTCGGGACCCACAGTGTAGACCTGTATTTCATGGTAGGCTGTCAGTCGAACACTTATTAACGCCGAGATTGAGCCAAAATGTTCTCCAGACAAAAACAACAAGCAATCAAAGCTATTCCAGTTGGTGTTGCAACATGGAACAAATCCATTACATGAACAAGTCAACAGAAAAGCACAGGACATTAACATCGCAATTTTCAAAATTTAAGCGACCTGAAAACGACAAGAGCATGAAACAGACATTGCAATGCATTAAGAAGGGTTGAGTTGCCTGGACATAGAGTAAAACAGAAATAACTTATCTAGAAACATCTAGAGGGCATCAGAATCACAACCTTGACATCAGTTCCCCCAGTAGGCATAAACTCTTCATATATATAAGACCCTTCTCTCCTTACTCTTCTGACCTCAGGATGAAATTCACTTGATCGATTCCCAACCTAAAACAAAAGCATGCGTAAGAAAAGTATTAGGTATTGAAATTGCTTACCACAGCAATGTGCCACAAATTATTACAATACTAATCAGCTAAATAGTTCAATCCTAGATTAGCCAAGATCTGCAAAAAGACAATTGGTAGTGAAAGAGGTAATGCACCACAAGTATGTACAATAATATTAGACCAAATTCAATCCACGGGAAGCCTAGTTCTGCAGAAAGATGCAGTACCTTTCGAAACAATTCTTTCATGCCTCCACCTGCTGAGCTAGGGTAGTATATCATTATACTATGGTCATCTCCTTTACAAGCAAAAAGAATGTTAATTATTAGTATACATTCAAAAATATCTGCAAACAATCGGGATCAAGGCTGATTGCCAAGAACTAGGAAGAAACTAATACCCCAAAAGTAAAAACAAATCAGTGGTAGGCAGCTGAGACCGTTTCATGCTAAAATAGCAAACAAAGAGAGAGATTAAAGATTTGAAAAGAGAAGCTCACCATTGACGGGCTTTTCAACAAATGGCTTCCAGAATCGTTCACCTTTAACCTCAACAAAATCTTCTTCCTCGACGAAATAATCAAGGTCTTGGTGTGGTACTTCTCTATTGACACAAGCATATCTAGGAACTGGGATGCCATACATCTCAAGATGCTATAGATGCACATAACAAGAAACTTTATTAGTTAAGGAGAGTGTTTGTAGCTCTTCTTTTTCATGAACGACGGGAATCTGAAAAAATAATTGACAGGGAGACATTGAAAGAAAAATAATATGGCGATTAGAAATGCACAGGCCAAGTCTCATGAATGCATACCTCATACACTTTCCGGCGGTCATGAAGAAGATATTGCGGATCCAGTTCATTCACTAAAAAGGGACTGAATCATAAAAGTTAGAAAAGGCTACCAAGCTCGATATAATTTCACTATGTAAGTGGCCAGTTTACTGAACTATCAACAAAAGTTAAAAAAGGTAGAACTCACTTTCTTAAAGAAGAATATTCTTGAACTTTCTCAAGAGGATATCCAGAGGAATGAAAAGCAATCAAACAATCACAAATCGGCCAACTGAAACAGAAAAAAAAATCCCTGGTGAAGTTTTGGTCCCAGAATATAATTGTACTTAATAATCTTTAACCACACCTTCTCTGAATAAACTAATCAGATAAATGAGTTACAAATCCATGCATCACGTGAATTAAAGATGATATAAGATATGACAAAGTCACAAAACCAAAAGTGAAAAACGCTACCAATACACATATACCTTTCTACTGGATCTTCAAGTATCACCTTATCCCCAAAATGTATGATCTAGTAGTAAAGTGGTAAGAAAAGGTCCATGAGCATCACATATAAAAGGTCAAAATAAAAAGAATACACCATAGAATCCACAAAAGACAAATTAAACGCCAGCAACTTGGGGAAACAATTACCCAGAAAAAAAAAACATTTAACAAATGGGAATCACAAATTAGGGGTAAGTCTAAAAATCAAAGGCATCATAATTTGTCCAAGTGGAAGAACAAACTATACAGGTTCGGAATCGATCAAATAAAAACCTGAGAAACATCGATTCATCAATCATAGCAAAAATGGAGAAAGTGTAGTACCTCAAATTCGCCAAACGCCTGCAATCTGTCCATGATTTGTCCCATGGGAGCCGAGAAAACCTGCAAATCCACACGAACAGTCTCTAAGCACGACCACGGATTGAAATAAGAGGGAAAAAAATCACGGGAGTATCAGATTTGTTGAGCGGGGGAGAGGAAGAGGATCCAAACAAAATCATCGCAATCTGTTAATCAGAGCTAAAAAGCGCGAAACACGAGCACGAAAGGAAACAAAACCTCGGGGCCGCATTTCACCTTCTTTTCCATGACGCAGACTCCAATCGTTATCTTCCTATCAACACCTGCTCCTTCTTCCATCCCCATTCTCGCTTGCTCGCTCGCTCTCTCTCTCTCCCGAGATTACGTATTTTTCCGTTTTGTTCCTCGATTTTTACACAAACGGCCTTCTCTCTCTTTCTCCGTGCCGAATCAGAGATTAACAAAAACGCAACGAAAAATTCGTTCGAGTATATCAAGGAAAAAGTAAGAACAGAGACTAAATCGCTTCGGTTTCGAACAATCTCCGGATCATGGCCGCGACTAAGATGGGATTATTTTCACTAATCAGAGTATGAACACAGAGAGAAACAGGTAGACCATAACGTGGGGGAGCAATGCGAGATCTCGTAGATAAAACGTTACTGGGGAAAACGATGATCGCTAGCAGAGCAATAGCGAATAGTGCGATAGTGCGGTAAAAGGCACGAGGAGAGAGAGAGAGAGAGAGAGAGAGAGAGAGAGAGAGGAAATTCAGGCGTTTGCATTGAATTGAATAAAAAAACAATTTGACTGGCATATTAAAAGGTATTTATGGATTTGGCTTGTAATTAAAAATTAGAGTTGTTAATATTTTAATTTAGTCACCGACCCACACAACTACACAAAACTAATTGAAGATATTGTATAGTTGGGATACGTAATATTCACGGTGTTCTTTTTAGGGTGTTTAGTTCTCTTAAATAGTTAAATGAGAGTAGGTCAATAAAACGCGTAATTACAATTTTAGCTGGTCTAGTTGCTTAGCAATATAATGTGTCTTTCCATTAATCGAAACGGTCCATGGTGTCGAAAAATAATCGAAACGGTCCATGTTGTCGCTCATCAAATACATTGCAGTCCAATCAATGATAGAACGAGCCACTGAGGAAGAAATATGGCTAAATTAGCTTATATTTAAATTGTGTTTAATTAAAGCTAGAGACATTTGTCTGTTGGCTGAAGCTAGAATTCAAAATATTGTTGACCCATGGTTCGACTGGTTCGTCCACTATTTATAATATAATTAGTTTTCGCATAATACATTTAAACATGGAGTAATAAATAGGAACTAGAATATTCAAAAAGAGCATTTCAAGTAGTTTAAATATTTCATAAGAATATTTTAAATTATATTAGATAAATGAAGTTGTTAGGTTGACTAATGACGTTGGAAAAAGTTAGTTACTATTTAGAACCTATCTTTTTTTAGAAAGTCAAGACTTTAATAGATTAATGATAACATTAATGGAAACAAATTGAACTTGCAAGACTAATTTAATGTTATTCACTACTGTAAAACCATTTCCATACATTATATGAAATTACCTAAGTGTATATGTCATTATCAATTATCAAACAACCACCATTCACCTACTAAAAACATTTTAAAGATTAACAATGACCATTTATCTATAACTGACATAATAAATTAGTTTCACAAGAAGAAACTTTTGACTGGAATAAAACGTAGAAAAAACAAATAGAAAATCAGATAGAAACATACAATATGCTTTGATTTATTTAAATTTTTAATAATAAACATGATATATTGAATATTGAATTGTAGAAAATAGCTAAATGACTAAGTAATCGACGGACGTAAATCGTATAAAAATTATATAATTACATACTACAAATTTATAGGAAGAGGCTAATATGTAGTGTACTATTAGAAAATGGCAAAATGCTGTCAAACATATATAATTCAGAAAATAAAACGATATTATAAAATATTGAACATACAAAAAGAACAGACCAACAAACGAACAAAAACACACCAATTCTTCATCTTTTTCAATTTCGTAATTTGTACGGCTTCAGAGTCTAAGCAAAACCCAAGCTTCACTCCAAGTCTCTCACCACAACCACTGAACAAATCGATCTGAAAACGCAGAGAAATTCTGTTTGAATCCTGAATTGATGAAGCTTGGAAGATGAAGAAATTGAAGAGCTATTATATGCAAGTCCGTCACCAGCAGCAAGCTGTAGACCGGAAATGGATTATCCCGTTAGCGATTGGATCCATTTGTTCTCTGTTTCTCTTGTTGCTAACGAACTTAGCTTCGTCTTCTGGTCAGACTCGTTTGATTCCGTTCTCAGTCTACGGACTTAGATCCTCCGTGTTCGTCGAGTCCAAGATAAATCCCTTGTCCGTCTCTGTCTCCGTCTCTCCTCCGCCGCCGCCACGCCTCGCCTACCTAATCTCTGGTTCTTCCGGAGACGGCCAGATGCTGAAACGGACATTAATGGCGCTTTACCATCCCAACAACCAGTACGTTGTTCATCTCGATCGGGAATCCTCGCCGGAGGAACGGTTGGATCTCAGTGGTTTTGTGGCGAATCAAACCCTGTTTCAGAGATTCCAGAATGTTCGAATGATTGTGAAGGCTAATTTCGTCACTTACCGTGGCCCGACCATGGTGGCTAATACGCTTCACGCAGCGGCGATTTTGCTTCGAGAAGGTGGAGAATGGGATTGGTTCATCAATCTCAGCGCCTCGGATTATCCTCTCGTAACACAAGATGGTAACGAATTAGATTCCCAAGCTTAATCTTCTTCGTCTCAACTCTGTTTATTGTTGTTTTTTTGTGGAATCATTTGGGTTTATCTCTCGATTCGACTCCAGATCTGTTGCATACCTTTTCGTATCTGCCTCGGGATCTCAACTTCATCGATCATACGAGCAACATTGGCTGGAAAGAGTAAGTATCGAAGCTACGAACTGTGATGCACCACAACATTTCGTTTCGTTGACAATAACTTCTGAGATTTGTGAAACTGGATTTCGAAAAACTTGTAGGTCTCATCGAGCAAAGCCGATAATTATCGATCCGGGTTTGTATATGTCAAAGAAAGCAGATGTTTTCTGGGTTTCACAGAAGAGAAGTATGCCTACCGCTTTCAAACTCTTCACAGGTGATTTCATTTTGATAATCTTTCCATTTTTGGGTAATTAACATTTTGGGAACACGTCTAAATCTATAAATGAATCCTCGTGGGTATTCCTTAAATATAGGATCCTTGGATTTACTTGAACCAAACTGAAATCAAGAATCATTTGTTACACTCTTCTTATGTAAAAACTTAATGTGAATAAAAAAGATCTCAGCCTCTAATGTTTCTTGACATGGTTAATAGGATCTGCGTGGATGATGTTATCTCGACCATTTGTGGATTATTTCATCTGGGGATGGGACAATCTTCCTCGAATTGTCCTAATGTACTACGCAAACTTCCTCTCCTCACCAGAAGGTTACTTCCACACCGTGATCTGCAACGCTCGAGAGTTCACCAACACGACAGTAAACAGTGACTTACATTTCATTTCATGGGACAATCCTCCAAAGCAACATCCTCACCATCTCACACACGATGATTTCCACAGAATGGTGGACAGTAACGCTCCTTTTGCGAGAAAGTTCCGTAGAGACGAGCCGGTTCTGGACAAGGTTGATTCAGAGCTCTTGTCTCGGAGCCACGGGATGGTCACTCCGGGTGGTTGGTGTATTGGAACGAGGGAAAACGGGAGCGACCCGTGTGCAGAGATTGGTGATACTTCGATTATTAAGCCTGGTCTTGGAGCTAAACGGGTTGAGAAACTCGTAACGTATTTGTTATCAACTGAGAATTTCAGATCACGGCAATGCAGGTAATATAAAACTAGATTTTTGTTATACAGTTGGATTCAAAAGCTACAGTGAGTATGTAACGATGAGCCTCTTTACTTCGATGGTTGTATAGAACTTAAAACTTTTGAATTTTCTTCCTTCAGAAGAAAAATCTGATTATTAAATTTGTACTCTTGTCAACAGAAAGTTTGATCTTTTCCAACTTTATACCCAATCACTTCGGTTTGTCCCAAACTAAACATGTTCTTCTTTTCTTCTCTGTCATGAATCTAGGATCGAACTAATAAGCACTGGTTGAATGATAATAAATCGTTATGGTTATAAATTTATTGTTCTCCATGTTATTAGGGACAACTAGTATGAGGCAGGTCTAAGCATTCCATGTGTCATTCCACAATTTTAGTGCCAACCTAGAAAATTAATCAATTAACCATTAATGTTCACAAAAACTTCTGTTTAATTTGCTTAATAAATTAAGATTAACGATAGAGATCAGAGTTTGGTTAATAATTCTCAGTCACGGTTAATCTGAAACACGGACCAAATTGTTACTCATCACATCTCATATTCTTAATCTAAAAGATATCTGGTTGAAAAAAAGGGAAACGAAAAAGAGTGGAAAACAATTCGATCATCTGAGACTTAAATGCTAAGAATCATGAAGATTTTCTCCATCATATTGTTGCAGTAATTGCTCATCAACTGATACTAAGCGAATCAAAATACAATCAAAAATATATTACTTCTGCTCAGAATTATGAATATGTATTCTCATTGATTAAATCTCTGAAGTCTGACATGTGAATTTAATTCAAAAGATCATCACAGCAGAAGCTTAAAAACACTATACTGTATAATATGGATTCAAAACAAAACATCAGTGTATGATTAGCTCTCATTAGTATTAAATTATTTATCTTCATATTCTGTTTTCAGAATAGCGTATACTGCCAATAAGGCAAGTAATCATAGAGCCAAACACAAAACACAAACGAAACTGAATTGTGAAAAATAAAATATTGAGATCAGAGTTTGGTGTAAAATTCTCGGTCACGGTTAATCAGAAACACGGACCAATTTATTACTCATCCCTTCTCTTGTTTCTAATAAAAAAATCAATGAAAGAAAAAAACGAAAATCGATCATCAGAGAATTAAATACTAAGAATCATACAGATTTTCTCCTTCATATTGTTGCAGTATTTGCTCATCAACTGATCTGACCACGAAACAAACAAAAAAAAAAACTATAAGACGAACGAACCATAGATCTCTGTCTGCGTAATCTGACTCTTCTTTATATATCTTCGTCAGCGAGCGAGTTATAAGAAGCAAAACCCTAATTATTTGATAAAAAATACTATATTCGGCCTTCTAAGCCCAAAATCAATTAAAGGCCCAAATAAGATTTGGAAGAAACAGTAATGGCGGGAAAAACCTAGCGTATATTGTTATGGGCCTAATCTCGGCCTTTTCCATATTAGATTTGAGGTTCAATATCTCATTTATGGGCCAACAGAAAAAAAATAATTATTTTCCTGCCGCTGAAACAAGTCAAGAAGGAGCCGGTAGTCCCACAAAGGCAAATTCCGTCGTTGTTTCTTCTTCATATTCGAAATTCTCTCTCTCTCTCTCTGTTGTAGCAAGACAAACTTTCTCTCTCATTTGTTTCGGCTTTACTTGTTCTGTTCTGATTTCACTCTGTCGCATCGCAATTCTTCTTCTGTTTTTTTTTTTTCAATACAATCTGAGAATTTGAAGTTTTGTTTCACCGGAATTTTGATGTGTATCTATGAATAGTCGTCGGTGATCGAAGTGTTTCTTCTCGATTCCGTTGCTACTTCAGAGATCTGAGTGATTTATTTCGTCTCTTCCCGGAGCCACCCCTCTGGGAAATCTGGAGCACCAGAAAGTAGGTATCAATAACTTCATCTGAATTATCCGTTTCTCAGTGATGAGATTTCTGTTTTTTTGGGTTTTCAGTTACTAACTCGGTTGCTTTAGACTTTGATTTTTCCTAATTGATGATCTTATATTTTTTTTTGCTTTTCCCAGCAGCAATGAAGCGGATTAGAGATGATATTTACGCCTCTGGGTCTCAATTTAAACGTCCTTTGGGCTCTTCTCGAGGCGAATCGTGAGTTCCCTTTTCGGCCACTTCAAAACTCAAATCTCCAGCGATTGAGTTTCTGGAAATCATTTTTTTTTTCTTCCTGCTCAATTACAAGTTGGTTCTGGTTTATAAACGGATGTAGATTTCTAGATTTAGCTGGTGATCAACTTAATTTTCATCCCATGCAATGATCTCACATTTTAGATCAGGGAAGTCCATTTTTGGTTCAATGCTATCTTTGCACGGAGAATCGAGTGAATTGTGTAGGAACAAACTTATTGACTTGACTCTCTATTGATCTTTGGGTCTCTGTGGTTTGTCCACTTATGGTTTAACGTTTGGTGCAGATATATGCAACCTCCAAGTCCTGGAGGAGGGAGCACTGGTGACGGCGGAATAAACTCTCAGAAGCTGACAACGAATGATGCTTTGACGTATTTGAAGGAAGTAAAGGAGATGTTTCAAGATCAAAGGGACAAATATGATACGTTCCTTGAGGTTATGAAAGACTTTAAGGCGCAGAGGTAAGATCTTTCTTTTCCTTCCCTAATCAGATTTGTGGTTTTTTTTCCTTAAGCCTGAAGGCATCTGTCAAACATTCTTCATCTGCATTTACAGGACCGATACATCTGGTGTGATTGCACGAGTGAAGGAGTTGTTTAAGGGGCATAACAATTTGATTTTCGGGTTTAACACCTTTTTGCCGAAGGGGTTTGAAATAACGCTTGATGAGGAAGAAGCTCCACCAAAGAAAACTGTTGAATTTGAAGAAGCCATAACTTTTGTAAATAAAATTAAGGTAAGCAGAGAGAGTTTATCGTTTGAAATGCCCTTACATCTACCGTCTCATTGTAATCAGTCTCTTTTTTTTATCGCTGCAGAAACGGTTCCAGCACGATGAAGATGTCTATAAGTCTTTCTTGGACATCTTAAATATGTATCGGAAGGATAATAAGGACATCACTGAGGTTTACAATGAGGTAGTGTCACACTGGAGTTACTGTATCTCTCCTAGACTGTCGCATTGACATTTCTCGATTTTTAATAGCCTATAATATCTGTTTGTTAGGTATCTACTCTTTTTGAGGACCACCTAGATTTGCTTGAAGAGTTTACTAGATTTTTGCCAGAGTCTTTGGCACCTCACTCAGCAGCCCAATTAATCCGGAGTCAGGCCCAAAGGTATGATGACCGAGGATCAGGCCCTCCCCCTGTGCGTCGGATGTTAATAGAGAAGGTACGGTATTGGTTACATGTTTTCCTAGTTCTGTTATTGTCGTCAGGTCTCAGTTTCTGTGCTGATACGTTTTTCATCATTAGGATCGCCGACGAGAAAGGGCTGTTGCTTCTCGTGGTGACCATGATCATACTTTTGACCGTTCTGACTTTAATGATGATAAAACAATGGTCAAGATGCACAGAGAGCAGAGGAAACGCGTCGATAAGGAGAACAGAGAAAGAAGAAGCCGTGATTTGGAAGATGGAGAAGCAGAGCAAGATAACTTGCACCATTTTCCAGAGAAAAGGAAGTCATCCAGAAGAATTGAGGGGTTTGAAGCTTATTCTGGTCCTGTTTCACATCCTGAGAAAAACAATCTAAAAAGTAAGCGGCTTTTAGTAATATGGAGATTTAACACCTTTTCTGTTTTTTTTTCTGGCTCCGCAATCTCAATGCTTTATACAGAGGATTAATAAATAACATGCTACACATCTTCTTGCTTTCATCATGTCCAATATATAAATTGATTCATTGCTGATTTTTTTTTTAAAAATATGGAAGTGAATTAAAACAAGTTGATTTTCTAGTTTCCTGGTTAAGGTATGTTATGGTGCAACCAGTCGATTTCTGTTTTCTGAGACTTACGATGTGATTTTTTTTTGTGCGTCCTTTCATTGTGTTAGGCATGTACAACCAAGCATTTGTGTTTTGTGAGAAAGTGAAGGAGAGATTATGCAGCGAAGAGGATTATCAGACATTCTTGAGGTGTCTCAGTATTTTCAGCAGTGGAATTATCCAAAGGAAAGATCTGCAGGATTTGGTAGGTCTACAAATAGCTTTGGTGTTGATGGAGAAGGGTAGTAGATATTGTCTTAACTCCACTCTCTTTCGTTCAGGTTTCTGGTTTGCTTGGAAAATCCCCTGATCTCATTGATGAGTTCAATCAGTTCTTCGAGCGTTGTGAGAGTATTGGTATTTAAGATTTCCTACTGTCGTTTTTCTAATGAAGGTATCTAGCTGCTGTTTCTGACCATCGTCTTTTTTTGCAGATGGTTTTCAGCACATTGCTGCCGTTATGAGCAAAAGTATGCAGCATGTTCTTACCTTCTTGTCTATGATTATGATTTTCTCTGGGCTTTCTACGTTATAGGAATATTTCTAACATTGCTTGGGACACTTGCTCCAGAATCACTTAGCAGCGAAGAACAATTATCTAGGTCAGTGAAAGGGGAGGAAAAGGAAAGAGAACACAAACGCGACCTCGAGGCTGCGAAGGAAAAGGAGCGATCCAAGGACAAGTACATGGGGAAATCAATTCAAGAGCTTGATCTATCTGATTGCGAGCGTTGCACTCCTAGCTACCGGCTCCTCCCTCTGGATGTAATAAGATTTTAATAGTTCTATATTGCATTGAGGCATCTTAACTGTACTTATTATTATTATATCTTATTTGCAGTACCCAATACCTTCTGTGCGCCACAGACAGAAATCAGGAGCAGCTGTTTTAAATGATCACTGGGTTTCTGTCACTTCAGGAAGTGAAGACTACTCTTTCAAGCACATGCGCAGAAACCAGTATGAAGAAAGCTTGTTTAGATGTGAAGATGATAGGTACGTTTATAAGAAGTGTTACTTGGATGATAGCTTTTGTAGTATTAAATGATTTGTAAGTTGTGGTTATGGTTTACTTGCTTCTTGTTACAGATTTGAGTTGGATATGTTGTTGGAATCTGTTGGATCTGCTGCGAAAAGTGCGGAAGAGTTGTTGAATAGTATCATTGAGAAGAAAATGAGTTTTGAGGGCTCCTTCCGAATTGAAGACCACTTCACAGGTCTGTAGGCGTTTAGTGATTGTAGCTCTCTCTGTTTAATGTCTCTTCCTAGCCTTCTCTGTTTCATTTCTTTTCCCCATCTTTGAGCCCTCATATCTTGTCTTACACTCGCTATTTTGTTATTGAATTACTACAGCCCTAAATTTAAGGTGCATAGAGAGACTTTATGGCGACCATGGTCTTGACGTGACAGACATAATACGTAAGAATCCAGCCGCTGCCCTTCCTGTAATTTTGACTCGTTTAAAGCAGAAACAAGAAGAATGGACAAAGTGCCGTGAAGATTTCAATGTGGTCTGGGCGGATGTGTATGCGAAAAACCATTACAAATCACTTGATCACCGCAGCTTCTATTTTAAGCAGCAAGATTCCAAGAACTTGAGTGCTAAAGGTAAGTAAACTGTTGAAATATATTAGGATTATCAGAAAACTTGTATATAAGTAACCAAGACAATTCTTACTCACCTTTTATTGCATACATTCATCTGCCACGAGTCTATTCTTGCATTTACTTATTTATTGTCCTAATTTTATTTAATTAATCTTTGCTTGAATACCAGCGCTTGTGTCTGAAATCAAGGACCTGAAAGTGAAGTCACAGAAAGAAGATGATGTTCTTCTGTCTATCTCTGCTGGTTATAGACAACCCATAATTCCTCACTTTGAGTATGAATATTTGGACAGAACTATTCATGAAGATCTATTCAAACTAGTCCAATTTTCATGTGAGGAGATCTGTTCTACAAAAGAGCAAATCGGTAAAGTTCTGAGGCTCTGGAACAATTTCCTGGAGCTGATGCTTGGTGTTCCACCCAGGGCCAAGGGGTCAAATTCTGTTGAAGATGCTATCGAAACCAAGCATCTCAGTGCATTCACCAGCGTGGAGGCTAAAGTGAGTTCTGATGCGATAAGTTTGGCTTCTAGGCAACTAAAATTTGCTGCCGATGGAGATGAGTATGCTTCATCCGGGGTCTCCAAACATGGCGGGACTGGTTTGTCGAATAGGGATTCTTCAGCGAAAGAAAATCGTAAGGATGATGATCCTGCTAATAAAGATGTCGCCACCAGTTCTGCTGTAAAACCCCAGAAAGATCAAGAAATTGGAAATGGAGCCGATAAAAGATCTAGAGATGTTGGTGAAAGAGTAGCCACTACAAGTGCATCACTCCCAAGTGGGGCAGAAAACAATAATGGTAAACCAGGAATTTTCATGATTTGGTTTGCGTGCAATACAGAGCTTAACATGTCAGTGATTCTTTACTTTTATTTTCAAGGTTCACGAGGCATTTTATCCGAACCAAGTGAGGCAATAAATAAAATTGATGCCATTCAGCGTACCCAGGTACAGTACTCAGTTTTACATTTTAAGTATATGTTCTTACATGGCTACTCTTCTTTTTATGGATTCTTCTGACCATATTTGATCATATTTGTTCTCACTATTCCTGCTCATATCGTAGGAAGGTGATATCGGCAGAAGTATAGCTATAGCAAATGGAGTGCAGCCAGATGCTTCCAAAGCCAACAGTAATTGTGATGAATCTGGCGGTCCATCCAAAATTGAGAAGGAGGAAGGTGAATTGTCACCTGTTGGTGATTCCGAAGACAACTTTGCTGTTTATGAAGAAGATTCTGGTTTGAAGTCTTCTGCCAAACCAGAACATTCAGTTGAAGCTGAAGGAGAAAATGATGATGAAGCTGACGATGAGGATGGTGATGATGCTTCAGAAGCTGCTGAGGACGCATCCGGAACTGAATCTATTGGCGATGAATGTTCACAGGACGATAATGGTGTGGGGGATGAGGGCGAGCATGATGAGATTGATGGTAAAGCTGAAAGTGAAGGAGAGGCAGAGGGAATGGAGTCGCATCTTATAGAAGAAGACAATGGTTTGCTTCCATTGTCAGAACGTGTTCTACTGTCTGTTAAGCCTCTTTCAAAGCATGTAGCTGATGCGGCTTTGCTTGATGAGAGAAAAACAGATTCCAGAGTATTCTACGGGAATGATGACTTTTATGTTCTTTTCAGGCTTCATCGAGTGAGTGCGATCGTATCTAATAATGATATGATTTCTCTTTTACCTTGAAAGGATTTAGTAATTTTTGTTTTTGATTGGCTTTGGATTTTCAGATCCTGTACGAGCGAATTTCGTCTGCAAAAACATTTTGCACAGGCGGTGAAATCAATCGGAGAAACATGAAAAATTCACCAGAGCCTTACGCAAGGTACATTCCTTAAGCTAGTCGATGTAGATATAATTAGTCCATTGCTTTTATATAGATTTAGACTATACAGGTACTTTACTCAGTTACAATAAAAAGAACTTATACACTCGTTTTGTGTATGTTGTGCAGGTTTATGAGTGCTCTGTTTAGTCTGCTAAATGGCACAGCTGAAAATTCCAAGTTTGAGGATGAGTGCCGAGCTATTATCGGAAACCAGTCATATGTTTTATTCACCTTAGAAAAGCTGATATACAAATTGGTTAAACAGGTAATTTTCATCACCGGCGTAATTGGTTTCATATTGACCATTTATTTACTTTTCAGACATTATATTCCTTCTAAATCTCCGACTTCATTTCATCTATTGCAGCTTCAAGCTGTTGTAGCGGACGATATGGACAATAAGCTCCTTCAGTTATATGAGTATGAGAAATCCCGGAAACCTGGGAGGGTCATTGACTCGGTGTATTATGAAAACGCCAGGATCCTCCTTCACGAGGAAAATATCTATCGGTTGGAATGTGTAAGAACCCTAAATCCAGTTCTCATATATCTCTTCATTAAGGAATTATGATTGTTCATTGACCCTGAAACTTGTTTCTTGTGTTTTAATTCATACGTAGTCTTCCTCTCCACCTCGTATGTCAATCCAGCTTATGGATAATATACTCGAAAAGCCCGAGGCTTGTGCAGTTTCCATGGATCCCACGTTTGCAAGTTATTTGCAAAAGGAGTTTCTTTCCATCTCATCAGGGAAAAAAGAGCGACGGGCCATTGTATTACAAAGGTATATTGAGTTTCAGTACCTTTTTACCTGTCTCTTTTTTTCTCTTTTACGGTACAATTCCATTACCTTTTGAATGATTCAGGACAGGATATACATTAAAACCAAGTCCTTTTTCTGAATTTTTGTTTGTGCAGGAACATGCGTGGATACTCTACTCTGGATGATCTTGCAGTAGCGTGCAAGGCAATGGAAAGTGTAGAAGTAATTAATGGCCTTGAGTGCAAGATGTCCTGCTCTTCCTACAAGGTAGTAACAACGATTCTGGTCTTAAACCAAACCGTATGGGGCTTCATGTTTTCAGAATTTTGAACCAATCTACACAAATAAAAGCTAGAACGAAGCTGATTGCTTCATCACGTTCTTATGTTTTCATAACATCTCTTGTTGTAGATCTCGTATGTTTTGGACACGGAGGATTTCTTCCATAGGAAGAAGAAGAAGCAGAAGAAGAGCGAGAACTCGTCACAGGACAAATCATCGCAGCAACGTAAATTGGATAGAATAGAAAGATTCCATAAGTTTCTCTCAGCTTCGAGATGACAACGACAAGAACCGCGAAAACCGGTCTTTTCTCTTTTACTTCAACACACAAGGAAAGTTACAGGCATGTTAAGTTCTCTCTGCAACTCCCCCAGGAAAAACAAAAAAAGTTTCAGTACATTCTCGTTAGTTTTCTCTGAAGAAGTTCTATGCACAGTGGTGTGTATTATCTAATTTGTATCTTGATTTTAGGTTATAAAAAAAAGTGTATGGTTGTAAATATGGCACATACATGGCCATCCCCTTGTTTGTTTGTATCTACAAACATAGATAGGTTCAAAGGAGAGATTCTTTCTCTTTATATAAATATATATGATTTTCAACATTCTATTCTGTTTCTTCTCTTTCGAATCCATTCCCCAAGAACACTAACTATATCTCTTCCTCAAAATAAAACCAACATGTTACTAAGATCAAACCTAACAAGAACTAGCTAATCTCTCTCTCTATAGCTTTTCTATTCGTCCCAAAACGAATATCCATGTTCTCTCACAACCCTTCTCAGCTCAGGCTGCTGAAGAAAGTTCCCTTCTCTTTCAGATTTCTTCACAATACTTTCTTCTTTATCGACACACGACACATTCCCTTTCGAATCTATAATCCGCTGCTCTGCATACTGTTTTCCTTCAAACCAGCTCTGAATCATATCTTCAACGCTCTCATTTGGGCTCATACCTTTTTCCTTCATCTCTTTATAGTAACCATGCGCTTCTTCAATCTTACCATTCAAGAACAGCCCATGTATCATCACAATGTATGAGCTAAGGTCCGGACCAACGCCTTTCTCCTTCATCTCATCCCACAACAACAACACATTATCGAAATCTCTCCACCTACAAAACTTACGGATCAACATTATATATGTATCCACGGTTGGCTCACAACCCATCTTTCTCATCTTAGCTAACAGCTCAAAAACCTCCTCCCCTGTTCTTAGGATCCTCATAAACGCATGGTACGTGCGGATTGTTGGGGAGATTTCTTTCTCCAGCATCTCATCAAAGACACGTTTAGCCTCTTCCGTTTTTCTAGCCTTGCACAGAGGTTTCAACAGAGAGTTGTAAGTTACAACATTTGGCTCAATCCCTTTCTCCTCTTCCATCGTCTTCATCAACTTCATCGCCTCAGAGACAAACCTAGCTTTCGCAAGAGCGTGAACCACAGCATTGTACACTTTTCTATCTGGCTCTATACACTCTTTCTTCATCCTGTCGAAAAGTCGAAGAACCTTATTCAAGCTACCTCCTTTCGAGTAGCAAGATATCATGCTCGAATAAGACACCACGTCGTGCTTGACTCCGACATTTCCCATCTCAATCCAGACTCTCTCAGCCTCGCGAGGGCTACCAATCACATTACACCATCCATTGAGAACTATGTTGAAGCTTTTGGCGTCAAAGGGATACGTATCCTTGTTACAGAAGATCAAGTGCTCAGCATCTTGAACGTTCTTGTATCTACAGAGAGCAGAGAGCAAACTCTGGAAATCATCAATCCCCATTTCAAGCTTGAACCTTTTGTAAGCGTGGAACGTGTTGATCGCTTTCCCAACATCATGTACCGCACAGTACTTCCTGATCATGATCAAGAGCGTCTGTGAGTTCACAAGAGAAGAAGGGCTAACCTTTCTCATCTCATCAACCAACGTCCAGGCCGTATCAAACTTCCTCATTTTGCCGAGAATCGAGATCATAGAGTGATACTCACGAACCGAACGAACATAGCCCTGATGCTTCCCTGCCCAGAGAAAGAAAGTGAACGCAGTCTCCCAATCATTACGAGCCTGAGAAAGAATCTCCACCACCAATTCATTCGACGGCTTCACATCACATTGCTCGAGCTTCTCTCTCAATTCCTTCCGGTTGTTCCCACAATCTTTCAGCAGCTTCGAAATCGTACGAACATCCTCTGAAACAACCTCGGTGGCTGTAGTAGAACCAAGATGGAAGCCAATCTCTTTCTCATTCTCATCATCATCATCATCATCATCGTTACTCTGATTACTTTCCGAATCAAGTTTGGAAGTAGAGAACATAGAACAGAGACCCAAAGGAAGCAGAGAAGCTGTAGGAGAATCCAGATACGGTCTAACAATACATTTATAGCTCGAAAATGGCAAAACAGTAATAGATCTCGAACAGGTAACTGCAGGAGCTCTGAAAATCGAAAGCCTTGATCTCATAAGAAAGATTCCTCTCATTCCGAGAAACTAAACACACCAAAGCAATTCACTTCACCCACGATTTTTCGATACCCAATCGATGATTTATGATGCAAACATAAGGAACTGACAACATACAGATTAAAGAACTTGAAGAATCAGGGATGAGTGAAGAAGGTAGGCGCGTGGGAATAGAAGCTGAGGTTATTCAGACAGAGTTGGGCTTCTTCTTCTTCTTCTTATTTAATTTTGTTGGCCCATTAAATTTCCGCAGCCTATATCTTCTTTTGTAAGCCCATTCAGCATATATCCAGTCCGATTGTTTTTTTGTTTGTTTGTCAAATAAATAAAGTATGAAGATCTTTCATATAAAATCTTTGCCCTCTTAAATTTATATATATATGTCTTTGGAATCGACAGGGAACTTTTCAGACAGAGAAATTAAGTTTATTGATTTCGTTTGACTAATAGAAAATGAAGGCATAGAACAAAGGCAAAAGCCTTGCGTTACAAGAAAACAATTATATTATGATTTAAAATCACCGAAATCACGGATGCAGGCAGCTTTAACGAGAAAGGAAATGTAAGGTTTTCCGGGGAAAATAAGCGGAAGACAATCGTCGGTGAGGCCAGAAACGGTGTCGCAACATTTCTTATCCAAACTTTTAAAGTCTCCATGTGTAGCTTTCTCTATGGCACCCACACAACCCTTAACCTTTCTTATTGCTAACAAACATTTCAGACGATTAAAAATCGACGTAGCTTCCGATTGATGATGACAGACCAAAGCCATGATCATTGTTAAAAAGAAGAACATAGCTTTAATCTGTTTCGTTTCCATTTCTGTTAATTGGAGAAAACCAAAAAAAAACAAAATAATATAGATTCTTGAAGATCTTGTTGTGTGTCTTAGTAGTTAGTAGTGGATTATATTTTTCTTATTAATATTGGATGGGTTTTGACTAAACATGACAATTTTGGTAATGTGATTAATTTTTACTAGATTTACAATTTGACCGTGTTGGAAACTTGGAATCATTATTTGGCTATTATATATGAATGAATGTATTGACCATTATATAAACTTAACTATTATGACCATTATATAAACTTTATTTTTGGCAGTTGTGTGAACCTATGATTCTATGAATTAATATAACGAGGTTCATTAGTTTTTGAATTTTGCAAGGATGTTGTTCTATATTCGTTTATCTAAATTTGTACGGTGGAGTCGTGGAGACTAAATTCAGAATCCTTTCGACCAAAAAAAAAAAAATTCAGAATCCTATTGAATTTGTGGTCGTTTAGGGTAACTGTGTTTTTGAGTTCTTGTTGAGTTTTTTTTTTTCTGTTTGGAAGACTATTTATTTAAGGCTAAGCTTGATTTTGATATGTTACGTGAGATCAATGTATAAGGTCAACGTACTCTATATAACTCATAGTAAGTCATAACTCGAGAAGACTAAACAGCATTTTTATAGTATTATTAAATATCTTTGGAAAAAGAGACACACAATCACAGAGTGCCTTGCGTTAAAAGGAAACGATTCTTCATTCTAATAATTAACATCGCCCGATTTACCTTTACAGAGAAGTTTAACGAAAAACGCAATGTAGGGTTTTTCGGGGAACAAAATCGGAAAACACTCGTCGGCGAGGCCATCGATGGCGTGGCAACATTCCTTACCCAAACCTTTAAAGTCTCCTTTTAGGGCACTTTTCACGGCTTCAAGACAGCCTTTAACGCCCTTTATCGACGACAAGCAATCTTCGGGACTTGGTGTTGGCGCCTGAGCTTCGGATTGATGACGACAAGCCAAAGCCATGATCACAGATAAAAATAAGAACATCACTTTCATCTGTTTCGTTTCCATTTCTTCGGGATTAATTTGTTTTCTGAGGTTTCTTTTGGATCTTGTTGTGTGTATAGAGGGTTTTAGGGGTTGTTCTTATAGAAAATGGTGATTTGGACTAAAGTATGAGAATTTTGGTGAGGTGTCTTAATTTTTACATGTATTAAATACATGACCAAGACGAGATTAACAAACATTAATTATAGCTGAATATTTATTATTTTCAATATAAATTATGTTTGATCAATTCTGAAAATTTGTAAAAGGATTTCACGCAAGAAAATAAGTCTGCTTTTCAATCCTCGGATGATAACTCTTTTTTGATCATCTTCGAAATCTCTGCTATCTGGAAGAAAGAAAAACAAAAGAAAATCAGATTTTTTTCTACATAGAGATTACTTGTGAAACAATCTACTTTGAAAAAAGAGAGGCTAGCTTACATCTGAGTGATTGCAGAGAAGCAATGGATGTTGATGAAATGTCCAAAGTGTTTTCTGGAGAAGCTTCGCTAGCGAATCGACTTGATCCCCAAGAAGATCAACCTGCGATTGTTTTTGGTTTCTTACGACAAAGCCAAAACTGTTCATAAAGTTTCTCATAAATGATGAAATCAGAAACAGTTTTACCTCAGTTTCTGCCTTTCTGAGATTCTCAGCCGTAAGAACGAAAGCTGTTCTGTAAACTGATTCTTTTCGTCTTAACTCCACGATGCAATCCGTCGTTGAATGAATTTTTATCTCCAAGTCTTGTAACCTCCAGAAAGAAAAAGAAAAAAAAAAATGATCAAGACGCAATATATAGGGTTTGATTTTTGAAAACCCTTTTTTTATACTCTCACCTGGAAGTTAACATCTTCAACTTATCTTGAATCTTGTAATCAAAATCATCAAAGAGTAGAGAAATTTGCAAGCAAGCTCTGTTTCCTTCTTCCCCAATCATCCTTTTACTGTTTGCTTCATTCCTTTCATGAGTCTCCACAGTCTCTGAAACTTCTCTTAGCAACTCTCTTACAATAATCCAATCCAATTCCTGTCTGAATTCTTCATCTTCATGCAGAATCTCAAAATCTTTCTCCCATTTCAATTTCTCTAAACAATTCATACATTCAAACCCGGATTCCATCTTTACATCAGTCTCGGTCTCTTCTTCTTCCTCTTTTATGTTTGTGATTTTATCTGTTAATATACCTTTGAGAAGAGTCAAGTAAGTATCTTCCAAGATCATTAAACGCATCTCCGCATCTTCTTTCTCCTCTACCACATTGTCTGAATATACTGTTCTATTGTTTTGCATTTTCATCCAAACATCATCCAAACTTTCATCCACTACCACCCCTTCTTGGTCATGATCATATTTATCATCATCATTGCCAAACACATGTTGGAATAGCTTAGTGTTAAGACTCATCAAACTATCAAGACTTGTAACGATATCATCAATAGCTCGCTTGGAGCTAGAGGTATTGTTGCAGCTCTTCTGTCGTTTAACAGACTCCATTTTGGGAGGAGCAAGCTCTTCGCTTTTCCTCCTAATGATTGATTCATGACTCTTTATCAACTTCGAAACAGGATAATTGCTTGAATCTTCTTCTTCTTCATTCTCTCCTTCTCCTTCTTTATCATCATGAGCGATTTCACAATCTAATGAAGATGAAGATGTTGTTGCTACTGTTTCTACACATGATCTAGGAGATGACTTACTGATGATGATCTGATCAATCTGAGATTCTAAGGACTCTACCTCTCGACGAATGGAACAGACCTGATCTTTAAAGCCTGATTCATAATCTCTCACAACCATCATAACCTTCTCCTTCTTCTCCTCTAAACCATTCATGAAGCCTTTTATCAGTAACGCCATTGAATCTCTCTCTATCGACCATCTCCAACTCTGTTCAATCGGACCTAATTCTGACAAGAATATCGCATGATGCATCTTGTTGAAAGCGAGATCCATTGTCCCTTTCAAGACATCGATATCGACCCCTGAAGGATCCTCTGTTCCCAATTCATCATACTCTGTCTCAAGCTTTTGTCTGAGATTCATCACTTGTTGATCAACAGAGCTCTTCAGCTCAGAAAACTCATCTTCTTTGATAAAATCCCCAATCTTACTATGACTTCTGTTTCTCTCAAGATCTTGCAAATGAACCAACTCTGTTTCTTTACTCTCCAAAACGTTTCTCAGGCTCTTTTCGTTCTCAGACCTCTCTAGCAACTCCCTGTCTTTCTCGAGAATCGCCAGTTCGGTCTCCAAGAGACGGTGGTGAAGCCTGTCTTTGATCTCTCTCAGATCGTGAACCACTTCCTCGTGGTTGCTCTCGAGCTTATCGGTCTCTTGTCGGACGAAATTAAGACAGCTCTCGAGCTGTAGCACAGCGAGCTCGTAGAAAATGGAAATGGCGTTTAGACGGAGGAGAAGACCGTGTTTGGTTTTGATCTTCTCGTGCGCTTTGTCCATCGCTTGTTGAACAAGCAACATCATCGTCGAATCCGCCATTGAAAACTTCACTTCACCTTCTACTTCCTTCATTATATCTTTCATTTTCCTTCAATGGCATTCCCAAGAGATTAACTAAACTCATAAAAATCTCATCTTTTTTTGTTGTTAACAATATCTCTTGATTTTAGTTTGTGACCTATTCTCCAGGATCTTGAATACGAAATTCTCGCGAGCGTTATTGTTTTGTTTTACTAATAGAAAATTTGTAATTCGATTTTATTATTTAAAAATAAAAACTAAAAGTCTTTGAGCTTTTTAATTAGCCGGAGTTATAAAGCTTTGCTACCAACGTCAATGGCGTCAGATTTCAGATCGTTTCTCAATCCAATCCAAAATATCTCCGAAAACCAAATCGACGTTCTCCTCCGACTCTCCAATCAGCTGATGCCACATCCCTTGATAGATCTTAATCGTCTTGTCTTTACTACTGCACCTCCGGTAAAGCTCCTCGACGGAGGCCGGATCGCAGACGACGTCGTCTCCGCCGTGGACGATCATCAACGGTACTTCGACTTCTTCGAATCTGCTCTGAAGATCCTCGCAGACTCTTACAAGCTCGTAGGCCGTTGCGGCGCGTGGTTTACCGACGGTTCTGTTAGGGTTAGCGAAGGCGAGCTTCCGTTTCCATGGCTCCTTGAAAGAGACGCCGGCGATGGAGCCGCGAGTGGGTACTACGCGCCAGGTGGGGATGAGAGTAGCGGCTATGGTTAAGAGGTGTTGTAACGGCCACGGAGGTTTGAATTTGTGGCTGATGGAGCACATTGCGCCGCTGAGGATGAGACCGTCCCATTGGGACTTCTGGCGGAGGGTAATGTAGAGAGCGATGGCGCCGCCGAGGGATTCTGAGTAGAGGAAGGCGGGGAGGGAGGAAGAGTGGCGGTTACGGAAGTCGTCGAAGAAGGAGATGCAGTCGTCGACGATGAGGTCGATGTTCGGGATGTGAGCGGTCAAGCCGTCGGAGAAGCCGTGGCCTTGGTGGTCGATGGCGCAGGTGAGGAATCCTGATTTGGCGAAGAGGACGGAGGTTAGCTGGAGGAACCAGCTGGATTCGCCGGTGAAGCCGTGGACGACGGCGATGAGGCCGAGTGGAGGACGGTGGAGTGGGGCCCACCATTGGGTGAAGAGTTTGAGGCCGGTTGGGTTGGTGACGTAGGCGGAGGAGTGGGTGACGGAGTGGCGGGAGTAGAATTCGGCGGCGGAGAGAGAGCCGTATGGGCTTGAGTCGTTAGCTTCCGACACTGGATGGAGTCCCATCTTTTTAAATTCGTATAATTGAAGTAAACACAAGAGAGTGTTGTTAAAAGGACAAACAGATTTGTAAAGAGAGAGGCCAATGCTTCTTGTGTGATATACTTTGCTAACTACTAACTACTGCTGTTTTCTCGGTTACGTGTCCATCTAAGTAACGTTCTACCTATTAAGACCAAACAGTACTCACCTACTTTCATATCTTCAAATCCAACCACACTGAATCAAGAAACCGACCTAAAAGACCCATAACGTTTGGCTGAGTGGCACAATCGGATTGATCAATACAAAAATATCAAATAACTCAAAACCAAAAGAAGAAAAACTTTCCTATTTTATGGATTTCTTATATAAATAATATTTTTTTCTGTATAAAGAGTATAATCCAAACTTAAAAGTAAACAAAATATAAACAGGTCCTTATTATAAATTAAATTGACTTGGTTAACTAGTAACCTTTTGAACTTAAAGGGGTTTGGTGAAGTGAGTACACACGTGAGAAATTCGAATATTTTACTCTGCCAACTACTTGAAGAACATAATGAAACAGTCAAATAGACGTATAGAAACCTGATTAAAACAGATTAACGACTAAAGTTATAGCAATGGCACACAGATAGCGTTAAGACGCTTTTCTAGCTAGAAAGACATATGAATATCATCAAATCTACCAACGCTATAAATAGCAAAATGAAGATGCATATATAACCACAAAATTTCGGATTAATATCTCAACACTAATCCTGCTGGTAGAATAACTTTGTATAAGATGTACCTTTAACAGATCTATATTACCAGTGGGAGTAAAAACTACTCTTCAAACCTAATTGGAAGAACTCAAAAGATGTAGAAAATTTCAGGGACTGATTATAACTTAACGCTTAGATTAAAGAACTCAAAATGGGAGGGAAGAGAAGAAGAATATACATGGTGTCTTTTCTTTTTTTTTGTCCTCTGTTTTCTGATTCTTTAATTTTACAGCAACCCAACAACACAGCTGAGATGTAATCTATTCTCCAAACCTCTTAAATGATGTCCCAATAGCATGCACCTGAAATAAAAACGGGCCATCAATGAGATTAACAAGCTCTGTTTTGATTATTCGTGCATCGAAATTGGGTAAGAGAAGTTAAAGACTTACCAGAAAAGGAGCTTTGCAAGATAATCCCTGGACGTGTCTACTTTCCTACCAGTTCCATCGCCACCACCTTCTGCAGCCCTTTTGACAGGATCTTGCATGAAAGCTGAAGTAGCCTGGTCTTCGAAGATCCTCTGCATCACGTTTTGAACAAGTTGGCTCACGATTTCTTCAACTTCTGGTGAAGATAGTTGAGATAGCTCCGTCACCTGTCAATATGATTGTAGTCATCAGACATATAGGATCATGGGACAGAGAAATGAGAAACAAAGAAACCTCAACGCTTAGTACCATCTCAGGATCTAAGGAACGCAAGTACTCCAACAAATCATTCTTGCTTTCTTTCTCACATTCTATCTGTAAAGCTTTCTTCTTTTGTGTATCTAGCTCCTGAAAATATACATTGGGAATCAAAAAAATCTTTCATTGAAGCAGAATCAACACTTGACAAAGAGCTTCGCAAGACTATTACCTCTTTCATGCTCGATAACTCAGACTGCAACTGCTGAATATAACTCAACGCTTCCGGTGATAAGTCCCCGAACACCTGAGGACTCATTCTCTCTAATTCCTCAACACAATTCCCTAAATCCTCACTCACTCCACTCTCCGATCCAAACCCGACACTGTCTTTCGAAGATTGATCATCTTCCTTTCTAGGATCAATCGGTATATCGAAATTCCTAGTCAGTGATACACGATACTCCGCATTCCACAATGTATACCTAAACCCACGAAACCAAAAAAAAACAACCAAACAGATGAAGCAAATCGCTAAATTCGTAGGGGATAATGAAGATAGAGAGGATCGAAATCCGGATGGTTTACCCGGTGATGATGGAAGAAATAAGGAGGCGATACAGAGGCTGCTCGGAGATGGTAACGGAGACGGAGAATTGATCGGAAGGGAGGAGCCCGAGCATAGACGATATCGTCTGCTTCATCGAGTCTTTAGCCGAATCGGATAAGCTTTTGGAGATTACGGAGGTATCCAGCGGCTGGATCCGATTCACCAGATTCGCGATCACAGCGAAACCTCGGTCCAGCTTCGACCGGCGAGTAGACACGTATGAATCGTCGGAGGAAACTCCGCCTCCGCTGAGACAGCTAATGACAGCAGAAGACACCGCACGGTTGGGAGAACGCGGTAACCGGCGAGGAGACGACGGTGGAGGTTGGTGAAGGATCAGCTTCTTCCGTGACACGTCCGTTACACGGAAGAGCATGAAGGCTCGAGCTGATGTGGCCGCCATTAAATTAGCGCCTCGAGCTCTCTGTCTCTTCCCTTTCTCTCTCCGCTGTGTGGCTGCGTGATATGCGTTGGCTATGGAAGAATCTTTTTGTTTTTACTTGTTTCCTTAATATTCAGCTATAAGATTTTATTTTGATAATTATGGTTTTTTAGTTCATTTTTTAAAAATTGTTTAGAAAATTCTTCCATCGTTCGTTTATCTGAGCCCACTAAACTAGATTTTGGTCTTTTCTCGTATCAGGTCGACTAATTGAAACTCACCCTTTTTCGGGTTAATAATGAAAATTGATCCTTTTAAAGAAATTTTCTACTGCGAGTGTAATAAAGAAGTTTCTAGAAACACAGTGAAAATCGTATCAAACTAGAAAAGACAATAATCGATTGAAGTTTTAACTTTTCAAATTTCCTTCAGCTTTTCATATATTTGTGAAAAAAACCTGAGCCAAAACTGATATCGTATCGAAACTGGATTGAGCACACTTATTGTTTTGAAAATTAAACTGTTAGCTGCTTTAAATTATTTTAGTTTCTTCTACAAAGATCACAAGCTAAAACTCTGATCTGCGAGTACTGTTCTCTGTTGTACGATAAATTTTGTAATTGAGCGCGAAACAGCAGCAAAATTGGCATCCATCAGATAATTGTAGTAACGCCGCAAGAAAATCTACCTGGTTAAGTCATTTCCGACCAAACTCTGCATGCCATGACCTCCATGTCTCTGTGTAGTGCCCAAGCAGACCAATTAACTCTGTTCATGAAAGAAACTTCGACTTGTAATAAACCCCCACAGATTTATTAACGTATACCGGGATCAGAATTGTGACATATAAGTGGAGAAGAAGGTTGTTTTTAGTTTTTACCATGATTGCAATACTGTAGTTTGTAGGTAGAAGAAAGGGTCTCAAGATCTTCAAGTCTCTGGTTACTGTTGTTTCCTTCATTGTTCTTCTTAGAAGTACCTGCGGGTCCAAACGCAATGCTCTTCACGGCTGGTTTCGAATCACATTGTTCTTGCTTGATCACACTGCATGTGTTTTGATTTCCGTACTGCTTGCGGTCTTCAGAACAATCTGTTTTGTGTCTCTTTGTGTTAACGTTTGTGATCTCGGTCCCGAAAACCCGCTTCTTAGGCTCATTACGATCACATAGGCTTGCAGGAGCAGCAAGGAAATTGCTTTCGGATATAGCTCTGGCTCCTAACCACCGATATGCCGGTTTCCTCGTCTGTGGGATATGAGTCTGCATGTATTGTATGGAAATGAAAACAAAAACAAGATGATGAGAGATTGGAATAATCCACGATTTGGTAAATTGTATTGGTTAAGGAACAAGCTAGTGTTTGTACCTTTTCGATTAAATTCATTGAGGAAAACACATTTGCAATGTCGTAAAGGCGTCTAACTTTAGCTGCAGATAGTTCACAAAAAATGGGGTTTGGTTATTAGCTTATTGCTTCTGTATGTAATAATAATCAGAGAACAGAAGAGATTTAAAGGAATGAGTTAGGATTACTTCTCATGTTCATGGGATCCTGAGATACATTCAACAATGCTTTTGTAGCGCCATCAAGTGTTATCAGATCATCCTGCGTCGTGATGGAAGCAACAAGAGAGGTGTCAATTAATTGGAAATTGGTCAACGTTGTTAGGGAGATGTAAAATCATCACTTATGCACTTACATCAGAACATAGAAATAGCTTCACAAAGTTCTGTGCAAGAACCCAGAGAGATTTCTCCTTCTTGCTGTCTGAAAACAGCAAAAGTTGGGTTAACTTCCGGAAATTAGCATTCTTATGCAAATCCTATCCTGGAAATTTTTACTGCTAGAGCATTTTTATTCCTATCAGAATCTAGATTGAAAGTACATGAAAAGTGATTTCAGCTGGAGTAAAATAAGAAATCATTCATTAATCAACGATATATGGCATTACCAAGTTTGGGGGATGGTGAGTTTTCTTGATCATCAGGAGTTAACTTCAAAGGTTCTTCTCTTACTTGGTCATACAAGACCTACTCAAAATCGAATTCAAGGGCCACAATGAGGTTGAAATTCAATAGGTAACAAACTAAAAGATTCAACAGTAAAGAAGAATCTGAGTATGAACTTACCATCTCTGAGTTGGTCACACATGGGATGATGCCAAACTTCTCTCGCATTCCTTCTTCCTGTAAGCAAAAGAGACAAACTCAAAAACTATTCTCAAGCAAACAATCCTGAAGCTGGAATAAAAAAGAAAAGGCATATTAGATGATTCGTTAACTAACTTTGAGTTCACTTAGAGCACGAGGAACTTCTCCAAAACCTTTCCACGAATACTGATTCTTCCCTCTTCTCGCTACAAGCTGCGTAGAAACGCTAATCAGCACCAAATCGATCAAACAGCATAAAAAAGAAGAAGATATTAACAACATCAAATCGTACCCCAATGCTCTCCAATATATTAACCACATCATATATACGCCGACGTTCAACTCCTGCGAAATTTTGAGATGCCAAACAAAAGTTAAAGCGAATAAATTAGCATCAAGCTCTATTGTCACTGTTTCTTAATGAATCTGTTGAATACGCATATTGTGTTTGTTTTTTTTATCTCGTCTTGGCTATATTCAATCGAGCTTTTGAAAAGACAAATTTAGGGAGGGAAGAATCACCTAATTTCCCGGCGGCATCATCGAGCCCAATCAGATCAATGTCGTCTCGATTGTACAGCTTCAGGAAACTGGGATGAACAGAAGTATAAATCAAGTAGAAGACAAATCCAAACTAAAAAATAAAAGGAAATACAATAATGGAGAATCGTAAATGCTTGAGAGAGAGAGAGAGAGAGAGAAAGAAGAGTACTTGGAGACTAAAACCCCGAGAGATTTCTCCTTCCGGCTGTAAGAGTGCCGACCCAGAGACTCCATTTCCTGGGATTACAACAAAAAGATATTTTCCGATGAAGAAAAGTTAATACGAGAGAAAATAATAGAATGAGAGAAGAGAGAAAGGGGGTGTGTTTGGGTATCGGCTTTATTGTGACCGCGGAAACCAAATTGTGAAGCGGGGGCTTTTCAAATTGATATTGCCCGGTTTGTCTCTTTCTTTCTTCTTTTGAAGCTTCAATTTTGCTTCCTTTTAAAAAAAAAAAAAAAAAATTACTACTAGATAATAATTTCCCGCCCGATATATTTGTACATTTGGTATCAATTTATTTATTTTGGAACGGTTTTGTTCGGAAAATTATTGATTTCCATGGTTCAAGAGAAAAACTCCCCAAAACTAAAGTGATAAAAAAAAATTTAATTTGGATACCTTTTATAAATTTTGAGTTGAATTGTAAACTCTACCATTTTCTATATCATTGCCACGAGACCGCCCTTCAAACATCTCATATTGGTGTTTTATCATGAAAGCAAAAACAACTGATGTGCTATGTTTTACATTGTGAAACATCCTTCCTAATATGGTGAGATTAAATAGTTCAAATAAGTGCCGATATATAATTTGATCTTATGCTTAGAGCGAACTTGTGTTTTATGAACATGCATGAGAAAGACTGTGATACACCGTCACAACGTACGTAACAAAAGACAATAGTACCACTGAACCGATCAAATGAACCGACCGCTTTCCCTCCGTCTCAGTGACACTATTCAATTCACTTTTATGCAAAGCGAAATCTAGCTCATATGGAAAAAGACAATAGTACCACTGAAGATTTACTCAAATTACAGAAAAGCCAACCCCATTCAGAAGAAAAGTCCATTGAATCGGGAAAAATATCAAAAACAGAGCCGAAAGGAGTAAAAAAAAGGATCAGGCGAAAAAACGACGTAGTTCCATTGAGCTAGAGTAGGAAAAGACTTTGGAATTTCCGAGGAGGAGATATGCCCTTCTCCTCTTACATCGGCAACACCCGCCGTGGCTCCGGCAGCGGCGGAGGTGGAGGCGGCTGGGGCCAATCGCTTCTCCCGACTGCCTTATCGAAGTCGAAATTAGCGATCAATCGGAAACCTCGGAAACGGACGCTTCTTATCAACTTCTTCTTTGCCAACTTCTTCGTCATCGCCCTCGTCGTCTCGCTTCTCTTCTTCTTCCTTACTCTCTTCCATTTCGGCGTCCCAGGACCGATCTCCGCCCGCTTCCTTGGCACCAGATCCAGTCGGATCGCGAAGCCGCGAAAGAGTATTAACCGGCGACCTGTGAACGATTCCGTCTCTGGCGCCGTCGTGGATATCACCACTAAGGATCTGTACGATAGGATTGAGTTTCTGGATGTAGACGGTGGTCCGTGGAAGCAGGGCTGGCAAGTGACGTACAAAGGCGACGAGTGGGAGAAGGAGAAGCTGAAAATTTTCGTTGTACCTCACTCGCATAACGATCCTGGATGGAAGCTGACGGTGGAAGAGTACTACCAGAGGCAGTCGAGGCATATCCTCGACACGATCGTTGAGACTCTATCCAAGGTGACGAAATCTGATATCTGCTTCTGGGTTTGTTTGATTCTCATCATGATTTCCTCGTGAACAATCTCAATGCCCAAAATTTCTCATGACGTCACTGAACTCCAAAACGTGATTCGCATTGAAACTTTAACCAGATGCTTGTCTTTCTTTTTTTTTGGTTTTTCGTGTTTGAAACCAATTTGTTTCCCATCTAGCTAGAATCTGATCTGTGTGGGGTTTGTTTTTTAAATCTGATTATAATAGGATTCTAGAAGAAAGTTTATATGGGAAGAGATGTCATATCTGGAGAGATGGTGGAGAGACGCTTCACCCAATAAACAGGAAGCTTTGAGTAACTTGATCAAGAATGGTCAGCTTGAAATCGTTGGAGGTGGCTGGGTAATGAATGATGAGGTATGTTTCTTCTGTGACTTGTTTGATTTTTATTCCTAGGCTGATTGTTTTGGTTGAGAGATGAGCTAAGTTTCTTCATTAATGTGCTGTGCAGGCTAATTCACATTACTTTGCCATAATTGAACAGGTATCTACTGCAATTCTTGACTTTCCATTTTATGCACTTAATTTGTCTACTCCTCTCTCTTTTTTAGAAATCTGACTTTTAGTAAAACAAAGACGATGACAGTGATGACTGCATTTACACTTGAGGTTTCAGTTTCTGTGCTGGTCATTTAGTTTGTATTTCTTATGTAGATATGGTTAGTTATAGTACGACATCCCCTAGTGTCTCCTTCGAGCTGAAACCCTCTTTTTTTTTTTGGTTGTGCGTAATTAAGAGCATGTGGTGTTAGAATATCGATTAGCTAGAGACAACATTAGTTAACCAGCCGCATGTGCATTGTGTTCCTATCATGTGCTTTTTCCATTTTGGATACACCATCTTGCAGGAGTTACTCCTGGCTTTTCTTATTTGATTCTGTACTTAATTCACTCCTTCTGCAGATCGCAGAGGGTAATATGTGGCTTAATGACACAATTGGGGTTATTCCTAAGAATTCTTGGGCCATAGACCCATTTGGCTACTCATCAACTATGGCTTATCTCCTTCGGCGTATGGGTTTCGAGAACATGCTTATTCAGAGGACTCATTATGAGCTTAAGAAAGAGCTTGCCCTGCATAAGAATCTGGAATATATTTGGCGTCAGAGTTGGGATGCTATGGAAACTACTGATATCTTTGTTCATATGATGCCTTTTTATTCATACGATATCCCACACACTTGTGGCCCAGAGCCTGCGATTTGCTGCCAGTTTGATTTTGCGCGGATGCGGGGATTCAAGTATGAACTTTGTCCGTGGGGAAAGCACCCAGTGGAGACCACACCAGAGAATGTGCAGGAGAGGGCACTAAAGCTTCTAGATCAATACAGGAAAAAATCCACCCTTTATCGAACAAATACTCTTCTTATACCTCTGGGAGATGATTTTCGGTTCATCAGTATTGACGAAGCCGAGGCTCAGTTCCGCAACTACCAGCTGTTGTTTGATCACATCAACTCTAATCCTAGTCTAAACGCAGAGGCAAAGTTTGGTACTTTGGAGGATTATTTCAAAACACTCCGAGAAGAAGCCGACAGAGTAAACTATTCTCTTCCTGGTGAGATTGGCTCTGGTCAGGTTGTTGGTTTCCCTTCTCTGTCTGGTGACTTCTTTACATATGCAGATCGGCAACAAGACTATTGGAGTGGTTATTATGTTTCAAGGCCTTTCTTCAAAGCTGTTGATCGTGTGCTCGAGCATACCCTTCGTGGAGCTGAGATCATGATGTCATTTCTGCTAGGTTATTGCCATAGAATTCAGTGTGAGAAATTTCCGACAAGTTTTGCGTATAAGTTAACTGCTGCAAGAAGAAATCTAGCTCTATTCCAGCACCATGATGGGGTAACCGGAACTGCTAAGGATCATGTGGTACAAGACTACGGCACCCGGATGCATACTTCATTGCAAGACCTTCAGATCTTCATGTCTAAAGCGATCGAAGTTCTTCTTGGGGTCCGCCACGAGAAAGAAAAATCTGATCAGTCACCAGCATTCTTCGAGGCAGAGCAAGTGAGATCTAAGTATGATGCTCGGCCGGTTCACAAGCCAATTGCTGCACGTGAAGGAAACTCACACACAGTTATACTCTTTAATCCATCAGAACAGACGAGAGAGGAGGTAGTGACGGTCGTTGTTAACCGCGCTGAAATCTCGGTTCTGGACTCAAACTGGACTTGTGTCCCTAGCCAAATTTCTCCTGAAGTGCAGCATGACAACACCAAGCTATTCACCGGCAGACATCGCCTTTACTGGAAAGCTTCCATTCCGGCTCTTGGTCTGAGAACGTATTACATTGCAAACGGGAATGTCGAATGCGAGAAAGCTACACAGTCTAAACTCAAATACGCTTCTGAGTTCGACCCATTTCCTTGTCCCCCTCCATATTCCTGCTCAAAACTGGACAGAGATGTGACTGAGATCCGAAACGAGCATCAGACTCTTGTGTTCAATGTTAAGAACGGCTTACTCCAGAAGATAGTCCATAGAAACGGATCAGAAACTTTCGTGAGAGAAGAGATTGGTATGTACACTAGTCCAGATAGTGGAGCGTACCTGTTCAAACCAAAAGGTCAAGCTCAGCCGATTGTTCAATCCGGTGGACATCTAGTCACCTCCGAGGGACTGCTGGTCCAAGAAGTCTTCTCGTACCCAAAAACCAAATGGGAGATATCTCCCATCTCGCACAGCACTCGAGTTTACACTGGAGGTGATACGCTTCAGGATCTAGTGATTGAGATGGAATATCATGTTGAGCTTGTCGGGGATGATTTTGATGACAAGGAATTAATCGTCCGGTACAAGACTGACGTTGACAACAAGAAGGTCTTCCATTCAGATCTCAACGGTTTCCAAATGAGCAGGAGAGAAACTTATGATAAGATCCCTCTTCAAGGAAACTACTACCCTATGCCATCTCTTGCGTTCATCCAAGGATCCAACGGTGGGAGATTCTCTGTGCACTCTCGCCAATCTCTCGGTGTTGCTAGCCTCAAAGACGGTTGGTTGGAGATTATGATGGACAGACGGTTGGTCCGTGATGACGGACGTGGTCTCGGGCAAGGCGTGATGGATAACCGCGCGATGACCGTCGTTTTTCACCTTCTTGCAGAGTCCAACATTTCTCAGTCCGACTCTGTTTCCCACGCTAACCCGAGGAATCCATCGCTTCTCTCTCACCTCGTAGGTGCGCACTTGAACTATCCCATAAACACGTTCATTGCCAAGAAACCTCAAGACATATCCGTGCGTGTTCCGCAATACGGTTCCTTTGCTCCTTTAGCCAAACCGCTGCCTTGTGACCTCCACATCGTGAATTTCAAGGTTCCGCGTCCGTCCAAATACTCGCAGCAATTAGAAGAAGAGAACCCGAGGTTCTCTATTATCCTCAACAGACGAGCTTGGGACTCAGCTTATTGCCACAAAGGAAGAAGAGCAAACTGCACAAGCGTGGCTAATGAGCCAGTGAACTTTTCCGACATGTTTAAAGACCTTGCAGCCACAAAGGTGAAACCAACTTCATTGAATCTCTTGCAAGAAGACATGGAGGTTCTCGGATACGACGATCAAGAGCCGCCGCGAGATGATTCACTGCCGCGGGAAGGACGTGTCTTGATTTCTCCCATGGAAATACGAGCTTACAAGCTTGAGCTACGACCTCACAAGTGAGAACACAGTCAATGCTGATCATTGGCTATTTGGCTCGTACGGCCTCACAAGATCGTTGACTATGGAGGTTGGGCTCAGAATCGGCTTCTTGCTCAAAAAGGCTGCGCGGGATTCGTTAACCTTCAAAAGAGAGAGTAGAAGCTGGAGCCTTTGTATCCATGTAAAAAACTACTGTAAGACCTTAGTTACAGTTTTTTTTTTTGTTTGAACAATTAAATATTAACTAGTTTTACCATTTTGCATGGGTTAAATTATTGTGTGTATATATAACTATCATACACGTTCGATTGATTGAATTTGAAGTCCAAAGACATGGTTTAAAAGGGCACTAAGGAAAAAAATATTTCTTCGAACATATCGTAGAAAAGAGTATTGTTCGTTCAACGTTCATACAGAACGTTTAGTGCAAAATAGAGATGTCTAAGCCGGTTTAATCGGTTCGAGTATAAAAAAATCGATCTATAAAACTCAAACTAGAGAACAATAAAACTGTTTCTTCTTTTTAATATCCGAATAAACTGAAACCGAAAGAATCAAACAGACTCATTTCCGGCCAAACCAAGCCGACTTGATTGGTTGATGTATGTAACGTAAGTTATGAGGTTAGGTTAACTTACATGTGATCGTATGTTAATTGATGAACACACATAAATACGGACCGAAGTTTCTAATCTACTTATTAGTGTTGTCATGTCATCACTTGAATTCAAATTATATAGAGTACATGAATAAACTTACGAGAAAAGAATTGACATATGGATACAGATAATTCTATTACTAATCTAGATTAATCAACAAAAAATATTGATGAAATATTACTAAATCAAGATTAGGCGTGAGAGGTTCATTGCCACACATTTTTTTTTTTAAAAGCAAAAAAGAACAATGATGGATCAAATGGAACCGTTACAATGCTTATAAATTGACCAATTCCTAACTCTTTTTTTAATTAATTAGAAAGTTTTGGATATTTCTTTACGTTTAAAACCAAAAGCATGTAATATAATCTTGTTCTAAAGAACAATTTTCTTTTAACTAAGATATCCATACATAATATTGATCGCGTTTTTTATTCTTTTCGTCAACTATTGATCGCGTTTAAACCAGACACAAACATCATATTTTTCATTAGCTTTTTTGTTATTTTCGTTTGAAAGATGAATACTTTTTTTCTGGTAAACATGAATACGTTTCTGAAACAAAAGAAGTCTATGATATTCATAATGAATAAATGATAGTTGACCGTCCGAGACCACGTAATGGTTTCATTATAGATAGATGTTTGGTAGAAAAAGGAGATGAGTTCATAACCACAAATTAACGATAGTCTAGAACTCGATCGATATAACTTTTGTTTGGTTGTACACCATGTATAACTTTGATGCTACATAATTCTATATTATCATCAAAGTAACCAAGACACAACACACCCACACTCTCTCTTGGCCTCTAGGACACGGGGTCACCAAATTTCTTTGTCCTGAATTTTGCAATGCATGAATCTAATTTATAAATTCTCACGAAATTATCAAAATTTGATGCTTCAAATCAAAGAACATATTCTAGAGTGACAATTCTGCTATAAACACGTTTAGAAAAAGAAAAAAAAATCAAGAGCCACAAAACAATATTACAGAATACGTTCATGATGCGTGGTACTGGTACCGATAAACAAACAAAAAAAGTAAGTGTTACGCACGTAAGCTACTCAATTTTACGTTGGTGCAAGTCGACATATTGCCACTCACTACACCTTTCTCCAAAGCCAAACCCTAAAGTGGACTTTATTTATCTTCCTTTTTGTTTAAGTTTTTTTTTTCTTTCTTACTTGTATAAAAGATATATATAACTCTTTATACTTGTTAGTCTCCCCATACATGGACATTGGATTCTTAATGTAACACATATTATCCATCTTACTATAAACAATTCGAAATATATCTTTATATATTTAGATATAAGAAGAAGAATAGAAAGACAAATGTTACTATATGTGGGGCAAATTATTTTATTATTTTTTTGGTAAAAATGTGGGGCAATATTAGTTATTGCAATTGCAATGGTCTATTATTTTTCACGTATATCTATACAAACTCCTTTCTCTCCAATATGCTTGTCTCAATCTCTTTTCAAGTAAAGGAGTAAGAGACAAATTCCTAAAAAGAGAAAAAAAAAGAAATATCTGTTTTTAGTTTCTACATGCAGGGTATTCTTAATATGCCAATTTACATAATATTTTATATATCTCATAGATAAATAAAGTCTAGATAAAAAGTAGTTGAGGAATTAAAAAATATTTTACAAACATGCTTTATATAGAAGAAACGTGTATTGAATGAATTCTAACAATATATATATATGCTCTGTTCTAAAAAAGGTAGTTTGTTTTCTAGGAATTTGAGATATTAGTTTTCTAATAATGTTTTAGAAATATGATTCTTTTTTAGATTGTACAAAACAAAACAAAAATTATATCGTATTCATTTGTATTGTTGTATACGTATGTATATATGCGTGTGCTCCTGCATCCACCCAAGTATGATGTGTACATTAGTACTCTTAATAGAAACATATTTTGTGGTCTGAACTCTAAAGCTTTATAAATATAGTTCCACACACCAAGCAAAACCTTACTTCATCTTCTCTCTCTCTCACACACAAAACATAACCTTACCTTTCTTTCTTCTTCTTCTCTCTCTCTTTCTCCCTTAGCACACACGCACAAAATCACAGGCTTAGATATTCTCGCTCTGATGGTTGGAGGAGAGACAAGAAGAGGACTTAGCAAATCTTGTGCCCTTCTCATATTGATTGCTGGGATAGAGAGATATGCATTTAAAGGAGTTGCATCAAACTTAGTGACATATCTAACTGATGAGGTAAAGATGAGCAATTCAAGAGCAGCCACGACTGTTAACACTTGGAGTGGCTTCACTTTCATGTTGCCTCTCTTCTCTGCTCCTTTCGCCGATACTTATTGGGACAGATTCTTTACCATCCTCGCTTCTTCTTCTCTCTACTTTGTGGTAAGAATCACTTAACCAACGTTTTATTAGAATCAACAGTCATAATCAAGAATACAGTATTTGCTTAAACAAGTGGTCGCTTTCCTTGTTTCCAACATTCTCTCCTCTTGTTTTTTCTATTAACCTGTAGAAAACAAAAATTAGCCTTCTTTCTAAAAACTTCTTACTTATAAATTTTTGTACTACATATATTATAAAGAGAGCAATAGAAGCCCACCAACCAAAGTTTTTTACCGAGTTTAATTTACTGACTCAGATAAGAGTTGAAAGTTCTTTCTCGAATTTGTTTGTGCATAATGCGCTAAAGGAGTAATGATCATGTGACTCTCTTCTTTGCGCACTTTTATGATGCCTCTCGCTTGAAAACTGGACCCTTTTAGGAGTTAATTATTGCAAAACGTTTCTTGGGATTTTTATTTGTCTTTTCTTTTACAAAACGTTTGAAAATGTTAACGTCTCACCGACCGTTAATGGAATTGAGCACATTTTGGTAAAGTTTGGTTCCGTAATGCAACTTTGTGATCTTATCAGAAATAGTTAAAGTTTAGCGTGTTATCAACTATAATAATGGAACTCGAATCATTCCTCATTAATCCTGCAGGATATATATTCCATTACTAGATCTTACATTATTGCATAGATAGGAAATATTTGTAAACTCAATTTTATTCACAAAAAAAAAAAAATTAAATGGTGAACTTTTCTTGTGTGGACAAATGGTTAACTTAGATTTCTGAATTCATACAGCATTTTAATTTATTCAATATTTATATGGATTTATTTATCTATTTTAATGAATATTATTCTTAATTAAGGATTAAATATATTTTAATGTTATTCGTAGATTCTATGTTTTGTAAGTTACTAATGATGTTTGGCATTTTGTTGGGTATTTAAAAAAAAAAAGGGACTAGTGGGATTGACATTTACGGCATATGCTAAGTCACGTTCCACTACAAAAACCATCTCTCTTTACTTCCTCTACACTTCACTTTGCCTCGTCGCTCTCGGCTTAGGCGTCTTAAACCCATCTCTTCAAGCCTTTGGTGCTGACCAGCTCGACCACGACCTTGACCAAGACCAAGATCACGAGCAATCCTCAGAGAACAAAGAAGTCAAGTCGAACCGCAAGACTCAGTTTTTCCAATGGTGGTACTTTGGTGTCTGCGCCGGTAGCCTTCTAGGAGTCACCGTCATGGCTTATATCCAAGACACATTTGGTTGGGTTCTCGGTTTTGCGATCCCAACCGCTTCCATGTTGTTGCTGATCCTCTTGTTCCTATGTGGCTGTGGGGTTTATGTCTATGCTGATCCCAATCTTGACCCCAAAGCTAAACCATTTCAAAGGATCTTCGACCTAATCAAAGAAAGAGTGTGTAGAAGAAGTAAGATCACTCTTGTGAACAACCACGACTTAAATGCCATGGAGCTAGAGTAAGTCATCGTTTTTCTTTTCTTTTTCACATTCAATCCACAATAATAAACCGCATGAAACACACCTAGCTAATTCTTGTTTTATAATGTATATAGGTTGCAAGAGAAGCCTCTATGTAACTGTAGCAGCACTGAAACCACTAGTACTAACAAGAACTTAGCTGATGAAAAAAGCTGCAAGAGCGGTTTCTCAGGCCTAGAAACCGTCAAGCTATTGCTTCGTCTTTTGCCTATATGGATGATGCTTCTAATGTTCGCAGTCATATTTCAGCAACCGGCGACATTCTTCACGAAGCAAGGCATGACTATGAAGAGAAACATCGGACCAAACTTCAAAATCCCACCTGCAACGCTACAAAGCACAATCACTTTATCCATAATCCTTCTCATGCCCTTGTACGACAAAGTCTTGATCCCAATCGCCAAGAAAATGACGAAGAACGAAAAGGGTATCTCCGTCATGGAAAGAATGGGAATCGGGATGTTCCTATCCATTATCGCCATTGTTATCGCTGCGTTAGTCGAAAGAAAGAGATTAAAGATAAGCAGAACTTCACCGAGTTCGGAGCCTTTGAGCATATTTTGGCTCCTGCCTCAGTACATACTATTGGGAATCTCGGACATTTTCACGGTTGTGGGAATGCAAGAGTTCTTCTACAGCGAGGTTCCGGTTAGGATGAGAACGATGGGATTTGCATTGTACACGAGCGTTTTCGGTGTGGGGAGTTTTGTGAGCGCTGCGTTGATTTCGATTATCGAGAGCTACACGAGTTCAAGAGGTGGGAAACATAACTGGTTTGCTGATGATATGTCGGAAGCTCGACTTGATAACTATTATTGGCTTTTGGCTCTCACTAGTGCTATAAGCTTTTTGATGTATATTGTTATTTGCAAGAATTTCAAGAGTAGTAGTGATGATGACCAATGTGATGAAAAATGTTAATTTTCTAAAAAACAGCTCTTTTTCAAAATTAGTTTTTGATCAAACTGATCTAATACCTTTAACAGTCTTTTTTTTTTTTTTTTTGTAAGTGCTTACAGATATATATTACTGTTTGTTGGATTTGCTCTGTTTCAACACTCTGTTATACATTTCAAAAGACAATTGTTTTCTGTTAAAGTAACAATATAAATTCAATACTTTTTAAAATTTAAAATATTGTTAGTTTTTATTTTAAAAATTAATTAAAATTTTCAAAATTTGTTTAAGAAACTAAAATTGACAACATGGAAATTGTTGAATTAACAAAAGTATTTTATTTAGTATCAACTTTTGTTATCTGGAGATTAATAAGCTTCGTTACGTATTGTTCCTGTTTAAGAGTTATACATATATGGGTCGTAGCCTTAACGATTTTTCTTTCACAATGTTAATAAAAAAATTGATTTCTCTTGATACAATCTCTCTCGCTGACGGTGAACTTTTCTCTATGTTCAAGAAGACATGCATTTGCATCAGTGTAATGCCTTTTTTAATCTCAAAATCAATTACTAAATCTTTTCAACTAAACATCTCATGCACCAATATGGTTTTAGTCAAGAGCCACCATGGACAGGCCTAGGGTTGATAAGGTCGGGACCTCGAAGGAACAAGAAAACAAGGATGGAGTTATCAAAGGACGAAACTCACATCCGAATCCTTTAGGTTTAATCAAATCATTACAATCTCAGTCGCCTATCCTCTTCTCTTCTTCGTAAGGGATTATTACCAAACAGAGAATTCGAGAATCGGTTCTTCTTGTCGTGCCAAGAAGGAACATCGTCCTCTATTGTTTCACGTACTCACATGTCACGTCTCTGATTCAAGATATAGATGTCGCCAGCCTCAAGAAGTCAACGGTATGATATGTTGTGGATATGGTAGGACCCCTCAGGAAAATCACTAACCTTACCCAAATTCTGTGTCGGCCACAACGTTGGACCATACGTGGAAAGTATTCTTGGATTCGATCCGATCAACAAGCAATATAAGGAGGTATTGTCCATGACTCCACTAGCTGGTTTTAATAGTGAAGATAGCATAATACCATATAGAGAACATAAAGTGTTTACATTGGGAGCTCAAGGTACATGGACAATGGTCAAGTGTAACAGCATTCATTGTCCTGGAACTATAAGCCTATGTATCAACGGGGTTGTGTATTACGGTGCATAGGGAAGAGTACGAAGCAATGTAGCTTAGTGAGATTTGATGTGAATACTGAAAAGTTTGGTTTTACTGAAATGCCTGAGTCTGGATATTTGAGTATATGGTATTGTTTTTGGCAGATATGTAATTTATCTGTTTGCTGTATATTGAGTAACTTTTTTTCTATAATGTTTCTGCTTGGCTGGTAAAAGAATATGCCTATTTTTATGTTTCTGAGAAATTCAATGAAATCTTGTGGTCGTTTGAAAACATTATTTCTAAGAAAATAAAATTAATCATAAATATATTGGACTATATTCAAATAGAAATATATAGTTTAAACGTATTATTTAAGATTACATTATATATGTAAAACTACAAATTGAAATTACAAAAGAAAAAGAAAAAAAAAAGTCTTAAGAGGCATACAACAGTACAACCGACAGGTCAGCAATATCAACTGACAATTTGACATACAACAACCGACAGGTCAGCAATATCAACCGACAGCTCAGCTGACAATTTGACATACAACAGTACAATCGACAGGTCAGCACCAATCGAGCCAAGAGGCATATTATTTAACCTGCAATAAATTAATTACTTACTTTACCATAACTCTTGTACTTGCCAGTGTTCATAAACTCGGTGAAGTCTGAATTAAAGCCTTTGATCTCTTTGTACTCTTTCCACCACTTCATGAAACTGCTCTTCTCCAAGAATATCTCCGGCGAAACCTCACGCTTTCCGATCAACCCCCACACGTATTCCTCAAACTTCACGAGTCTCGCCATCGATGCCTCGTCTCTCATCCCCTCGTGTGTTTCCAGCGACTTGATCACGATCATAGCTTCCTCCACTTCAGCCCAAAAGCAAGAATCAAACGTTAAAAGATGACTCAAATCACTCTTTTCACCTCTAGTCTTTTCTATCGACGCATCTCCAAACCATTTCTCGAGCGTAACATAGTGGGAAGACCTTCCTCTATCCGAGTTTCGATAATCTTTCCCACCATTGCGATAGTATTCAGCAATATCAAACGGTTCCATCAACCGTCTGTAATTGTTGCCGGCGAGTAGAAACCGTTTCCTGAGAATTGATACATCGCTCTGAGGCTTCTTCTCTGCTTCTTCAACCACCGATACCCAGTAATCGTTTAGCTGTTTCCTGAGACCCTCATAAAGAAAAACTAGTTGGGTCTTGAAATCATCGTAGTAACCGATGTTCTTCTCCTTGCTTTTCTTTTTGTAACGCTCCATATAAGCCATTGCTATCTTCATGTCGTTTAGTTTCTTCACCTGATCAAAACGCTGCTTCTTCTTCTTCAGTCGTTTCTTCATTCCTTTGATAACATCATTAGTGATCAACCCTGCAGAATCCGCCGTAGAAAACACCGATTGTTTCAGACGATGTAGAATCTTGCCGTAGTCTACCAGATCCGTATTATCACCCTTTAGCAACTCCTTGACCGCCTCAGGGTCCTCGATCCAGTTACATTCGGAGTCAAAACAGATCAAGAACGACCCAAAAGGCTCGAAACCCGCGGCGATGAGAGTTTGGGCAGCATCAGCCACGTGAAGGAAACATGAATTCCTCAGGGAATTCTCAAGAATCCGTTGCAGAGAAGCGTCTCCGATTAGTGGCGACCCAAACGTGATGCACAAGGGACGTGGACGTGGACGGGGACGTTTTGGGTCGATAGTTTCTTTTTTTTTTTCACTAAATTTTGGGTCGATGGTTTCTAGAAGCCATAGCGTAAAGAGGGATGCGACGGATCCTGCTAACGCAGCTCCGGTGATGATCACCGGTTTATTAGACTCCAGCAACTGCAAAGACATAGATACCGTTTAATAAAGTAGTTGACTTGAAAACCAAGCGATTCTAAAAATGTGTGAGCGACAGAGAGAAACCTGAACTAGGTTATACAGATTCTGAACAGAGTATCAAAAAGCTATTGACTTTAAGACAGGTTTGTCTATGCAAGACAGTAAGACACTAATAACCTTCCAGGTTATGAAATTTGTCTTGGCCTCAGATACTTTTTAATAAAGTTGTTGACTTGATAAAACAATTCTGAAGAGGGTATCAAAAAGCTAATTAATGTAAAATGAACATACCTCTGATTTGAGGGGAGAGAGAGCTTTATAAGCAGAGGAAAAAAGCTCATAAGCAGGTTTATGAAGAGAGAATGAGGAGATCTTGTCGGAGCACAGAAACTGAAACGGGTTCTGATTCTCTGACCGAGAAAGAAGAGTAGAGGTAGGGTTTAAAGATCCATCTCTGCGAAGCGGTGGTGCAGCGAAAACCACAAAGGTGAATTTAGCTTCTCGGTAGATCTTGATTCCTAGAGCTGAATCTTTATTCGGATAGTTTGATTTGTGTATCTCAGAGATCTTACTCCATGAGCTGTCTAAGAGACCGGAGCTCAACACAAGCTTCCCAAGCTCAATACCCTTTCTAAAACCAATGACAAAAAGGAATTTAGTCCATGTCCACAGACCAAGATTTTCAGGACATTGTTGACCAAAAGACTAAAACAAAATTTAGAAGCAAGAAAAGAGGTTATTCGTAATGCTTACAGTGAATAAGAATCCATGGCATATGAGGTGGAACAATCAATCTGTGTAGAAGACGATTAAAAGGGACGAATGATCGAAAGCAGACAAGTGGTCAATGTCTCTAAATCAGAGTCTACTTGAATGCATATAAATAAAAATGGAAACCGTTTGTTACAGTCAAATAGTTAATGTAGACGACAAAAAAGATTTTTAAAAAAGTCAAATGAATAGTTAACTGTTCCTCTCCCTTGTCGAGAAAGAAACCTCAAGAAGACCTGTTCAGCATACGCTACGGCATTTATTACTTCACACAAGTGTGTGAATACAAAATTTGTATATATTTAAAAGATGGTAGTAGCATTACAATAAGTGCCAACTGTCCTAGCCATGAGTTTAATTATCTTTAAACCCACTTGATCATATCACAAAGAAAATGTAGAATAAGGAGGTTACATGTATTTGATAAGCTCTGGTCTGATTGATATAGCTCGTCCTCTTCAGACCTTTTCGAATGATACTCAAACACTAATATTTGGGTCGTAACATCAGCACTCATGTCAAGAAAAGCCACATTGTCCTCAAAGGTGAAAGAATATAATGGTAGATGCAGACAACTCCAGTTGCGTCCTTGCAATTGGAATCTTTGTCAGACCTTAGGCCCGAACATATATATGTGATCATATGATTAATTGTTTATGACTTTATGTGTAATGTGTTTATGATCATTCATGAAGGTCTTGAGAGCAAAGATTGATGCCCATTATCATCTAATATTTTAAGAAAAAATTACCCTCATAAGTCAAATAAGCCGCCATAGGAGACACTAGTTTATCTTCAATAATATTTTGACTACTTCAATATTAATTCTAAATTTTAAACTAGTGTCAGTTATATATACGATATTATAATGTAGTGTGTGTTTTTTTTTTTCAACTTTTTTGGAGGCAAGTGTGTGTTTATTTTAGTAAATCAAATGTCATATACAAATTCTAGAAAAGAGAAGAAGAGTCAGGTGATTTCAATAATCTTTCCTAATTCTAGAACTTGTATATGAATTTGAATTTATATTTTGCAGATGCAGTTGGAATCACAGTGAGTGCTGATATGTGTTATTTTGTCCGTTTTGATTGTTAATTTGTTTGGCATTTTCAAACTACACGTAGTTAATGTTTATTTTTAGTAATGTGACAAACAACCATCAGTGAAAGGTTTGGTAAAGGTCCTTATCTTCCATAATATGTTTCGCTTGGCTGAGTAAAAGATTGTGCTCACGTGACTTTTATTTGTGAAAAAAAATTAGTGTGTGATGATGTAATGTTTAAATTTCTATATACTAAATGGTTTAAACATACAGAATACTCCATAGTATAAGGTACTATATAGACAAAAACAAATCCTAAAATCACTATGACAATGACACAGTAGTATTCGTTTTTTTTTTTTTTTTTTTTTTTGGCTTTTGCTTTTGAGCGGAATCTTTTTCTTTTTCCTTTTTACGGACAGAAATTGGTAGCGAAATTTCCTAAAAAAAGTTCTTGTAGATACTTACTAACAATGAATCATTGAATTAAATAATTACTGACCCCAAATACAACTTCATTTATTTTGCCTTAACAAGAAAAACAAACTGAAATCATTATTGGTCCAAAACCAGCCGTTGATAATAATAATACCGGTTTAAGGGCAAAGCCATTTTCCTCTTCAGCCGACCTGACCATACCTCTCGTACTTGCCAGTGTTCATAAACTCGGTGAAGTCTGAACTGTCTTCGATGATCTCTTTGTACTTTTCCCACCACTTCATGAAACTGCTCTTCTCCAAGAATATCTCCGGCGAAACCTCACGTTTTCCGATCAACCCCCACACGTATTCCTCAAACTTCACGAGTTTTGCCATCGATGCCTCGTCTCTCATCCCCTCGTGTGCTTCCAGCGACTTGATCACGATCATAGCTTCCTCAACATCAGCCCAGAAGCAAGAATCAAACGTTAAGAGATGACTCAAGTCTCTCTTATCGCATCTATCCGGTTCTATCGACTCCGCCTTAAACCAATCCTCGAGCATAACAAAGTGGCGAGACCTTCTTCTCAAGGTCCGGTACCCCGTCCCACCATCGAGGTAGTATCTGGCAATGACGAGCGGTTCGATAATCCGTCTGTAATTGTGCCCGGAGAAGAGACAACGGGTCTTGAGATTCGACTTCTCACTCTGAGGCATCTTCTCAACTTCTTCAACCAACGCTTCCCAGTAATCGTTTATCTCTCTTATGCGCCCCTCCATTTTAATATCCAACTGTGAAACAGGAGTCGCGAGATGCGTCTTGAACCGGTCGTAGTAACCGATCTTGGCCTCCTTGCTTAGCTTTTTGTACCACTCTATATACGCCATTGATATTTTGATGTCGTTTAGTTTCTTCAGCTTATCACAACGCGCCTTCTTCTTCGCCGCACGTTCCTCCATTCGCATGATAACACCATCATCAATCACCAGTCTTGTATCCGCCTCCGTTGATAACACCGAATGATCCAGACGATCTAGAACTTCTCCGTAGTCTCTCCACGCTACCACGTGAGTGTTAGCAGCACCACTTTTAAGCAACTCCATGACCGCCTCGGTGTCGTCGATGCAAATGCACTCGGAACCAAAACAAATCAAGAACGTTCCAAAGGGCTTGAAGAGATCCGCCGCGATGGGAGTCTGTGAAGCAATATCAGCCACGTTAAGGAAACATGAATTCCTCAGGGAGTTCTGAAGAATCTGCTGCAAAGAGGCGTCTCCGATGAAAGGCGAGCCAAACGTGATGCAGAGGGGAAGCTTTTGTCCTGGCTCGACTGTTTCTAGAAGCCATAGCGTAAAGAGACACGCGACGGATCCTCCTAACGCAGCTCCGGTGATGATCACATGTTTCTTAGACTTCAGCAACTCGAGCAACTGCAAAAGACAGTTTTATTTTTTTGAGCAAGACACACTTAACTTTCAAGATTTTGGAAATTGTCTTTACATCAGAAACAGAGTTTCAGAAAGTCGTTGAGTTGTGGAAATAAATAAAAAAAGCAGACAACTTTTCTAAACACAAATGCTGAAGAGAGTATCAAAAAGCTACTGAGTGGAATTAAAAAATTATTACCTCTGATTTGAGGCCAAGGAGGTTTTGATTATAGGATTTAAAGAGCTGAAAAGCATGTGAGTGAATAGAGAATGAGGACTTCTTCTCGGAGCAGAGGAAATGAAACGGGTTTTGATCTTTTGACCCAGAAAGACGAGTAGAAGCAGAGTCTATAGATCCATCTCTGCGAAGCGGTGGTGCAGCGAAAACCACAAAGGTGCGTTTAGCTTCTCGGTAAATCTTGATTCCTAGAGCTGAATCTTTATTCGGATAGCTTGATTCTTGTATCTCAGAGATCTTACTCCATGAACTGTCTAAGAGATCGGAGCTCAACACAAGCTTCCCAAGCTCAATACCCTTTCTAAAACCAAGGTATAACGCTAATTTAGTCAAGAAATGTCCGAACAACAAAACGTTATCAAGAAAGAAAGAAAAACAGATATTCAAGAAACTTACTGACTGCAAGAAGCTGAGCAGCTGAGAAATTAAAAGAAGTAAAATGGAGTAATCGTAATACTTACAGTGAAGAAGAAGAATCCATGGCGTGAGCTGGAACAGATCTATTGGAGAAGAGAGTTAAAAGCGACGAAATTTTTGATCGATAATTGCCAATTATTGTCTCAACAAAACGGGAAGAGGAGTTCTATTTTTTTCATAGTAAAATAATAATAGTATTTTAAAGCCAAATAAAATAAAATTTTGATGAACGAAAAAATATTTAATTATTCTTCTCTCTCTCTCTCTCCCTCGAAAGAATCGCAAAAAGGCGAAGTTTCGGTCACCATACGCGTACGAGACGATATTTTTAGTTGACGTTGACACAAGTGTGAATACCAAACACATTTGCAATTTTAAACAGTAACATGACGATGTGAACGACAAAAGGATTAAAAACCTCATTATCGATTTGTTTGGTATTGGGCCTATTGGCTCACAGAGACATTAACTAATGTAATAAATACCCATAATAAGTGCCACTAACTCTCTCAATTAATCCTATATGATAAGCTGACCAATGTATATTTAATAAGCGATGAATGGGTCTTTGCTGTTTAGACCTATCCGACTGATCCTCAAACATATAGGCCCAAATAAAGCCCAACACTCATATGTTCCGATCGTGTCTATATATATCTAATTATCCATCAGCCATGTCATGTCGAAGTCTTTTCGTCTCTTTTATCGAATTAAAAAATTTAGTTTCATAATTGTATCACCGATAAAAGAGTTTCGTGGGGCGAAAGTACACGAATAACTTGATAAACTTATAACATACGATTTTTGAAACTTTAATAATTCATCGAAATGTTTCTTCTTATATAAAAAAGATTCTTCATTCCATAAACGCACATCCAACAACAAAAATAAAACGCATTACAAACTTATAAAACACCATTTTTCGCATAAAAGGTCTTTAAGGACACTTGGATTTACCGCCACGTGTCTTCATGTTGGCGTAACAAGATCCACACTTTTCCTTATTACCGTACGTGCCAGGGGGCACGCACTTGCAGCGGTAGCAGCACGTGACGCACGCTCTCATACATACGTTCTTCCTCGAGTGTTGGCCACACCGTGTCCCACATAAAGAAACGCAATCTATACCGTCCAAAATTTATAATCCATTTAATCAACGATCAATAATCATTTCAATTTTTAAGGAAAAAAAGTAATTATTTACTGAATTTACCTATCCGAGTTCCCACGGGGGGCCGTGTCGGAGGTTTGGCCGGTGCTGCAGGTGGTTTAACTGGAGGTCTTGGGGTTGGGTTGACAGGTGGTTTAACCGGCGGTGGTGTCGTAACCGGCGGTGTCGGGGTTGGTTTGACCGGTGGCGCCGTGTATGGAGGTATTGGGGTTGGTTTAACCGGCGCTGTAGGTGGTTTGACTGGCGGTGTCGTTGGAGGTTTGTTCGTAGGTGGTTGAACCAGCGGTGGTTTGATCGGTGGGGTTGTGGGTGGTTTAACCGTTGGCGTTGGGGGTTTGTACGTAGGGGGGCTGACCGGAGGGATTGGGTATGATTTAACCGGTGGTTTCGTTGGTGTGATCGGAGTGGTGGGAGGTTTGACCGGAGGTGTTGTGGTGGGTGGTTTAATCGGAGTAGTAGGCAGCGTGGGTGGCTTGTACGACGGAGACGTAGGCGATGGTGGCGTTGGTATAGAAACCTATAAATTGCAAACGTCCGAGTACCAAAAGTTAACTTTATTACACAGTTTATTTGCTTAACTAATGCATAGTTAGAAGAAAATATATACATATTTAAATAGTTAAAACGTAAAATCAAGAAATTTAGAAACATACTAATACCTTGGATTCCTCATTTGAAGCAGCAAAAATAACCTGCTCGGTGATTAGTCAAATTATATAGTTAGCTGGGCAACGTAACGCGCATAATTATATACTAATATGCTGTAGTCTTTAGCACTAAATAGAATTAAAAAAAATAATAACATTTTTGTTACTAAATAACTTACACTGGTGAAGACTTGAAGAAAGATGAAGACGTAAAATAGTGAGAGAGCCATTTTTGTGGGGAGATGAGGAAGTGGTGAAGTCACACGAAGAAGACCAATGGCCTTTTGTGTTATAAATAGAAGTTCTTATTTTTATTTAAACAAATAATTTATCCTATTATCCATAAAAAAATACTACAGATAAATACTCCACTAGAGTAGTAAATTAAATGCATAGTAATTGTTAGGTCCAGAGTAGTTATTATATGCATGCCAGCTTCGAACTTTCACTGCATCATAATTTCTCAGAGCTCGAGGAACAAAATATCAGATTCCCAAAATGGATTATACAAGATAATACATAAAATTGCCTCTTTATTCGTACATCAACTTGGATGCTTCAAGTCTTTATCAATACTCCCTCCGTTTTTATGTTTAAGGTTTTGCAAAATATCAAAATAGTAAATTTTTAACTACATATGAGTTTGGTGAAAATATGGGATATGTTTGAGTAGCCCGAGAAACTAGTGGATGCCAATTACTCCCTGTGTAACTTTATACTATTAATGATGCTAAGTAGTAGCATTCGATTTACCCATAAAGCTGTGTCGCTTATATATTTCATATAAAAAGGCCATTTGCCTCGATTATTGCTCCAGTGTGAAAGGGTTTGTCGTTTATCGAGCTTTGTTAACATGTCCTACGAAATTACAAATAAAGTGTTTTAAAATATCTAAGTTATACTAGTATATCCTTTATATTCTCTTATAAAAAATCTATTGTGTTATCAAATCAGAGATGGACAATAGCACATGAGTTCTTTAAATTGTTTCGGTGATTATTATTTTTTTTTATTTCTGATATTTCCGAAAAAGGTCAACAGCTCAATAAAGTTAAATCGACGACGAGTACACTTTCCTCCTCTATGTGAACTTGAGTCTTGAGGAAATTATCACGTATGAATGTTTGATCGTATGATAAAATAAGCCAAACTTTTTTATTATTGAAGTGACACAAATCTATAAGCGATCATTTTAAGAAATTCTTTCAAATCTTCCTATTAATAATACATGGTTTGCTACGTTCTTTCAAAGAAAAGAATATCAAATAGACAAAATCTGCTTAACCAAGCTGTGGTAGTGTAATTGAATGTCAGATATATAGAAAAAAAATAAAGAAATGGGTAATAAGTAGAGAGATACGAGTACAACAATGCATGAGCTGTGATTCACTATACACTTTCGCATCACAGATGAAAGAAAATACACATAGTGACAATCATATATAAACACACAACCACATGATGCATCATTGTACCACTACAAAGGCATGGAACCCAAAAGTCTATTAAGAATCCCAAGTCCCCAACCTCCACGCTCTGTGGGAACCCATATGACCCATTAAATATGTATAAAACTTAACAAAGAAAACACCAATTTTCGTTTTTTTTTTTTTTTTTTTTTTTTTTGTAATTTACCACATTGTCTTCTTGCGAGAAACAAATGAAAATCCTAAAATCTGAACATAATGTGTTTCTTTAATCACAAAACGGAGGAGAGAGGTTATTTAACTAGAAAAGAACCTCATCTTCATCTTCAAAGCTTAGATTCAAAGTCTGTAACTTAAATCCAGCTCCTTGTATAGTTTCCACCAAGCTTGACGCCACTCCTGTTGCTTGAACCGTTGTTTGCTTCGAAAGCTTCACACACACATATTCAACATAATACAGGTTAGATTCAATCGTCTGATCCAAAACATCAAAAATAAAGTTTTATATGATTTTCGACTTTTCGTTCAGCCATATAACATCACTGTTCCCATAAAGGCTTTGACTTTTCAAGGTCTAGGCCCAACCCAGTGGTTAACCGCCCAAATGTTAAAACAAAAGTGACATACTTGATCAGTCCAGTCCTTGTCAGGCTGTGAAGGCCAAAGTTTCTCTAAACACACATACTCAAAATCTGTCCTTATCTATATACATATCCATGTGTATGTGTGTGCTTAGACATTTGAAGGCAATGTATCAAGAGGAAGTTGGATGTAAACATACCTCCACGACGGCAACACCTTCAGAGACCTGAACCTTTAAATTGGAAACTCCATCGATATCCTGAAAGAAGAAACAAGATTGGCTATTGGTATATATATATATATATATATATATATATATATATTCACTGTTTTTGAAAGATAAAAAGGCAAATTGTTAAGGAAGATCTTTAAGGGTGTTAAGGAGTAAAGTGAAAACCGAAATTTTTAGTTTAACACAATAACAGAGATTGGATTGAATCGAAATAAGTAACCAAAAGGGTTTTATATAGTCCAAGAAACAGATGCATTCACAAAGATTTAGAGCTTTGCTAGTTCTAGGAGAGATCTAAAATTAAAGTATTACCTGTAAGGCCTTCGTTACATTAGGAATAGCTGCTTCGTTCAAGGTTCCATCAGCCTTCAAAATCAAGCAAAACGCCAACAATTATCAGATTCAATTTGAGGCCAAACTTGAAGCTCATAGAGCAATGCTCGTTTCTGAGATCTGATATAACTATGAATCAATCGAACTAGACTACTGTATCTGCAGAAAGCTCATTCTCATTAACTTGTGCAAACAGATACAATGTGCTATTTATACACAAAGCATTCTAGCTTATCAACTCACGAGCTATGTAACTAGCTTGTAACCGTATATATACACTTAACAGAGATTGAGGATGATAATCACACAAACTCACTAGACCAATCAATCAGAGAGAGAGTGATGTACCTGAAAAAACATGGTGAGCATGTCTGAAGGAGAGACAGGCACAGAGACAGTCTCTTGCTGTAGCTGTTGCTCTTCCTCCGCAACTGCAACGCCTTCTCCTCCTTCTCCAACCGACGAAAGCTTCCTCAACCCAAGGCGATTCTGTTTCGTAAACCCAGAAAAATTGCAAATTCGGCTATTCCCGATGGCCCTGGTCCGAAAGCTGACGTTTTTCGGTAGAGGAAGAAGATGGGTCGAAGAAAGATTAGGGCTTTTGGCTGTCGAAAACGAGAGAAAAGTGGAAGAAGCTGAAATCGACGCCATTTTCGTTTCGCGACTACCCAATCTTCTTCACTCGATAAGGTTGTAAGTTGAAAGAAGAGGGGTTTTGTCTTCTCACATTATCCACTCGAAGGAATGCTGCAATCATGTCAAAAGACATATACACCCTTAAGAATACTCTGATACGTCAAAAGACATATACACCCTTACATATGAAAAATCAGAAATTTAAAATTTATCACTCTGAACTTTCATGACGTATGGAGATCACCTCAACTTTGGGAAAAGATATCAATCAAATAAATAATTTCATCTGGAGTGAAAAAAATTACATCAAAAAAAAGAAAGAAAATGTGTGAAATAGATTTTCTCTGCAAAGAAAAAAAAAATCCAATCGTTCTTCTAAAATATCTCGTTTCATTGGTGCAGCCCACGTTTTGAAGCCAGCCCACGAGAAACAGAGACGCGCGTGGCCCTTACTTGATCAGCGGCGGCGCGTAGCTACTATCGTTGTCGAAATCAATGGAACATTTGGTGGAGAGAGGCAGAGACGGCGCCGTGAACCTCATTGAGTAATCACGGTAAGGAAAGTCGTCCTCGAACCGTCCCGTCTGTTTACCGTCGTCGAAATTCAACGAGTAACTCCACGAATCGTACCGGAAACCAACCTGATCCGGCCGACTACAACCGCTGTCTCCGACGCAGCAGAAATGATTGCGGCCAGCGCGGCGGATGAAGGTTTTCCATTTGGGCCCCGCCACGATCTCGGACCACTCCCTCATCTTGTTCCACCCGGAGATCCACCAACGCTCGTCGGGCTCCAGTTTATCGACGGTTCTGATCCGTTGCCACCAAACGGATCCTCCGGGACCAGACGGCTGGGATGAGCCAAGAAATGGTGGGAGGAAACAACAACCGCGCTTCGCGAACATCGCTTCGTGCATATCGTCGGTCGCGTCCATTTCAGATATCGGAAATGATTGAAGCCCCATTGGTTTTCTGAGAGAGTTTCTTCGACGGCGTTTCGAGCTCTGCGGAGATTAAAAACAAAGGAGAGATGGAGAAGATTAAGAGAGATAGGGACAGATGAATACAGAGTTGGGTTCGATTCTTCGTCGAATCCTCTCCTTCCCCTGCTTCTCTGCAACCCTAACCCTAGTTTTTTCTCTCTCTTGCTTGCTTGCAAGAAATTTTCCTTCTCCTTTCCTCCCTTTACTCTTTAACGAATCCGCCTCTTTAGGGAAGATGGACGGGAATAATAAACGGCAACTATTACAAGAGCTGGAATTGCGTACCTGCCAAGATGGTTTTCACGAATCTTCCCTTAACCGCTTTTTTGGTTTTCTAACATATATAAATCGAAATTGAATTGGTACATTTTAAAAATGTTAGATCTCATACTATAACGTGAACTTGTTACATCGGTGCTGTAACCCGTTGTAGCCGGTAGCTTTTTTAAAACGGCCGATATATGTTCCTCCGTTAAATAAGCTCATGCATCCTCGCTAAGAAGCAGACGTGGCGAAGAATCTTCGAAAATATTAAAGACGGCCATATATTTAGCTTTTAATAAATTTATTCCACCGACCATTGATTTGGTTCTTATATTTTCTGAAATCAAAGCTCTGAGTACAAATCACTATGATTTAAAACTGTCATTCAGTAATATACATTAAACTATTTAAATACGTAAATTAAGTAACTTTAAGACTAATAAAGTAAAACATATTACATAACTTACGCATAACTTATGAAAATTTTGATTTTATAAATCAGTAAACACGAGAAGAATACCCCATGTAATTAATCCTAGGCCGTAGATTTCGCTGATCGTTCATGGCTTCGTTGAAATCAACGGCCTTGATCACCATGGCCTCTCGGCGACCGTCCTGCTCCTGGACTGCCCCAAACACAATCTCGTTCTTCTCACGGTTCTCTTCGAACGATGCCGTATCGTTCACGTTTCGTTTCTGCTGGCTTTGGTATTGGTCATAGTCTTGGTAATAAGACCGGTTTTGGTTGGTTCCTTGCGCTCTAAGGTAAGGCTTATCCGGATTTGTAGCTGATCGCGGTTCTAAAGCCGGCGGTCCATCTTCCTCCGGTATAGCAAAACTCTCTTGTACCGGCCACTGGTTCGGTTCTTGCTGATGGTGGTACTGGAAGTTTTGTGGAGTTACATTCCTTGAACCGGATATCATCTCAGAAACCGAAGAACCGGTTTTTACCACAAGCTTTCCAAGCGAACCGAGAAATCCTTCTTCTTTTTCCGGTTCATGTTGGGGTGGTATTAATGGCTGTCGAACCGGTCTTGGATAACGTTGATATGGAGCCATTGTCATGTTCGGTTTTGCTACATGCCTCTGATTATCCTGAAAACATTAAAACACAATCAAATGATGCAAGCTGGTTTTCTAAAACAGTTCAGGTTCCGTTTAACTCTTATTTCGAACCAAACCGATTCACTTACACGACGAGAGGAAGAGAACAACGATCGTACTCGACGTACTAATAGCGCAAACATATATCCAAAGAACCCAGCAGCAACGAGCAAAGCGGTTCCTGTAAAGATAAAGACCGAACCAGCATCGTCTTTAAGCAAAGCACAACCACGAAAACGGTACCATTACAAGAAGATAATAGAACGGCTTCGTTTCGGGAGAGTTACCAAGATGGAGATCTGTCTCGGGTTCATGGTGAGAACAGTCGTGATCGTGAAGCTGAATCTCTCTAATCATTTGATTTCCTCGATCAATGACTAAAAGAGAGCAGCTGGAAGAGACGTATATCAGATCAAAATCATCGGAGAACCTCATCATCTCCTCTTTAGATCCGCCGCCCCATCTTCCTCCGGCGGCGATGGTTGAGACTCCTGAGATAAATAATTAAATCAATTAAAAAAGCGCTTAGTAATTGCGTTTCATAATCTCAAACGCTTATTCGTATAGTTACCGTCGTCGCTGATCTTGCGTATGGCCATATTGTTAGTATCGGCGACGTAGATGTTTCCACTGTCGTCGATGGCTAATCCTCGAGGACGATTCATTTTCGCTTCTTTGAGCTTCCCGTCGACGTGTCCTGTGTAGCCTTCTTGCGAACCAGAGACTAGCTTTGGTTTACCATCTTCAAAAGATTTAAATCCCAGAATTAGGAAGAAAAGCCGTACTTTTATTGAGAGTACTAGGATCAGTTTTGAAGAACAGTAAGAAGGCGATAAGCGGAGCCCATAATCTGAATCTGCCTAATTTGAATCTTAGAATTTATCTAAAGGCAAAAGTTTGGTGCTTTAATGCGTCAAAAGTTTGTTAACTTGAATAACAAGAAACAAAAGAAAGAATAAACCTGAAGACCAGAGAAACAGAACATGTCTAAAAGCTAATGAGTCGTGTTGTGGACTAAAGTGCAAAAGTTTAATCTCTAAAAGGATTTGGTTTCAAAGAAAAAGAAACTTTGGAATCTAAAATGAGGAAACTCACTTTTTCACTGAACTAAAATAAGCAAAAGAAAATGAACACCCATCTTGAAGCAAAGCATAATTATACATATATGATTCTACATTTTGGTGGGTCATATTTTGGAATGGGCATAGATTGAATCTCCCAGAAAATAAGAACGTTTTTTTTTAATTATAAATGTATATATGTCCTGCGAAATTGATCTGTAGAGTTCTTCTCCCATCTAATCTATTTCTAGAAGAAGATGAACTTACATCTAGAAATAGGCATGGAGATTTTGTGGATGTTACTGTTTTGGGAATCCAAGACAATAAGCTCTTCTCCATTAGGGGAAACTCCAATTGCATATGGCTCAATTCCAAGCTTACTTCCATCAAACACTGTCTCTATGTTATATCCACCTTCATATTTCACCATCGAACGGCTAGAAACACCTGTCACAATTTCTCGAATTTTTTATTTAAATATTGAAACTTTTACATCAAGATCATAGTAAAATGTTATACTTTTGGTTCTGGGTCGTCAATTTCATTACCAGATTTTGTGGTAGTTGTTGTGGTCGTGGATGTTTGAAGAGACCACAACCATTTCCAGAGCATTGATGCTACATTTGTCACAAGTCCACTTACAATCTCTGTTCCCAAAACAAAGAAAACCAAGAACGTTTTTAGACATTTATTAGGAGTTACTACAACAAAAAATGGAAATAGTCAGATGTATTTGTAAAAACAAATTAATCAAAATAGGGTAATCAAGAACTCACTGACAGGAGGAGGCTTAGCTGAAACTGAAGACAACCCAGAAAATAGAAACATGAAAATTAGAGACAGAACCACCAAATTTCCATTTTTCTTCATTTTTTTTTTTATTTTTAAGGAAAGCCGAGTAAGAGTGGCTCACAAGTTTAGAGAGGAGATGTACATATAAATATGCACTTGTGTATGTGTTTTTATGCAGTTATATATATATATATGATGAGCTGAGCCGACAAAAGAGAAGATTTGGAGTTAAAGAAACATAAAGAGACAAGAATCATATGCTCTTGAGTCTTGTCTACTTATTGTTCAATCTTTTTTCTTTGGATCTCTTAATCAGTAGGGACAAACCAAATCATTACAAAAAAACAAAAAGCATATCTTACTTATGCCACAAGCCACTGTAACATCTCTACACAAAGATTTGAACAACAAAAAACCCTGAGAAATTTATCTTTCCATAATTTACAAAATTTGAGGTTTATTCAAATTTAACACAATATATAGAGTATTGGTCACACGATGTAAACCATACCAACTTCTAAAGTAGAAGCGTGAGGAGTGGAGAGACCATAACAAGGTCCTCTAGAGTTTCTTCTTAGAAAATCATAGCCGAAGTTAATAGCGATCTTCTTCATCACACTCGATCCCGATTTTGCTCTCACATACGAATGTCCCATTATAAACGCCATACCTGCCTCACGCGCCTCCGTCAGCTCCGTTAACTCCTCCTCCGCGGATCTATCGATCCTCGCACTTTCCGGTAGCACAAACCGTACCCTTTTCCTGATTCTCGGCGAATGATTCTGTTGCTCTACTCCCACCACAACTACCTCCGAAGAAGAAGACGACGGTTCTTGTTTGTCAGAGCCGTCGTCTTCATAGAACTGAACGCCTTCGAGATTGGAGGAAGAAGCCGCGACGACGGTAAGCCTCTCGTTGGTTCCGGATTCGTTTTCAGGGTCCGGGGAGTGATCGAACGGTTTATCAGAACGGATAAATTCAGCGATACTGCAAATGAGGTCTTGCTCAAACTCCACGTCGTCTTTGTGTACGTCACGGTAACCATACCGGGCAATACACCGGTACAGACGGTACTCCTTCGGTCCGACCCTCCCGACCAGAAACCGTTCTTCCGGTTTAACGTGCGGGACCGGGACGGATTTCACGCAGAGGAAGACGACAACTTGGTGGAACGCCGGGAGGTTAGTGATGAAATGAGAGAAAATCGCTGGAATGCCGGAGACGAGCTCGGTGTTGATCACTCCGATCCCACGGACGCGGACGATTCCGAGGTTCGAGGAGCCGAAGAGCGTGAGGAGCCAGTTGATCGAGACTTTGTTCTGGACGTCGAACTCGTAGCGCTTGACGGTTCCGTAGTACCAGACGTACATGATGAGGAGGAAGATGAAGGAAAGGGCGAGTGGAACCCACGCTCCTTCAAGGAACTTGATGAGCGAAGCTGAGAAGTAGAGAAGCTCGATTGTTCCGAAGAAGAAGATGAAGGCCAGCGCGTAGAGGGAGCTTTTGCGCCAGCATAAGACGATTACAAGTGACATCAGGCAAGTCGTTACCAGCATAACGGTAATAACCGCCAAACCTGAATACAGATTACAGAGGAGAAGAAAAAGATTCAGAAACACGAGAGTTTCTTTAGTGGTTTTATGGCTATGTGTTAATGGGATACTGTACCTGAGGCGTTGCTTATGTGTTTGGTGTCGCGGAATCCAACGGTGACTGCCAAGCATAAGAGCATGAGAGTCCAGTTGATCTCCGGGATATAAA